TATAGCCCTATCTACAAGCCATAGTACTAAAAACGCCCCCCCCCCCCCCCCCCCCCCCTCAACCAATCGATCCACGAAATATTAAATCTCCAAAATTTCTTATTAATATATACCCTCATATCAAACATAATCTATAGCTAGTATATATAATCATAACCAACAAGAACCAATCAAAACTAAAAAAAAGAAGAAGAAAAAGAAAAATAAGTATAAAAAAATGTTAAAAGAAAGACTATACAATATTAGTAATTAATAATAAAAGAAGAAACTAGAAGGAAGCCTCATACCCGCTATCGACATGTCGATGGTTAATTCGTAATTAAACAATAAAGCATCTTATCATATCCAAAAAAAAACCTCATACCGCGTATTACCGTAGTACCCTCCAACAGTACTTGCAATGCACCTTCTATCCGATCCCCAATATTATTTGCAAGGCCTTCCCCAAAATTAAAAAGAAGAGAAGAGAAGAAGAAGAAAAGAATGTATACAGAAGAAGAAGAAAAGAAAACCGGAGGAGCCCTTCCAAAAACTCGTCCAGTATATATAGGGCCTCACCACCAAGACCACCCTGAATACCCCATCTCACACGTCAATTAAAGAACTCAAAACCCCCCCCATTCGAGTACCCCCCTTACGAACTCCCCAACGTCCTCCCGGCACCTCCAAAGTTACTAGCACCCCCGCTAGCACCCCCACCGTTCCCACCAGCAGGAGGACTATTCCTAGGATTCATTCTCAAACTGGGCATATCGATCCCTCCTCTAGCTCCAGCTTCCTCCGAAAAGGTCGGTAAAACCAGCGTATGTCCCGCAGAATCCCTCGCATCCAAGGCCACATAGAACGGTATTCTCGAAAGCAACGGCCTCAACTTCGTCTCCACGAACTTCAAAACCTTCTCTGGCGGTTCCAATAGCTTTAAATATTCCGATGCATCTGTAATCATCCCCCATAACAAAATCCATTAGTAACCTGATCCTCAAAAAGAATAAACCCCACAGCAACGGCAAAGCTAGTAACGGAAAGAGCAAAGACCGGCGGGGAAAGGAGAAAAAAAACCTACAAGCCCATCCAACCGTCATAGCCAAAATATGAATCAACCACCCAGTCCCTCCGAACACAAAGATCTCAAGCACAAGCACAAACCCAACCACAGGAGCCCAACTGGGTATCCTATACCCAGCGATCCAATAATACGGCTTGTATTTATATATCCTCGTCGCATCCATCGCCGCAAACATCACGATAAACACCGACATGCCGTAATAGATTCCATTCCCGCCGAAGAAAAATTTATCGATAACGGTATATCCGATAGCCGGGAACGTCGAGAATGCTATATAAAAAAGAAGTCAGTTCCGCCTCTTTTTTTTCTTCTTCGCTTCCAGGGTTATATAGTAAGCTATGCGATTTGAGGGGGGTAAAACATACGTCCAACAATCATCAACAGCGTATGCAACGTCCCTTTCTCCCTTTCAAACCGTGATAACGGATACGTCACCGCCAGTAAATTGATAAGAATATGTATCCATCCTTGATGCACGAATGGATAAGTATTCAACCTATGCACTATACACCAGAACCTCCCTCCAAAAAGGAGGAAACAATCATTAGCAAAATCCAATCCCTTCCACAACCACCCTAAAAAAAACACCGTCCCCAAATCTATGCGCCCCTTCTCCAAAGAAGAAAACACCACACGAAAGCTGGGATAGTTTTTGCATACGCTGTGTAATCCCAAAATTCTTGTTATCAAGCTCCAACACGGCATCAGAGTCGGATATGCGACCGAGAATGAATAATAATACGGTAAGCCCCAGTAGACCACGGGTGAGTATCGGAAGCCGTCGAACGGTGGATGCTATTCGATCCGGTACGTTATCAAAATTTGGGAGCATGGTTTTTTTGTTTGAAAAGATATTAGGGGAAGAAATATTTTTTTTTTTTGGACGCCGGTAGGACCCGGTGTGGAGCGTAAGGAGAGAAACGGGAGTTAAAAAATGTCGCGAGCTTTGCTCTCTCTATTTCTCTCTCTCTCTCTTTTTATTCTTCACAGCCAAGAGGTCGAATCCATGGGTCGGGTGAGGATGCGAAAGAACTTCGATTCTTGGGAAGGATGAGAAGAGGAAGGTGATTTAATCCTTATTTAATTTTTATTTTTATTTTTAAAAAAAGGTTCTGGTTGGAGATGGGAAGGAAGCTAAGCGTGAGGTAGTGTAATGTAGTGCCGTGTTATGTAAGGCGAGTCCGATGATGCAGTTAGAAACCAGGATCTTTGGGCAGCTGCCGTAAACACCAAGCTCGGAGCGCCAACGTTTCCCGGCGCCGAACTGCGCCCAGCCGAGACTTCACCGCCAACACCGCCAATCCCGAGCTGTACGTCGTTTATGGGGCGATATTTTTATATTATATTATCTTAAAAGAAATTAAATCAAGATCTGACCAGCTCGTTCGGACTAATTGTATTTTGACGTACGTATTCACAATCGTATATACTAAAGACAGAAGAGTGGATATAAAAACTAGACGGAAGAAAAATGAAAATGAAAAAGGAGGAGGAGGAGAAGCTCAAAAAATCAAAAGGAAAAAGGAGAAAAAAGGGGAATTGCTTCATCGCAGATAGAGCTTCCCTTTCTCTCTCGGTTTCTTCATCTCTCTCATAACGCCAGTCAATGAAATTTAAATACCAAAAGGATGGAAAGAAAAGGAACGAAGAAGAAGGAGAGTAAGAAAAGGAAGGTAGAGAAGTACAACCCACAGACGTCTGACGCCGGTCATAACAATGCAATGTTAAAAAGGAAACAGCCACATTAACGGAGGGAAAGAAAAATGATATAAAACAGCTCCTCGCATACCAGGTCGAAGACGTCTGGGCATGATAGCATATCGTACAGGCGCAATAACAATCCACGCGCGAGCATGGAAGCAAACTAGAAAAAGGAAGAAGGCTGAGGAAACCACTAAAAAACAAAGGCCAGGCACCGGAAGATTTCCTCTATAAGAAACCCCATGTATCTTTTCATATAAATAAAGAAGCAAGAACATTTTAAACCCTTCGTCATCATATCATGAATAATAAAAAAAGAAAAGCATTGTTGTCATGGAGGAGGAGGAGGAAGTAGAGTAAACCTAGGGAGCGAACTTGCTGTCGTCGTCGCCGCTATTAATGCTGGATCAGAAAAACTTTTTTTTAATATGTTTTTGTCAAGCAAATTCGTTCCCCAACTCCGCCTCAAGATCGAAATCGTCCTCTTCCCCGTCGTGAACGCTCTCTTCCCTATCGCCATTACTCTGCGCCGGCGATGGTATACCCGATTCCCCAACCTTGGACTCTTCTGCGCTCAATGTGAGGTTTCTAAGGCTTGACGACCGGCTGTTCGACATGCGAAGGCGTTTCGATAGAGGGCTCTTGAGCATTTCTTTCTCTCGCGGCTCACTAACCACGATCTTTTGCTCATCTGTCCCGTCTGGCGGCGGAGTCGCACTCCTGTCACGCTTGTTCCCAAATGATACCTTGAGACCATCAGGTTGGTCACCAGAGTTGCTCTCGCTATCCGATTCATAGTCGGCTCCGTTCCTGCTCTCGAGGTCTGTGTCATCCGCTTCGCTCCCCATGAACTCCTGTAGATCCCTGTCCATCTCGTCCCAATTTATGTCGTGTAGGTCTGGTGCCTCTTCAGCTTCACCGGGTAGAAGCAGGTCAGGAATGACACCTGGCCTTCCGTCGAGAGTATGTATATCGCTATCGCCGTCATCATCATCATCCTCTTCTTCATCGGAACTTAATTCCATGTGGTCATCAAGGTCATCAAACCCCATCGAACTAGATGGTAGTGGCGGACTACTGTTGGCGAATCTCTCCTCCGGGTAGATATTTATTAGGAATGGAGTTTCGTCTAGTTTATGCCACATCGTTATGGACTGGAAAAACCATTGTGGGGTAACAATCCTGATATGAGGAAATTTGGTAGCCGCAGTTCGTACTTTCGCCGTGCGCGTCTAAAAAGCTGTTAGTCAGTCACTTTCAAATATAACCCCAAGCCGTCCCATAGCTTACCCTGGCAGCTACAACGTGGGTAACTGCTGCGCTGATCCCGTCGACCACCATGGCCCCGAAAGCCCTCCCCCATTGAGCAACATCAGAACTATGTCAAGTTAGCTAATTTTCCTCCAATAAAAATTTGGTGGATCAAGCATTCCCCCCTTACCTCTGAACATCAACACCAAGCGGAATCACACCAGAAAAGACGATCACGATATTATCGAAAACCCGTCGTTTCATCCGCGGCATGATATGCTTAATGTCTGGAACATTGCTCAAATAATCGCCATCACCACCCCCACCATGCTGAATCCTCTTCCCTCCTTTCCCACCTCCTCCCCTAACCTGTGCAACCCTACCACCTTTGGTAGTTACCAACCGTCTCTGATATTCCTCAAAAAACTCCAGATGAACCTCCGTCAGAGCTTTCTCCAGATATTCCAGCTCGTTGTCATTATCATGCAGCAGATTATGCCGATGACCGCTGTCGCTATTTGTATCGCCATTGTTCGAGTGGTTGCTAATACTGTCGCTATCTTGCTTGTCAAGAACCTCCTGTTTCTTGGCCAGCGGTCTATCCTTTTGCTGCGCTGTCAACGTTTCGTTTTGTCGTACGGTCTGCTCGGCTAAAACATCCGGATCATCGCCACCACCCATTTCCACGAGCTGTTCTAGAGGCGATACGTCGGTCTCTTCTCCGTCTTCCTTCTTAGCATCCGGCGAATCCTCCATCGTTGTGTCTTCCGAGCCATTAATTGTGATGATCACGGGAGGAGCGGTTAGTTGCTGGGGGTTTATGACTTGCGGGTCGTCCTTTGTCGTATGCGCCACTGTCGCAGCTTGCTGGGCAAGTTGGTAGTCATGTCTCTTTGGCAAGAAACTGGAATTAATATCTCCAATCCCGACGAAGAAATCATACGGCGTGACCTTAATCAAATTATCACTCCACTTCCAAACATCGCCTCTGTCGTCTATGATAACCACCATTTTCGTATCTACCGGGAACAACCGCTCCAAACTTTTCGATGTTAAACTTCCACTCTCGTCTCTACTTAATATCCTCTCTCCAAAGATGCTACCTTCGGGATCTACAATCTTAGCTATGCTCATAGCATACGCCCTAGTTCCCATGGTGTATATATGGCATTCGTAGATTTTTGATATGTTGGATAAGAATCGCTTAAGACCGGGACGGAGCTTGACATAGTACCAGCAGCCTCTACCTCCTGCGCCTTCGTCAAGCAACTGAAATGCCTCCACATCCTTTACCGCATGGTAATTTGGATTTGACGGGTCATCTCTCCATTCTCCAACGGTGGGATCTACGGTAGCTTGAATGATCGTTTGATCCAAGTCGACGACGAGCGATAATTTCTTAGCTGAGAGTAATCGCTTTTTGGCTTCCTTTTCTATATTCTCGGCTTCCTATTGGGTTTTGTAAAAGGTAGGTATATTCGTTAGCGCAAAGGGAACAGTGTAACTGTCGTGCGAGGTCCATCGTACCCCTCTACTGATCTTTAAACCGGTATTATCGTGCGTAACGTTAATGTTGGCGGTTTCGAGATTGTGAAAGTTGATATAGGTTTGCCTAAAGCCCACCAACAGCAGGTTAGTGTTAGCGAACTGAAATATTGGAGGTGAACCCAAAAATCTAGAAGCCATTGGGAAGGAGCAAAAAGAGCATACTCAGACATGTCCATGCCACAGACGGCGCATTGGTTATTCCACACAACAGGATGCGGACATGGCTCGTCAATCTCCACTATTGCCGTGCTAGACCAAGGAAACCCACACAATTAGCAATTTAAACGCTTTCCCCATCACCTTCCTCCCCTGTCTAACCATCCCATTACCATCATCATCATCTTATTATTCTTCTTCTTCTTAGCGGAGCCGCCGGAACCGACAGCGGGGGAGCAGTATCTTACGATGGCGAATTGACAACCGACCCCTTCCCCACCATCCACTTCTTGATCTTGCCTTCAATAGGAGTCTCATATTTGGATATGATATCCATAACCTTCTGAACCTCCTCTCCATCCTCATTGTCTTCCGTTATCAGGGTTTTATAAGAATATGTGAGGATCGGCTGTAACTTCTTGACGTCGGCATTTTGGGTAAAGTGGATTTGGGTGATCGTGACCGGGAACCGGGTCGACGGCGCGAATGTGAGCAGCATGATGTGGCGAATTCTTCTTCCTTCTTCTTAATTTTTCGAAATTAAGAACAGAGAGGGAGACTGTTGGAATTGGTGAAACCCTGAATCGATCCAGGATAGGGTTTTTTTTCCTTTCCTTCTTCTTGTTCTTTTTTTAGAGCAGCTTTGGTTTTTCTTTCTAGATCTTCGGGAATGATATTTTTTTGGATTCCTTTTGCTTTTTTCCCCAATTTCTCTTATTCTTCCCGCTTTTCTTCGTATTGTTCAAGACTAGATGCCCTTTTTTTCCCGCTAAGCTCCAGGAAAAGCGACCCCGGGGGTTCCTTTCCCTGTTGGCTGGTTCCGAGAGGGTATGACGAATGGGAAGGGACCAATGCGAAGGACACGTGAAGCTCCAGGGTCGGAAAATATTCCTGAAGCTTGAAAAGTAGGGCGTTATTCTAGAAGCAAAAAAGAATAAGAAGAATGAATATAGAAAAGAGAGAGAGAGAGAGAGGAAGTGCTTGGGGGTGGTTGGAATTTGAGGTGGTTTGTTTGGTGGAGATAGGTTGTGGTGTCGCGAGGCAGGGTGAGTTCGGATCCCGTCCCCCTTCAAACAAGCCAAAAAAAACAAGTACGTACCAAAAGGTCGCCGGCACGGGGAACAAGCTGGAGCTAAAGTAATCCAGGGGGGACAAAAGAGGTAAATGACGAATTGAAGATATATCAAGGTGGTGAGGGAAGCAGTAGGTTGCGATTAGAGGAATTGTGGATGGGAGTGAGAGCGATGATGAGTGGTGAGGAGAGTAAAGAGAGAGAGAGAGAAGGAGGAAGGAAGGGAAGGGAAGAGAGAAAGAAAGAGGGATGGCGTGAGAATGATGGTGATGTTTGCGTGAGGGAATGGAGGAAGAAGTGAAATGAGGTAGAAGGAAGAAGAAGAGGAAGAAGAAGAAGAAGAAGAAGAAGCAGAAGAAGCAGAAGAAGCCAAACCCGCTTCCAAGTGAACCAAGTAAAGTGCTACTCAAACCGACCTACTCGAACACTTCTTCTTTAAGTATTCGGTCAAAACGAGTAGCGACGATGCGGTCAAAGCTAGCTAATGCCAGGCCCAGAGCAGGGCCATTTCCACAGCCGAAAGCTTGATTTGATGCGATGCGAGCGAACAGTCTAGACAGCCACCCCGGACATTTTCTATAGTAAGTAAGTACTTATTAAGTCTCAATATCGTGAAGGTTTAAAAAGAAGAAGGAGAGACAGAAAATGTCAAGAGGGATCATAGTATAATTCCATAGAAAGTTAAGAGGAGTTTTCGCGGGGGAAATTCGAATTCGGATCCTGCGCTGGTTCAGGGTCCGACAGTGCCATTATTAAATGTCGAAAGTAGACAGACAGACAGAAACGGCAAATCTAAACCAGCCTGCTGTCCACCGACAGATATTTCCATACCCTCGATATGCTGCCTGTAGTTCACCCATCACCATCACCATCACCATCACCATCATCTTCATATATATCCTCGATTATGTAGTATAAACAAGTATACAATAGAAGGTAACATTTGAATCCATCTCATTGGTCACAAGCCAAATGTTTGCGACTGCATTTCCGTCGCATTCGTGACGTCCCCATCATCCACGGTATTAGCCATCATATTCAACCAATCCAATCCCATCAATATATCCTTAATCGATAACCGCGAAGAAGAAGAAAAAGAAACGAAACCTGTGTACCTACTGAAGTTACTTGCCTAAGTAAGAAGTAGGTATTATAATAATTCTAGAAACCCACCATCTTCGGCCTAGTTCAGTCTCTTCAAATAAGTAACTTCGAACTTGAACTTTGTCTCATCCCGTTCCAACGTCAGTCAACACATCTCGTATATCATATCATACCATACCATACCGGAAGCACACTACACGATGATACCATCATTAATTACAACATCGTCAAGACTAACCCAATACTAATATCCTCACTAACTTAAATATAAAAATAAGCACGGTACGGACGGAGAATTTATTTCCTGCAGCAGCCTTATAAAATCTCATATGCATGCATACATATTTAGGGATATAACTCAACCCGCTGAATTGTAAAAATTACGTGCTCCCCATACCACAAAGACGCCATGAGAGAGCTCCATCTTAACACGTACCTACACCCCCCCTTTATAAATTCATCATCCTCCTTAATACTACTTTCCTTTATCTCTCTCCCCTTTCCCTTCCAATTCCTTTTTTTAAAAATTTAATATACATCTACGGTCACTTTTTTGGCAATATACGCTTCAATCGATTGATTGATTGATTGATTGATTGATTGATTGATTGATGAATAACGAAGTTTTTGAAAATTCCAATAGCTTTTTATTTTCTCTCTCTCTCTCTTCTGAATTCCCATAATCTGCTTTTGAAGATACTACATAAGTACATACTTAGGTACATACTAAATAAAATAAAAGAATAAAGATCGAATGATCGAATAAATATACCCACTTTCCCCTCTCTCTCTCTTCTTCCCGCTAACTTTTACCCCCCCTTCGACAACTAAACTTTTTTGATATAAATCCAACTTTTTGGAGTCCTTCCTCTCTCTTTTTTTTAACCTTTCAATTCGTCAATAGCTTTTGTGGCTTTTTTCTTTTACACAGATACACGGAAAGAAGAAAAGGACAGAAAAACCAAAAAAAAAACTCTTCTTTTTTGTTTTCAAAAGCAGAAAGGAAAGAAAGAAAAAAGCATACTGGTCATCATCTTCGTTATATTGGAAAGAAGAAAAAGAATAAGAAGAAAGATAAGAAGGTTAAAGCAGACAACTTCAAAAAGGAAAGTGAAAATCAAATAAAAATCAAATCAAATAAAACAAGGCAAAGAACAATTGCAATTCTAACAAAGCAGACGATTATAATCTAAAGAAAATGGGGCAATATAAAACTAAAAACCGAATTCGAAATAACAATAAAAAAAAAGGAAACGAAGAAGAACATGCATTCTCTCTCGTCAGGTCGAAAAGCAAAAAGAACGCCGATGAACTCATCCCACATGAAGAGAAAACCGATCCCAAACTACTTTTTTGAAACGAATCAATCCATTTTGGACCCCGACCTGACACCGTAAAAAAAAAAGATGTATAAAAAAAGGAATCCGCACCAAATTATAAGTGAAGGCTACCATGATATAACCCCATTTCTCTCGCTAAACCGCAGGAACGGAAAAGATGGAAAAAATAGAAAAAAGATCAGAAGCATCAGATTAAACGAAGAAATCCCAAAGAAAAGAATAAGGGAAGGAAAGAAAAGAAAAATGAAATGAAAACGACCCAGGGTATATGAAGATCAAAGATGACCAATTTGGGGGGAGGGGGGTATCAATGACGGAACGGGGGTTCGATTGTGCGAAAGGATCAAGTGTAGACACCTCTCCTGAGATCTCCTCTATCCCTCTTCGCCTTCTCGCACTCCCTTTCATCAACAACCAACCTTCCTGATGTCACACTTCCGGGAATGCCCGTATATGATGAGGTCGGCGAGGCGGTAACAAGTGGGTAACTGGCATCCAAGCACCCGAACCTTCTTGCCAAGGCCCCTAGCAATGTGGCAAAGCAAGCGTGGACCTCGACAAATAATTGTTCCCGACCAACTAGCTCCGCCAGATCCTTGCCTCTTTCGACTCTCGCCGGCCGCCTTAGGAATCCGTCCGGACAGGTGCTATGTTTGATAATGGTCGACCCGGAAAGCTCCTGCCGAACTTGGTCGTGTGAGTTAGGCGACACCGGGCGCGACGCTTCAGATGCAAGGTTCTTGATTCGGGCAACTAGCTGCTCGAACACCGATGTGATGTAACCGTATGCGGCAACGATCTTCTTGACATCTGGGCACAAACATAACAGGGCATATGTACGGCGGTTGCTCCGAATCTTAGGGTCGACCAGTCGAAAGACATATGCGATTGTGTGACCGGCGGATTCGTCACCGACAAATATCGGTCCGGTTTGGCCCGGTAGAGCTTCGCATGACAGGGTCCTGACGCAGGCTCTTCTCAAAGCGGCAAACTTTTCCGGTGCAGATGGGAAACGGGCCGAAAGGTAGGTGAGGTTGTGAGTGTGAGGTGGAATGTAAGCATCGAATCGGTCATAGAGTTCCTGGCTCTCCTCGGAGGCCGTCGATGGAAAGTCGATATCATCATTCAAGTTGGATTTGGAGGAAGAATTCGACGACGAAGCGGACGAGAGAGACCGTCGACGAGGTTGATGTTGCATATACGGCTCCTCGTGGTCGGAAGTAGCAGGTCTCCTAGGTTGGTAGTAAGACTGTCGCCTCCCATGTCGGTAGGTTCTCTGTTGGGCCTGCTGCTGCTGCGCCTCGGCTTCCATCTGATGTCGACGTCTCTCCTCAACGCTACCCCCGGCTAGGACTACCTCTTTGGATCGCAAAACCGGTACCTTCTTACCATCCTTTAAGGGTAATCGCTCGGTGAGGTTTTTCGGTAAGCTAAGGTTGCAGTTGGCGCAGGTATCGCTCAAACCGGATGAAGCAGTTGACAACAACGATTGATTGACAGAACCGGAAAGCGAAGCATGGCCCGGTTTCGGCGACAGGGGAGGGGTAGCAACAGGAGATGCATTCGGCGATATCGAAGACCTGGAGGAGGAAAGGTAGCCGTTGGATCGGGAGGTGGCTTTTAGGGAACTAGTACGGGAGGGTGGCGAGGACGTAGGGGCAGACGATGGAGGAGAGTCGTCGCTGGAATAGCCAGCGTAAGGGCCTATTGTCGTGGTACATGTCTGGCACGAAGGAGGGAGAAGTTGGGTGCAAAGGATGGATGTTGGACCGTGGATTTCGCAGAAGTGGGCGAGGGAGAACTAGAAAGATTTGCGGCAAGACGGTTAGAAATTTGTATCAAAAAAAGAGGATGCGAAACGGGACGGAGTGAGGCTATGACCAAACATTTGTTCGAGTTCCCATACACTCCATAAAACAAAGAACAGGAAGACATGTATCCTTTCCAGCGAAAATACAAAAGCAATGAGATCATAGTGAGGGGAACTTACAGTAAAATCCATGGTGGCAAATTTTTGCCTGGGAGGAGTGAGGTTGAAGTTGAAGTTAAGGTTGAGAGGTGTTGTTGCGATTGAAGTGTGATTGCAATTGATCTATGGTACTTGATAGGTAGTAGTCTTGTCTTAGCCGTCTACGCTCAATGGCAAACCGGACCCTGTCGAGGGAGAGAAAAAAAAGAGTTAAAGTTTTATAAGCAAACGTCAACGTAACAATTATTAAAAAGAAGACGGTATCGGAGTTATTCGATCGATGGGGGGGTCCCAGGAGGTTGGATGGGACCAGAAGGGAGGGAGGGAGAGCTATGATGAAGCGATAGCGTAAGAGAAAAGGGACTGTCGAATGGATGTGAGTGGATTGGAGTGGAGTGATGTGTGTGATGTGATATGAATGATGGAGGGCGGATTATCATTATAAGTAAAAAGAAGCAGCAGAAGCAGAACTGGAAGCAGAACAGGTCAGGACTGGACGGGACTGGACTGGACTGGGCAGACAGACAGACAGACAGACACACACAGACAGACAAAGGAACAGACCCCAACCCAACCCGGCCCACCCACACCCACCCACACCACACACACCTTCCTCCGCAGACTAGCCAGCCAGTCTAACCCGCTCTAGTTCAGGCGGACCAGAAAGACAGACGGTACCGCCAATTCACCCTGCGGCCGAAGCTGTCTGTCTGTTCGTTTGTTCGTCTGTCCTGTCTGTCTGTCTGCTGGCTATAGGGCTAGCGTCGTCGGGGTAGCTTTGTACCTGTGCTTGTGTGCATTGAGCAAGAAGAAAGAAGAAAGCAGAGCTAGGTACCAGGATGCAATCTGAATCCAATCCATTGGCTGTTGCCCACCACCACCTTTTTTTACTAATGGAGACTACCCTTTCCCTTCTTCTTTCTTTTCTTTTGCTGTCTTTTTTTCTTCTTTTCTTTTCTATACCCGAGTCCCCTCGTACAGAAATCAGATACTGTAACTGACTGGACCGAACAGGGAAAAAGCCGAAATTCGAAATATTGATAAAATAAATATCTCGAAGAAAAAAACAATGGGGGGAGCACAGACACTTCATTCGGCTTCAACAGTTACTGCGTGCTGCGTGCTGCGTACTGTGTACCGTGTACCGTGTACTGCAACGGTGATTGATCCTGCCGCTGGCTGTTGCCTTCGACGATTCATTCAAAGACAATAACACTCTCCGTGAAAAGGAATATATCACAGGCAAGCAACCTACTTTACTTCGTACGTAGTATCCGGTATATGCCATCAGGTGTGTGGTGTGAAGTGACATCTCTCGTGGGTCCCCCCCGCCGGTCCGAGGCGCAAAGGAGTCCGGAGTATGGTTTGAAAGCAGGCGAAACAAAAAAAAGAAGCCCTCGAACCTTCTAGCTTGTAGCAGACTGCCATTCCTTTCTGTTGTTTCCTTTCCTTTCCTTTCTCTTCAATCTATCTATCTCTGATCTGAATCTGTTCTAATCAAAGAACAGACAACAAAACGGTAACGTTCTGTCGGGTCCGTCATGATATGAACGACACATGTCAAAGCGAGAGAATCGAATGTGGTGTCGCCTTGATATTGTTCGCATCAGACGAAATCCGGCCCACATGCACGTTTTTCTGCTTCGATAGGTTTTTTTTGATCTGATAGTTTCTACTGCGGCTGGGACAGGGCTCTAGGGCTCTTTGGGGGACTGAATAGATGCAATATACTTGCAGAAGAAAAAAAGAAATAAAATTTAAAAGCAAGCAAGCAGGAAAGAGAAAGAGAGAAGAAAAGATGGGGGAATGAAATCACACCCATGAGTGAGCGAGGGATCGAAGTGAGCTTGAGGGGGCACAACATATACAGGACGAAAACTCCGGGCTCCAATAGTAATCCTCGAATTGTCCCATTTCAACAAATCATAGATGCAGAATGCCAATTGGCAGAAATCAGAAGCATAGGCATAGGCAGGAGCAGAAGCAGAAGTAGCTTACCTTGCTTGCTCTCTAATTCTGACTCTCGGGATAGGCAAAAGTCCCTCGCTGACCGGCCTCTCTTAACTGTCAACTGTAACTGCACCGTCTGTACGTCTGTTTCACGATATCCCTCAAATATAGAAGAATATCTATACGAATGTATGTGTGTAAGTATGTGTGTACTGGCGGGTCGAGGATCGAAAAAGTTAACCACTCTGCTTCTGAAATCCTCCTACTGTGTGTACTGATTTCTGATTTCTGGTTTCTTCCGTGTTCCCTTACCCGCGGCTTCCCTTGACACAAAAAAGGAAGAAAGACGAACCCGTGACTGAATCGAAAGGTAGATCCCGGTTGAATTGAATTGGACGAGGTTTGATTGATTGGGGTTTCTCTTTTTATCGATATCTGAGAATAACCGTTGGATAAAAACGAGAGCTTGCAGATTGCATGCAGAGACAACTTGCGACAACTGCATCTAGGGTACCTGCTGTTCTAGAAGAAAGAGGCTACTGAGTATTATGACAGGTGGAGTCCTATATGTATGGGATTAATATATATGGGTAAGTAAGTAAATGCAAATGGCTTGCAGTGCAGCAGCAGCAGGAAGTCTGTAACTTTGGTTAGGGATAATTTCCTAATACCCGAAGAATGTCCAGATATGTAAAAAAAGGTCTAAAAGATATCGCCAAGTTTAACATAGTATCTCTCTCTTCTTTCTATGTGTGTGAAAACGGCGGGTGTCTTCTGCGCTTGAACGACTGGAATGTAGTAAAGAGACCGAATTCGAAGGCAACTTTCAATAGAATGCTGGGGCCGACGTCCACGGATCCGACCGTCCGGAACGGTTTAGCCAAACGGTCTTGCTGCCGTAGTTTTACGATCGTATGATCGAGAACATACCTATATCATAACTATTATACTAGTACTAGTACTAGCTAAGTAAGTAAGTACCTATATTGGATAATACGAGAGGATCGTGCGTCCGCCTTTTAATTCAAAGCTTCAAACCAATGTCATACCATATCATATCATCTCGAACAGAGAGTTTCTAAATATTCACACCACCGAAATTAAAACCGCCCTAAACTCACTACGTACGTGTATCTTGATATCTTAATTTTCTTCTTTTCGCATATATCCGTCACGTCAATCAAGTTTGCGTTTTGCAGTTTCGCTTTCTCTGATAACCGTCTACATTCAGATACTCCCCCCAAGAACCCGGCTTGGTTAGTCTGGGTCGGCATGCATGGAAAGCGTAATCAGGTACCTCCATTTCCTCGGAACAGCAGAAACAAGGAATGTATCTGCATTTTATTACGTTAAGAAAGCAAAGAACGAGAGTCCCACATAAAAACTCTCTTTTTTCCTCTGTCCTTTAAAGGCTCCAAGAGATAACGGTGGCCGACGCATGCTGCGCGGTGCTGCACCTCTTCATCAGACGAATCAAACGATCGAATGAGGCTCGAATAACCAAACTAAGGCTCCCCCGTCCGCGAAGATCACCTCTTTCTTTCTTTCTTTCTTTCTTTCTTTCTTTCTTTCTTTCTTTCTTTCTTTGTTTCCTTTTTTGCGATTCGATAAGATAGATACCATTCTATCCTCCGCCCTCCTTCTCATTAATAAACGAAACCTGTGACTTCATTTTTGGGAATTCCTTGAAGTAAAGTGTGATATGATATGATATGATACGACGCGATACGATATGATACGATCATCCCTCTGCTGGTCTATATAAAAAGCAAAGGAATAACTGGTGAGAAATGCTATTAGTTAAGTGGAAAATCCTGATAACAGGCCTATCTATCGATCACGAAGGGGTAGGACTTTCCCGCCGAGTCCGAGTACTGTCCGAGTACTTTACATGCAAAAGGGTCGAAGAGAGGAAAGAAAAGAAAAGAAAGAATATAATAGTGAATTACCAAAGCTCTGATGAAAGAAGTCATGCAAGCCATCTGCACGATTCAAAGATCATGCCTGTTGGGTTATGTTCGATATTTTCAGATTCTCGCCCGATACAAAGAAAACAATCCCTGTGCTATCAAAGTACTCACCTTACATATCCTATCGGAATCGTACGCAAATTCATGACGGTGATTATGATATATATTAGAAATCCCCCGTCATCCCTGGAATCGTATGATACTCCAGGTCTCATAGTATACTTACTTACTTAGCTATACGCGATATAATTAATCGAATGGATATTACCTTCCCGGGTTTCCCCAATGTTTCCCATTAACGTTAACCCCCCAATCCTGACACTAGCTGCAACCAGCATCACTCGACCATGGTTGTTTTGTAAAACCCTCTCGAGTTCCCTTTTTTCCCTTCTGATATGTCGTATCACTGTCGCACATGAGATCAGGTGGATGTGATATTATATTGGTGGGCCAATTTTAGAGATTTTTTTTTTGATTCTTATGGAACCTCCCGAGTACGAGTAAACATCACCGCCCTCCTCTTGCTCTTCCTCCATATTCTTCTTTGTCTTTAATATTCTTGCCATTGTGTTTGATTGATCGACCGTGAGGTAACCTAGTGATATTGTTCGAATCCGGCGAATTCAAATCTTGCTTGCTCATTCGTAGGATAATTATAACCATGCTACACGAACATTCCTGAGTAGTATATCATTGGTCGACTACTACCATTCCATGAAATTTATAAACCCGCATACGAACGTTCAAACTAACTAGTCAAAATGTCTCGCGGTTATTGATGGTTTACCTTTTTTTAAAAACAAATTTAATTAAAAGATAGATCTAAAGAGCCTAGGCTACTGACTCAAATTCATCAGCCTTAACGAACAAAATCCAATAAATTCAAACGGCGACACAGATGATCTTAAGCTTTTAACCTTCAGCGCTAACTGGTACTAGGTGATTAGTAGTTAGCCGGTATAACAACTAAATACTTATTGTGGTTACCTGCGCCTGGGGGGAATATCGTCGAACCTGCTTTTGCCTTTTACTCGAATGGAGATTAGTTAGTCGCAGTTGAAATGAGTCTGGTACGCCTTATATTGATCCTAGTCTAGTCGACTCTTTAAACTTAGTCTATTCGCTTTGACTGATCATGACAATGCAATAATGCCCGCTCATGATGGCCGCTAGAGCGCAGTTAGATATAGTATACTCCATTGTTTTCCGAGTCTAGGTAACTTTTTTTTTTTTTTCTTCTCGGAATCCTTCGCTCGGATACTATACTAACTTGGAAACCTCGAAGCTAAACCTCGAGGTCAGGCCTGTCATACATATACAGACAAACCCCATATACATATCTCCACTTCCCAGTCCCGACTCCGGTTCCCGCACGAGCTCGCTCGTCCGAAATGCGCAGCGAGTTTGGTAAACGAACCAGTCATCTTCCTTACTCATGACCGGTCCGCCTCTTCAGCTCCCATTGATGCATCACCGGATCTCGCGAGCTCTTCAAAAAATACTAAAAGAAGGCGAAAAAAAAGTGTCTACGTATGAAGTGAAGCAAAAAAATCTGTTGAGGATCTAGGATACTACTAGTCTCGGGTAGAAGAGAAAGAAGTTTTTGGTCTAAAGTATAGGATCTATGTAGTCGGGGAAAAAAGCCTGACTTTTTTTTCATTTTGACTTTTTTGTTTTAGTCTGTTTAGTCGTTAATTAGATTATCACGTACCTTTGTCCCGTCTACGGATGGTTCGAAATAGTACTAGCCACTATTCTCCAGAACCTCCCTCGACTCGATCCCACCGACCCGCCCTTCCCTCCGTACATAAACTCTCCATCCATCGCATCTGCATCCTCTAAAGGACCAGCTTTGGATCAGGAATAATTGCGAGAGAACCCACATTGCCCACCATCTTTGTCCCGCACCCGCGGTTCCAGTAAACCTTCCCCAAACCATTCCCACACACACCATAACCATACATAAGTATATACTCGAGTAAGTACTTACTATGCTGTACTCCGCACCAGTGGGAGTGGAGATAGAGGGGAAGAGAACAAAAAGCCGTTTTTTCCAAGCCACTTCCTTGTTTCCACCCTGCCTGTCCTTCCCACCTTTTCAAGGACAAAGAAACTAAAAAAAAGAAAACTTGACAGTTTAAAAAAAAGAAGTTGGAGATATCGGTAGACGTTCTAACTGTTTTTGATTTTACTCGAAGGGTTCCCACACCACCATCTCGGCTTCTATGAACATCGAAATGCGAGAGGAAGCCGGCGTTAACAGTACGAAATAAACTCTTTTTCGAACTAAAGATTGTAAGACATTGAAAACAACTAGATGTTAAAACGGTTCGTTTGATTTCTTAATTCAAGTAGGTAGGTACTTTGCTTGCAATAATCCGGGGAGGTTACTTATATTAGGTACATTCGTGCTTCATGAGGTACCGACAGTTTAGATATTAAGCCTCTATTTTCTTCTTCTTAAACTTCACCGGAGGACCCGCAAAGATTGTATGGAGCATACTAACTACTAAGTAGATATATAGTATGTAGATAATAGAAATCCCCACTAGGACTTCGCTTTCTCTAACCGGGGAAGCCTGTACATTCCGTCCGTGCTATCTATCTATCTATCTATATTTTCTTTCCTTCCTTTCCTCATTTCATGATAGTCGTGGTTGATCGAGAAAAGCATTTGCTAGCATCCTACCAAAGTAACCAAGGAGGTTATGGGGCATATTCACGTCACATGTGCGAATATCACTTCTTGAAATCTAAAATCTAATGTACATAGATTACATTACATTGACTCCTATATCGACCTCCCACCACGGTCCCAATGGTCCAATAGGAAGCACCGCGCAAAGACGCAGTTTGGTTTAGCATTGTCAAAGACCCCAAAATTAAAGGGCTTTGGGCTTGGTCTGGTCCCCCCCCGTTCAACTTTTGGCCAAGTTCGAGGGGAATATGTACTATGTATATATTTGACCTATGAGAAGTCCGTATCGTAATTCTGATATTCTATTCTAATCATTCTGATCGATCAGGATGGATTTCAATCCCAGCTATAGCCAGCTAGCTAGCTAGCCCTCTCGAAATCATACATACATACATTAAGTACTTACTTACTTCTATATATCCTTCGAACATGTCATATGTCATAAATACACAACTACCACCAGCCAAGAGGTGTGGTTTAAAGTGCTCAAAAGCATAAGGATTAAATTTGAATCGGTCTGCATGCATGGTAACTAACTAACCTACCTTGACCACATCACAAACCCTTCTGCCTTGCATAGTCCGGTACCGATTCAATTGGATTCACCACCTTTTTTTTTGCTGCATGAAATTCCTGTTTCCCTGGCAAAAATCAATGCAATCTTGAAGTATGTAGGTTCCAGCTGTCAAAGCGGGAAAAAAAAAAAAAAAAAAAAAAAAAAAAAAAGAATGAGGGGCAAAATGTGATAAGGCAGATAGATACCAATTGTATATATATTTTTTTTTTCTTCTTATATGCTTGGTCGTTCGATGTTCTAGCCCCAATTGCCTGACGGTCTTTACAACACATTCCTTGAGGTTACGATGCTCGATACTCGATATTGATATTGATCAGATCTGATCCGATCTGGCCTGGTCATGGTAGTTCTTACATGACAATTCCTCACCATCAGATGGAAAGAATTCCCCCCATTCTTAAGATCTTTCTTCCAATTAGTAACATGCACGGGATCAGTCGATTTTTGGGACCTTTGGACCCGATCATTTTGCATATACGCCCTCTTCTCATGATACTTAGTAATCGACAAAAGGTTGCATATTTGATGGGTCCGAAGGGGACCCGGTCCTGGTCATGTCTTTCATGGTCCAAATCAATCTATTCCCAAAGCTGCAATTGATCAACTTTCCATTTTCATCACCACGAAAGCCTCTTCTTTCTTTCTTTCTTGCGAAAGTTGTTATTATGATCATCTTGTGAGAAAGGGTTCCTAAAAAACGTAATCGCTTCTCATCGCTTGTATTCGCTTCCAACCGCACATCGGTCCACTACACCCTCCGACAAATCTCCAACGTCCTCCAACATCGGTTAATGGGCTCACTGACCCCTCCGAGAAAACGAGCTAACTACTAAGGTAGCTAGTTCGCTATGTAGAGCACATACATACTGACATACATGTCGACAATACTGTTGCTCTCCCTTTTTACCGCCTTTGTTGCCCCCTTCTCATGATATTCCTCCGCACTTTCCATTCTTTCGCACCCTTGCCTGTCACTTCACCACCATCCACAAAATCCAAATAGGGCATCTTATCCACCCCTCCACCGCTTCCCGTACCTCTCCGTTCCTTCTGCCCTGCCCTCCCGTCCCTCCAGTCCCACATCAAATAAACCGGCATCTCGTCTCTGCCCCTACACAACAAAATCTTGTATCCATCGTCCAAGTAACCGTTGATTTCATCCTCATGGATCGGCATCAAAAGCTGGAGTTCCCCGCTAGCTTCGTTGACGCCTCTGATTATCGCCAACCCGGCAGTCACCGTTCCTTCAGCCGTTAAAAGTCCGCTCGTGCCATCGAATTGGTTCGCGGGTATGTATGGTGTTACATCATTGTTTTCATCATACATATTCTCAAGATACTGGATTGCCGGATGTTCCCTATCGTCGTTTTTTACTAGTTTGATCGATACGATCGTTGCGTTTAATCCTGTGAATATGAGATCTGGTGCAATACCAGTATCTAAAATTGTAACTCCATGAATAACCTTCGTCGCTCCTTTGTAAGCCGCAATCAACGGTGGTACCGCCGTTAGATGTTTCTCGAAGTCGAAAGAAGGCGAGTTGTTGTCGCTGCTGCCACTGCTGATGCCGCTAACCTTGGGCCGCTGGTGAAAATACGCAATAGTTTGTAATATCCTCAAGTCCGCCGGTGTAAACTGCTGGCTACCGGGAGTATTACCAACCGCATTTCCGGTACCCGCAGCTTCTAACGTATGCCGCTTTACTCCTTTCCCTTCTGGTAATATCTCTGCGAATACCCCGTCCACATCTCCAAGACCCACCACATCAGTTGGCTCGCAGACCGCAACTAATTCATGTAGTAGTTCCCTCCCCATACCCTTGATCCAGCCGCATGTGTTGACGATCAATGTCAACTTCTCGCCTTGCTCTACTAGTCTTCTGTATTCTCGCATCAGATCTGCTGCACAACGTAGGTAGTACTTTGGATCCTCGCGCGGAGAGATATAGCCCACATGATGCTGTCGTACTATCTCTGTAGACCCAAAGGTAGCGAATGATGGAGCTAGGATTGGAGATGTGATCTTGTGTAATGAGAGTATGCATGGAGGTGTAAAGCTTGGTTGGCCGGGGTCGAGGTCTAGGTATGCTACTGAGGATTGCTGTGAGTTTGTTATTAGGTTGTTGAGGAGGTACCGGCTGAAGGTGGATTTCCCGACGGATTTCCCGCCTACGATGAATATGGATTTTGGAGATTGTTTTGTCGAGGATAGGGTGGTGATTGTTGGCTGCCAGGAGGGGGGTAGGGTGAGAATCGGTGTGGGTTGGATTGCCGTGAGAATCTATTTTGAATGATTAGAAAGCTTCCTAGGGAATCTACAGGCAGTGGCATGAAGTGGAAGTACCGGTGTAAATGAATCAGACCCTTTCGATTTAACGATGGTACTAGTCAATGGCGGTTTCCATATCCTATCGAAACGAGGACATATTCTTCCAACGTCGTTTAATCCGCTCTGTGTGCTATGGAGACTAAATATTGCGTCGTACCCTCCATCTTTCCGAGCTGGCTTTTCAACTTTCCGCTTTTTCGACTTTGGGGCGCATTCGATTACCGGTAGAGCTTGTGTGGAAGGCGCAATAACGTCGAGAGAGACTGATGTTTCGACGACGGCGCCGCATATAGATATATTGCCACTAATGACTGATATCCTGTATTCGCCTTGAATAACGAAACTCTATGGGCGATTCTTAGTATATGTTTCGTAGCCTCCCGGGGGGACTGTGTATATAGAATTCTTCCGTACCTCCCCACGGCGCAGCTTTACTGTTGTTTCCAAAGTCTGAGTATCGTAAACGTAATTATCCTCCGTCTGTACGAAATTTGAAATTTGTCTGAAGCCCGGTCGTTAGCCACATGCCTAGTATAGGAGTGCTAGTGCATATACATGCTGCTTTTTTTACCGTGGTATGTCGATATCCGAGTCCGGAGCGGAATCTATTGTTTCCTTGGGAGGTATCGCAGATGGACTCCGTGACTTTAATGGTGTTGAAGGACTGATATTGGATATATCTTTACTATGGAATGTCGGTGTGGCTTCTGCGCCGGGCGCGATGGCCGGTGAATTGCCATTGGAATTTGAATCGGAGGGTTCTGCTTGCGCTGCTAACTGTTGCTGTCGCAGACGTCTGGCAGCGAGCGCGCTGAGTGGTGCTGTCGAATACACTTTAGCAAATTGATTGGAAATGAGGGATTAAGGTGCTTCGTACCTTTGACTTTACTATCGCTGGTTCTTTTTGACATTTCTGTAAGATGATGTTGGAAGGTTTAGGATGTTGAGAGGTTGTTAATTGGATGGGGGGAGAAATTCGTGCCGAGGCCATGCATCGCGTGGGATGCAGACAAGGAAGCGAATGAAAAAAAAAAGTTTACCTCGAAAAAGCGAACTTCTTTACTTAGTACTGACAATACTTTAACAAAAAAAAACCACCAACCAGCACAATGCCCCCGAAATCAACTTCAAAATCTACGACAACGTCGACGGCTAAGTCGCAGAAACAGTCAAAATCCAAGCCGGTGAAGTCTTCGGAATATGTGGACGATTCCGACCTTGATGACGATGAACCGATGATGGATGCGCCGCCGGCGAAAGCGACTCCAAAAGCGACAGAGAAGACTTCGAAGAAGAGGAATAGGGATGGCACTGAGAAGGTCAATGGAGCTGGAGGCAGTTCATCCAAGAAGGGGAAAGATAGCGCTGCAGCCTCTAGCTCGAAGACCGTGAAGGATAATAAGAAGACGAGCAAGAAGGTTGTGGAAGTCGTGGAAGAGTCGAGCGAAGAGTATGCTATCCACTTTTACCGTACCTGTCGTAGGATCATACTTATCGAACATCTACAGGGAATCTAAATCCGAATCTTCAGAGGAAGAGTCGTCGGATAAGGAAGATAGCGAGGAGAGCCAGAGCGAGAGCGAAGCCTCGGAGCCAGCGAAAACCTCGAAGACCACTCAGTTTAAACTTCCACTCGATAAAGATGTCCCACCCGGATTCACTCCCCTCGATATAGCATCCACAGAATCTATCCCGTCATCACTAGGTGGGAAGCAAATCTTCCTATTTACAGCTCCCTCCAAGTTCAAATTCTCAGACGTCAAGAAGATCAAGCTTCATAGCGGTCTAGACGGCGAGACTATCGAATCAGATGATGTCAAGTTCACTATACGGCGATCGATGGACTCGGTCAGTTCCAGCATGAAGGTCATGATCCCTAAACAAGGGAAGAAAGGATACCAGCTAGGTACTTTGTCATTTCAACAATTACGGTTGGGGTGATATTCTAACGAGAGAATCCTTAGCGTCCGTCGCACCAACCGTTCAATACTTGATAACAGAGGCGCCACCATCTGGACGAACAAAAATTGGAGAACAGGGATTACCGCCTCCACCTCGGAAACAACCAGAAGGGTTGAAAATGCGGTTTATGCCAGCAGGGTACGGAGAAGAGTCCGACTATAGCATCAACGAAGCTGTGTTACCCCGGAGAGACCTTGTCGCGAACGGGGACCACGATGTAGTTATGGATGAAGCTGAGCCTGTTATTGCAACGCCGAAGAAATCCAAAGGAAACAAAGACCAAGTTGCGGAGACGCCGAAAGAGAAGAAATCGAAGAAGTCGAAGACAGTAGAGGAAGTTGTAGTAATCGAAGAGGACGCGTCCGAGGAGGAGATTGAAACTAAGAAGTCAAAGAAGGATAAGAAAGACAAGAAGGATAAGAGTAAGGACGAGGATGGGAAGAAGAAGAAAGAAAAGAAGAGTAAGCATGATGAGGAAGGCAAGAAGGAGAAGAAGAAGCATAAGAAAGAGAAAGCTGAAGCCTGATCATTCATCCACACTAATGCACTTCGTCAACCGTATCACGACGATATTTCTACCAATATAAGTACCAATATCCAGAGTATCCTTATAAAATTCGTCGTGGGTATCATCGTATATATACAGACAGCTATCCTCGTGAAATAACTTTTGGTGTGATTAAGGAAGTTGAAATAGATATCGACATGCTTAGTATTCAGAGTTGGGAAGCTATTTCTGCTGCGCCTGCGCTTGCTGTTGCTGTTGCATTTGAATTTGCATTATCTCCGCCTTTTTCTTCTCACTGGCCTCTGAGAACTCGGTAATCTGCCCCTCTATTCGCTTTCTGTCGTCGAGATTAGTTAGTATCTAGAGACAGGCGGGTCGCTCCATATACGTGGGAGGGGACGCACATTTCCTTCTCGATGAAGTCTAAACGCTTATCAACATTCATGACCGCCTCGTCCTTGTCCTGCTTTATCAAAGTAGGCCCGATGAGCTTGTAGATGTTTGCATCCCCATCAAGTGTTTTGAATTCCTAACCATACACGTGCATATAATTCGTCAGTACCAGCGAAAGGTATAAGTAAATATCTCGAGCAATTAAAATAAAATATATATCGGCAGACAAAGTACCTTCTGGACAGCCTGGTTCTCCGAAAGCTGGGCATCTAGTTTCTGACGGGCTTCGATAACATCCTGGAGCTCTAAACAACCGTTAGCCATCGTGATCAAACGGTAGTTGGTTGTGCATGGTGGGGCTTGTTACATACTCTTCTGGAGATCTGTGTACTCGTCGGATAACTGCTGTACATTCGCCATTCTTGGTGTCTTAATCTCGTCCTAGCTGTAGTAAAAGTCCCGAGGAGATTCGCGAGTCCCGTTTGTAGTCGTCGAGAATGATAGATCTGGTGTATGGTCAGCTGGCTGGCTAGTCCGAAGCTGCTTTGCAAGATATTGATAATTGCAAAAGTGGGATTATATTTTGGCAGGCCAAGCGAAACGAACCAGCTCGAAACCTTGATTGCCATTTTGTTTAGCGCAAAGAAACCTCCACCTTACTTTGGTTACCCCATGTGCACTTCGTCAACGACAAACCCCCCCTCAAAGGTCCACCATTTCTCTCTCACCCCCTCGTCTTTCTGCAAGGAAAAAACACCACGAAAGCAGAATTACGTATCTCGTACGGCAGCCTGGATCTACGACAGGATTCTTTGCTACCTTAATCGAGTTCTTCTTCCGTCCGGCGTGCATGTGTGTTTTTAGCGGCTTCTGACGACGACATCGACATTCATCTTTCCTTCCACCTCTAAAATCCGATAACTTTCGTGCCATCTTCCCCCTCGTCAGCTCGAATACACGATACTTGACCTCCAACCATGGCGACTACCGACTTTCTCGGCAGGGCGATAGAAACCGTCAAGAAGGCCATTGAGGACGATACCGCTCAGAACTACGAGAAAGCCTACCAGGGTTACTATGACTCTCTCAACCTCTTCATGCTAGCTTTGAAATGTGCGAATACCCTTCCGTCATCGGCCGAAATCTCCGAAATACCATACAAAACAGGTCTACTAACAAACAATAACTCTAAACAGGGGAGAAGAACCCAAAGTCCAAAGAATTAATCCGCCAGAAAGCTACTGAGTACATGGAACGTGCCGAGAAACTCAAGACCCACCTCGCGGACGACTCCAACAAGAAAAAACCGAAAGCGATAGGCGCGAACGGGAAGGAATCTGGTTCTGGAGGGAAGGGGAAAGGCGACGAAGATGATCTCGATACCGATTCTAAGAAGCTTAGAGGCGCATTATCCGGTGCGATTTTGACTGAGAAGCCGAATATTCGATGGGAGGATGTTGCTGGTTTGGAACAGGCAAAAGAAGCCCTGAAAGAAGCCGTTATATTACCTATCAAATTCCCGCATTTGTTCACAGGCAAGAGGAAGCCGTGGAAAGGTATCTTACTGTACGGCCCTCCGGGTACCGGTAAGAGTTATCTGGCGAAAGCGGTGGCGACGGAGGCGAATAGCACTTTCTTCTCCGTGAGCAGTAGTGACTTGGTTAGCAAGTGGATGGGAGAGTCAGAAAGGTAAGGTCTAAATATGTGGCATGTTGAGACTACATGGAGCTACGGAGCTAACTTTTATCACTCTTTCAGACTCGTTAAACAATTATTTAGTATGGCAAGAGAGAATAAACCGTCAATTATTTTCATTGATGAGCTCGACGCCCTCTGCGGAAATCGTGGTGAAGGAGAATCAGAAGCTAGCAGGAGAATAAAAACGGAAATGTTGGTGCAGATGGATGGTGTGGGTCACGATTCGACCGGTGTACTAGTCCTCGGGGCCACAAATATCCCATGGCAATTGGATGGTGCTATCCGTAGACGGTAAGCTTACACTCCATTCTCTATGATAGTATCAATCTAACGGAACTATTTTAGTTTCCAACGAAGAATACACATCGCCCTACCCGATGCCGCGTCCCGCCAGCGAATGTTCCAAATCTCCGTCGGCTCAACTCCTTGCGAACTGGGACCCCAGGACTACCGACAACTTGGTAAAATCTCTGAAGGTTACTCTGGCTCCGATATCAGTATTGCAGTGAATGACGCCTTGATGCAGCCTATTCGCAAAATTCAGATGGCGACACACTACAAATGGATCGAGGTACAAGAAAAAATGAAGGACGAGAATGACGATAGGGAGGAGTGTGTGGTTAAGAGGAAGCTTACACCATGTAGTCCTGGCGACAAAGGAGCTATGGAAATGACATGGGTAGATGTGAAGAGCGAGGACCTGGCCGAGCCCCCATTGACGCTTAAGGACTTTGTGAAGGCTGTACAAAGTAGCAGACCGACTGTCAGTCAAGAAGATGTTAAGAAGAGTAATGATTGGACTGCGGAGTTTGGTAGTGAAGGCGCGTAGGTGTAGATATGGCCCCCTTTGGTTTACTTCTTATGCTGTATCGTGCGTTTTCTTACATTGTTTTGGATGTCCCCTTTTTTGTTCGCGTTTACTTTGGCGATAATCTTTTACAGGCCTATGTGCATCATGTTATATTACACCATGTTCATTCTTAAGGATATCCCTAGGTTGGTTATGGGGTTCGAGTTTAGTCTTTTGTTTTCTTCTTCTTCTTCTTGTTGATCGGAGAAGGTTGGCGGGTTACGTTCGGATGGTAAGGTGGGGTTGGTGGGGAAGAAAGCCGAGCACCCGCTCTATAGTAGTTACTTATACGTCAATCAAATTTCTAATTTCTTCAAGATCATGATATCATATGACTTTTATCACTGCGGGTTTCACTGCGGTCTCGGAGCGCGGCTTTGGACAATTCGATTACATATCTGAATTCCATTTTATACCGGTGACGGGCGCAGGGTCTCGTTCCGATGCTAGCCGGTTCAAGAAAGCGCGACTCCGAAACCCAGCGCCGGAATCTGGGGTAGCTCCGATGCATGCAGTCTGCCCCTCCAAAATATAAGCCTCGGGCGGGTAAGCGCAATGGATGTTACAATATAATATCGATGAGGGACTACCTACTTTCTATCTTCTTTTTCTTGAAAACATCCTTCTTTCTAGAATATATATAATCGGATACGACCATTTGTCTTGTTAGAGTTCAAAATTTATATCTTCGAGTTCGACACTGTTTATCAGACGACGTTACGTAGATCTGTTTGAACGCTAGGTTTTACCCCCCACAATGGTATCGACGGAATTACTATATAGAACGACTCGAGCGTTCGCCTCGAGATCTTTACTCAAGGTACTCCCGCAAATCCACATCCCAATATTAAATGAATAATTTGCTTACCGGTACTATCAATTAACTATAAAGCGAAATATCCTCTACTCCTCCCTCAGAACCTTCACCACAACACAGAGTTACAGGGGAATTGATAAGGGTAACATAATTCCCCGCTTCATGATCAATTGAGTACAACATCAGCGGGGTGGGATCGCTAATACCTCTTGTTAATCCAATTACAGTCTGCGCATCCGCCGAAGAAGCTATAAAAGATGTCAAATCCGGATCGACAATATTAGTAGGCGGTTTCGGACTTTGTGGAGTTCCGGATTCATTGATCAATGAACTCGAGAAGAGACCGGATATTAAGGATATAACGGCAGTTTCGAATAACGCGGGAACCGATGGGAAAGGATTGGGGAAGTTATTGGCTTCGGGGCAGATTAGAAAGATGATTGCTAGTTATGTTGGAGAGAATGTAACGTTCCCCCCCTTAAGTCCTTAGCGGGTTCTGCCGATGATTCCGGGTAGGGAGGGGAACCGTGAAGACTAATTGATGTTGTGATTTGGGTAGAAAATATTCGAGAGGAAATATCTTTCTGGAGAAATCGAGTTGGAGTTGACGCCTCAGGGAACATTGGCGGAAAGATGTCGAGCTGCTGGTGCTGGTACGTTACTATCCGGATACTTGCTAGATGATATATTTGATCCGCAGTCAGATACTAACGAAATTCAATATCACAGGTATCCCCGCATTCTTCACCCCAGCCGGCTACGGTACATGGCGTCAAACCGGCGAACTCCCCGTAAAGTACAACCCAGATGGCACCGTCGCCGTCTACTCACCCGTCAAAGAAACCAGAGTCTTCAACGGTAAAACATTTATCATGGAAGAAGCCATCAATGCCGAATATGCATTCGTAAAAGCATGGAGAGCCGATAAGCTCGGTAACGCACAGTTCCGTCTAGCAGCTCAGAACTTCAACGGAGCTATGGGTCGAGGCGCCAAAAATACTATCGTTGAAGCGGAAGAGATTGTTGATGTTGGAGTTATTGATCCCGCTATGGTGGATCTTCCGGGCGTTTATGTTAGCAAGGTGGTTCAGAGCACGGCTAGCAAGGAGATTGAAAAGTTCACATATGCGAAGACTGAGGAGGAGATCAAGGAGGCTGTTACGGGAGGTGGCGGTGGGTCGAAGAGGGAAAAGATTGTAAAGAGGGCAGCGAAGGAGTTCCAGAATGGGTATGTATTCTCTGAGACCAGTATCATTGAGCATATGATTGACGAGTGCCAATAGTATGTTCGCAAACTTGGGTATCGGAATGCCGATGTTGGCTCCAACTTTTGTGGATCCCAATACTTCGGTCACACTACAATCTGAAAACGGTATCTTGGGTTTGGGACCATATCCTCAACAGGGGAAGGCAGATCCAGATCTTAGTAAGTAATTTAGATCCGAAACCACAATATGCTTAAAACTAACTCGATATCTAGTCAATGCCGGAAAAGAAACGGTTACCCTTAACGCTGGAGCATCCGTCTTCGGTACGTTAAAAAAACAACAACTTGGTTCAAATAATGATTACATTGGATACTAATCTTATCATCTAGGATCGGACGAATCTTTCGGCATGATCCGATCTGGCAAGATCAACCTCACTATGCTCGGTGCCATGCAAGTAAATGAGTATGGTGATCTTGCAAACTGGGCTTTGCCTGGTAAGATCAAGGGAATGGGAGGTGCTATGGACCTCGTCGCCAATCCGGAGAAGACAAGGGTCATTGTTCTCACAGAGCATACAGATAAGAGGGGCGGCGCAAAGATCGTCAAGAGTAAGTGGTGGTTCTCTCATACATGAAATTCACTGAATTTTACTAACCAATTGGATTTTTTTAGACTGCACATTCCCTCTTACTGGAAAGGGCTGTGTTAGCAGAATTATCACTGAATTGGTATTATCTAACCCTTTTTCTACAAATTAATTGAATAGTTTGGCTAACTGGATAATGTTACAGGCCGTCTTCGATGTTGATTTCAGGGAAGGGCTAACTCTCATCGAAATTGCCGAAGGCACATCCGTCGAACACCTAAGGACAGTAACCGAACCGGAGTTCAAGGTTTCGGATAACCTCAAGACTTTCTAAGCCATTTCCCCATATATTTTCCCTTAAAAATAATTATATCATCCCACCATATTGCATCTTACCAAAACTGAAGCTAGGCTTATGAATATACTTTTTTCTTTTTCTTTTCATGATGCATGTTTCATGTATGTTAAATTATGTCAGAAGATATCCATAGACAAAAATATCAACCACGTCGCACGGATTAGCGTTTTCCCCGTATACCACCGATTTATGCGTTGACCATGTGGTAGAAAATCTGCAGATCGTTTGGAGAACAAAAAAACAAAAAACAAAAAACAAAAAAAAAATCGGCAATATAAATTTTGATCTTCGAGTTCCTCCCACAACGAATCCTCTTCCTCTAACAACCTACCTCCAAACTCTCTTAGAGAAAGAAGGAAGAAGAAAAATATTAAAAAAACAAAACAAAATGGCATTAAAACGACCACCGGAGGTCGACCTAGTTGCCCTCCCGACGGCCCCTTCACCTTCGTTACCTACTGCCGCAGCTACAAACGACGATGAAATCGTTGAACTCTCGTTACCCAAGAAACCGCGGATGCAATTCAATCGCGAAGAATTCAAGATTAACCCGGACGGTGTTCTAGCAGGAGCCAATGATCGTACGTGTTTATTCTATTACCATTCATTCTGGACAATACTTGGAATACTCGATATCATTTGTCACTTTTTTTCTTCTCTCTTCTTGCTTTCTTTATTTCTGTTTTCGCATTTTATTATCAATTGACCCGAGTACTGATTACCCTCCAAGTAAGGAACAGGCTAGCTTCATTCTTACCGTCGCTCAAAGCCGCCGATGAACAACTCGAAAGAGAAAAACTCGCTGGAAGGATAGCGGATCGCAGAATTGAGATCGATAGCGATAGCGATAGTAGCGACAGCAGTTCTTCCGAAGAAGAATCGGATAGTGAAGATAACGACGACGACGACAATATGTCGGATGACGACGTATCCGCACCGACTTCATTACCACCGAATACTATGGCGGAGGTTTTGATCACAAACCTATTGAGTCCGCAAAAGATATCCGCCGAAGATGGGGATGGTGCGAATGTATCATCATCGTCATTATCACCTAAAAAGTTGAAAAAGCGGAATAAGAATAAACAACCTTATATTGAGATGGTAAGTTTTTCTACTTTTTTTTTTTTTTTTGAAAGTTTTTTTTGTTCCACGACACCACTGCTACCACCTTTATAACATGATGACATTTACCGCTTAAACCCAGCTCACTCTGAGCTACCCCTTCCCCATCATATATAGAGGGAACGGGGGGATGAAGCGAACCGCGAAGAATTCGAATCTGATTGTTCATAAAACCCTATTTTATGAAAAAAAAACACACGCTTCGTACTTCCAAAAGAATATCGATATTGGGATACAATTGCTAACACGAACTGTGTTTTGAAAAGAATCTTGGTTTAGGAGTCCTCGAAGAACTAAAACCTTCATCTGGTAACGATGATAAAGAAACTAATGAACGAAGGGAGTTGATTGACCGTATCTATGAATTACGGAGGCTTCAGGAAGCAAGAGAAGAAAATAGCGATGGTGATCGGATGGATGAGATGGTTATTACTGAGGACGCAAAGAAGAAGGTTATCATTGAAGAGTTAGAGTGAAGCTCTCTCTGCATAGATATGAAGACGACAATATTGAACGATGTGTAAGATATATATGTTTTTTTATTATCCAGATCATGGGTGGTGTTCGGGCGGTATTGGTTTTTCCGTTGGTGCTGGGGTTTAGGGCATCATTATACTGTTAGATAGGCGCATGGATTTGGAAGCCATAGTTTAATTTTAACTCCTATATATACGACGAGGTTCCTTACGAACTTGATCGGCTTTAATGGATTTGAGGTATCTAGCCTTTTGATTGTAATTCAGATTTAAGCTATGGGGTAACAGATGGAGGGGATTTTCAACATAGGCTAGGTGATTGAGAACAACTCGAAAGCTTTGTTGTATTTTGTTTTCGCTCTGCTCTTGAAATTGGGGATGGGATGTGAATGATGGTAGAAGCGGAATGTAAGGGTGCACGGGTGACAATCAAAGGTACCAAGCGGAATACAAAGAGGGGTGAGGAGCCGTTGAAATGTATCGCAACATAACCTTCGCTTTAAGTTTACTCAAAAATACGATAGTAGAATCAATGAAAACATTCAAGCAATCAATAGCAAGACAAAAGAATATCAAGTGCACATGCACTCAATATATGTGAGTATAAAAACAACAAAGCAACGAAACAGGTAGTAGAAGCCTCGTTAATCTATTCGCTGTAAGTGATCTGTTTAGGTCACTAGAAAGCCTTCGATCACGATTGTTTCGAGTAGTATTGCTCGTAACTCGGCATTTCGTACTTAAACATAACGCGGAGCAGTTTAAGCAATTCGTCAGCATCGCCCAAAAACTTCCAACCTGGATGGCCCATCTTAGTCGATTGGAAATAGACAAAGATGTCACTGCGAGGGTTAGGTTTTGAAGAGACTTGCTTCGTGTAGGCTTCACTGGCCTTGTTGAAACTCTTCTCAAAGAACCCGAGTTGTCTGTTGAAAGACTTCGGGATACGAAATTTGAGCACGCCCGGCTCTTTGATGTCATCCGATTCTTGGATGATCATTTCCTTGAGAACAGCATGATAAGATCGGGCCATACCAGTGAAGTTTAGACGCAAGTTTTCGATATCAGGGACGATTGGATATCGAGGGCGGTCTGTCAGATTTTCTGGAAAGAACGCGTGGACCTGGATACCAGAGGTGGTATTCTCGGCCATTGTTTGGACCTTGGAGATAGCAACGTCGACAAACAAGTTTTTCTCCATATGTGTCAACATACTTTCAGGACCAGACTCATTGAAATGGAACTTGCACTTCTTTCCGGCAGTGTGCCTGAGGAAAGAGGAAAAGTAACCAAAGTTCTCCTTGCACCCCTTGCCCGGGCAATTGAATGGGTTGGAGCCAACTTCTTTCCCCTCAAAAATACGTTTGAGGATGCCCTTTCTATCTTTAAAGAGAAGGTATTCAGCCGCCTGGTGCACAGCAAAGCATTGAAGTACGTCGGAATTGTTGATCGATGATTCACAAACCCCGGACTCGAGATGAGAGAACATATCTCCGACGTTTTTAAATTCGCGACAGCATCGACCGATACACTGGAATAGCCCGGCGGCCTTAATATGCTCCTTCTCGTGCTATAACTCGGTCAGAAACGAAATCAGTACAGCCTTTTTGTGGGAAATTGCTTCGATGACAACCCGAGTGATACTTACCTTCTTTCGCTCTTCTTCATTCTCTTGGTGTTCATGGCACCTACTGCAGGCATGGATCGTCCTCAAATGTTCATCCCAATATCGTTTTTCATACCAGCAGTTGCAACCTCTGCACTTATATCGATGGTTGGTTTGTGCCCAGTGTTCCTCTTGCGCATCGACTTTCGGTCCATTGAAAGAGCAGACACCGCAAGGCCAATGCGCAAACCCATGTTGCAAATGCGCCTCGCGGTCCTCTGAGGTCTTGAAGGTTACCTGACATCTAGTACACCAAAGATGTGGACAAGTTTTCTTGAAGTGGGCGCTAGCCTCTTCGACAGAAGAAAAGTGCAACTTGCAATTATAGCAACGGTCCCAGCTAGATTATTTGGATTTCATCATTAGATATGAATACATGGGACCTCGGGAAGACGGAGAAGGAGAGAAAGAAGGAACCTGTCTTCGAATGAGAGACTTACTGTTCACCATTAAATTGGCAGTAATATTCGTAAAGATTTGCATAATTCTGCACGTTTTCATTGCCTTCGGTGACTTCAAGGATATTGGAACCATCTTTTGAGCTCCCAGAAGCGGTAACATCTTGAATAGAGTGGGGACTCATATTTAAGAGAATGTGAAGGACAAGAATATGAAATGGTAAAGTTTCGTTTGATCTTTTGATGTTTGGGTAAAGGAGAAGAGACAAGGTTGAAAATATTTCTAGGTGGAGGAGGAGGTGGCGGTGATGGCTCCCTTGGGTATGTTTGGTGAAGGGATTTAGAGATAAGATGAATGGATAAAAAAGTATGCTGTTGGTATCTAAGGGATTGTTTATATTGAGGTGGTTGTCACGATCAGGAGCACTGCACACTGGGATTCAGTAGAAACGCCCAACCCCACTAGGTTACTTAGTTATAAATGTGACCGGTGGCCGATATATACTTAATAAAACGCCTGCACCAAGGGCCGCTACTTGAGGCTGTATGTTTCTAAACCAGGCTTGTCGTTGACACCTTTAAAATAGATTCCTACACTAAATAAATCAAATTTTGGTATCGATACATCGAAACATATCGTTTTCAAAGTTTACGATTTCCACAGAAAAGGGATTAAGCTTCTAAGAAATAAAAATTCATGTAAACCAATAGCCGGCCTAGGAAGTTGTACGAATGACATGAAAATAGATACAACTAGCAAATCATTGATATATTCTTTAATTAATACATAATATTAATTATAAGGTCTAGGTACTAGGTTGTAATCTTTTTAAAATTACTAGCTGCTACTAAGATAGAATGGGAAGCACACGAATTTAAAAACCTGCATGGGATTGTTATCTATAGCAAAGTGTTTTACGTATACATGATTACGGAACGATATATATATCCGACGCCGAACCTAACTGAGTACCTAACGGAAGGAAAAAGTTCTTGAACATCGTAGCGAGATATGTCTATCATCGCAGGGAAGGAATGCCAGGAGGGGAGTAGGAGAATATTGGGGATGCAAGTCGGTAATGGGTTTCATCACAATGTATCCATATAACAACGTGCGTATTGCATATAGAAAAATGTTGGAAAGAGAAGACACGGTTCCGGAAGGGTGAGAAAGAAACATACACCGGAGTACATTCATGATATCTGATCGGGAAGAAATAGGTAGGAACAAAGAAAATTTATTACAAGAATTCAATAGGGAGCCTTTGCTTTCTATCGGGAATCAGGCTACGACGAAAACCACTTTTGCGCAACAGGATGTCTTGAAACTGGGATCCCAGCTAGGATAGCTTGGGGATTAATCCCTGGCGTCTGCAAGAGTATCTTCATGGATGCAACAACTCTATCAGCTGTCTGACCACTCAAAGTGTCTGCGTCAAGAGCCTGGACAACCAGGTCGAATACCTTTCCGGCCTGATTGACGACAGCTGGATTTTTCCTACGCGTAGACGGTGTTTCATTAGTATGTATCAGGCTATTTTGGTCTCCTGGTATTCCAACTTACTGGTCAACTAATTCGGCTAAGAATGCATAGGCATATGGTGCTGCTTCTTCATCATTGATAACAGGAAGGGTATCAATCCATGCTGTCGCAACAGCCTGAACGTCTCCGACTTTCGAGGAGTTTGAGTGTAGAATCTTCGCTATCGAGGCACAAGCGTTCTCGGTGGCATACACATGATCCTCGACGCGGGCCTTGGGAAGTTGAGTTACCTGGAAAAGAGCGGGAAGGGCGGCAGCGACAAACTCAGCATAGACAGGGCCTCCTGACTTGGCGGCAATACCAATACCATAGGCAGCAGCTTGTCTGATAGCTGGGTTGTCGTCCTGGAGGGAGTCCATGAGCGGCTTCAAGAAATACTCGCGGTACTTCCAACTCTCCGGGCCACAGAATTCAATGCAGTCGTCAACTATGCATAAGGCCCACTGACGGTCACTAGCGTCTGGGCTAGCAATGAACCTCTGGTAAAGAGGAAGGAGGGGCTCGAAGCAAGGGAGGAAACGAACTGTGACACTCTTGAAGACGTTATGGAACGCCTTGTTCATATCGGCCAATAGTGTTTGATCGTCCTCCAAAGCATACAAAGTATCCTCGGAAAGCTCCTCGCCTTCTTCAAGTCCCTGTCTTTCCTCCTCACGTTGCTGAACACGCTTTAGATAATCTTCCAAAGTTGTTTTGCAAGCGTTCGCAAAGGCAACGAGATGCTGGTCCAACAGGCAATTTGGTCCAACCACCTCGACACACTCATAGAAACAGCTGTATACCTCAGCGAGGGTGTCAACCGCGGGTTCCGTATTCATCACTTCTAATATTTTATTGACAGTCGGGCCCCAGATGGTTACCATCTTTTGCGAGGTTTGGCCGGAAGCCTTCTTGACAGCGTTGAGGAGTTGTGGGATGCATCGAGCAGATGCCGTCCGGACGGGGTCGTGGAAGAAGAATGACAAACCCGGCAAGGCAATTTGCTCTAGAACGCGGGCGACATATGGCTCAAATGCGGCCTCCAACTGCTGGGCATATACGACAAGTAATTCGATCGCCATATGCTTGTCATCAAGCACTGAAGTCTTAATTCCGATATATTTTCCACGGACGGGGACCAGCTCCCAGCCTTCTTCTTGCTCCATCTGTTGAACCTCTTCCTCGTCTATGGGGGACAAAATTGGTTAGCAGCAGCGAAAAGGTTTGGATTCGAAAGGGAACTCACCATCCATCAACTGAACGTCTGCTTTAGCACTAGCTAACTCGAGCAAAGGAGGCATGACAGCGGGGAGGTAAGGCAAGAAATCTGTTCCCATGACACGGCACATGCGACCCCAACAATGCAAAAGGTATTGACCTTGCGGATCATCCGGTTCGGTAACGCTCTCTGAGAGTAGAAGTTAGCTATGTGGCATTAATGAGAACTACAGAGGTTTATTCGTACGCTGGATTTTCCCGAGGATCTGCACGAGAGCAACGGCGTCTTTTCCAACCTTTTCTTTTCCGACTGCAAGTGCTATTCGCAGAGTAAAGTGTCAGAGTTCTATCAAAATCAAGGGTAATAGGGATAGTAAAAAGAGCATACTAATCAAAGTAGCACATTCCATAGCTTTAGCACGAAGAAGTCTGGTGTCCTTAGTTTGCTCTTGGCTCAGGGCGCTGAACAATAGGGGCATTAGGTGATCATAGTATCTTGCAAATGCTTGCTCAGCTGAGTCTGCAATGGTCGCGATCGTGGATAATGCCTGCTCTTGAACATAGCGTTTTGGATTCCTAAGCAATTGCAACAATGCTGTGAGGAGGCGATCTAGATATGGCTCCAATATTTCCTTCTCTGCTTCTTCACAGAAGTTAACGAGCGCTGCGGCAGCATGGGATTGGACACTGTGAATGTAGCTGTTAGGTATATTCTGGGTAGCTAGGTAAGTATGTGGAACTGATTCATACCGTGGTTCAGCAGACCCCAAGACCGGGATAATATTGTCCATGACAACAGCATGGTATTTCTCCTGCATAATCCCTGCGAAATCGGTACTCATTTGACCAATTGCATTGCAACCAGCCCATTTTACTCTGGGGTGCTCATCTTTCAAAGAAGGTACGACAAGCTCCAAAACCTTATCCAATTCTGACAACATCAAATCTCGACATCCTTCTGATATAGCAGAAATGGCCATCAAGGAGGCGTGTCGGTCTCTCCAGGATGCCGAATTCATCATTCGAGGTAACCAGTTGAAAGTGGGTGGCAGGACAGTTTTACCGCCGAGCTTATTCGCTAATCGGTCCATGCACTGCTCACCAACAACGTGATTCATATCACTCTCGTCGATATCAAGCTATGATATTTATTAGTTCAAATTGGCCTACATTAACCCTGGGAACCAAAGTTACTCACATCATCAGAATCGTTCCACTCCGCAGCATCGTCATCGTCCATTCCAATATCGGTCATAAGGCTTAAGCATTGTGTTACCATATCAGCAGTGTAGTTGGGGTCCTTCCTGCACATCCCTGGGGCGTTATCCGCAAATGTAGCTAGTAACTCCAAAGCATTTTGTCTTGTCTGGTCGCCTAGGTCTTTGTTCTGAACACAACTAACAGAGAACTTCACAAGCCCATTAAAAACGGCTTTGAACATCTTAGGTGCGATCTCGGCTAGCTCTATTAGGGCCATGAAGGCCCTTGACAAGTTGTCGCTGTGATCTGGATGTTGAAGTGGGACAAGGATGTTGAGCATGTCAGTGAGGAGCGCGGAGTATTGAAGTTGCTGGTTCTTTTTGATCGAGTGGAAGAAAGAGCTGAAAGCTTCCATAGCTGTGATACGAACAGATACCGCATCGTCACGGAAACCATCTTGGAAAACTGGCGAGACGGCTTGATACTGGTTTCCACCGATGACGGTTGGGGTTGTCGCAAAGATGCGGAAGGCTCCCTCTCTGAGCGACGGGTCGGCTGACTTGCTAGCTTGGAATAGAGTGCCCAGAAGTTCAGGCCAGGCTCGTTCTATCAAATTGACATGGATCCGTTAGTAACAGCCAGATTCCTAGGTATTGGAGGCTTATTCCCCACATACCATCATCATATATCTGTCGTGCGATATCAGCAATCGCATCGCCAATTTTGTTTCGGACTTGATGGTCTGTTTCGTCGGCAAAGCACTGGATAAGAATATTCTGAACCCGTTGCTGGGTGTCTCTATCTATGGAGATAAATAGGTCTCTCGGCTCTGGCTTCTTGACAGTCTTCGATGCCATACGTCTAAACAGCACAGCAGCAAATGACCGAGACTACAATGTAAAATTAGCATGGCGTATAAGGGAGAATACGCAGCGGTAAGCGGCATAGCGAAGGTAAAGGTTTGGCTGAAGATCAATATCGCCTTGTGTTCAAGCGTAAGTACCAGCCTCTTCAAGGAACGACTGCAAGTTCCCCAAGAAGAGACAGGATTGACGCTGCCTCAAAGCGGAATTGGACCACCAAGCCTGTGAAAACCTAGGGAGGGAGGGCTACAAAGCAGGCCCTCCCGAGACAGATCGAAGGGGTATAACAGCCGAGTGGGCAGGCTGTGTAACCAGAAAGTGGCTCAAAGGTGACTTACACTAGGATTGCTGTTGGTCCGAACGGTACTTAAGCTGGCTAGTCCGTACATCAGCATCTCTGGACGTTGGCCGACCCATTCAGTCGCAAGAACCTCCTCAGCTCGAGATCGAGCTGCATTGTCCGAGCTAGTGAGGGCCCCGAGCAACTGCTCTAGTTCTGGAAGAATCGAAGCATCCGACATATTGAATGAGTTGTCGGACTCGTTTCGGTAGGGAACGAGTGTTTACTGAATGATGGTGGGGGGAAGGATGGCGACGAAGAATGTGGCTGGACTCCGATAAGAAATTGAAAGGAGGGGTGGAGTCGATTGAATGGATCTTTTGTTCGTTCGCGATAAAAAAAAAATTGTTTGTTGTTACGCGAGGGGCACCTTTTGCAGATGGGAATTTTTGACTTGTCAGCTCGAATGGACGGACACGCACAGCCTGCAGCTGCAGCAGGCCGGAGGGTTGGATGGCCCAGTTGGAATTACCTCGCTCTCCTAATATAGAGTGAGACCGCGATGTTGGTAAGCTTAGTGTTCTTTGAGGATAAGGATATCTACCGGGGAGTAAAGCAATGATTGTGAAAGAAGAGGACAGGGAGAGAGAAATGTTGGCTTTGGTGGGGGAGATGTGTGTGTTTTGGGAGGAGTGTTCTTGATGGATCGAGCTAAAATTCGAAGCTTTGCACCAAACCCAGCTAACTGCTTGCTAGCTCTGCATGCACATGAACAATAACAATAACAAAAGCGAAGAAAAATAAAATGAAAATAGAATGAAGTGAAAATGATGAAATAAGAATAAAATCAATCAGAGTGTTTGAGTTCTAGTTAGCAGGGTGTTCGGATTTGAGCCCTTCTATGTAAACTACCTCATTCCTATTCGACCGGGGAGTGGCGAACAGGTAGTTCAGATGAAACCCTCGATCTCAACTTAAGCTTACCTGTTGGAAAAGGAAAAAAAAAGGTAAAAAGAAAAATGTATTAAATAACACCCGGCTTGGGAACTAGGAGGATTAGCTAAAACAATGGAGGGGTGGGAGGGAGGAGCTGGAGGAAGAGGAGGAGGAGCTGGTATAGTTGAAGGTAGGAAGGTGTGTGTTCGATATCAAATTGCAAAAAAGGAATTAATCCCACAGTCCAGTACTGTGCTGTATCATAACAATCGAGCTGAATTAATTAACAGAGAGGGGCATTGCATTGGCGAACGAAACAAAAGGGACAGCTGAAATTTGCCTAACATCAAAAATTTCGACGGGAATTTTACCGTCACTTGAACATTGTATGATAACTGGTGTACTTTGCTTTACGTCTATTTGCGGAGTCGAGTCCACTCGTGAAGCTGTCCTGCAGGTCGGCATGGCCGGGGGTATAGTACTATACTTCCAATCCAGATCATATTCGTTGGCTTCGCTGCGACCCATCCTCACCCCACTAAAACACCGTTCGATTCTGGGTCTGTAGCTATAGCAGGTAAGCCACTACATTGGTCGGATTTTAAAACCGTGGCTCGACGGGTTTCCGATAGCATTTATGCATGGTACTCTTTTTTTTGTGTCTAATAGTAGTCACAAGATCGATTACTTCACGTCGGGATAGTATATATACGAAATATGATCATGGAAATTAACAGAAATATAAATTCAAGTCCTTTGACCACAACTCTAGATGACGACTCTTACGTGAAGCTTTTCTTTTTTTTATTATAATATTAATATCAAAAGGTTCTGGCAACTGATATATGATATGCAATTAATGCTGCCAGGAACTGTGCCGCCCACTTGCCTGAAGTCGCCGACACATATGATATCCCGTTTCTACACCAAACCTTGTGGAATCGATGCTGGCAGCGGGGTATTGGTACTTACATGATGTAGCCTGATCAGCTAGAATAGAACCCATCCTGGCCTGGAGAGATCCAATCGAAACGCTCTGAAGTGGACCCGGCGCCAAACTTGGAAAGTGTGGCCACACCAAATCGATCCCGGGCTAAAAACGACCACCACGAGTAGAACATACATTCGGTAATGATGAGATGATAATCATGAAAGAGTCTATATAAAATAATATTTCGAAGAGAGATGTCAAAATACATTTCTTGGTGATATTACATCCGCTAATTCTTTAACAGCCAACCAAAAAGAAACCCTGTTGGGAACGACAAAGGAGAGAGTGTGTGAAAGAGTGGAAGTGGGGTCATTATAAAAATCACAAATAATTTCATAGTATGTACTAGAGAAACAAAGAAAAAGGTCGCAAGCCTGCGTAGGCGGCTTCATCGCTAGCTTGCTGGGACAATCTCTGCAATGCCGCTTATAAGATTCTAGGGGCCGAAACCTAGGTTTATCGGATATCATTGGAACAAAAAAAAAGGGTAATATAATTGTATCATCTCGCAAGGACGGTTAGTCAGCGGCTACCTGACCTGCTAAAAACGAAGACGATGATAATTGCAACAGCGAGAGTAGCAACAGCTCCTGGAAGCAGCAGATCGTTAGGTACTCCGGGAATATGTTGTTTTTCACTAAGAAGTTCGGCTTGTCTCTGAAGTTTCAAAACCTCCTCGGCGGCATCTAGCTTCTCAGTATCAACTGGAGCTGGTGGTGGAGGTGGGGGTGGGGGTAGAGGAATTTCGATATTTGGAGGGTGGTCTGCATCGTGCACATAGATGTCGACCTTGTCTTTGCCTTGTCGGCGGGCTAGGCTAATAGCATGGCTGAGATCATGATCTGTGGTAATTGAAACAGGGTCCATCTCATCATCAAGGTAGGATATCGCGAATCCCTGTTTATCAAGCTGGCCATCTTCTGTTACAGTGGTTGGGCCACCAACTTGAGAAACTTCGCCGCCTAGTTTCTGACTGACAGTGGCTACTAAACCAGCGAATCCAGCTGAAGGAATTACAGCGAATCTGTGAACCCGACCAGACGGTGCCTTGAATTTAAATGTAAATGGATTTTCTGAGAGTGATGGCATTTGCGAGGGTGTGAGCATGACCTGCGAATGTGGTGGAGAATCGTCCCCGGCGTGGGATGCAGAATCGTTAGGTAGAACGGAGTGCGAATGCGAGGTTCCTGGTCGCTCATATTGTGGATGTCTCAGCATGCTTGGCGATTCAGACCCCATCATCGACATGTGGTGGGAGACACTATCAGACACCACGGATTCAGAGTCGTTATCCATTGACAGCCAAAATTTGTTCCAGGCCGGACCTTCGTTATCCGGTGTCTGCATGGTGTTGATTTGCTCCAATGTCGCATAGGTGAGTTTTAGGACATCCACCATACCGACGATCTCGCCAGCCTCGTTCATGACAGGAAGATTCAAGTAGTGGCCATCTAAGTACGCAATTAGCTTTTTTGAAATAAACATACACATATATGAAGGGTTGTCAAGTCGGGGCCATACCGTGCATTTTTCGGAGAGCGGCTTGGATGCTCAAATCCATAGAGGCGAAATCTGGATGGGGAGTCATGACACGAACGACACTGCAAGTTGCGGGGTCAAGTCCCGGAGCAATGACACGGAGCACAACGTCCTTGCTGGTGAAAATACCAGTAATATTTCCTTGATCTTGGACAAGGACAGCTGTGGTGTGATTTTCTTTCATTAGAGCAGCTGCTTCTCTGACGCTTGTTCTAACATTTACGGTGGTAGGTGGGACGCCACTGAGAACGGTCTCGAGAGTTGGACCCGCCATTTTTGACCGCAAAGCCTCAACGTATTGAATTATTTGGGTAGGTTGAGCTCCACCAAGCTCCTGGACGCCCTCCAATGCATCGTAAAGTTTACGAGACATCGAATAGGACCTCTCAAGCTTTTCCATTGCCTCGTAGAAGCATTTTGTGATATCCAAAACACCACTGATATCCTGATTTTCGTCCATGACGGGTAAGTGCCTGAATCCTTTCCTAACCATAAGGTCCAAGGCATCGGTAGCTGAAGTGTCCGTTCGAGCGCATAGGGGGTTTTTGGTCATAATATCAGCAACGGCGACATCTCGGGCGTCAATTGCGCCGCCAACGACCCTGAAAGCAAGATCTTTAGCGGTGAAGATACCGGCAATTCTATCGTCGTCGTCGGTAACGAGAACACAGTCTTCGCGCTTAGCAGCCATCATCTGAGCAGCTTCGGCGACTGTGACATGAGGTTTGATTTGCAATGCCTGGCCCGGTTTGAGAGCCATGACAGTGCCAGGTGTTGCTTTGCGACTTCCCCGGGACCTAGCGCTAGACTGCTGCTTCTTCTTCCCCAAATCCTGCTCCATTTTTCGTCGAATTGCCTTATACAGAGTGATTCCGGTTAGCTGCCGTCGATTGTCTCAAAAGCTTGGATATAGCGATTGGATGCATGCATACCTCATCTCGTTTGATCTGTCGTCGTCTGCTATCGGTAACGCTAGAGCCGGCATCATGGTGCCCCTGGGCGGATGTAGTCCGGTGGGAACCTCGACGGCCGGTGGTAGACATATTTGCAGCTTCGGTATTTGCAAATTTGGTGGGTTTTGAAGGTGATGAAGTTGGTGATACGAAGGAGATAGGGAGAAAGGAGGGATCCGAAGAAAATATGCAAGAAAGTTTTGGCGGGGCGGCTTAAGTTTGGCTGTGCTGTTGTTGCTTCTTTGGAGCTCCCAATCTTAAACCACTCAAACCAAAATCAAGGCTGACGATTCGCCAGCTGTTTAGTATTTCTTATTTCTTATTTTGCTTAGTGTCGGAACTAATATTAAAGGAATAGCCTTATTGAGGAATCGATGGTTCTATTAGACTAGTTAGACGAGTGCCTGCAGGAAGGGCTCGTGATAATGATTCCGATATCGTGAAACTGGCATGATATGATAGTTCAAATATTCCATTCACGGATTCACAGCCGCCAATATGTCCCTTTGTCCGCTCGGGAAGCTTAAGAATCTTAGGAACTATTCGGAAGGTATCCTTTAAGTTTTTTTTTTGTTCAAAAAAAAAAATCCGATGAGGTCATGTCAGATCAGATTTTTTTATTAGACTGTATGCAAAGGTGGCGCGGACAAAATCATTGGGAATTGTCGATGCCATCGCGAAGTCTATACCCAGAGCTCATCCGCATGATATCAACATGCAGGCCATCCATCCATCTCTTCTGGCTGGCCAAATGGTTGGCTTACCGGCACGCTGTGGCCATGCAGATGATCGAGTAACGTGGTCACTGAAAGCATATCGAACCTTTACCCCGCCCGGCGCCGGCTCTACGCTATACACCTGACAGCTTAGGACCGAGCCGGCTCCGTACATTGCAGCGTCGGCAACGACACCTCAACACACTTTCTGGCGTTTGTCGCGCTTATGTAGCCGCCAAATGTGTTGTGGTGTTGAGCCCTATGTTCCTGTTCCCGTTTAGGTAATATAGGCGAGAGTGTTGCCCACAAAAAAATAATTCGCTGGCTGGACAGGCTGTCTCCCAAATCTTCAAGATACCACCAGCAAGCTCGACAAGCATCACCGATATCGTCGCCGACACTCACGAATTATCTCCCTTTACCCCGATTTCGACACTCGATAATCATCCAGGTACAGCCAATTCCGCATTCCGACAATTCTCATCTTCCGACAACGTTTGCAACAGAAGGGTTAACAGAAGGCATTTACAGATTAGTCAAAATGGTCAAGAAGCGCGCAGCCAAGTATGTCGAAACTTAGACGGACGAAGGATCTCAACATCATCTGAAAAAGGGACGATTTCTGACTGGTGGTTTTATTTTATAGCGGTCGCAACAAGAACGGACGTGGTCACGTCAACCCAATCCGTTGCTCCAACTGCTCAAGATGTACTCCTAAGGACAAGGCCATCAAGAGATTCACCATCCGAAACATGGTTGAATCTGCCGCCATCCGTATGTCGAATCTCTTATCCGTTTAATTGGCATATATATAAATAGGGTCCTGGAGCTTGCTGAAGCTATTAAGGATTCTCTTGCAAATAAAGACATGCTAATGAGACGTCAATTCGGTCTGGAATAGGTGATATCATGGAGGCCTCCGTCTTCTCCGACCCATCGTCTGGATACGCCTACGGCAGCAACAACAACCCCGCCGGATACAACATCCCAAAGATGTACCTCAAGCTCCAATACTGTGTCAGCTGCGCTATCCACGGAAAGATCGTTCGGTATGGTGGAATTCCTGCACAACGGGGTCTATAGATGTGAGGAAAGCTAGCTAACTGGTTATTTTGCTGGATAGTGTTCGATCGAGAGAAGGACGTCGCAACCGTGCTCCACCACCAAGAGTACGATACAACAAGGACGGCAAGAAGCTGACACCTACTCAGGGCGCCGCTAAGACTGCCTAAGCGTGTTCTTCCGTTCGATATTTGTTTTATAATAGTCTCCAGAATCCTGAATATACAATATGGATCACCACCACCAAAGTTCCTTTGAATCCGTATCAAAGGATACTACCCTTTTTAACTCGCCTCCTCATTCAAACAACTATTCCTACCGCTAGTTTTTCATAAGAATATTCTTATTCTTTTTGTGTATATGGGGCATTCTGTTTTTACGCCAGGGTTTCCTTTTCATTGCGTTATAATTACGATACTTTTTTTTTCTCCGAAGACATTCCTGACTAGGGAGTTTTCATTCATCCATGTCATTATAGTCCGAAGAATTAGACATTCGATGAAACCACCAGCCTTCAGATCGTGTTATCAAAGTGAATGACAACAGCAGAGGGCGGACAAGGACGGGGTATACCACTTTGAACCGTGAGAGCTACGAATGCCTAACCCCAGACTAAATACCAAGGTATTAATACCTCAGTCGAACATCTAAAGATATATTGACCTAGATAATCACTAGTCAGGAGCCCTTTATAAGGAAAACTAGGCATTCTGGGTTGAGATTTTCTTTAATTGGTTCAGCGCCTTTCCTAGAGCTAGACTCAAAGGTCTACCCAAGTAAGGTAGCTATTAAACAGATGCCCTACAACGGTTTGACGGTAGGGGCAATTCGTGGGCCATGCCACGCTGACATATCAACATGGTATTGAGGCTGAGAGTTTGTGGTATTTTGGTGTGGCGGGTACATACAGTGGCTGAAACAACACCAAAATGGCCCTTTGGTCTAAATGGGCCTTTCGCTTGGGTCAAAATGGGGCGCATATACGCCCTGGCAATCCGTCTCAGAGCCCTCCAATATTACGTCGCATCTCCCTAATACTCTAATACACCTCCCGTAATTTTTATCTAAATACTTTCTACTGAAGTACCTACTTATATAATACCCTCTTACTTTCTTATCTCACTCCCTTCACACATCGTCATCATCACCATCATCATTACCACCCTGTCCTCCTTCTCCTTCTCCTTCTCCTCTCAGCTTCGTCTTTTCGTGTATAAAATTATTATCACCTCAGAATCATCTTCGACCTTGCTCCCTTTCATCCTCATCTAATCTTCAACTCTGTTCAATCAGGAAACTGATACCTCTTCATTAACCAAGAGCTCACTCTAGATCAAACGTTTCTTAGTTTTCAGAAGCTAAGAAACAATTCACAATGGCTTCCAAAAGACCTCTTTCACCCCAATCGTCGGTCCATTACTATCCAAAATAAACGTATTTTCGTTGTGGCTAACATTCTGTTATGACAGGTGGTCTACTTGTGCTCGTTGTAAACTTGAATTTTACGCTCTCGACAAAGCGCAAGAACACTTCAGCACTATTTGTTACGACTTGTGGTGCGACTTATGCCAGGGATCGTTTGAAGATCCGGAGAAGACTCGACAGCATATGTCCGCTCATCGTGATCTCTCGTCTCGATGCCCACGATGTGCATTTGATGCCGGAAGAGGAGGCGACATCATAAGACATTGGATAGAAACCGGATGTCACCGCGAATGCCCGGTCTGCAAGGTTTGGTATTACCAGGAGAGTTATGACGTTCACCTTGAATTGAATCCCTACTGCCGTCGCGTAACCTTTACTTCAGAATCCACCCAAACCACACAACCATCGGATCAGTCCGAACAGCAGGCGCTCGTACTTTTCGAGCCCCAAGTATACCAAGGAACGAAAGTCGAAAAGAACGATGGTATGGGCACAAAATCGGCAAGTGTAGACCTCATTGTCCAATTTCCTTGCCCGGCTCCTAATATTTTCGAATAAATAGTCCCATCCTAGCCTTGCGGCATCTGATCCCTATTGGCACAGAATGCGTCTCCCAGCTATTAATACTCACCCCGGCCCAGCAGCTTTGGGCCCAAGCAACCAAAAAGTCAACTTATCCAAACGAAAGGGGCAAAGTCAGGTAAATTGTCCCGGTTGCAATAGGGGGTTCCCGCTTCCAGCGTCTTTGGTTAGCCACCTTGAAGCGGGCGGTTGCCCTAGCATGATAGACTTCTTAGACATAAACTACACATTCGCGACATATCTGAAGGCAGAGAAGCTTCTCCTTTCCGATAACCGCAAGTCACTTGGGAGCCTTCTGAACTACCAGGATATTCAGGCCACAAGACCCTTTCAATGTCCTGGGAATGGCTGTGGGCTCACATTTTCGGTTCTGAGTGGATTGATTCAGCATTCAGATTCCAGCAGATGCAGTGCAAGCATTGGGCGGCCGATGATCATGCACCACTTGCGCACCAACGTTTACTATCAAAGCATTATCCGCAAAATGCAGAAAATGGCTATCAGGGGCCCGACGACAATGTTCGTAAGGCCTCCTCCATACCAAGTAAATCAGAACTTTCTGCACCTACCAGAACGCTGGGGTCCAGCGTTTTCGAAGCTCAAATCAGATCTATTCTCTGCAGTTACTAGGATCTCATGTGGCAACCCAGACAAACAAGGACGAAATTTCATGGTCTTCCAGGACCCGCATAATATGGGAAATATTCTCGAAAGTATCGAGAATTCAGTTACGTGGCTTCGCGGGGAGCTAGGAAAGATCGAACCCGCGCAAAATGACAGGCACAGCAACGACCTGGGAAAAGTATTGGTATGCTTTGGGACGACGGAAGAAACCCATAGCCTCTATCGTTTCTTGAATGATGTTGAAAAATTCAAGAATGTCCTACGCAAGGAGCTCCATGAGACCCCTCTTCCTCTATATTGTGGCGACTTTCAGGTCTCTTAACTTATCCAAGGGGTAGCCTAGGCTGTCCCCACAAATGTGGTTTATTAAATGGTGCTAGCAGAGCTGGACGCTCTACGGGATTCTTCACTCTATTTGTTTTTCAAATCACGGCCGCTTCCGTCTCAGACCGATCTTAGGTCCTGAGGCCCGTTTCTTTTATTCTGCTGCTAGTTTTATATTCTAGCATTGTTCTTAAACTTTGTTTATTCTCATTATGCCGGAAACCAGGCCAGTCCAAGTGAAGCGCTGAATGAGATAAAACAATACCTCAATTAGGAGGCATATATTTCTGCCAATATGCCTACTGATAGCTAGCAATTCCAAAGAATATCGAAATTAAAAACACGGATACCAATTTCAAACGTAACTTCGTAGCTAAGGGGTTTATGTACATCAAGGCATTACGCCTCTGGGAATACAGGTATATATATAGTCTACCTCAACTCTGTCTTTCCTGTTAAAGCGAATGTCTCCCATGGAAACCCAAGTTCGTTCCACCCACTGCCTGTAGGTATTGCGACTTTGCTCCACCCTCTAATCAACTCCCTCCAATAGCACATCTCCGCACCCTCTGACAAGTATCCTTTTTCGACGGCAAACTCTTTCTGTCTTGCTGCAATACCCTTTGCAATTTTGGGGTTCTCTCTGAGCCACATTATTGTCTCTTCTAGATCGCTCCAGTCCGGCGAAACAAATATAGCATTCGCTTCATCCGGCCTATAATCCTTCGGCCAGGCCTTTCTCAATCTCTTCATGCCCCAATTATCCATCTTCTTCGAACTCTGAAATCCCAGTGTCCACGCGAACAACGGTTTTATCAAATGAGTCGAGTGCATCATATAATTTATCGGAGGCGTAATAATGACGCTCTCGCAAAGCATATGAAACGGAAGACGACCGGAGTATGTAATACCCTCCGTATAAGCGATATACTTATACCTGCAGATTTCAGGGATTTGAACGATATTTTTCGCCTTCTCTAAAGCAGTCCACTCTAATTGTCCCGTATCGGCCCAGTCTTTGCCTTCGGTGGCACCAATTAGATTTCCCCTGAGGTTCTGATTTTGAATGGGGTTGAAGGAAGGAGTGCCCCTCCAGAAGAGTTTGTCAACTTTTTCTTCGAAGGGGAGGGTACTTTCGATTTCGGAGACTTGCGAGAGGACCTCGATTAATGGACCGACGTATTTGACGGGCCAGGACCAATGGCCGAAGTGTGGGACTGGCCAGTGGTTTAGAAGCACGGTGTGGTCATACCATTTGGAGTAGACCCAGCTGTTGTTCTTGGGGTAGTCGACTGGGGTGAAGGAGAAGAGGGTGTCTGGGAGGGGCTCTGGAGAGGTTGCGAGGGCTTTGTGAACTTGATGGAGGGCAGCATTGCGGTGCTAGAAATAGTTTCAAAAGATCAATATTGATATCACAGTCTCATTATTGATATGCATTCAGAACACATTAGAAAGAAATCCTGGAGAGGGAATGAACGCATACCATCACATTGACATGGCTATTTGTCGTATTGCTAGTACTGATAACATATAACTTCATACCCATAAAAAAATCCAACAGTTAGTTAGTTGACTACGGATATAAAAACTATATTGGGTTTATATTTGATCATACCCTATTGTTCTTTATTCTCGCTGTAACAAGCGCAGTAAAATCATCTGGCCCTCTATAAAAATCAAACTTCCCCCTCCCGACTGCCTCATCGATAGGTTTAAACAACAGTGGATACTCCTTCCGACACTGTTTCTCTGTCAAAAAATTAGAACGCTCCGCCCAGCTCTTTACTCTTCTCCCATTAATTTCTAGAGTGGGGTATCTAGGTCTGTTCTCATCAGAGCCCCGAGACCTGAAGAGATCGGATACTGCGCTACTGTCTGTGTTAAAGAAGTATTTGAGGACCACCATAAGCCCCACAGCTGCGAGGAGGGCCTCTGCGAAGGCGATCCGCAGGAAGAAAGGACGTCGACTGAGTCCCCCCATTCTGGTATATCGTCCCATTACGAGGAGGAAAAAGAGAAGGAGGAGAACGTGCAAAAGGAACCAAAAGGATTTCCTGGGGCACTTTTAAATATAAAGCATTCCAAAAAGAGCCCGCGAGGGGGGGGGGGGACAAGAAGTGGTGTGAGCGTTAACCCTCAATAGCCCATAGAAGTCCTTTGTATGCACATATATATATGCATACTTAATGCAATCAATAGCTTTAAAGCCCATTCGAAGGGCCTAGGACGATACTCTGGCCACCTTGGGGGAAAACTCCACTATCCACAGTATCAGAAGCCTCGACTGGAAAAAACGGCAGGGCAAAACGGCAAGAAATTGCCATTTGCAGTCAGTTGCAAGCAAAACTCCACTCCCAATCCCGGATATATCAGGTCAAGAAAAATCCGGGGACGCCAACCTTTACCCAGCCTTTTCCAAGCCTACCCTACCATCGGATACATTAACGCCGTCTGAACACTAAGGGCCTGGGCAGGTACAAGATGTAACTATTTGGCTTGACAGCTCTCAAAAAAACAAAACAGGCCCACATGTAACACAAGATAGAGTGGCAGGGAACCCGGTATATCGAGAGCTAGTTAGGTACCAGATGACGAGGGACCTCCATGGATCCACCGGCTCGAAACAAACTACTAGCCTAGCGGGAAAAGAATCTCAATAACCATGTTCCTTACACGTTCGCGAAATTCATCGCTAATTTTCTGGAATATCGAAAAACGTTTATTCAAGCTTTTTTGAAGGGTGTGGAGGGTGTGCAGGGGTTTGAGACGGCCATCGGCCCGGATGTTGTCAGGGTGTGGAGCCTGGAATGAGAGAGATTCGTCATGTTATGGTAACGCCAGGGCTTGTGATTTCTTCGGTGGTTACGGAATAGTTTAGGCAGTAAAATTTTTATGGCTTGGAGTACTTAAGTTCCAGCGCCATGCATGTTTGTTTCTTAGCTCTTTGTTCAAGTTTTGGGCCACGTTGGTGAAGAGTTCATCAACATGAGGTTTGCAACGTTTGCGAGAAGTGTGCTTAGATGCAGATGTTGTATTTTGGATGGTAATTGTGTTGGCTCGGGATTGCTCCAGGCCGTGGCGCCGGTCTCGTAGTATACCCTCGAAGCTGGTTTACGAGCACCTTGGAACGACAGCTCAACGGTTAGGACAATATGACTGACAAAAGGAATATTATATATCAGACGAATTCCGAGCGCCGAAACCCACGAGTTACATGAAGCCTATTGTACAAAAATCGGATAAAGCCCGAGAAAATATTTACAATGAAAAGAGAGTCAATATCGAACGATCACTGCACCATCTGAGCATCCTCAAGTTCTTCTAACATTCCGGGACGACTGAGTCGCATATCCGTACCGAGGAACGGGTCATCGTTTCTCCATGGCCAGAATTCGTACGCTTGCGCAAGGGCTACCAGCTCTTCAACTGATACATGTACGGCAGGCTTATCAGCGAGATCTGGGAATTTCTTTAACGATTCTTCAGTTTCGAACATCTGCTCGGCACCCTCTCCAATTTTAGAAAGCACATTCCGCATCGAATTATTCCGGGACAAGAATGATGACGTGAGGAAGAGGTTGAAGAACTTCCAAGGTTCGGAGTCTGGTACATCTCCTCTCAGATATGGTAGTGTGAGCTTTGGTGTAAAGTCTAGAAGGGTGGTTTGAGCCCACCGCAGAGGCGGCCAATAATCCACGGGTTCAAACACGACTGGAGGTGGATCTCGGGACATGGAAATGTATGTGAGCTGGTCAGCATACTTGACGCCTGTTGTGGCATCTTGTTTGTTCGGAACGTGGCCTGCCTGTTTCCAAATATCCATCCTGAAGAAGAACCGGTGATCTGCCCAGGTGAAAAAAGGCGGCGGGGATGCAATCTCCCGGAGATCTGTAAAGGCTTCAACCATGATTGCTGCACGATTTCTTCTCCCAAAGCTCCTAGGGAGGTACCGTGCCACCATGTCCTCGTCAACCCAAAGCAGAAATTTAATTCGGCCATACCTAAAGACCCAATTTTTCTGTGCCATGGCGTCGAGGATTTGTGCCATAAATCGGTCACCTTTAATTTCTTTATGAAGCATTCCGGTTACAAGAAGGGTCTTGTTAACTCCTTCTTCGAATGGAAGTTTCGTTGGATTGACTTTTCCATCCTTGATGAGGTCGTCGAATGTGTTCCAGTCGTAGAAGTCTTTCTGAACGATTTCAAAGGAACTATCCGTACAAGTGTGCTCAAGAAAAGGAACAAAATCGGGCTCGTGTTCGAGCAGGATATGTTTCGATGGGTTGATGGCTTTGTTCAGCTCTCGAGAAAATATCCCATAGCCAGGGTTGAAATCAATCACTTCGCATCCTTGATATTCTGAGAAGTCGAAGTTATTGAATATATCCGCACACTTCTTTTCTCCAATTACAAGAGATTTGTCCGTTGGAGGTTTAGGCTGCGGTATCCCCGATTGCACCAGGCTCGCGATTGTCGGAGCAGAGTTTTGTATTTTCTGTGGGGTCACTGCCCTCCATTTCTCTTCTCCGGAATCTTTACTCTTCGTTGTTCCATCCCATCTACTTTTTCTCACTCTTTCTTTGGGTAGCGACCCTCTTTTATGCCGGGTATCTCCCCCAGGGGCCTTCTTTGGTACGATGGGAAGCCCTTCATCATCCAGTAGATACTCCCATTCCCGCTCCTGTCCCTCTTCATCTTCCGCTTGCTCTTTTTTTCGAGTTTGAAGGAAATCCCTTGCAGTGCGAGTGAGGTCACTGATTTTGTACGCCTTGGGTCCAGTGGGTCGATTAAGTTGCTTATTCACTAGCTTGACAACAATTTCTTCATCAAGCGGCGTTTTCCTACGTTTTTTCTTCCCATCCTCACTAATTCCATACTCTGCGATCTCCTTTCGTCTTTGCCGCCTTGCCTCCTTTACCAGTTCTTCCCTAGCCTGTCTAAGCTCCTTGTCTTCCCTCTCTTCTTCGCTAAAAAACGGTTTGTTTCTACCGGGCCTAAGATAGACCATCTTTTCGACCCCTTGATCTAGTATGATCTTGCTCGGCAGCTCTGGACCATACTTCTTAGGTCTTCCGGGGTCTATTCCATATATCTCTTCCATCTCTGCCCGAGTCCTCCGCCTCCGCCTCGGTTGGGGACCATTAGGATCAGCAGGAATATTAGGACTAGGATCCCCTTCCATCTCATGTTTGGGTATCCCAAATACAAGCTCGGATACAGGAACACCTGCATAGTATGCCATTCTGTTCTTCTGAGCGACGGTTGGATACTTAGGCCCAAACATCTTAGGCCGCCCAGCAAGTTTCCTAGCTTTAGGCTCTTCAGACTCAATCCCCTTAGACCTACTCTTGCTTCCAACCCTCTGCCCTCGATTATTTAGCCTCCCGACGCCCCGTCGCTTAGCTGCTGTAGAAGAGTCCTCTTTAACCACGGAAGGTTTGGTTGCTCTGGTTGCTCTGGTTGGTTTGGCTCGAGGACGCCCAACCGGCCTTCTCATAGGCTTCATGAATACCGTTGGTTTTTCGTAAAGTTTTTCATATTCTTCCCTGAAGTCTTTGGGTATTGGCAAAGTTGCTTTTTTCAGGGCAGTTGCTCTTTTGGCTGCTAGTTCAGCTTTTTTCTTCGCCCTTTCTATCGCTGCCAGAGCATTTTCTTCCGGAGTCCTCCTGGGCCGCCCTCGGCGTTTAGGGGCTTCATTACTGCCGAGTATTGTTGAAGCATCGGCGGCATCTGGGTCATCGCTAGTTGTAGAATAGTTTCGTGATCTCCATTGACATGGAGCAATCGAAGCGACCGCCGCTTGGAAGGTATGTCTACGGAGCAGCCCTCTGTCGGCAACAACCTTCCTAAGGTGTGCAGCTGCCCTCATCTGGAGGCGCAGTGAAGGACTATATCAATTGTGTAGGATTAAGAACCGTGCATTGCTGGTAAATGTTTGTTGAGCCCGATGTTGCTGTCAGGTTGTGGAAGACCAAAGTTCCAGGAAAGAAGAAAAAGTTCGAGCGAAACAAGCGCCTCAGTGACAAGTTTGTGCGAAAAAGCATATCGATAAACCGCCACACAACACAAGGCTAACACCCCGCCATATGTTTCCCAACTAGCTGAGTCAGCCGATGCAGTGCCGCAAATATTGAATCCAAGCGTAGCTTAAGCATGACGAATTAAAAAGAGAGTGGAGGGTTCTCCAAGGAGGAAAAAGTAATTTGAATTCATTGGTTGGGAATTATAAAAAAGAGGAGCTGCCCTACCCGCCTTAGGATCGCTGGATGGGAAACTGAGACCAGCTTTGAAATGACAAGTCAGCGGCAGAACCAGATGCGGCATGCTGTTCTATCCATCCCCAAGCAATGCAGTAATGCTTCGCCAACAAAACCCACTCTTCGCGCTCGTCGAGAAGCTCCAGGCCATCAATACGTTCTTTCTCCTTCGAATCTATCCATTCATTGTGGATAAAATTAACATCGCAAGCTCCCATACCAGTGTTGAACCCTAGAACCCTCATTCGTTCCTTTTGTCTCTCTAGTGTCGAATATCGTTGTAGTGTTCTTAGGACAATGCCTCTTTGTGAAAGATTTCTGATCATAACTTTGCCGAAGGAATCATCACCCCCAATCGGTTCGTATAAAACAATCCCCACTCCGTTGGAGTTTGATTCCGATGCTTGTCCGAACGAGCTTGTGATCCATCGAAAGATATCGTCCGCTTCGTTAGGGGACAAGTATATTAGGCAGCACTCCGAGATGAATAGAGTAGGCAGTGTGGCATCGATTCCAGCCGGAAGAGGTACTCCTGGCTTCAGGGTCCTGAGGTCGATTGGGTGGATATAGTAACAAAGGGAACTGAGGGATCCAGCTCTAGCGTCCACTCGGAACCCCGGTACACCACTGCCATCTTCAGGAGGGTTAACCTGGCCGAATTCTGATATGATTGTTGCAAGCTCCTTGTGTCTCTGAATTGCCGTAATCTTACGACTAGTGACCTGGGGGAAGTCGAACTCGTGGTAGAGTAGTTGGAGAGACTTGTTTGTAGCTAACCGGAAAAATCTTGTATCCGAGCCTGCCCCGAGGGATATGATCTGTTTTTTGCCTTGGAAGGGCCGTGATAGAAAGCTTTCAACAATTTGGTCGATAGCTTTTGTTCTAATGTAGGTTCCTTTCAGCGATATGACAAAAATCAGTAACCCGTGACCATCAAACAACAAGTTGATCCATAAGCAAACACATCAAGATGTTCACCTCGTTATTCACCTCGGTTTATTAAGGGGTATCTCCTGTCTCTCGGTGTCGAAATATCAAGAAACATCTCAACATACGGGTCCGTCAAGTAGCCAGTCTGAACTGCACTACACCGCGACACCAGTGCATCCATATCTGTCTGCTGAACGGTTCTATCCTTTTCGGCACTGGATGGCGGGGCCGCCATAGAAGGCGTTGCAAACCGAGTCGGAATCGCCATTATAATTAGTTGAATCGGATGCTAGGTGTTATAAGGCAGGCTAATTCGGGGGGGAGGATGTGGAGGGAATAAAGTTAACTGGTCTGGGAGACGTCACAGGGAGGAGAGTTTGGGTTAAGTTTGGGTTAATGTTCCTTGACTTGAACATTATGCGAACGCTAACTAGGTCACAAGCAACATGACAGAGCAGCCCCTCTCTCAGCCACAGCGTAGTTAGTCAAGGGTGTGTCGCTCAGAGATACGGTTTCCTGCACAGTGCCTGCAACAACAACACACCTTAATATAACATCGATATGTTATAAACCCGTCTAAGAAACTGAGCTGAGTACACCAAGAATCGATCCAACCATTCGGGTTTTTACTCAAGGACTGAAGTAATAGGTACGAGTACTGATTGAATAATCGATACCATGTTGAAAAATAATTAAGCACTCATCTACGAAATTTGATTTCGGGAAATTTTTACCAAGTCATCTGAGTATGGGGTTCTCATATTTAAACCTACACCATCTGAAAATCTAGGCAAGGTTGAATTACGGGTCTCTCACACATAATTAACCTCCTTGGATAGTTAACATAGTAAGATACTCTGCATTAAGTCCTATCTAGCTCATAGTACGATATGACTAACATGCTTTATCATTGCAGCTATTTTTAGTAGAGTTAGGTCCAATGTTATACATTTAATATTGATACCTAATTACTGTTCTCGCGGGAGGTTTTAAGATTATAATCTATAAGAACCTCCGGGGTCTAAGATTTTATTTCTTACATTTAGATCCGTAGGCTCCATTTGCCGATTTATATATTAAAATTTTTTATTCAAAATCTAGCTGGGGTTATATGATGAATGGGAAAACAAAATTATCAAAAAGCTGATTCAAAGCTGATTCAAGTTTGTTGAAGTTTATTTACTGTTACTACATTTGAAACTAACATTATAAAAAATCTCCAAAATGAAATTTGGCTTGCGGGATAGTGTATGCATCCTTAGGAGATCATGACTGCTGGAGTCATATCCATGTGCATAACTAGTCTTCATGTTTACTAGAGAGGAAGCGCTAAACGAGTGTAGTATGGGAGCAAGATTAGATCCTCCCTCTTATTACTCTTTTGTTTCTTTCGCTCCATTCTCTTTGTAGATATCAGTAGCTACCATGTACCAGCTGCCTCCTTGAGTTAATAATCTATTTCTTTTCTTAATTATAATCTTACTATTAATTAGTAATCCTTGGATTATCCAGGAAATTCTTTTTTTGATTATAAATTTATAAATCTCACTTGTATGTTATTTATTCTAAGTACCTTCTTACTAGTACTAAGTATAGGCTAGAACTTTAACTGGCAAATGTATCGTATTTTCTATGGAGAGCCCCCACGAACGACCCGGAAATATAAATATGCTCACAGAATAGCCAGCAATTTTCTGACTAAAAGAGAACTGTGTTGCGATCTGTTGGATTGTATATGTCATGAATCTCACAATCGGCGGTGAATATTAATGCCTCAATCGATCCATAGACACTTCGTTACTTCAACTATTTCGATTTCGAATCTTTGGATATTCGTGGCCTGAATCGAATCAAACTTAAGTCGGCCCCTGGAACGTCAGCCCTATAAACGTTAACGGGAAGATCCAACTGTCAAACATTGCAAACTGGAACTACGAGAAACGAAAAGACAAGTTGTGCAAATTAGTGGTTAGACGTCACTGCAGATGTGTACCTTTGTGAAGGGTACTTGCACCGGCTTGAGTGAATACTTCCATCATACCCCCGCAATGAAGCCGGCACGTGGAGGAAACGGTCTCCTTCTAAATTTAAATTTAAAATTTAGATTTAGTGGTGAGCCTGGCACAGACATGCACATGTCATCGGCGGGTGCCAAGATCCACACCCAAAAGGGTATCCACAAGGCAAAGTTAAGTTAAGTGCCAGTACTCGGTCAGCGATACCGACGGGAAACTGTACTCGGAAGATACCTGCAAGGCGTGGCGAGGGTATCGAGGATATCATACCACGGCAGGCGACTTTGGCCTTTAGTTTCACATCGTCTACCAGTCAAGTTTGGCTGTGCAGCTGCGACTGTTGATCCCTGCGTGGTGGGCATTGAACTGCGCATCCGACTAGTCCTGCCTGCCAAACCCCCGGGTACCGTCGAGGAGCTCGAGGAGCTCGAGACCTGCATTGTGCTGCATTACACTGCACTGCACTGCAGCCTTCGACAATCGAATCTCCAATAGTCATCGCCCTTTAAAAAGCCGTTGTTGCTCTTCTGCTGCACTCTGGAATGAAAGTCACTTGCTGGATATACCCGGTCCACTTAGGCATCAACACGAAACCGCTGCGAAGGAGGAACCGACTGCACTCAAATTGCTTGCTCGCATGCATGCCATCGATTCGCTAATTAGTGATAATATTATCCCGTGGATTTCAGGACACAATTATCCTTACCAGACGGCCCGCGGTCTCGGACTCTCCCTCTCAGCCGCCGGCACTACCCTGTTATTTCGAATGGGCTATGATCTTTTCCGTTAAATCAAAACTTCTTGATCCTCTATCGAACTTATAACGACTTGGTTAGTGGCACAAGGACACCCTGATTCATGCCTTCAACACGGCAACTATGGAGACACCCGAAGTAGAGTCCAAGTTGGAGGAACAGCAGTTTTGGGATGGTACGACACTCACAAATCTTCCCACCATGGTTATCCTGGCTTACCCTTGCCTCAACTAGAACTGGACATCATTCTGAGTACACCATGTCCGACTCAGCACCAAATCGATGTACAATTACGATCCTATCTTCAACTCATATCAACTTATCGAGGTCCGTTGGGAGACGCTTTTCAAACAAACAACTCGAACTTCAACTAACAACAAGGTCACATGATCAGATGATTATCTTCAATCCGAATATGACATGGTCAAGTGTGGATTTCGACTCATCGATTCGAAGGTATTTTCTGAACATAAGACATATGTTCGGCGACGCTTCGTGGGACGATTCCTGAAGGTATCTCCTCGGATCTTTTCTTTTCCCCAAACAATGCTGACAAACTATAGGAACCTTCGAATTCAGCAAGGCTTCATGTTATAACTGCTACCCTCCTCTACGATGGAATCGACAATCCGAAAACATTCGAACTCATGTTGGAGCAGAACGCCTTCGCGAGACTTATCGATCTGATTTGGAAAGATGTCGCCAGGTTAAACTTTGGTTTCCACAAACTTTTACTAGAGGTCTTCTACGAAATGTGTCGGATTCAAAAGTTGAGGAGCCAAGATTTGGGTAAGAACTAAATAGCCCATGATCAACGATTAATGCGACCTCGAAACTAATCGGAACTACTAGAAATACTCCAAGATGACTTTATAAAACACCTTCTAGAACAAGTTGAAGAGGGTGGGGGCGATCCAGACGACCCGTATAATTATGCCATTGTCAAAGTATTGGTAAATGAAAATGGCAAACTTCCTATGAATGAGTTGGTCGCAAGATTCTAACGATATTTATAGCTCGTACTAAATGAACAATACATGCTCTCTGAACTCGGGATGCGGGAAGAAGGACCTCCTCCTACGAACAGGGTTGTCAAAGTTCTCTCTTTTAACGGACCGGATTTCAAAACATTTGGAGAGAATATTATCCTCTTACTTAATCGAGAGAGTAAGTTTTGTAGCCTTGCCTATCTGGATCAGTAAAAGGTATTAACCGTAGGAAACGCTTCAGCGGAGACCCCCACCCAGTTACTCATATTGAAGCTCTTATTCCTGCTCTTCACAACGAGCAGAACTTACGAATACTTTTATACCAATGACTTATGCGTTCTCGTCGATGTCATGATACGTAGCTTGGCCGATTTGCCTGAAGAAGAGAATACAGTAAGCCCCTTTAATTATCTACTCCTTGAGCCTTATTTAACACATACTCTAGCTGCGACATATGTATCTCCGAGTCTTTCACCCTCTACTTTCACATACTCAACTTCGCCACCCACCACACTACAAACGTGCCGAGATTATAAAACTTCTCAACCAATTGTCCAATGTTAAATCTCAGCACTTCTCGCCTGCGGATCCGACAACCCTTCGTTTAGTTTCCCGTTGTAACAAAGTCGATTGGCTCAGTGATTCACCGATAGAAGAAACGGCCCATGAACTTGCAAGGCAGTATTTAGGAATGAGTTTACAAGACGTTGGAAGCAGCATGTCGGTGGTGGAGGTTGCCGCTGTCAAAGAGAAGGCTCAAACAAAACCTGGGTCTAAAAAGAAAGAAAGAGGTGCACCGCCACCCCCTCCACCCGGTAGAGTTCGAGGAGTCTGGGGTGGTTTGGAAAAAGCACTACCACCCCCTGAGGTAAATGTTGAACCTCCTAAATGCGAACTTCCTAAATGCGAGCCCAAGAAAAGCTCGCCTTTGGCCAATGGTAGTTTGAGAAGAAGAGGACCACCGCCTCCGATCCCGTCAGCTCGATCCGTTCATGCGGTTAAAGTGGGAGTGGCTACTGATTCCTAATACGCCTCACCCCGATACCTTATCTCTTCCTATCTTTTCTGTGAGAACTTCTTTCTTCATTCACTCATGCATAGTGATTCAATCGCAAACATCAACCCCGATACCCATGACCCCCCTCAATTCACACACACCCTTCATTTCATGTATCTACTTCCACTGCAAACCCTCACGAGGTCTTGTTTCTGTCTCAGAGCTTTTTGGCGAATTTGAAAATTTTGATGCCGATGATGATGGTTCCTCCCAGCCCTTTTAGCACCATCACTGACCGTAGCCATTATTCTTTTACAAGCACGTGCGTCTTTTTTGAACGTCTTCTTGTTTTCTTCTTCTCTTTTTGGTGATGGCGTTTTCGTTTGATGAACTTTTGATATTTCGCACTGCTTTTCCTATTGAATATGCATCTCATTTGTCCGTCTTGATTTTGCAATTTGTATACTTTTACAATTGGCCGGGGGTGTTTCTCTACACTGTGCATAACGGGGTATTGGCGCTTATACAAATGTACACACGCATGCATTACTATATATTATTCCCATCATTGCATACTTGCAGCCGGAGATCGCAAGACGCTATATTTCATGGTTATATCTAGTCACCGTTCCAACTATACTCACCCTAAACCGTTAACTAGAAACCATATATATATTAAACATTGGTTTTGATTAAAGCATTGTTCAAGCTAGATGTACAGCGAGGGACGCATCCTCCCATCCCCCATCAACCAGCGCCAGGAATGATAGTTGAAGTACTTAGGTTATGTACTTCTCAAGCAAGCAAGTTCTATTATACAAAAAACAAATAACCCACCAAAAAAACAAAAAGATTGCAAAACGTCATATTCTAATACCTTCAAAATGGCCGAAAACCACACCCCGGGGCCCTCTACAAAGTCCTAACGCTCTGCATAACCCACGCATTCCCTTCCAACCGTTCCTTCCATTCCCCTTCCACAAGTCCCTTCATAACCTTCGTCATCTCCGCCGCCTCCATCTTTTCACCATTACTTTCAACCTTCTTCTTCCATTCGATCAACAACTCCTTCAACAATCTACTCCCCTCCGCCACTTCTTCCTTCGAAAACCTATCATTCATAGCATCTCTATCATGCTTCCCCTTAAAATCCTCCAACTCATCCGCTTTCCTCTTCGCCATATTCACAACCTTCTGCGGGAACCTCACCAACTCCGCCACGTGAATTCCAAAACTTTGATCACACACCCCCTCGGAGACTTTATACAACAAAGTAACCTCCCTTTTCCTCTCCCCGTCGTTTCCGTTTTTATCTCCAACGTGTGCCACCACATGTAGGTTTTTAACAACAGGGTATTCCTCAACCAACGCCGTCAATTCATGAAAATGCGTAGCAAACATCGCAAAACATTTGATCTGTTTTACGATATACTCGCTAATAGCCCACGCGAGTCCAAACCCATCGTAGGTACTCGTCCCCCTCCCCAACTCATCAATAATAATCAAACTCTCCCTCGTAGCACTCTTCAATATCGTTGCCGTTTCCAACATCTCCGCCATGAAGGTACTAACACCCTTAAGTTGACTATCACTCGCCCCCACACGTGCAAGTATACAATCGAATATCGTAAGTTCCGCTTCGGAACATGGTACGAAACACCCGGCTTGTGCCATTAACGCTATCACCCCGATTTGTCGGATATACGTCGATTTACCTCCCATGTTTGGTCCCGTGATAATTAGGAATTCACTGGAGTCCCGAATGAGTTCCACGTCGTTGGTGATGAATTGAATATCATCTTGCATTTCCATACAAGGGTGTCGAGCTTCCTTGAGAATTGTGTTACCTTCCCCGCGAGGGTGCATTGTAGGACGGACGTATGGTGATGGAGCGTGGACTGATACATGTGCGAAGCTGACGATAACGTCAAGGTGTGCGAGGACGGCGGCGAGGTTTTCGAATACGGGACAGTAAGAGGATGCGACGTTGACGACCTCTTGGACCAGACCGGTTTGTGTACGGTTGTAGTTTTGGGTGTATTGGTCGAAATCGCGGCGGAGGGACGAGAGTTTGTCGGTGGTGAAGTAGACGCCGTTCTTTTGGGTGGAGATTTCTCTGTAATGGCGGTTATTCCGGATAGAGCCAGCTTCCTATAGAACCAGTTAGTTAGTCCAGTCGAAGAATAGGATAGAAACTTATAAAAGAAATAGGGGAGAGTCTTACATTTCTTGTAAGCCGGAAACACCACCCATGAACCCTATGATTCTCCAAGAACAACTTCTTATCCATCTCCTGTCCCAAATCATTACTAACACTCCTATGCTCTTTCCCTAAATCCCTCTGTAGACTATCCAATTTCGTCCTGATAGTCTTCAAGCTATCATCAAACTCCGGTTTGATAATATACTCATGGTTCTCCAATGCCTCCAGATCGACCGTCGTCTCGACCATCTCCTCCAATTTGGCCAACTGCACCTGAAACTCCCTCAACTTCCTCGTGTAAACCTCATCTAAAGGATCCTTATATTTCTCATCCATAACCCCTTCCAACGTTCCAATGAATCCAGGTAGCTTAATAACTAGCATATAAGCCCTAACCACATCCTCCAAATTCGCCATATTCCTTTGAAACTTCTTCGCAAGACGGTACAGGTCCGGTACAGACCTCAAATGCTCCTCTTGCATAGTCTGTCGTAACTCCGTATCCTCTACAAAGGCTTCAACCAGTAAATGTCGCTTCTCGATTTCTTCCAACGACATCAACGGCTGTTTTAACCATTGTGCTAGTAATCTAGTCCCCACCGCCGTCTTGCATTTATTCAATAGCCCATAGACGGACATATTCTTCGACCCATCTCTTGGTCCAGGCATCAAATTTAACGCCTTCAGCGCCGAAGCATCGAGTTTCATGTACTCCGCCAAATCGTGCTGGTATAGTCTATACTGTCCGAAATTCAGCTGGTCCGACATCAATCCAAGATATCTAATCAAGGCAGATGCGGCGCACATGGCGACTTTGAGATCGGCTTGCGGGAGAGATCCGACTGCAACGTCGTCCTTGAGTAAACGGGTAAGATCTTGTTCCACATCCTTCCCCGCGAAGTCTGAGGATTTCTTGTCCGTGATGACGACGCCGCAGCGGTCTATTATCGAGCGGAGCTTTGTATTTTCAACGTCCTTTTTGGAGTCGTTGGTTTGGATGATGCATTCTTTGACTCCTAGTTGGATCAATAGAGACTTTTCCCAGCAAAAAGTTAGCCAAATAACCTCTTTCAGGATCATGCAAGAGAATAGGAGTAGTAATAATAATAATAATAAAGGGAAGAGGAAACCATACCTCAAAATTCGAATACAAATCATTATCCACAAACTCACTAACCCCCAACTCCCTAACACTAGCATCCGCAAAGGCCACCCCAACAACCCTCTGGTCAACCTTCGCCGAAACTTTAACAGCAAGAACAATAGGACTCGAATCTAATTGTCCAGCTATATCCTCCTCCACATCCTGTAAATTCCCAGGAGAGGCTTGTTTGATTATCTCCCAGCTATTTCTCCCCTTTTGAGACCCCCAGATTTCAATCTTTTTACCCTGTTGGAAAAGAGCCTCGCGGAGGAAATTACGGAAAACGGTGACGGAGAGTGTGCAGGATTGTAGGGTGGATTTTCCACCTCCTAGGGATTTTAGGACCGAGTTGGTTTTGTAGACCTGTATTTTGAATTTTCCGGGTAGGTTAGTCTTCTATTTTTATTACTGGCGATTTGTAGAGCTACGCAGGTAGGTGCTTATATAAATGTTAGGGGGGGTGTTGTTTGGGGGGTGGGATATCACGAACATGTTGAGCTACGAATTGAGCATCTTCACCATGAACGGTGTAGAAATCAGAACGTTCGAAAACTCGGATTGTGTTACTGTCTTTGGCGGGTAATCTATTAAACGTCGAGATGAAGCCATTTTCGTCATCGACTTTGAGTTCCGGCCGTGAAGCCATGATTGCCTTGAAAAAAAAATGAAAAAAAAGGTGAAAAAATCGGCGAGCTTGTAGAGGCAGCTCGGGTCTTGATCAAGCTAGCAAAGTCGAGTGATCGAAAGAAGAATAAGTAAAAAGACTTTTTGGTATCAATTTCGAAGTGCAAGCTGTAGTATTGAAAAGCTGGGGAATGGACGGGTTTGATCGGTATTGCTATAAAAGGGATGTGGATTTTAATTCTCGAGGACTTTCGAAGGAAAGGAGTTCTGGGGAGTCGTGAAGCTTCAAGGATAGAAAGGGACCCAACAACCTGGATCTCAGTCGCGTCCAAAGCCACGCGCTCGCTTAGCCAGGACCTGGCAACTCGTCACGTGTTGATAACGAGCTTCGATTACAGTTATTCAACTTGCAGGGCATTTTACAACTGTAGTGGATAGGATTACGAATTCACGAAGCAAAATACGCTGGAAAAGTACCTGGTTAGGTTGGATAAAATCATGAGATCAATCCCGATCGAAAGAATTGACACGGGTAGGCAGGTCTTCCATTGATATAAACGAGAAGACTAAACTAGACTAGACTAATGGTACACTAATCTACCGCTATTTAGAGCTCAAAAAAAGACAGAAACTCATGATGAATGGACCTTTCCCAACAAAGAAAGTTACTAAGAAAGAGAAAAGCCCAACGGGAGTCCCTGAAAAAATATTGAATCCTAATCATACCTATCAGACCCGAAGGATTGAAAAAATGAATCGCGAGTGTGTAACGTGCAAGTGGAAGTGGCGAGCGAGAAGAGGGTTCGTCTGTTAGTCGTTTCGACTACCCATAGAAGGAATTCATCCTTGCCATCCAAGCCCTTGCAGTTCCTTGCGAACCGACTCTTCAGTATTGATCTTCTTAATTTGGGTATCCTCCAACTTTTCGCCGCCGGCGAACCTCATCTTAAGGTCCTCGATAGCTCGAAGTTTCTTGAGCAAGCTTCGTTGTTTCTTCTCTTCGGGTGTTCCGCCGCCTGGTGTGACTGGTGTCATTGGGCTGGTAATTTCAACCTCGGGTGGTGGTGGAACTGGCAGACGGAGTCGCGGATGTTGTGGCCCTCCGTTTCCGGCGGGTGCAACCGGGCCAGCTGAGTTAGTTGGCTCTCCTCCTCCTTCTTGGCTTCCGCCATCCTCCTTCTTCTTACGTTGAGATCGTTGGCGTTGAGGGTGGCCACCAGGAGCCGGAGATCGATGCCTGGGATGATGCTCCTTAAGCGCCTGGCCAAGCGATCCCGATCCCTCCCGGTGGTGTCCGTTCCCGCCAGGGCCCCCCTGACGAGGTGGTCCTCTGCTTCGGCTACGGGTTCTACTGTGATCCCTTCGGTTACCCTTGTTAGGGGCGTTTCCGGGTGTAAGTGTTTGCCCGTTAGTTGAAGATTCGCCTTGTCCGCTCTCTCCGTTCGCAGCGGCTTCCGCAGCCTGTGCTTCCTTCGCCTTCTTAGCAGCCTCACGTTTCTTTTTGTTCTTAAGAGCGCTTTTGCTGAGCCCCTCACCGTCCTTGCCGACCCCGGACCCTTCCAAGCTGACTCCTCCACCAGGCGCTGCACCTGAAGCTGCCGCAGGTGTAGCACCAGGCACCTCGCGTTTACGAGGTTTTCCGAAGCCGTTGGTGCCTTCGGAGGCTCCGTTGCCAAACAAAACGCTGCTTCCAGCGACATGAGCGGCCCCGCCCTCGTCCTCACGCTTAAAATGAAGCGGGGTTGCTGATCCACGTGCGTGTGGCGGGCGGTATGCACCTGCTGGTTTCGCTGGAGTGGCAGATTTGTGACCGACAGCTGAACTGTGCGGAGCAGGTGGGGGTGGTAAAGTAGCACCAATTGGGAATTTGCTTGTATCTTGCGGTCTCCACCGAACCTAATTACTTTAAGTTAGCAACCGGTCTTAATTTCATCAATGTAACAATACTGTCCATCTATAACTCACATCGTAGAGTTCTGTCATTTCCGCGGTGTACATTAGATCGCCCGACGTTGCATACCAGACTTTCACACCATTGTCGACTCTCAACCGTGGACTCGTAGTGGCCGTCAAAATATGCTTGCCATCAGGACTCCAACGACAGACGGTAGCATTGCTAGCCTCAAATGAAGCAACTTTGCGCATACCATTGATCCGGTCGTATATATCCATCTGCCCCTGCAAGTTACCGAATCCAGCGACAAGTATCAGTCGGCCGTGTGGGTTAAACAGCACGGTGTTTCGAGGAGCGAGAGGGAGGCTGGTAACTGGATTTGCCTTCGCATCAAAGAACGTGGTTTTCGCCGGCATGTATCCATAAACGACAACGAATTCCTGGGAGCTAGGAGACCAAGTGAAGTCGGAAATAGGACCCTCCTTATCTGTACCACCCATGTTAGCACCTTAGAATCCCTCGAAAGTAATATACGCCGAGATAACAATAATACCTAAGGTAACCCTAGCATCGACATTTGCTGTAACATTCATCAAATACAGATTGGTCTCCCCGTAATAGTTCTTGCCGGTCTTGTCAACTTCGGTTTGACTGAGGAACAAAACGGCGGTACCCGCGTTATTCCAATTGAACTGAATCTTGTCCGCCTTAAAGAACGCCTTCTGCATCAACGGCGCCGAGAAATCCGGGACCGCGTAGACAGCGGCTTTAGCAGGATGACCTTGCTTTTCTGGGACAAAGACAGCAACGTGGTAGTTTTCTCCCGGCGAGAGCTGAAATTCGGTAACTCCTTCCACCCGCAAGTGTTGCCAGACTGTGTTCATGTTGGCAGTTTCGTAGAAGGCAATCTCGTTGGTGGTGGCTCGTGCGTAATACTTCTCATCGTAAGTGTACTGAATGCTCCTATTGTAGTCGTTAGTATTGGGAAGTTGGATATATGCGAGACGTGTAGTCGTACGAAGCAGACACAGCCTTCTGAACGAAAGAAACGGCCAATTCACCGTTTTCTGTGCGCCAGACCTTCAGGTTCTTGGCAGCGTTCCCATCCTCAAGTTTACCTAACCCCACCGATTTACCGTTAGCCAAACGTGACTCTCGTAGAGGGTACTCCGTCTCAAAGGTGACATACTAGGCCGTTCCCATGTGGTGATAAAATTCCCTCTAGGGGAGAATTCCAATTCGTGTACAGCTGGTGTGGGGAGCGTCAGATGTACCAAACCGGTATTCGCATCAACGAGTGTAACACTACAAAGTACCGAGTCAGAATCCACGAGAAGCTATATAAATCAGATGAAAGTGATAACCAACTTTTCATTAGAAGCATAAGCAAAGTATCGGCCGTCAGGAGAGTATGTACAACATCGAAGAGTACCCTCAGGTCTAGAGAAAAGTTCAATGATTAAGTCAGCTGATTTATCACACGATATATATAAGAATTTTCAAGTCAGTGGACATAATTTCATACCTGCTGAAACCAGATAACGCTTCGTACTCAGGATAACCTTCCGTTAACCCAATTGTTTTTAGGGTACGGTCTGTAGATCAAGATGGTATAACAGTTAGCTCGAGTGGTTTGTACCAACAAACAGGATAGGAAGCAACCGGAACTAACAGGCAAACTGTGTCATTGACATGGTTATATATTGAAATGATAGCACGTGTGCAAAATAATCGCCGTTGTCTGTCTTGATCTAGCTCAGGAGCTCTGGATGTATAAGATAAAAGAATAAAGAGATAGTATAGTCAAGGGAGAGGTGGCGGTGGGCGGGGCGAAGGAATGATCAGGACTAACAATCCAAAGACCACAGCTACGTAAGTAGGGCCTGGTAGTCGAATTGAAAAGCGAGTGATCAAAGACGAGGGTCGGTAAGCAATTGGAGCTGCAAGGCACTCCGATTCGATACTCTGAGACTCGAGTCCGTTTGATTGATTACTCCTGTCGTTTATGCACGGAATGTGTGGGTCGACTAGTCAGATAAAAAGTAGCAATGCCACACTCTATCTTAACCGTAACGGACGGAATAAATTAGAATAATAGAAAAAAAAACCTTGTCTGCCTTCCAAAGCAAAAAGGATATTTTTCGGTATTCTAGAGGGGAGATGAAGAGACAGAGGTAGAGCCGGAGAGAACAAGAGGATTGTCGAAGGCTGGATCGAGACTTTTTGGATAATCGAGGTATCGCCAAATGGTGGGATGGTTCGAGCTAGGCTGTTCTGGTCAAGCAACAGAAGAACACTTCACCACAACGTTGAAAAAATTTTGCAGTTTTGGGGAGACAGCGAAGTTCCTTTCAGCTGCTGAAAATTTTCCGAAACGGGCGCTACACTGCACTACTATATTCAATCTTGCGAAAGAATAGAGGAGGAGGGGAGGGTTTTATCGTTCGAGTCCTGAAATTTTTTTGAATCTATTCTTTCAATATGAGAGAGATCTGAGAACGAGATCCTTGAAAGGTTTTAGTTTTTAATTTTTAGTTTTTTTTTTGTTTTCCAGGGACACGAATCGAACGAAGCTTGTCGAGAGGCTAGCTGCTGGGTATGCGAGTAAACCGTGTACCACTGATAACTAGGAGCTCGATAAGCCAAGACGGTGCTTTCAACCCACGACAAACGAGGCAGACGCAAGACAAGCAGGCAGGGCAGGCAGTGCAGGCAGGCAAGCAAGCTAAGGCGCACGCGTGGACAACCAGTCGACGATGACAAGAGAGGCGAAAAGGAATGGGGTGGAACGGGCGAGCGTTGAAGGGAGGAAGAGAAGAGGAGAGAAGAGGAGAGAAGAGAAGAGAAGAGAAGAGAAGAGAAGAGAAGAGGGAGGAAGGAGGAAGAAGACCAGGTGGAAGAAGGATGTGGATGGGATGGACGATGCCTGAAGAATTAAGTTAAGTCGAGTTAACGATGAAACGGGGCCTGCCAAGACAGGGCAGACGCTGGACGGGACTGGACTGGACTGGACTGGCTGGACTAGAATCAGAGTATATCGAAAGACAAAACAGTACGAGACAAAAGTATATCAAGAAAAATCTAAAAAAATAAAAATAAAAAATAAAAATAAAAATAAAAATAAAATAAGATGAAATTCAAAGGGTAAAAGCCAGTCCCACGAGACTATCCGCTAACCAGAGGAGTAAGTTGGTGTCCGTCGTAGTGTAGTGTAGTGTCGTATTATACGTCTAACACCGATCGATGGGGTGAGCATGAGCATCTGTGGAGTGGCGACCGAATTCTAGACCCAGCTTCCCTGCCACTTGCCCTCGAGCTCGACTGGACTGGACTGGACGTCGCCATGGCCCCGGCAGAAAATCCAGCCACCAGCCGGGAACTGCAACGGGATTTCCTGTTGTGCGCCTGCATGTGCCGCCAACGTTGACGTCTAAATATTCCCGAAACCCAGGCTACCCGGTCAGTGCACCGCACCACCTCGAAACCCCGAATTCTAAAATATCTCAGATACTTCTAAAGTAAAGGTTGTATATACTGACATATACCTACGAGCCAAGCTTTGGATTTATACCCATGTAGACTGCACTACCTAGGTACCTAGGTACCTAGTATATATATTATCCAGCGCTAACGGAAGGAGACTCGTATGCACGGCATGTTTCTTGTTATTTTTAGCTATAAACTTCTAATTCTTCTGTGTTTAATATAATTTCATGTTGTCATGAAAGCCATGAGAAAGATTAAAAACGTTCCTTCGACTCTCGATATACACTTCCAACCAGACACCAATGGCTAGAAGTCCACTACTACCCCCGTGCAAAAAGAAAAAGAAAAAGAAAAAAGAAAAAAGAAAAAAGAAAAAAGAAAAAAGAAAAAAGTTAAAAAGTTTTTTAAAAAAAAGTAAGAAGCAAAAAGTAAAAAGTAAAAAGGAGAGAGAAAAAATAGGAAAAACTAAGAACTAGATATATGTTTGGTGGATGTAGTAACGGCCCAGAAAAATTAGAAATATAAACAGCTAACGGGCTAAAAACAGACTAACGGTCGATCGTGCGAATGACAAAACAAACGGTAGGAAACGGAAAGGAAACCCCTCCTTAGACGCAGGATACCTAGGTTTGTGCCGGAAAGAAACGCCCCCCGCAATGGAATAATAAGAATAATAAAAAGGAAAAAAACAGAAAAACAAAAATAGGAAATAAGAGTAGTATGTAGTCTGAAGACAGCAGTATGTATGAAAAGGCGCTACAATTAAAGGTCAGAGGGCGCCAAAACGTAATCGGGCGTGACAAGAAGAATTCGCGATTGTATCAACAGCCCTCCAAGAGCCAAAGGAAGAAGAAAGAGGAAAGAGTGAATGAAGGTATACATTAAGTTGGGATATGCATTAGCCCTGATAAAGGGACAACAATGCATTTGACTATCCAGCAGATAAGAATGTAGAAATGGCCCATCTTTCATTATCAGCAACGTCTCAGAGTACCAGCCAGTCATCACGGTTTACTGGGTTCGAAGGTCGTGTATCTTAAACCTCAACTTATCGACCTCGCAAACGTGGCCCGGCCGGATAGCATCTGTATAGACATCAGGGCTGGAATGAGGGTGGAACAACCCCTTGTTCGTGCAAGTCTTAATCGTCTTGAGCCCCCCAGGATCAGTCAATCGGAAAACACCATATCTATTCCAAAAGTTAGCATGCTTTCACTAAAATATATTTTAAAATCACTTATCATTTAGGGTACTCACGATGGTTCATGATTCGGAGCGCAAACAATTGCAATGCATTCAGGTAACATCATTTGGAACCCATAATGTGTATGCAAATCCACAGAGCTCATGAAGCATGTTTGCGTTGGATGCGTATGAATCCACCCCAAAACCATCAAATCCTCTTTGTCGATATAGTCAAACAACGCCGGCTCATCTGTCATATTACAAGTATCTGAGGTGGACTCTTGTTGAGGTATAACGAGCCTAGTCACAAACAGGGCATTGTCCCTAAGGAACCCTGCAAGTATACCACAGGTCTCGAGGTTTCTTCTTGTGTTTCGGTCCGCAATCGCAAGGAACTCTGATCTCAGATCCTTCGGGATGAAAATCGTTCGCAGTGGTTCTCCCCGTTCAGTGTAAGCCACACACTCAAATGTATGTTTCCGCTTCGGTTTCTCCGGCGGCTCCGGGTAAGTACCGGCTAGAGAGGGTGCAGATGGCGCTCTATCTTTCAACGGCCGTGGAGGGGGGCCCATCGACGGTCGAGGGGCGGTGTAATTGGGATCAAATTCATCCCTAATCTTCGGAGGAAGAGTTGGTTGACGATCAATAGAGTGCCTGTACTGTTCGAGCTTCGAGGGGTTCGCAAAATCATCGATATTGGGCAGTTGGGTCTGGATTCCAGGATATGGCGCTCGTTTCGGGACCATGGGATACTCTGTGCGAGCTTTGGCTTCCAGTAACGGATACGGCATCGACACTGGCCGCGGTGTCACTTTAGCCTCCAAGGCTTTCAGGGTACCCAGACCTCCCTTGTCCTTGTCCTTGTCCTTTTCCTTCTCCTTCTCTTCCCGTTTTGACTGTCCGGGTAGTAACGCGAGCGGTACCGGTGTTTGGGTCCTCAGCTGTAGTTCCTGCAACCTCCTCTGCAAATCGAACTCGTCATCTGGTTTCTTCCACGAAATCCTTCTGCTTCCAACTGACTCCGTCGGTGTCGGGATAGCCGGCTCATAGCTCCATCCATGTTCCTCGAAGTGCTCTCTCGACGAAAAAGCCGGGTGCAAGCTCGGTGATGTGTTCGAGCTATGAGAAGTCTGCATACTAAGCCTCCTTCCCATCTTCTCCAACTCTCCCGGCCGCCCTCTGCTACTCTGCGTGTCCGAAAAATAGGAGCCTCTACCATCAACCGCATGTCCGTACTGTCCGTACGACGTGGAGCCATTTGAAGATATCGATGACCCCCGACTCCGCCGTTGTTGCCGTATTAGAGCTTGTTCTTCTTGTTCCTTCTGTAGTTGCTGTTGTCGCTCTCGTTGGTAAGCTTCGTGCCGAGCGTTGATGTTCGATTTGAGTTTCTCCATTCGCCCTGCTATCGCCGGGAATTTCTAAAAACAAAAAAGCAAGTCCAAACGGTCAGCTTCCAAGCCTGTTCGTCTGTAGGGGGGGGGGATATGGGAAGGATTCAGATGTACCGTATTCATATCTACCAGCATTTTCTCATATCGGGGATCTCGGGCTTGCGGATGGGATGGTAGGTGGGTAACTATCAGGCTGTCCGGGGAATTAGCATCCTTCCAACGTTGGATCCCTCGTGTTCAAGAGTAGATCTCGTGGGTATTGAATATACATACTCCATATGCCGCATATATAGCAAGAAAGATTGCTCTTCGTTGCCTTCTTTGAAGTAAGTATCCGCCTAGCAAGAGAAAAAAAGGAGTCAGAAACGGATATGGCAACTATCCAGTCGGCAGCGGAGAGGGGAGGTAACAAACCTCCCGTAGAATCGTAGACGCCGTTCGGAGCCATTGTGATAGAGATATTTGTGGATTATATTCATAATCTACAGCCCGCCGCGCAATTTCCTTGGAAGGTGCCGGCGGGCCGGAAGACGATCCGTGAAAGACAGCCCTGCTCATATTGTGTGAATTTTTCGGCGATGAGAATACGAGGCAGGAATGTGTATATTGTTACTAATGAAAGGGCGTTTGTTGGGAGGAGTAAGTGCCAGTGGTGTTAATTTCAAGTGTCGGGTAGGAAGTAAGGTGCAGATGGAGCTTAAAGTGTGGATTGATACGGGGAAAGGACGAACAAGCCGAGTCTGAACATTCCAAGCTGGGGAGGACGGAAAGGTTGACAACAAAGATAAGGGCGGGGTTTCGATTCTCAACCAAACAGAAAAGAGTCAAGAGAGCCCGAAACAACAGAAATCTCAAGGATGTCGGTGCTAAGAGAGTGTATGGAATGTTTATGTCTGTACTGTATGGGAGGTTTACTGCGAAAACAAGGGCAGGGACCCGTCTACACCATGGGGAAGGATTCAAGAGAGGCTTGGATATATATGTATCATAGCTGCGGATGGTTTTCGATGGAAGATGAAGAAAGAAGCATTAAGAGAGCAGGACAGTTACAGGTATAAAGCTGGTGCGGTCATTAGCGCATGACAGACAACAAGGCACCACCGACTTCACAGTGGTGGGTTGTTTGGCAATCAGCATTGTCCAGCCAGGACAGGACAATACAAGATGCTACTTATTCGAGGTTCGTACGCGAACTGCTTCTGACCGAGGAGAGCTGGCAAGCTTGATTTTAATGACGACGCCAGTTAGTTTCGAACTGCCCCACGTTGGCCAGCTGGTTTGGCTGGGACCGCCTACCTAAATTCTGGCTTGGCGAGCCGACTACAGCATGCGGGTGATCCCTGGTTTCCCTGTTTCACCTGGGGGCACTGCCTGAATTGAGGATTGGTATCGTGGCAATTGGTTAATCAATGAAATGAAATCAATTTTTATGAATTATAATTAATACTAATGGGCTTCAATTCAATTGTTTTTGAATTGACGGTGGCTGGGTTATCAAAAGCTTAACATGTCAGGCGAGAACCTACAAGATACGTGGACGTAAATTTCGCATTGGAAAAAAGGAGGATCAGTTGATACAACATCGTGAATTAAAAGTTGATAGGGAATCTCCATCGCATTCGGCATGCAGCTTCTAAATTTTTTAGGTAGGTACTCCATGTACCGCAATGTCTATCATGCATAAACGATGCAATGAGGTCCCGACAGCACTCACAGATCTTCATGCTATACTGGCTTGTCGTGCTGTCCTGGTACTTCCTCGCTACGCCGTGCAGAAACCCACCCCTCCACAATGTTCGCCGCAACGTTCTTGCCTGACAAACTCATCGTTTCCATGCAGCTAATAAAAGCCTATTTTTAAGTAGTAAAATATCTTAGTCGTAATACTTTTTAACGGGGGTGGTTTTTATTTTAAAATTTTGACACTTACTTCCATACCGGCTGTATACCAAACTCCAAAGTCAAGCTGTGCTTCCTGGAATGCGGACCTGGGCTCTTCAGCAGGGTATGCTTGCCACTAAGATAGCCCCTCAGTTAGTATCTTCGATACCCAAATTGAATGGGGGGGGTTCTTTTTTTGTTTCAAAGCACTCTAAGGAATTAGACGTACGAGTTTCCTATGCGACCATGATAAAGCATTCTTAGTATCCTTAGGCAATCCCATCATCTCATGAATTTGCTCGTCACTCCAAGGTTCTGGTGAAAAGATCTTATACAAGTATTCCCTCCTCTTCACACCATTCTCCAACTTCCTATCCAAAGTCCTTAAGATATTAACGCTCCAGAACTTGGCTGGCCCAACCGTACGATAATGCGGGTCGAAACCTTCTGGAATAGTCGTAAGAATCATATCCGGAACAAGGTCCTCGTCAGAATTGAAATATTTTGGAGAAAGTCGGTATGGCGATGCAAATAATGTGACGTGCAAGTTCACATATTTGATTTCCTCCGGGGCAGGGATCGATTGAGATGTGATGTTGCTAAACTGCCATGGTGTCGCGATAATAACTTCATCGTATTCATCCTCGAACGATTGTATTTCTACACCTTCCTCTAACTTCAGCGCATTGACGGTCCATGTGTGCTTGCCTTGAACCCTTTCGATGTTGGTAACTCTAGTTTCTAGATGTAGGCCGGCTTTTGAAGTCTGGACCATTTTGTCGAAGATACGCCAGTTTCCACCAGCTATTGCCATGGCACCATCGGTCGACATTGCAACCATTGTTTCGAGGCCATGGATATGACCAAGATTAGAGGCATAGTTAACTCTAGTTGACGCTTGGATCAATTCCGTTGTAAACGGTGGGTTGATATTGTTCGCTTTTAGGAATTCCTAGGATATATTATATCAGCATCTTGAATACTAACTTTGCATTGAATCCGGTGGCAATATAACATACAAACCCAGTATTCGTAGTAGCAGGTAAAAGTTCTAGTTCATAAGCCGTCGTAGAAAGGGACTTCCAAGGAAACACCGGTGCCTCATACATCTTGAGGAAGTTTCCAACTGTTTTCTTGACCAGATTCTGTGTCCTGAGCGGGGACAGTCCGTATCTCCATACTAGCTTGATGGTTTCCCACAGCCCGCCGCCATCAATAGTGATCAGAAACTGCTTCCCATCCCATCTATATCACGAAATCAATATGTTTCTTTTCAAGGAATAGTTAAAATAAAAAAAAGAACTCACACTCCAAGTTCAGCTGCCCCATCCGTACTCCCAGTATTGAACTCCGCAATTGGTAGACCAAACAACTTTGCAGCATCGAACATATTCTTATTCACTTCGACGAAAATCGACCCTCCCAGCTCAACAGGTTCCTCCGGATCATCGTACGCATCAACAGTGGTCGTTCTCCCCCCAATATAGTTATTCCTTTCGTAGATAGTAATGTTGACTCTGTAATCATGTTTTTCGGCATACTCTTTTAGAAAGTACGCTGCCGATGAACCCGCTGCTCCGGCACCTGATGGGGTTTTAATAACAAAATTCGTTAGTTACGCCATAGCACACACGCGTGTAGGCGTAATTTTAATTAAGGAGAGAGATATCAGGATCAATTGAAATATACCAATAACAGCGACTCTCTTCACAAGTTGAGGTTCCTGATCCGTCAGCACAAATGGCTGTTGACCTCCAGGTCCCAATATCGACGCATGTCCAGGTAGGAGAAAATAGGTAGTACAGAGTAATCCGGCAACAGAGGCTACAACAACGCGAGATGTTCGTGAGAACATCTTTGCTTTGGGGAGTCGAAACCGTTTTAAATTCGCTTGGATTCGTAACTGCTGTTCTAATTCGGAGTTGGCGAATAAGGAAGAAGAATTGAAGGATAAGATGGGTTTCTCTCCGGGGTTAGGTAGAGGTTATATTGCCCTCGTTTACATAATATTATCTGTGGATTGCGAGAGAGGGGAGTAGCTGGACCTGGTCTGACAGGCTGACCTGACACACAATGCTGGTGCAGGCGGAAGGTAGCGAGCCGATCTGGGCAGGGGTTGGTGACGATTCGGACGGAACTTTACTTCTTAAATCCCCCCAGATTAGTGCTTCTCGAGACTCAATTCGGTCCTGAGTATTTGTTCTATTGGATTCGGGCCTCTTTGTTACCAAATAGTTGAATTGATATAAACGGAACTTCGGTCTTGTCTAGCTTTCTAGCTTCATCAGATACCTTTCAATCCTGAAATTAATCTTGACTGAATATTACATTCATGGAACCTTCGACAGGCTGCAGTCTTGCAAGCCAGACCTCGGGTTAATATAACTTACATACAACGTAACGTAACACTTAATTTGGAATATCACCATCGAGGCTGCGCTGTGAGACCCGTCCCTTCACTTTTAAATTTTATAGGCTTCATAACAAGCCTAATTCGCTCGAGGGTGGCCGAGACTTTGGTGGTAATATCTAGTTGGTAACACAAAACCTTCCCGTCTTCCGCGCCGCGGCCGTGATCATAATCATGATCATGAATTCATAGCGCTGACAGGTCGATTATCGAATCGATCAATCGAGGCCGCCAGTTCTGATCAATACAGCTGCAAAATTTCCTTCACGGCATTCAGGATTGTTACTATATGATAGGAAGTAATGAAGCCGGGATAAAGACAGTTACTACCATCGACATGTCCTGTCGACCAAACCCCGGCCTGAACAGGGATCTGAGTTAGCTTTTAGTCACCCCCACAAACACGTCTTCCCGCCATACGGGCAACGCGTCTCCCACCTTAGGACCGACCATTGACCATTGACCATTGACCATTGACCATTGACCACCACCCTACAACGATATAACCTTTGGAGGCCTAAAGGGCACCACCAACAGTCCCTCCCATCTACTCAAACACTTCAGCAGCTCGCAGTGCAGCTCCAATTAAGCACAATCTCTCAAGCTTAGCATCTCGCAAAGAACCTATCGTTCTTTGTTACGATACCAGACAAATCCTTCAGCTACCCTCAAGCTCTCGCCGGAAGGGTTCCAACCTCGTTTGGGACTATGTATTCAGGAAGGTCTACCCGTTCGAATAACGGTCAGACCAACGTTAACAAGCCGTTTAAATCGCCCGTTACCTCGAATACACCTAGAAAAAAAAAGCCTGATATATTCCAAGGACTATTGGATGACATTGAAGATAGCGACGAAGAAGATGATGAAGAGGAACCCAACGAAGTGATAGATCTCATAAGCCCCGAGAAGGCCAAAGTCTCTGTCTTGGATCCCGAACATAACGATCACATATCACTTGGAAAAGAAGAAGCAGACGACGATGAAATCGAAGAAATAGAGCAAATGGAAGAGAAGATATCGAGGAGAACAGCCACACCCGGGAAGAAGGGAAAGTTTACTACACGTCAGCAGAGGGAAACTTCACAGTACCTGGAAAGGAGAAAGACAGAGCGTGAATCAGCCACTGCAGGGACCAAAACGGGAACACTTAGGATCCCAGCAGCTGCCGAAGCACTACTGAGGCATAGTATGTATGAGAGACCTGACTCTGTGAATAAATAACTAAGACTCTCCATAATAGTCGAAAAGAACGACCCAGCGAAACTAGAGATGGAAATCCCTAAACCAACCCCGCAGAAGAGCATTAGGGAGAGATACAATGGCCGTAGGTTCATCATATTGGTACTAGAGTGATCCATTGCTAACTCGCGACAAGTTCTCAGAAGCAATGGCGTGAACCTACAACCAAGGCTTATATCGCTCCTGGATGACCAATTCGATAAGGATGAGCCTAATTCCGGTTCTGGCTCGGATTCAGACGGCTCACTGTTGTCGACTTCTAGTAAGAAAAGAAAGCGTCTATCTAGTGACTCTGATTCCACGCCAAAGAAAACCGAAGCTTCGGGAGTTACAAAACAGAAAAAGAAAGCAAAACAAGGGCTCAAGTACCGATGCCCGATGTGCAAAGAGGAGGTATCGAAACAACTTTACGAATCCTATCTCCCCGACCTGGAAAAGAAATATAAGATTGATCTTAGACGGAAGTTCCACAAATCACACAAGTTGGCAAAGGTGCACAAGAAAGTTAGCGAGTTGGATATTCCAGAGATAGATTGGGACACTCTTGAGGACCGATGCAAAGAACACTTCCCATGTTTGTCTGACATTATGACTCGCAAGACAGAGAGTCATTACCGGGACCTCTCCGAAAAGTTTTATACGAAAAAGCGAAATGATCATAAGGGTAGAACGGAGGCATTGTTTGACGATGGGGATTGGGAAAAGACTTACCCTGGTTACTACGGTCCTCGTGGTAGTGAAATAATGTGAGCTTGCTCTAATCATCCACATCGAAATTATATTATATGAGCTTTTACTAATAAAGCTTGTGACTCTAGTGGCGACGCAATCAGCAATAACAAGCTGATAAACACAGCTTTAAAGAAACTGAGTGCAAAAAAAGATATCACAACCCTACGTGGTGGCGCTGGAGCCTATATTCAGCGGATTCTGATTCCAGAAGTTGGAATTCGATTGATAATGGAGGATTTCCGAATGGCCGACGATGAGATGGACAAAGCGCGCGAGTTGATGCAAAATACCATTGACATTGGGTTACTCCTGAACCATGGGGAAGAAGATGGTGATTTAATGGGTGTGGACGATGGAATGGAATGGTGGTGGAAAGAACGAGAAGCTCAACGTTTACAAGAAGAAGAGACCGAACCATCCCAGTCCCAGACTTCGATTTATATTGAAGCATCTGATGATGAAAACTCTTAACAAATTGAAGTTTGTTGAATTATCCCTATAGAAGAGGCTAGTGGCATGTACTGAAATCTAAGTGAGGGCCTAAGTTAATACCCGAGATGTATGTACTTACTGTTCCCGTATACAAAGCGACGACGCATTCGGTGTTAGTACTGGTTCTTTCGGAATAGTCTTCTTAGGTCTTTTAGGCAAGACTGCCCTTGCTATATATACCGGTTTATAGAACAAAACCTAAGATAAATCCTCTTGGTTCTTGTATACATGTATCTCATCATGCACCATCATCACATCTCGATACTTCCCCAGTGCTAAGTGTTGATACCCAACCGGGTCAATTATCTTCACTAGCGACACATACTTTTTTTTTATCGTAGGTTCGGCTAAAATTACAGTGAGCACCTAGATTAAAAAAGTTTCGAAAGAAGGTTCTTCGGCGTTTCCTGTTGGAAAAATCTAGCTGGATGTGTATGTGGGGTCAGATGGAGGTCGGATAAGCCGAGGCATTCACAAGATCCGAGAGCGTTAACAAGTCCGAACTGAGCAGCTAATAGGAGGGAGGCGAAACAAACACTGCCACTCGCCCATTTACGTCCATCCACTCCATTCCACTCCAACCCTTTTCCAAATCTCCCTTCTCATCATACCATCAACCTCAACCTTCAACGGTTCTTCTCTCTTCGATCTGTTATTCAAGAGTGTATTATCTCCTAAACATCATCCGACTGTACCGTTCGTTACCAAAAGTATCTTGATCTTCTGCATTGTCACGAACTCCCGCGATCGTCACCTTCCTAAAAACACAAGTTACCGAGAAAAGTTGATGGCTGGAAATTGAGGCTGGTTTGTTTTGGTCCTTCGATAACTCAAGTCCTCCCACCACGTTCCGACTGTCGCAAAGTCCTTTCGACCGGCTGCTCCCGAATCCCACGCGACGCCACTAATTCGACCTCCAGACGACGAGAAAGGATAACCGTTCTAGTCGCCTACCCGACTTTCCCTATTTTTACGTCTGTAATCCCTAATGTCTGGTGTCTCGCCCCCGAAACCTTGGGAATTGGCCGGCGTTACCCCTACCCGTATGTTTTTTATTTATTTATCGATACTCAAATAGTATCAACCAAAACCGTAAATTCTAACATGTTTGGTATAGCCGCTCCTTCTACAGTCCCTCTTATGGCTTCTACATCCGGGGCAGGCGCTACAGCCGCAGCAGCTTCAGCTCCCGCTATTCCCGCCAGACCCGCCGCTTTAACATCGACTGCCGTTAATAGAATGGGTGCAGCTACGACCGGATATGGTGGATATCAGAGTCGGTTAGGAACCGGGTACGGGATGGGTACTGGATACGGAATGGGCGGTGGTTACGGAGGTTATAGTTCTTATAGTTCACCTTATTCACGGTTCGGTGGTGGTGGATATGGAGGCTATGGAGGTTATGGCATGGGAGGTTACGGCGGCTACGGAGGAATGGGTGGCTACGGAGGAATGGGGCCAGATCCAAACGACCCTAATAGCTTGATGAGGGGTATGGAAAATAGCACTGCTGCTACCTTCCAGATGATTGAGAGTATTGTTGGAGCGTTTGGCAGTTTTGCACAAATGCTCGAAAGCACTTTCATGGCAACGCACTCTTCATTCTTTGGTGAGTTTCATGATGTCAATTTCAATTTGATGGTTTATACTAATAACATTGGTTTTTAGCTATGGTCTCTGTAGCGGAACAATTCGGAAATCTAAGGACAACACTCGGACAGATCCTTGGCATATTCGCAATCATCAGATGGGTCAAGACTGGTTGGGCGAAACTCACCGGAGGACCACTCCCAGCGAGTGCAGGAGAATTAACTCCAGATGCATTTGCTAATTTTGCCAGTGGTGGAAAGGGTGCACCAGGCCGGGCATCACGCACCCCATCGAAGAAGCCCTTCGTCATCTTCTTGGTGGCGGTTTTCGGTTTGCCATACCTCATGGGCAAGCTTATCCGTGCTTTGGCATCAAAGCAGGAAGAGGAGGATAGAAGACGACAAGAGGCTATGAATGCCGCCGCTGGCGGTCAGTCCTTGGATCTTGCGGATCCAATGAAGAAGTTGGACTTCTGCAAGGTTCTCTATGATTTCACTCCAGAGAACCCAGCCGTTGAGCTTGAGGTTAAGAAGGGTGATTTGGTTGCCGTTCTCTCCAAGATGGACCCCTTGGGTAACGTTTCCCAATGGTGGAAGTGTAGGACCAAGGACGCTAGGATCGGGTATCTTCCGGAGCCGTATCTCGAACCCCTTGTAAGAAGTGGACAAGTCGTTTCTGGAGCCAAGCAGATTACAGACGGCTCAGCCAGCAGGACTGCTACCATGACAGCCGCTAGCATGAAGAATGTCGCCGATATCAGCAGCCGAACACAAACTATGACCACAACAAAGCCAGGCGATATCAGCATTGAAAGCTTCCAAAAGAGCAACTTCCTCAACAACTAAGGCCAGCCCTAGTTGTATTATCCTTCTTTCCTTCCTTCTCCCTCCTTTTCTTAAAAACTTTTGCATGGTTTTTCGTTGTCGAATTTCTTTATGGTAAATAAAGTTAACATTTGAGCGATTGTTTTGATGTCGCCGCCGTTATTTTATGCTGGACGTTTCTGCGAAGGAGTACCCATGATTTGATGCATTTCTTTAGCTTACTAGCTTGACTTGAAGATGGGCAATTGGATGTCACCATTTTTATTTTCTTTTTCCTCCTCCGTCTTATCACTTTTGTAATTTTTAGTACCGTTTACGTTTCATGGTGGCTGGTGGCTACTAGATTTATATATATACAGAAAATGCATGCCGTACAGAATATATTGAAGCTCGACTACTACACGGGTCGGTACGTCTACTAGTGGAACCAATCATAACTAAATAAACTCATCTGAGATAACTTCCGATAAATGAGTATTCTAATTGAGGTAGCACATTGGGTATCGTAGTATGGTACAATTATATTGGTGCTGGAGAGTAGTATATACAAGTTTGTCGTCCTCCGAATCCTCCGCTCGTCCGAGTTCTCCAATGCAATGTCCACCGGCGTGACTTGATATGTCCCATCAAAGTCTTTAACCATGATAACGCCATGAATTCGTGTCTCGAAATTATCGTCCGATCTCTATCCCCATGCAGTCTTTCCCCCGGTATTCTCCATCAAGCATGCCTTGCCTGCCGAATCTAGAGGGAGGGGGAATATATATCCTCATGTATTAACCTCAATGTCCTTCCACGACGCTTCCATCTTCTTCCGCTTCTCCATTGCAATATCCCGGTGTGCCTTTGTCATCGCTTTTCGTTCTTCGGAGAAACAGGCGTTAACCCGACGTTTGATATCGTTACATTGGCCTGTGGCTTTATGGATGAAGCCTTTGGAATGGCATTCTTCGAGGGCGAGCATTACGTCCAGGCAGCCTGTTTTTTTGGGGATCTTTGTTAGAACGGTGTTAAGGTGATGTTGGAGGGGCGAAAACTAACCTGGGTGCTTGTGAGGAATTAAATGAGAGTGCATTGTGGATGTCGAAGGTTGTCAGTTGAAGCCATGAAAATGTGACAGCTACGTTAGAAGGGGAAGAGAAGGAGAAGGAGGAGGAGTAGACGGGGGGAGTAGGTTTTTCTGGAGAAGGTGGACTGATGTTTTTCGGGATTTTTGTATGGAGTATTTGCGGCGGGCGGCTTAATAAACACAAAAAGGTCACCAAGCTTTCTTACCTCTCGGGTCTCTTTTCCAACAATTTCCCGTTCACGAGATTTTTATACAACCCCTTCGATATCCCACCTCGAAAAACACCTAAAAAAATACCCCACCATACACGATGTCGTCGGCATCGGCGTCGCAACCATCGGGTGCGCAGGCCGCACAGCAAAGAAAACAAGCTGGTACGCTGATAACGCTCTGTCTATCATGTTTCTATCCTCGATAATCTAGGAGTTTTGTGGCGTCCTGGATATATACATGTGGGGGGGAGGGGGGAGCTTTGTTGCTAATCTAAAAACTATTGTTATTGGATTTATAGAGCTACAGAACACCTATTCGAACTACAAATCGACGTTACAGCAGCTCGCGCAGAAGATCGGCGATGTTGAGACGGATGCTGAGGAGCATAAGTACGAAATTATACTGTTACTGCCTACTACACGCCTACACCATAACTTTCAGAAGTTTCTACGAAAGTTCTTTTTTTGTTTGGTCGATCTGAGTAATAAATGTGGCGTATACTTACGAAGATACTCTTTCGGGGGGGTTGTTCCACATAGGCTCGTTTTGGAATCTCTCACACCGGTACCAGCGGATAGGAAATGCTTCCGAATGATTAATGGGGTTTTGGTGGAGAGGACGGTTGGAGATGTTCGTCCTTCGTTAGAGACGAATGCTGAAGGGCTGAAGAAAGTTCTTGATGGATTGGTCAAGGAATATAAGAGGGTTCAGGATGAGATGGATTCTTGGAAGGTATGTATTTTTTTGATATTGCCTTCTTACTTTCTCACTTTTTCCTACCATAGGGGATTCTTTCGAGGAGACTTTTGGAACGGATTTTTCAAATTTTTTAAGACGTTTATACAACTTAAAGACATCTTAATTACTTTGAAAACTATTTCCAGGCGGACATTTCGTCCTAGACAACTCTCGGTTTCTTCTATGGAGGCAGATATGAGACTTAGTGTAGTCTGAGTGGCTATACCAGTTGTTTTTTTTTCCCCGTTGATGTTGGAGGGGAAAAAAGAAGTATAGTCGAATTAAAGGATAGAATGCTAATTATACTCTGTCAATATAATAGACAAAGAACAATGTACAGGTCGTCCAACAATAAACTTAATTCGGAATAAGATATCTTTTACGAGAATGATATGATACCCCCAAATATTCTCTTCCTGTTTTCGTTTACCACAATCTGCAACTTAGTCTGGTGAGCCGAGGTTTACGCATTGTAGTCTCGAGACTACTGCAAATCGATGGATCACCTGGACGACCATTAGAACTTACGAGAATATATTGAATAGAACCGTCCCCCCCCAAATCTACGAAAGTAAGGCAGTGCCGTGTATTAGAAATCGGGATGGCGACATCCGTATTCCCCACGCTACGGCCTGGAGAAGTTTCTTTTGAGGCCTCCCACGCTGCGTATACAGTGTGGGTCGTCCTGTCAAAGAAATCGCCAAAGCTGCAATGCCAAACATTAAGCTTATCGCCTGCTTGGGATTTTCGATTGGCGACGGAATTAAGAAGAGGAACGGCAGCCAGCCGATTGAGCTCGTGTTTATTGGTCAAGAAAAGCAAAAGGACAGTTTGCAAAGGTATGCATGTATGTATGTATGTATCTCGGAAATATCCGCCTCAATCATTAGGCGTAGTTTGTTCCATGGAAAGTGGGACATCTCATCAGGCTTCATTGCTGATGGTGTAGTTTGATATGACGTAAATTGACGGGAAAGCTCATCAGATTACAGCCGGGACAGGGCCTAGATCACGAGAGCACCCGAACGGCATGAAAATATGTTTAACAGCTCACTACTTTTCTTTCTGGATGAGTCCATCTCCTGCGGCATCGCTCTGCCGTCTGCATAAAAATTATGTATCGTACATGTGTGTTTAAATCCTATGCTTACTTTGGAGGGAGAGGAAGAGGGGGGGGGAGGGTTGAATTCGAAGTATAGCTGAGGAGAACTAAAAACTCCAAGGCTGTGGGGAGGTCGACTGTCGCATGATATTGAATGACTTGTCCACGGCACGCCAACCGGGATATGCGCGCAAATACATGCTGTGAACCCCCAACGGTTCATTCCTCATGTCTGTTCAACCAGCTCGCTACGAAGGATACCTACCTACTTGCTTACTTCGGTACGTGGTAAAAGAAAAGAGAAAAACGACAGCTAGCTGTCCCGAAGGTATGGTGATAGGTTGATGGAGGGTTGCCAACTCATCAAGGCGACCACTCAGCTTGCACTTGGCGAAACCCTTCCCACCCCCAAAAGTCCATACCGAGACCCCACTGCCGTCGGTTCCCGTCTACTTACTTGGTCCCGAATAGACGGGTATTGGATGACAGTAGTTTCCACATTTCCCCCCATTCTCTTCGACCTTCGAGACATTTCCAACATGCTTTTTTTTTCTTTCGAACCCTTGGGCGGGCTTGTCGCCCCGGTTTTTTCGATTCGGTTTGTGTCTCAACTCTTTCGTGCGCTATTGGAGAGATCTGATTTGATATTGCGGACCGGCCTGAGGAATTTAATGAGGACATGGTCGCGGAATTCGATTCGATGACGCATTGGGGAATAGTGGGAAGGATACCTTATTTCAACCTCCTGTGAAGTTTGACCCGTTGAGGCCGTGTATTTCCTATAGTAGGGCTCTCCGATCATGCATGAAGGTTCCCCATCGTATGCAGCGGATGTATTGAGAACGGTCCGTACAGCAGCTACAGCAGCGCAGTTTGGTCCAATAGGTAGGAAGGTACGTAGGTACGTATACGTATGTACTTACATTAGCATACATACCCTATAGCTTACACTTATGTATGCGCCTCCGCGGACGGTAAGTTAATAAGTACTAATGATAATGGTAAGAAAACTGTCTGGGCAGCCAGGTAATTCTGATCATGCTCCCGATCTTTTTTCTTCCGTACCTCGGACAAAGGTCCGGTGATATCAAAGTCAATGACATAATTTACTCCAGCAAAGCAAACATGTTAGTAACATCAGCACAATGGGTGTAAGTAAGAAGTATGTATCATCACAAACATGTGCAGGTATGTGATAATGTGATTTCCTCGCCACTCCGGCGCATTTTTTATATTACGAGGCTCGATGTTTTCACTCAATATTAATACCATATCGGAGGCAAATTTCAAGGCTTCCCTCGCGTGGCCATTAGCCCGGGTCCCTTGTTCTTGCTCTTGTTCTTGTTCACTTTTTTTTTTGGAAGCATGGCTATCCGGAGCCTTTAAAGGTCCGTTTTTCCCTTAAAATTGCTTTTTTGGGGTATTCCTTTTTGCCCATTTGTTTCTTTTGTTTCTGGGATTTTGAGTTTTCTCGAATCGAACAGGAACCATTGCAAGGGCATGTGCGTGTCCTCCGTTCACCGATTCTTCCGGTGGTAACGATGATTATGCCGGGTATATGTAGTTTATTGCAGAAACTTCCAGTGCAGAGATAGATAGGAAGGAAGGGAAGGAAGGGAAGGAAGGGGAGGAAAGAACGGCCAGGGTTTTTCCAGCTCGTGTCATAACATAGCCAGGGGCCAATATTACAGATGGCAAACCTGAAACCTGCGATTGAGCTCTCCATCAGCAGCGGTCATAGCACGCTGGTGTGTCTATTCTTTTCGTGTGTACACCGTACGTACGTACACCGGTAGAGTATTCCGTGCAAGGACAGCAGCCGGCCGAAAGAGGACTTTTCGTACGCTGACCGAAGTGCGATTTCTTGCACCTGCCGTGATGTCAACGTTGAGCTCTCCGAAATGATGATGATGATAATAATAAGAAAAACGTGATGTCAAGGGGGGGGGGGGGGTGGAAGCTTAGCTTGATTTGGAGGATATTGAGCCTGATACCTGAATAATACCTGATCAGATACCTGAAGCCCGGCCGCCGCTAATTCAAGAACAGACTTCAACCCGAATTAAATACGGAAGAGGTAATGTCCTTGTGTAAGTAATTATCAACTAGCTTAGCTTAGCTAAGTAAGTTAAGAGTTTTTCTCGGTGGTTGTGCTGTGGGATGGATGTTATTAAGATGTTTGCGAGTTGAAAAGGCTCAAACTCGCCACCTCATTCGCCCAACCTCGACCAACCTCGACCAATCTTCTTCCTTCCTCACGGCTTTTCGACCAATCCCAATCTCTCGCTCTTTCAAGTCCTCCAACACTAAAATAGATCGAGATCGAGCTGCAACTTGTAAGTTCCTGCTTCTGAACGAGCACAAGAGCTATCAAGCAAGATCTCGGTACCAGACCCAATTGCAAGTACGGAAGTAAAAAAAAAAAAAAAAAAAACGCCCCCCCGTTTTCTGCTTTTCTCCAGGTATTTTAATTTTCTTACGTTACTCTGTGTACGTTCTGGACCGGATTGGATTCAGTTCCAATTCAATTCAAATTCAATTCACCAGAACTGATCAGACTCCCCAGCTTCATATTCCGGTTCTTCATCTTCAGTTCCGCGTGTGCCTCGCGTTTTCTTTCTCCCTCACACTCGCACTCAAATCCTTTTTTTCATTTTGATTGTTTCGCAATCCGAATTGGTAACCTTTGTGCCCCGAAAAGAGAAACCCGAGTTATCCTTTCTCGTGCTCCCCTTCTTGCCTTGTCTTGTCTTGTCCAGTCCACGATTCACGACCATTCCCGCGTTCCAACCACAAAGCTAGCACCCGAGCCGGCCGTACCATCTAAAACCTAGTCGTTTTTCACTAACATTTTGGTCGGTCGCCTACTCCGAGCAGACCGGGGGCACCAGTTGGTTATATCATATATAAACTCGGACCTGTGAAAGAGCTCGAATCGAAAAGCAGCAATTTCCTTGGGTGGACCGAGGAACCGCCAACAGCCACAAATTCAGACGCGCAGATCGATTGGGGGAGCCTATCAGGTGTCTACCAGCGGTTCATTTCCATTTTTCATTTTTCGGTTTTCGGTTTTCAGGTTTTATTTTTATTTTTTTAAACCCGGGGGTTACTTAAGGTTAGTACCGACCCTAAGCTTGATCCGTTTTTCTTTTCCTTGCTGCTTTTTTACCTCTGCCCTTGTCGTTGCATATGCAGACAGCAGTTAAGCTTGCCGAAGCACAAGATTGCCGTCACTTGCTGGCCGAAGACATAGCTAGCTGGCAGCCACATACACTGAGAAGAAAGAAGAAGAAGAAGTATACACATCCGTATACTTACAGATACACACTTGAGTTACATTACGTTACCGTTCGACGTTTTACATAAGTAACTACCTACCTACCTGCCTACCAACCACCATCTCCCGAATACTCCCAAGTTGATCAAGACTTCAAGCTTGTGTTGCATGGGGGTGGTCTGTCCTGTCAGGCGAAAACACAGCCTGTCCGCGAACCAAAATGATGCAGACAAACTGTCCTGGTTTATGATCTTTGCGCAACACACTTGAAAAGCCCACCAGCGTCTACGAGATATCCGGTCCGATACCGCTGCTTCTGATTCTGATTCTGCTTCTACTACTTCTGCTTTTTACTGCTTCCGCCTTTACTGCTTTTGCCTTTCCTGCTGCAGGCTGCCTTTCCTGCCTTTTCCTGCCTCCATTAACGGCCTCCACGCTGTCTGCATCACGTCGGCTGGAGCGTGCTCCTGCGGCATGTTCCAAAGCACCTGCCACAGCCTCCGGGCAGCATGCTGTTTCTGCATATTCGAAAGCCAGGCAAGGACTACCAGCTACCCTAGCGACGAGGCCAGACGACGTGGGTCCTTGCTGCATAAACACATCCGCTAAAATATGCAACATGTTGTTGTCCGTCCCCATTTATATACACCCATAGAAGAAAATTTTCGCTCCTTCGAGTTCGTCGATGGAACAAGATACGCAATTGTCAGTGCCTGCAGCTTAACCTTGCAATTTGATGGCTGATTTTTTTTAAACCTTGTCGATAGAATCAGCCTGCTTTACTTTACCTGACACCTTCTGACGTAGAAGCTAGACAGGGAATCTCATTGTATTTTTGTGTAGGTCGCTCCTTTCGATACCCACTATCCGACTCCCGGGGCACATACCTCTACAGGTCTGCTGCGGCTGCCAGGAAGGAATTCATGCCCGGCCAATTCACCGTCTACAGGGTCGAACTTTTTTTTTTTTCTTCTCTCACCCTCAGATGGTTAATCTTCAGAATTATGGCGCGGATGGCCTCAACTCTCGTTTTGGGCATCTGCCACGATATTGTCTGTTTTAGATCAGCACTGATACTGGCCAATCGATAGGCTTGGGGAAATATTATAGGCCCACGCAGCAGCGAGCAATATTAGAGTGAGAGAGACAGTCTCACGGGCTGCAATTACTGTTCGCTGAATACCTCTTTCATCCCTTGCCGTAAGTACAGCTTATTTTTGCATTATTGATATTTGACTTTTGGGAGTCAACTTCAAGTCCTTCTCTCGTACGCTTCGAAAGAGGAGAGAGAGGGGGGAAAAAAAAGGGTACTATTGCATTGTTGTTGTTGTGAGCTTCCTGTGGGAGGGTCGGTAACATCAATAACTAGTTTTCTCCACATATTGCTGCTAGTCATCCTTCTCTCTCGATCACCATCCTCCCTCCTTCCTGCACCCTCCCCACGTAGAAGGCACACCTTTCCAGGATACGTTAGCCTTGCATCCGCTCCTGCAGCTTTCACACGCATATTACGCATCATCATCACACTTTACCCTTCGACGCACCCCCAGACTTTACACGACATTGACCTGCATACATCCTCCCGTGTTCACAGTCGCTTTGTTGGTGATCTTCGCTTCGACAGTCTTCCCAGGGCTTCTCTGCACCGCCAACACGAGACCTTTAGGAAGGGGGTGAATAAGCTTTGCCCTTTACCTGAATCTTTCCTTTTGCCGGTTGCCTCGATTGATTACCTTTTGGGGGTCAGAAGGCATTGCTGACACGTCATTAGTCTAGGCTAGTTTCCTGGCAATCCCACGGATCGGAAAATAGAGTGAGGCGAAATACGAAAGAGCAAGCCTATCTTTTGTGTCTTTCGCGTGGAAGCCCTAGTTTTTAGCAAAAGTCTATAAGCATGAGTGCCTCCCCGTCAAAGGCTGAGGGGCCTCATGAGGAGGATGTTCAATCCCCAGAAACCGAAGACAAAGAACAGGAGCAACCTGCAATGTACGAATTCGAGGTAAAAGAACAAGATCGATGGTTGCCCATCGCGAATGGTGAGTTTCTAATGGCTCTATTGGTTTCCTTTCTCGCCATATATACAAACCTTATGCAGCTAGTGTCTGCTTAAACTTCTTTATATCAAAAAATTTTGATCCTTGAGTGATCCCGATGGAACATCTGCAAGTCATTTTTTTGGTTTTATCTACACTACCCCCCCTTTTTTTATTTTTTTTTATTCCTCTTCTTTTAGCTTTTCGAACACTCGCATTATTTCGATCAAGGTCCCCAACCTCATGTATCATGCCGCTTGGGTACATGATGCGATCTATGATTGGCTTCTATCGCGAGAAACCCTAGTTCGACGCTATCCCCATCTACGCCGAAATCTCGCCTATTGGCCGGATGTCTTGCGTTATCATGCAGCAATCCGCACCCCCGCTTGAGTGATTTCTTTTCCCAGCTTCAGTGGGACATTGATTGCTCTTTATGCATCGTTTTGACATGCAGTTGAGAATACATCCATGCTGACGGTATCTGATGATCATGCAGTTGCCCGTATCATGAAGACGGCACTTCCAGAAAATGCAAAGATAGCAAAAGAAGCGAAAGAGTGCATGCAGGAATGCGTGAGCGAGTTCATCTCGTTTATCACCAGCGAAGGTAAGACACGGTCGAGGGCTATCCTGAGACAAAGTTTGTAGTTTTCTGTAGCGGGAACTAACTCGAACTGGCCATTTAGCTTCCGAGAAGTGTCAACAGGAAAAACGAAAGACAGTGAACGGAGAAGACATTCTATTCGCAATGACCTCTCTTGGCTTCGAGAATTATGCGGAGGCTTTGAAGATCTATCTTGCCAAATACAGAGAAGTATGTTGACCCCACCTCAGTCGATAGCCAGCTTTAGATGCAGGTACAGCAATGGTATGTTGTTCGAGAAACTAACTACTCCAGACTCTGTCGAGGGGAGGGGAATCCAGAAGCGGTCCATCCGGATCAACAGCAGGTGCAGGTTCGTCATCAAATTAGGAATCAACATATCAGGCTACATCGTCGAGGCTAGCGCTAAATCCAACCTTCATCGAAAAAGGCCAAGGCGGTTATGCCGACGCTTTTGGCCATCACATAGGAAATGGAGTCAGCGGTGCCGACGGTTACTAGACCATCGAGCCAATTCGACCATATTAGAACCTCTACGCATTAATTCATCACACAAACTCAGCATTTTCAACCCAACTCGTCGAGGAATCGGATAACATGATACGACAGATATCCGACAATAGACAGCATTAACCTCGATGAAAACCCGACGACAGAGAAATCTTCACTATTAGCAACTTAAAGATTTTACACAGTGCGCCATTAACAGTACGCTACCTCCCTTCTTTTCTTCGAAAGAATCTTTTCCTGTAATTGCTTTCTCCTTTATTTGGTTAAGAGAACCCTTTCGAAACACCACACCTACCTGGTTACGACCCTCCTACATTCCGGTGCGACAATTTTCAACAATAGTTCAGAACTGATTCTTTTAGCTGGCTGCGTGGTTCGACAAGCAGGGAGAACGCCTCACTTTCTTCCAAACGGCCGGCCGGTAGCGACTATTGTCCTCTAAAGCTTCGGTACCAATCAACTAGCTAGCTTCAGGGTCACTACTATCATCGTAAGATTGCTTTTGTGTGCACGGTCCTTTTGTTTCTTTTTTTATTTCTAAACAAATTGGTTCTCGATACTACTTCCATTCTACTTGTTGTATTTCTACACCTGTTATTTCTCTCCTTTCGGCGTATCGTTCCATGGTATCCTTTTCTTTTCTTTTCTTTTTTTATATATCTATCTCCAGAATGTACTACTTTTTGCATGCATTATTTCTCTTCCTTTCTTTTCTATTCTTTTCTTTTTACACGGGAACAACTGGCAAGCCATATCCATCTTCAAAGCTTTCTTACATCTCCACATCGGGAACAATTTCTCATTTGTCTCCATACTTTTTTCTCCTTCTTCTTCTTCTTCCCTCCTACATACTTGACTGTGACTTCCTGCGTCCTTGTAATCTCATTTGTACACGGCGAATTTTTATACTTGCGAAATAAGAAAAAAAAAGAGAGGGGGGGGGTGGTAAAGAGGAAGAATAGAATAAGATAAACCTGGGGGGGGAGGAGTGAGTTGGTCATATCAGAAAACAAAAAAATGGTAAACCTTTATCTAAAAAAAAAAAGAATGCGGGGGGTTAAAAGAGGAACATCTAGAGACAGAGACAGAGACAGGGAGAAAAGAGAGAGAGATCTAAAAAGAAAAAAGCAAGGGATTCATGGCAAGCAAAGATCAAAAGATACATATATACACACTTCACAACAACAACAAAAAAAAAGAGTAGAAAAAAAAAAATAACAACGGGAATCATTTTAACTATACTTTAGATTGCGATATATCCATCAGTCTTGCGAAAGCTACAGGCGCGATTTCCATATTCACAAAGTCCCTTTTTCTTGTTCCTCCTCCTCTGCTTCTTTGTTTCCTCTTTTTTCTTTTTTTGTATTTTTTCTTCTTCTTCATAAGTATCTACAATTTTGTTATATTAGTATACAATTAGTGCAAACCGCTCTAGCTCTCCGTGTTCCCTTTTCTTTAGTTGAAGTCTCCCATGTGAGAACCCCACGTCTTAAAACCCGGTCCCCGGCACTTGGGGAATGGGATGCATTCGCAACCTGTAAATCTATAAACTGATCTCGATTCGTATATATCCTCGATCTGGGCCTTTCCAAATTTGGAATAGTCGTGGTCGAAATATCCAACATTATCCCAACACATAATTACGCCCTCAACCCGTTTGGATCGAAGTGTACTATTGTATATGGGGCGCCCGCTGGAAATCCGGGAAATACACAAGAGAGAAATGATACATACCAATCCCCTAAAAGTTTCACACTAATATCGGAAGGATAGGGTTCATATATCAGAGTTTAGTCTTTTCATTTCATCCTTTCAAATGAACCGACTAAACCACGGCACATGCATATCGATAAACCCTTCGAGCTAACCGAAAGCGCGCGAACATAAAAATATTCCAACAGGAGCCCAATCAAAGGAGAGTTTCAACGGATGAAGGGGAAAGAGAAAATAGGAAAGAACAAGAGTCTGATGGTACAATGAGGGCCCCAAACATAGAAACCCTAGTCCATAACATCACTATCCTGGTAAACCCGTTAGTTACGAGAATAGAAGAAAAAAAAGTTTGAGCACATATATACTGTGGCTCAGAGCCCATACGATAGCATGAAGCCTCTTTATTAGTCGTCCTTTAGCAAATGCTCGAGTCTTAAAAGATTCTAAGACTTGTCGGATTCGTCGTCGACATGAAGTGTTGGATCAGCTCCACCAGCCCCGACAGAACTGCCAGTCGGCCCTCGCATTCTCCGGAGTGTTTCCTGTTGTTCTGGGGTCATTGGTTGATTAAGTCGAGGAAGACCGGCTGTACCTGGCGCCGGCCCGCGACCCTCAAATGTCTGTCCTTCTCCACTTTGTCCATCCCCGCCTTGGCTAGTACGGCGCGCTGTAGAGCCGGCTCCGGATGCCCCTCGTTGGTTGTATGATCTTTGTGTTCCTGATGGCCCTGCACCAGCAGATGATCCTACATGCTCTCTCTGCCCCCCTGAACTGCCTGGTTCTGGAGGAGCAGGGTTCTGTCGCATATTCTCAGGTATAGGCTTTCGGCGAGCGCCACGGGCGATTGTTCGAGCTGTCCGACCAATCCAACTGCCGACACCCCTAATTGATCGTCGAATTTTTTGGCTCCTAGACAAGGTAGGATCGGGGATGTTGGCCGCTGTGCAGCTTTCGCACATGCCACCTACTTCTAAACTCTGATTATACCGGCAGTTTTGCGGTTGGGTCTCCTCGCATACGACTTCATCGCGCGACTCGTGTTTGCATCCACTGTGGCGCATCTTATGTGGGTGGGAACCTGGATATGCATATGGATCATCCTGAACTGTTTTGGGGGGAGGTAAATTCTTGCGGGAATCGTAGGTTTTGGTATGTGCATTTGGATGTGGATGCTTTGTCAGGTCGATTGGCTTGCCGAATTCGTCTGCAGGTACCTCGGGCAAGAATGGTGCTGCCGTAATGGCATCAGGGTCCTCTTCTTCCTCTTCTTGCCCGAGAGGGCTAGGTCCACCCGAAGCTTGGGAATCGCTAGGCCCTGCTTGATTTCGCCTGTTATCCACAGCGGGGGTTGCGCTCCCCTGGTCACTGATAGGGGTTTTGCCTTTGCTATCTTCCCCCAGAGGTCCCTCGTCAGAAGGAGGGCCGTCATCGTCGGAATCATCGTTCGCCCCGTCATACCACCTCATAAGGCTGTTATATCCTTTTGCATTCTCGTATAGTTTCGCCCACCTAGTTGGCGAAGTCTCAGATTTTTTTGGTTTGAGCTCGCGAAGGGTCTCCTCAATAGAGCGATCTACCAAAGTCAATTAGAGTACTTGAGGCCATCAAGGCATGATATAATTCTGAAGGTTGATAAGCAATTATAGAGCCTAATCGTACCTTTTAGCTCAGCAAGCAATTTGGGCCCGGGTGCTACAGGGCTTTCGGCCGTATCATTCGAAGGTATGGTGGGGAGTTCGGTGGTCTGGCTATCCTGACTAGTACTTGTGGCAGATTGGGCCTGCCTGGCAGGTCGAAGAGAAGCTCGAGGAGGGTTTTGTGCAAAGACACTTCGATTTGGCGAGTTATTCCTGGAGCTAGAGGCGCTTTGGGAAGTAGCCGCGAGACGAAGGTTTGATTGTGAACTGGTATAAGTTTTAGAAAGCCCAGGTTTCTTTGCAGGAGGAATTTTCGACGGACCAGACATGCTGGCGGCGATCTCTTGAAGACGTCAATACGGGATAGGAGAAAATTCGAAAGATATGAAGGAAGGCAAGTCCGAGAGTGGTGAAAGTAAGGGATACATGGAGAGATCAAAGGCGAAGAGATATGGTAAGGAAGAAGAAGGGACGAGGAGGGGATTCAAGGCCATAAGGTAAATATGTCTGGATTTACAAAGCAGAGCGTCTACAATATTTATGTCAACGTATTTTGGTGTCAGATCAGAAGCCAGATCACTTCAACAAGCATAACGTCCCGTTTCTAGGGAAGTGGAGATGGGATGGGTGGTTCGGGGACATATAAACCATAAGTAAGTAGGTACCTAGATACAAAGGAGTAAAGATACATTGCCTGCCCAAAAGTACTGTACCGCAAGAGAAGCCAGGCGTGTGTGGCTTAAACAAAGAATGACATTCCGACATACACAGTAAGTCTCGCTCTTCCCGTCGTTCCTTCCAAAGACTCCATTCTAAAAACGAAAAAATGCAGGGAAGGGCCCCAATCTTCCTCGGAAGGAATCTCATCCTCCGCTAGTAGTTCACATAACATACAAAGTGGTTGTGTCTAAATTGAAATTGGTGTTAGGGAGGTATACGATATTGATGGTATCGGGATAAATATACGACCAAGAACTCACCTAATGGATGGCTACAGCTCAACTGTGGCTTTTGTTGATATTTACCTTCCAACTCTTCACGAATGTTATTAAGAAGCTGGTGGTAACTCTGCTGTGGGTCTTTCTTTAAGGCGCTGATGAATGCATAGCTCATGGCGCCAGTTGCCTCACCGCCTTCAAAGGTATCAGCGCTAAGCAATATTGTTAGTATATTAAGCTTGAGAAAATGGCGGTAAAAAAAATAAAATAAGATGGAGTACATACGATGTTTGAACATCCTTGGAACCAGACCACTGAATAACATCTGCGGGAGATGTTTTGGTTCGTTTCGCCACATCATTAGCTTTAGCTCCAACAGTAACCTTCTTAATTATCCCAGTAATTGATGAAGCAGCGCCAGCAAGATCGTTCCGGCTGAACGAAGCGAGAGCGCCGAGAAGACCCATACCAGCCTCTTTGGCCAGATCTGGTTCCTTGAGCACACCTTTGGTGGAGTAGAGATATGGTAGATCCAAGGCTGATCCGGAGTGACAGGAGTCAAAGATGGCTGTTAATCTGACACCCGGCTGGAGTGAAGAGACCCTATTCTATAGTATTAGCAAGAGAAGTTGTTGTGGTTTAAGAGGAGTGAGTTTAACTTACATGATTCTGTGCATCTCATCATCAACAATCATACCTGAAGTACGGAAGTCGACGGGATAAATTGTCTCATCATACCCTGTATCTATATTAGCAAAGCCCACAAGGTACATTGATAGCATTGATAGATCTCACCATCGTCTTCATCACCATCTGTATCTTTCTGCTGACCGCCGTGACCAGAGTAATGAAAGAAGAGGGAGTCATCTGGCCTTGCATCTTTCACCAACCAATGCATAGCTCTGAGAATATTCGCCTTTGTAGGCTGACTGGATGGATTCTGCTGATCATCAGTTAAGATAACCATATCTTCCAAGGCGTATCCATAACGCTCGTTCAAGAAAGTTTTCATATTTTTGACCTAATATTTTTTCTAATTAGTGAATGAACGATTATGAGAAAGGTAGGGAAGTCACGAACGTCGTTAATGCAACCCCTAAGTTGTCCACGCTGTCCAAAATAGTTGATACCGATCAACAAGGCCTTTCTACGTCCGGTGCACTTGCTGGGAACCCAATTGTAGTTGAGTCCCTGTCCAAATGACTGTGGACCTTGCACTGGCCGAGGAGCGTTGTGATTTCCTCTCGCATATTCATTGTTGTTATAACTTGCCATGTCTGCACGATTTATTAGTTATTTTCTGATATCAACTCAATCGATAATTATAGAGTTCATACTTGGTCGGGGGCCCTCAGTGTGCCCGTAGTTCTGATTGGGATGGTGGACATGTTGGACGTTCGGTGGTGGATAAAACCCACCACCCTGTGGAGGTGGTCCCGAGGGTGGGCCATAATTTCCATATTGCTGCTGATTCTGCGGCTAGACATGAAAGTTTCTTGTAAGATAGGCCGTAGTTAATTTATCTTCAGTAAAGTATGCCTACCGGGTAGTTATATTCGGGCCCCGGGGGTGGTCCAGATGGTGGGCCGTAGTTACCATACTGCTGTTGAGGAGGGTACTGTGGAGGCGGGGAGCTATACTGATTCTGTGGTTGTGGGTAGTTACCATACCCTTGCTGATGATGGGGAGGTGGTCTGGGCAAAGGGTCTACGGATCAGTCGGAGGGTCGAGTATATGTTGAACGTATTGAACGGCAACCTGAACTTACGAATAGTAACCTCCTCCTCCCTGCGGTGGAGGACCCTGGGGAGGGTAATACTGGCCCTGCTGTTGATTCTGCTGGTGGGCGTGGCTGCCCGGATAGTACGACATGTCGAAGGCTGAGGAATGCTTGCGTACGCAGATACAGAGTCAAAGAATCAAACGAGATGATTGTTTAATGCGAGATAATATCAGAATCGAAACCAGCCAGAGGTCGGTCCAGGAAAGAAAACGGAACCGTGAATTCGTACGACAGCGCCGAGGAGTCGAGGATGGGGAAGAGAAGGAAAGGATAAGCCGCAGCTGAGGCGCCTTAGGTCTAGCGAAGGCAACTGCCTGCAAGTAGGTGCAAGTGAACGTGCCGATTCGATTAAGCCAAGATAAAAGCCGCAGTCAAACGTTAGTGTGTCAACGGCTGCTTCCGAGCCCTCCAACACAATCGATTCCAAGTACGTACTCCGCAATGTTCGGATCAATCGGGACAGTGGTGATATCGATGGGATGTGAAATGCCGACGGGTATGTATACGCGGGTACGGCTACGTATGATATTAAGAATTACGGAGGGGAAATTTGTGATATCGGTTCCTAAGATTGCGAATTTGTCGTCTGCGGAGTCGAACTAACACACAAAGGGATTGTACTTGTCTATGCAATGATTAATGAAACTGCACTTTCGAATCGTTCTTGGCTCTCAGCCATGTTACGGTCCAGATTATCCGAAAAGTGGGGTCGATGGACAGACACATGCACAATACTGCACTTTCAGTTTCGTGGCTTTTGCCTTAAAGAAGCAGCGATTTCCAGTGCCGACTTGCTTGTGCCGCACAGATCTAGCCACAATATGCCGCACTATAGCTATTACGCTATCGGCTAAATCGAGGTTGAGTTAGCGGTATCTACTTGAGTATCTAGAGACGATTTAAGATTGAAATAAAAAAGAGGGGAGTTAAATTTGCGGTAAATATAATTATGACGAGGCCATGAATAGGAAACAGTTCAATGAGATTTGAAAGACTGAAACATTATTGGAATCGAAATTATAGCTATAGCTACTTTACATATATGCATGTGCATGTGCAGGCTACGGCGTACGTATGTACATGCTGATATTGTAGTACTATCTGATTATCCTCGACTGATAGACTGTCCTCAGTTATGATTAAGGTTGGAGCAGTCTGTAATATGTCACGCCGCAGCTAGCTGGCGGGCCAAACGGGTAAAAATTGTATGGTATTGCCTAGAGGCTCCAGCTAACTGACTAGTATATGTATCTTTCGTAGCAACTTGGGTTCATTTCATACGTTTTTCGAAGATATCTAGATTTCGATTTAACGAAAAAAATTTCACTTTTGAATTATTTTTTATTCATTTAAAGGGTTGCTTTACAAAGTATCTCTGCAGGCAAGGCTAAATCATCCTTATTTTGCTGTTGTGTATATATCCAAAACTAACTTAAGTATTCGGACCAGCCTTACATTCGGATATTCTGTACCGATTGGCTGTCATTGAACGTCGAATATAATTGCAAGCAGGCGCCGCCGCGCACTACCCATCATGAGATGAAAATGCATAGCCTCGTCCCTGTTAATTAATTGTCTTTTAGAAGGAGACGGCAAGTTCCGCAATATGTTTGGTTTTGTGAGGGCATTGCTTTGCTTTGCCCTGGCGGATATCTACTCCATTCTCGGACAGGATGTTACGTTACAGGATCGACCACAACGAATAGCTGTACCTTTACATAAGACTTCATTAGATACCCCAAAGGCCGAAGGAATCAAGCAATCCAATCACAAGTTGCTCTTTGTGTTACATAGCTTGGGCTTGAAGGATATCGGAAATACCGTTGACTTCCATGCAGCCTTAAGGCCTTGTGAAACCTTAAGTGCAATGTTGATAAATCACCAAATTTATCACAAACTACACATAAAACGTTCACCCAACTCGATGTGACGATTAAGGAAAGTCTGAGCGAAATGCTAGTGCCGAGATATTGGCTATTACGTTTCTAAGTATATTCCAACAACTAAGCGACATATTTCCTGTATTGTGTACTAGGAGTAGTGGCTTTGCAAATTTGAAATTTTCATATAATTATGATTTTGGTGAATTCGAATTCGTGAAAACATGCGTTTTCGACCGTTAGCACTAGACGCCTCTTTCACAATTATCTGCCTTTCACAGCTCCTACGCTTAGTTTCTATGCCTCGAGACTCTTGGTTGCCATAGACGCAATGCTGGCGTCGATAGAATAGCTGAAATGTATCATCACACCTAATTCAAAAAGTTTTTTTATAGTTTATAAATACCGTATGATTATACGAACTGCTTTATCCTGCACTGTACAGGAGGCATCCTATAATCTAGACTCCCTGCATTGCAATTAGACTGCGGTAGAGTAAATCAAGCCTATTCAATCCGCCCAAGCATTTTCTCTCTTCTAATATATATACGTATTGAAGGCCCTATTTCGTTACCAATCGAAAATTATACATTTGGTTGTAAAATCAAACATAAGCCAACATCCAAATCATGAAGCTGTCAATTCTTAGCACCGCTACCGTTATCCTTGCCTCTGGCCTTGTCGAACTAGCAACTGCCAGTTGTTTTCAGTACTGGGAAGGCACAGCACCATTTTGTGACTCCAAATGCCCTGCTAAAGTAGCTGGTCGTGTCTGCAAAGGGACAGGAAATTTTTCAAGCTCCGGTAAGTAGTTTACAGGGATTTCAGTGTACAAATAAACCCGTTGAGATAAGCCTACGAGGTGTAAAAGCTAATAAAACATCAAAACATAGGGAATGGTGGCTCGTGCTGGACTGGTAAAAAGCAGCTCTGCGAGTGTTGCGGAGCTGGCCCACCAGGGGACCGAGCTTGCCTCGATCCACAATCCAAAAAATCCAAGTGTGTCGGTCTAGTCCTTATGTGTTCGAGAATCGGAAGGAGGGAAGATGGGTCTGAGATTGTATGTTCAACCTATGCCTGCGGCTCCTGCTTCTTTGGTTAGGGACAGAAAGGGAATTCGGAACATTGGCCAAGAGACGGCAGAAACTGATAACTAATCGGTGGTGTTTTGCTATATTGGGATCAAATTGCTTCGTCTTATCAACGTGGTCTTGTTATTTGCTATCAAACTGTGGATTGTGTGGAAGGGGACCCATTTCTATGTTGGCGTTAGTTGTCTTATGGGTTAATTTAAACCCCATGATAGAAAATACATATTTTATATTTCTGGAACTACATAATTAAGCCTTTTCTATACGATATGTAATAAACCGAGGAGTTCTATTAAGTCGCCCGTGGCCACTCTCACATTTGGCAGCCCAAAGATCTAAATGCATGCTCTGCCGTGCATGTTTTGTCTGCGAATATAGTTCGAATTCAGCTATGGCTGGATGGGATAAGGCGACCCGTTACCTAATAATGCGTTTTGGCCAGAAGACACATATAGAGTCCATTAACTCCAATATTCAAGATATTTTCTAAATTTAATACATACTATCTATTTAGTTCCGGCCCGGTGTGTGTTTAAGCTGTAGTAATCAATTCGGGCTCATGGTTTGCTTATTCTGATACCGATACGCGTAGACCTAGTGGCCGTGTAGTTGGTTTTAGAGCGACGGAAATTTGACTTTACGAAGTTAGCTATAGAGCGGGTAGAAAACTGCAATAGATTTATGTCTATGATGTTCAACATGCGCACCGGGGTAGCCGGCGAGCCGTTGCATTGCCGGGGTGAAACTGTTGGTTAGTCTTGTGTAACTCGTGTGTATGGGTCTGGACAGAGTTCAGAATTTTATTTTATATTTTATTACTGGTGTAACGTGGGACAAAATGAATTGGCTCATAGTTAGTGTGTATACAACAAAACCCCCCACCCCTCCCCCGAGTGTGCATGTGTGTTCTTTGAGATAAAATACATATACTTCCTGTCTTAACGAGATTTTTGAGATCTGGAGAAGTTCGCCAACTAAAGCTAAGAAGACCGACAAGATCATGGGATCCTAGCCAGAGTATGTAGAGCGATGTATTCTTGCAAGTTAAGTTGTGGCAAGTGCGCAGCATTCAATCTATTTACATCGATGATACTCTCAGGAAGGAGCCCCGAGACGGGGCGGATTATATTTATATCATGAAGTTAGAGGGTATAGGTAACTCTTTTGTGATGTCTACCGGGCTGGTATACCTTGGCTTGTCTTTGGATATAGAAACCCCACCCATGATACGCCACTTTGCATCTTTGAAGGTAAGTTTCCTGATGAGCTCAACAAATCGGGGTTTCAGCTGAAACCCTTCGGGGAGGAGACTTTTTCGGAATGCGGCCTCAACATAATCCTCCGAATAACAGGCAACCAGGCCCATGATAAAATGACAGTTATCCTGTAACCCCAGATGAAATGCTCTTTCTAAAGCAGCCTTCCCTTCTTCGAGGGCCGTATCTACGTCGTTGTATCTCAGGAATACGAGGCATCTCAAGAGGTGGATGTCAACTAGGTCGGAATCTGAAGGGTTTGACATGTCAACCTTATCCAAGATGCTGACATCGCTGTCCTTTTTAGCAGCAGATGCGATCACAAAGGCAAAGTAACAATCTAGGTCGATGTTCGTCTTGTCAGTGATTTCAAGATATCGGTTGACAGCCGTCACGACGCCATCATAGTTGTTTTTCTCGAGTAATTTCTTCCACGCAATAGGGTACCATTCTCGACGTTTTTGAGATACCGCCTCCTCTGAGCTTAAACTCGACATAGAACCATCTAAGCTGAGCTGCGAAATTTGGGATCGATCTAATAGAAGTTTGCCCGATATGTTAATACTGATGTTGCTGCTACCCTTTACGGAGAATGCCCAAATTTAAGAAAGCATTGTAGAAAGATTACCTGAATCCCTAGGCAGAAAAGCAGGCGAGCTGTTCCTCGTAGTGGTAGGAGTAATTCGATTATCTCCAGCTTCGGTAGAGGCCACAGAGCCCGGCATAGTTTTATCAAAAATTAACCGACGTCGACTTGATATTGTGCATCAAGTCTACCGCTATGGAGTATTCGACGCGATGACTGCACAACCCCGCAATCTGATCTCGCGCTTTGGATTGCATTTTTGGACCGTGACGCCGCCCTAGCGCTTCTGCAACATCTTTCGGCTGCAACATAATGGGCACCCTCTATTCGACTTTTTATATATATATCCGGTGGAAAACCGGCCTCAAAGCTGCGAAGCTCGGACGAAATCGGCACGAAATCGGCACCAACGGCCTCTTTCTCGTACGACGAGTTCATAATTGTTAATATGCTAATGATTTCTGGTCTTTAAAATGGGGAAATATAGTAAAGCCGGACTTAAATCCGGAGTGTAGGCTGAAGCCACCAAAAAAGAACGCCAACACAATATTGATTCTGTATCGTTCCTACAAGTGATATCATTATGCGGTCTAGCTAAGGCTAATTGTCGCTTCTGACTGGCTCTAAACAATAGTATACTAGATATTAGGTATTAATATTGTTAAGGTCATCTCAGCCGTCTTGTTATTAAGATTATTATGTAATTGGTGAGACGTTCTCGTGCTCCGATGTAGGGTTTGGCTTATATCTATGCCTCCAGACTACTTTCAATTCATATAGGGCGCCGCGGCCACAGCTTTTGTCTATTTAAGGGACCTCGCCCCATGGTGTACATACCTTTTTAATTTTTTGAATAAACCCGATCCCTCTAGCTTCAGAGTCTTTCAAGAAAGGTTAAACAAATTCTATTTCTTCCATCTCAAACATATATATCTACCATGTCAGAAAAGACAATCGTGGTGATCACTGGTGCGAACACCGGCATTGGATACGAAGCCGTCAAGGCCTTTTTGACAGCCTCACAACCATATCACATCTTTGTGGGAGGGCGTAGCCCAGAGAAAGTCGAATCTGCCATCAAAAGTTTTGGCGATACAGGAATCCACACTTTGGTCCCGTTCCAACTCGACCTTCTATCTGATGACTCGATCGCAGCTGCGTATGCAAAAATCAGCGCCGAAGTTGACCACATTGATGTTCTTATCAATAATGCTGGATGTAAGTTTCGAGGTCTTAAGAATTATAGTTCGATTAGACGTAGAACATGATTCCTAACTTAAGTCTTCTACAATGTAGCCGCCTCTAATACTCCAACTACTCGTGCAACTCTAATTCAAGATTATAACGTCAATGTCGCCGGAACTTATGTCGTAACTGACACTTTTCTTCCACTGCTGATCAAATCCTCAAATCCACGCCTTCTTTTCCTTACTAGCGGTTTGTCATCTCAAGAAGAAGCTGGGCAGAAGGATAGCCCTCGCTATCACAACCCACCTGCTGGCTGGCCGAAACCCCCAGCTCCAGCGTTTTTGAGTTACAGAGCGAGCAAAACGGCGTTGAACATGGTGATGATAGACTTCGACAGATTGTTAAAGAACGATGGAGTAAAAGTCTGGTGCATTTCACCCGGCATACTCGCAACGAATCTGGGTGGGAACCCGGAGGCTCTCAAGAAAATGGGGGCTGAAGACCCTTATCTCGGTGGGTTATTTATCAAGGGCGTTGTCGAGGGAGCAAGAGACAGTGATACTGGAAAGGTGATCAGGCGACACGAAGTGCAACTTTGGTAAATTGTTAAATTTTAAAGAGATAGTTTTCTAAAGTTTAAGAATCAATTATAATGTAAATTGCTTATATTTTAAGTATTCTAGTCAAAGTGTCGTATTCATGAATCGTAAATCAAAATCGCTAAGTTATGTTATAGTGTACAGTATCGCCCATTAGTGTGCATGGGTAGGGTTTTCCATACAGTACTTCTGGCATTCCTTGAAAATAGCAGCCTGCTTGCTTACTTCTGCTAAGCGACCGATGACCTGTTTGTTGCCATCATAAAATCCGTACAGGGCGTATGGGATCCCAACTTCTTTGCAAAATTCCATAACATATTTTTGGGCTTGCCGAAGGTTATGACGAGGCATACGTGGATACCTATTGTATATTTGTTAGAGAATTGGTTAAATGTTGCAGGGGTTGATTTGCTTACAGGTGGTGGATGGCTTGGAACTGCAACCCTCCATGGAAAAAATCTAGCCATTCCGGACAATCGACGTCCATAGTAGTTCTCAACATCCTCTGAGGGAAGGATTCGGCTGGTCCAATATCCGAAGTGCTCATGGCAAAATGGCTTAGGGTGATTTGTACGTGAACAGGCATGGGGACGACATGGCTGATTGCGAAGAAGATAAGTCGATCCTGAGTCGTGGGGAGGGATTTGTAGATAACCCCATAGCCATACCAGACCCAGAAAAGAGCCATAGCGAAAACTTCAGCATATCTATGCCACCAAGCGATCCCGTTCTTTGGGGCCTGCCCAAGAAGGATATATTCCCAAGAATTCCGGTAAAGGTTCAGCCTGCCAAAACATAACATCGGATAATAGAGCCAGTGCTGGGCGCGGATGACGAATTGAGCGAAACGATCGTAGGGTAAAATACGGTCGTAGTATGTTGAGTATACATTCCGGAACAGCTTCTGGTCGATAGCAAAGAATGGTAGATGCTGAATATCGGGATCGTGCTCTGGCTCATTTGTTACAATATGGTGGACCTGTAAAAGCCATCAGCACGGACGGAGAGCAGAAAGGCGAAAGAATATGAAGCTTACATTGTGGCTACGTTTCCACCAGCCAAGGGAAAGACCACCACAAAAGTCTGCAACGAATATACCGATAAAACTATCAATGGCGAAATTATGGGTGATACCCATGTGTCCGGCGTCATGAGCTGTAAATGTAAGTTGGTGCCACCAGATGCCCAGAAAAAGAGCTGAAAGTTTGAACCAGCCGGTTCGCAAGAAATATATAAAAAGGCTGAAGAAAGTCAAATATCGGAGGCATTCCCAACCATATGCCCCGTAATTGCATTGGTAGAGGCCTTTGTCACGCAGTTTCTGATCGAGCTCACGATACTTGTTTATGACGTTTTGCTGTGTGGCTGGGTCTAAAGAAGGATAAAGATCGAGATCTTCTTGTAGACGTCTCTCTACTTCTTGTTTCAATGACAGAGATGCATCGCCTTCACCATCAGACACCGAAGAAACCGAGGAAGTATCGGCGCCTCGTTTTCTCTGCCTTACTCTCGGGTCAAGGATAAAATCGCGCTCACTGCTGGAGCTTGTAGGGGTTGTCGATCCAGAGCTAACTAGGTCCGAAGAAGTGATATTTACGGGGTCAATTGACATGTCGTTTTCATTGGGGCAGTCCTCGTCGATAAGCCTAAACTTGCCCCCCTGAATCGGAGGTCGGAAGTTCACCCAGGGACCCTGAATTTTGCCAATCTTGAATTTCATCATGATAGCTTTAGCCTCAGCAGAATGCAGACTAGAAAAATCAAAAGTTCTTATCAGCAAATATAATTTAAGCTTGAGAAAGCTAATTGAATTGCAACATACGCTGTAACTTCATCCGTGGCATCTCTGCCTACCATATGCATGATGGCTTTGTCGCCGCCAGGGTGGTATTTCAGCCATGGGTCGACCTTCAAAACTTTGTCGTTGACGATAATGACCTTCCTTCCTTCTGCAATCAAGTTCTCGACTTCCCGTCTCGAAAATAACTTCTCTTCAACCTCTCGACCCATTTTCGACGATGTGACTGAGACAATGGGTAAGTAGAATCCGGGGGATCGAGTTTTGTGATGCTTTCAGTAGGTGACAAGGGGCTCAGAGCTTGAAGCGAGCTGTTTCGCAAAACACAGCTGCAGGTGTTTTTGATTTTAAGCTTAAATACACATCACAAACGTCTGAAACCCACTAGACAGCTATCGCGCATTGAGGGGAAAGGACGATATATCGGATTCGGGATCGAGAAGAGCCGAAGGAAATAGCTGGAGTACGTATCAAAGTCGTAAGCTCTGTCGTAGGATGGTTAGGTGGTCGTTATAGGAGGCAGTTTGCGACTGCAGAAAAGGACGTGGTCTGATACGCATCCGGTCGCCAAGTTCGCCAGAGATTGCCCAATCAGCCCCACACAACGCGGCACGAGCGTTGCATTTTGTCCAGGGAAGCAAAGCGTACGTTTAGTGTCGAAACTGACGACGAACAGCGCCAAATATTTCACATGCGATTTAAGCACATGCGAGGCGTATAAGATATGAAACATCATCGATTTAGGAATTGGCCGATATCAATAAATCATTCTTGCATAAAAATAAATATATGTAAATAATGATGATGAAACTTCGTATTGAATCACTGTTTGGCCCAGATATCGATAGTTTAGTTACTATGTTGTCACCCCCTTCAACTACCTTCATAATTTGCGAAGACTAATGCTTGTAATCAATGTAACGTTGAAGTGTAGATAAATATTTAACTATTTGTAATAGTTATTCGGCTGCTGGGAGAAATTTAAAGGTTGTTAAAAAACCAATCTGCCCTAAAAAGTTGTATCTACCACCGACTGTCTCCTATAATAGATAACTTAATATCTTAACAATATCTTGTTTTCGAGTGCTTCACAATATTAGGAATCAGTTCTTGCGAATAGTAGATGCTAGGAGCAATGATTTGGTTAGATTGCTAGTAGATTGACCCTGAAACCGCTGATTTATGAGCTGTCTTTAGTTACATCAGGCCTCCAAACATATTCTCCAGGATAAATAATCAGCAGCCCATGGGCAGCTCCAGCTATATATGTCGAATCAGTATTTCTAAAATTTCGAAAATGAAGATCTCTAAGTTTCAATGGGCGGGACGATATTTATGTGTTTACAAAGCGATTGTATGCTTGCGAGCTTGTTAGAGAAAAAGTATCTTAAGAATCTAGATAGCCCTTTAAAAATAAATACTGCATCCGATATCCTGAAGATTACATTTTTATACCACTACACCTAACTAGCTCGGGAATTGCGACCACTCTCTAAGCTCGGATGGCACTAATGAGCGAATTGGTATACATTCGTCAACACAATCGGTATTGGGTTTAGTGAGTATTTTGACGCGCATCGACATTCCGCTGGCTAACGTCTCTAGGCTTGGCAACAAAGCTTGGCGGGACTTCTGGATACCGAAGGCGAAGAAGTGACACTTGGGAGTCTTGAGTAGTGTCAAGGACTAGGTGGCGTATAGACTCCTAGGATTCTGAAACCATACTTGTGTATCCCGATTTCTGATAACAGGGCTCTAGAGACAATATATTTTTTGGATGTTTTTAATAATTAATTAGCTTGAAATTGATGAAAATATCAATTTCATAGAAGCTGTTGACTCGATGAGCGGGCAGCCTCAATTAACTTCCCTTCAGGGGCCAATTTTCAAGATTACAAGAACCCGATGTATCTCTTGAAAGGTAGTGCCGGCTTGTATAGAGGTTCCCGCCACATAGAGAAATACTTTATCCGAGCTGCCGAGGACCCAGTTCTAACAGCATGCAAGTTGACGACTTGAAAAAGCAAAACACCATGAATAGCTACACACATCTAGATATCTGGTTCCGACTGCCTCTCGCAACCATAATTAGTTTACTGTAAAGAATCTACTTCATCATAATCGGCTCCTAGGACCCAACTGGTACGGGAGACCTAGATAGGAGGACCTGATCTGGAAAGACCGCTTCTACCTATTCTTCTTAAAATTATATAAATACTCACTGTGACTTTACGGAAATGGACTACTTTGTTTTTTATCCTGTTCAGCATTTACTCCATTCCTTCCCGACATCCACATTCCTTTGTTGTTTTTGGCTGCCTTGAACCTATCCACGACCAACCACGATCCTTACGATACAATTTTATAAGGCGTTCATTTTCGATCAATATATAACAAAATGAAGTTCTTGGTTGTTGCACTTGGGACTCTCGCATGCGTTGGAACCGTTTTTGCAAATGTTGCCTGTGATGCAGCTTGCGCAAAAATGCAGTGTTTCTCTTCTATGTGTTTGCAGAAAGGCTATGGTAGGTTTACCAGTGGGATCGTGTAGTTGAATGTACGCATACTATGCTGACAGATTTGGAACAGCAACGACTGTAACTGTAACTGGTGGTAGTGGAAATCCAGGCGGAAAGGCTCAGCCAACAGTGACCAAAACTTGTACACGTACGGTGACATCGGCGGCTACGACCGGAAATGACGCTGGTGGAAAGGGGGGCGAAGTCAAGACCGTTACAGTAACCGACTCCGCCGACGAGGAAGACGACCTCCAAACTGTCACCAAGGTCGTAACGAAAACATGCACAAAGACCGTCAAGGAGACCATAAAGGAGACTGTCACAGTCAAGGCTGATGAGGTCGCGGAGGCTGGTGGATACTAGTAAGGAAATGACTCGGTAGTGGCTTTATTCACGGCATTGACGCTAATACTCTTTTGCAAATACACTCAGAGGGATATTAGAGTAGGAGAAAAGTCATTACACCGGTTGGTTCTTATGCTATTACTATTTATTTATTTAAGGATCGTTACTTTCATGTTTAGGGTCAATTCGGTGTTTGGGGTCTGTATATATGAATTATGATTTATGATATCACATGAAATTCATTTTCACACTTATCTCCTAGTCTCGAGGCCCTTAATTATTATCTCCCATATATGCATTGCATATATACGCTCGTTTGATCTGAGACACTAAAAGATATGTGTAAGCTCAGACTACCCTAAGATTTATTGTTCTGTTGCAAAGTAAAAGAAATTCGACGATTGATACCATTCACTGACTGGTACTAGCCCAGAGTTGTTAGTTTTGGTGACTCCTTTTGCATCGATTGCAATTTAATTGGACTATATAGTATTATAAAGTGCGACCTTACTCATGGGATAATATTAATAACTGAATAGTTGTTTGTTGGAGATGTTTTACGTATCCATTTCGACACTTTGATTTTATTCAAATTTATTCGAAGCATATGAATCAATATCATGCGCCAAAAATTCGGTGGCGTCGGTACGATTTCCGCAATCGGTTAATACTCTAACTATAATCACTTCATTGCATTGCAAATTGTGAGGGGACACCGTACGCCCCGAGTTATTGAATCTGGTACAGCTAGTGGCACTGATCAGCTGAGAAATAGTTAAAAGTTTCAGAACATCACCTAGGATAAAAAATTTATGGTAGCCGACGTGCTGGCCTATATTTACCAATTGATATTAATGAAGTTTTCGAACCGTTTAATTCTGGTTTATAAGATAAGTTGGCCTGGTAGATGTGCCTGTGGTCTGCATATATTTTACTATAACTGATCGTGGCGGTTTGTAATATTATCGATCTGAACTAAACCAAAAATGTGGGCGCGAAGCTATAGCCCCAAAACGTGACGATTTTTCGGTAGCTAGATGAATATGAAAGTCCTTGGGTAGGGGATGATCATATTTTCTCCATGAATTCAGTGATAGACGCGGAATAAATCGCATGAAACATACAATGTTTCTACTCGGAGAATTCAAGGAGACTGCCTATCTTTGTTCGCAACTGACAGCCAGCCAGTCCTCAGCCCTTAAATTCTACATAACGGACGTATGTGGCCGCTGGATATATAATGAACTATACGTTCGATTCTGATCTCTTGTCTATGGAAGAACCTTGTCTCGTAAACCAGACCCGGGAACCCACCTTCGGGAAGAACCCTGCAACTCCCAATTGTGTGATATCTTTGACAACATCTAAGCTAAGTTAAGGTTAATTATTGATCCGCTGTTAAAATGATCATTGATATGAAAGCGAAGACATTGCAAGAGCTCGGAATATTTCGATATTGAAAGAGATTTAATCCTTAACCCTTCTGGTTTGGCTGATTGGGGTTACGGGAATATAGAAATGACAGGAACTTAACTGTGGAGACGCGGTATCTCAGTGGTAAATATTAATATTATATGTGCTATATCCATTTACATAGAGAAAACTCCAAACAGTACCAGGCAAAGATCTATAGATATATATAGATATACTCGGTCGGTTCTCAGACGGAGCAGAGTCGCGTCGACTTAATACACGTCCTTAACTTGATTCTAAGGAAGAAAGAAATTATACATCTATATGCGGAAGGACTCTCAAAGAGAAAGATCCGTATCGTTGCCAAGACACCATAACCAAATACGGCAATTACTATTTGCGAAGAAAATACTAGCCAATTGATAGTCTCGAGAATTTGAATTCAAGTTAGATATTAGGCTAAGAGCCCGTAAAAAAGTGGAGCGTACATTATAGGTAAACCTGATTGAGACTGGTTCATGTTAGTAGTACAATTTGGGACCTGCATTGTCCCGCCTATCCTCGAATGAGAATGGAGATCAGTATGAAAGGGCTATGTTTAGAGCTGCTACTCTAAAGCTCTGACTGATCATCCTCAACTGATTATATTTCTAAATTTGCAGCTCAGGTCTCGAGACCTCGATGCTAGTAAACTAGTATGCAATCTACACCGCCACCACTGGATAATGGCGAAGCACCGACGAGATCAAGTATTCCTGAGAATTTTCTTAATATCTTATGTGAGTTTGAGCTAGTATTGGCTGGTTTTATATGATCTCTAGCGGATTAGTATAAAAATGTATGTAAATATGTGTGATAAACTGCAACCATAGGGTTGTGGCTTTTCCAATCGGCATTGTGCACTGCTGCCCGCAGTAGAAGTAGGGGGGCCAGTTTTATCGAATTCGAATTTTTAATCTGCCTATCAAGTATAATGAACGGTCGGTATTCGTTATTCGACCGTACTCTCTAGCTATAGCTAGCTAAATTTCTATTCGATGCTTAGGATGCGCCGCTATCCAGAGAAATAAAAGATTTAATTATTAACTGCCGCCGCTCGGCTTAGACGCTCTGAATGTTGGGGGATTCCATATTGATCCAGTAATCCTTTTAGATAGTCTCTTTGATTTTTTATATCCCTGTTTTCCGTTTCTAGCGCTTCCACTCTCAATCTGAGGGCAGAATTCTCTGATCTGAGTGATTCTACCTTTAAGTGTATTTCTTGAGAACTCTTTGCGCCCACTTGATTCTCGAATTTTGATAGTTCCTCTACCCTTGTTTGTATATCGCCGAGGTCTTCAGCCCACTGGACAGCACCTAGTCGGAGCTTATGAATATGTTTGTTAAGCTGGCTCCAACAGGCGAGGCCCGGAGAGCCTGACGGCTCATCAATAGCCATTGCAGTAGGGATAGGATGCGAGCCGAGAGGAATGAAACTATCGAAGCCCTGGGAGTGTGGTGGCGGTGGAGGTTGTGTAGTTTGTAAATGTGGGGAGAGTGGCGAAGTGTTCCTGCGTGTCATGATTGTGCTGAACGGTGGTAGTGTTGGGAGTATTACTCCTGCCTGCGACCTGCCAGGCATTGTTTCTTCTGAACTTGATAGTTCTCGTTTGTGCATGTGGAACATAAGTTGTCGGGCTGATTCGATCGGGCTAGATGAGGCGCTGGTTTCAAATATTTCGGTCGGCGATCTTTGAGAACTGTCCGGGTCCTGATTGAAGCCGAAGAAAGTGAGGTTCTCATCAATTCGACTCGCTCTTAAGCGCCCCGCCTTGATCAGTCTCATGATAGCATCATAGTCTGGCTGGCTAATCGAGGCTATCGAAACCTTTGGCTGTTTTGGGTCGTCTGATTTGAAGACAAATTGAAAGGGTGCACGGCTGCGGTGGGTGTTTGTAATGTCTTTCGGATCCACCAGCTCACCATGCTGGTCGTCTAAAACTCCATCGTATAAGTAGAGCCCTTGAAATCCAAAAAAAAAAAAAAATTCTGGTAAAAATAGAACATCAGAACTTACAAATAAGCTTCCGAAGGTGCGCGCGGATAGTTTCTATCCTTTGTGCTTTACGGTCCATGCTTCCAGTCTTAGTATATTTAGCCTTGGTCGGGAAACGAGCTGTCTTGATTAATCTTAATTAAAAGCTGCTTCGCCGTCCCCAAACCCCACAGAGTTTATCGGGTGGGGCCACGGTCTCTATAAATATATTTCTGAGCCAGAAATTGGAAACGTCTCGAATATCCACGGATTAGCTCAGAAGAATTCAGGGCGCCTTTCGTTCTACCTTACAGTTGGTAATGACATGGCATTCATTTTTGCTTCATTAAGGAGATGCCAAGTAGCTGTGACGAGAAGCACGGTCCGGAGTGAAAAATTTTACTTAAACGTTTAAACCGTGATCCCTAAACCGCGAGAGCTCGGGGTTTCAGAATTGCTGTCTTTGCATGCGTATATTTTTATTGTATAGGGTTTGGGCGTCCTGTATGGGTCGCATTGCAAGATTTTGTGACGCGGCCCAGATGTGGTTGGCACCATGGTGGCAGGCCCGGCCATGGGTCATGGCGATGAAACTATCCATGGCTGGATGTTTCTGGATCTGATCTGAACAGCTCATCACATCTCCAGCTGTTCAAGCGATGGCTATAGTCGCGCCCTGCATACATGTATATGCAGCCATAGCCGTTGCATATTAATTTCATTTTGTTCTCCAATACTAAATCTTTGTTTAGCATCGTCATGAGCTACATAACTAGTCTTTTAGGCAGATGCGTATAGGGATCTTGTACGAGTACCGGTTCTGTTAGAGCTGGCTGTGCAGCTGTGGTATTTTGTACAGAAACGTGTTGCTGTGTAATTAAGTGATTTAGTACTAGGCCAGGATATATCTTGTTAATTACGGAAATCGCTAACTATATCCCTCGAGCGAGATATATAGTACAATAGACGCTAGCTATAGGTTCGTTAGTTCTGCAACGATTGGCAATCACAAGCTGCAGATGTACCGATACTACATGTATACACCTTTCTTACATCAAGAGGTTTAGAGGTTACCGAGATTGGCTTTGTATAATCCGATTTTCCTATTATTAATATTGCTCTTAAGATCTTAGCGTTCCCAGTTGCATTAAATATGGTTTACGAGATAATATATATAAAACTCCTGACCGGCCCCGATAAAGGCCTATATGTATATATATAAATGTAAAATAGTCCACTAGGAGATTGATTCTCCAGTGTGTTATGTTAAACATACGCTTTGAAGTAGACGGTACAATCGATGCTAAATTTACATTTATAAATTTAGATGGAGAGAAATAATCGCTCATACAAAAGCCATGGCCTAGAGGTACTTCAGGATACTGCGACCAGCTATTATTTGAATTTTAATCATCTCGAGGGGTTTTAAATCTCCGAGCTAATTCCGAAAGAATAGCTCTTTAAATGATAAATATAGCAAATGCATAAAGCCTAAAGATCAAGTTGGGTCCCTGTATCGTACGACGAGGTAGATTTAACAAGATTTTCGATGGTACCTGCGTTGCTCAGTGTTTCGGGTCTAGGTACTATCATAGCGCTATCGCGGTTTTGGCCCGTCTTCGAGCGGAACTTTTTTGGAAAACAGCACCTACACGGAGGTACGATCCGACTGGTTGAGGCGTTCTTTCAGGAGGCGAAACGCCAAAATCATGAGAGTTTGGCGCAATGACTGCAGCAAACTGCATGTATTGCATATTGTGATGCATCTTGAATTCTCAGAATGTTTTTTTCGGCTCGGATTTAGGACCCCAAAATCCCAACCCGATTGAATCTTTGTAGCCTAGAAGTGTAAATTAGGGAACTTCCGGTTGAAATCCAGTCGCATTGACTGGCGGGTTTCACCTATATCCTCCGGCTTCCCTTATCCCACTTGATTGTAGAGCCCAGATCTGGTATCTCGAACCTGACCGTGGTCTGGACTTTGGTGATGTGTGGCCAATGAGATATAGCGCCAACGCCCCAACGCAAGTATTATCCATGTTTGGCAAGGTTGGCAATGTTCGCCAGCGTTCAGCCAGAATGGCAAGCAGCGGGGAATTATATATGATTCTGCGTAACCTTTTCTTCCGAATTTTTCTTCGTCTCATGTACCGTCTTTTCAATTTCTTGGAACATTCTGTACTTGCTTTTCGACCGTTATCTGCTCCGCCGAAAAATTGGATTTCGGTCCCTGGTGTATATTTGGTGACAGTGCCTCCCTCTCGACTGGACTTCTAAACAGTATAGTCAGCAATGTCTCTCAAACAGGTATATAGTACCCCTTCAAGCCTTCTGGACATAAACTGACAGCGGAAGCTAGGAAATTGAAACATGGGTACAAGCCCTAGAGCTTTGCGATTTGGAGCAGCCCGACTACGTTGCGGCGCTTGCTAAGTTCGAATCGATTGGGGACAGCGCCAAAGTTCTGTTCAATATTGGTATTCTCCAGGCAACTCTTGGTGAACATGAGAAAGCAGTATGTAGGAATCGGTAACTTTCGATGCGTGATAATAGCTTTGAAAGCTAATGCAAAAATCTGTCATAATATTAGGTCAGTGTCTACCACCGTGCCATCGATCTCGACAACTATCTTGCCGTTGCATATTTCCAGCTCGGAGTTTCGAACTTTCTTCTCAGTGACTTCGCAGAGGCTGCAAATAACTTCAATGATGCTTTACTATATCTACGAGGCAACCATTCCATCAACTACGAACAACTTGGATTAAAGTTCTGCCTTTATTCATGTGAGGTGTTGTTCAATCGTGGTCTATGCCGTTTGTACTCCTCGAATAGCAAGGATGACGAGGAACACAAGAATGGTATGGAGGATCTTGGGTTTGCGGCGAAGGAGAAACAGATTGAAGCCCATAATGTCATCGATGAGGCAATAGCGGAAGGAGCCGACGTAAGCGTTTGCCATTACTCCACAATCCCTAAAGGTTCTACTAATTTTAATAGGGTTTCACGGTATTCTCGGTACCAGTTGGAACATTGTTCAGACCCAGCGGTATTAAGATGAAGAATTACAAGACGAAGGATTATCTAGGCGAAGCTAGAGTAGTAGCTTCCGTAGATTCTTCGAACATGCATACTGGTTTTGATGGTGTAGAAAAGAACAAACCGCTCATCGAGGAGCGGCCAGAGGAAGCACAATCTTTTGCAGCCACCAATTTGGTTATCCCTGATAGAACTTCGAAAATTCCCACATCAAATAGAGATACAATAGGAAGCGATTTAGCTTTCTCGCCACCAGCTTCGTCGCCGCCCGCTTCTGCGCTCCCCCCGCCTCCGAATCATGTTGGAATGCAAATGCCAACGGCAATGGCACCCACAGCTGTTAATAGAATTCGGGACAGTGTTGTTACCTTCCGAAGCTCTAGTTTCGATGGCGGTTATCGGCAATCTATGTCTTTGGAGAACCTCCCTCCCGTTGATATGACACAGGTATACAGTTTGTCGGATCTTTCTTAAAATTTTGAACATCAGTATTAACCCTAGGATCCTATTTTAGGTCAAGGTCAAGATCCACCACAACAAAAACGACAAAATGAGACTTATGCTCATGTCTCCTGATATCGAACTGAATGAGTTTCATGCTCGTGTTCAAGAAAAGTTGAACCTCTCAGGAAGATATGAAATAGAAATCAAGGATGAAACGGATAAAATTGCTATCGTGGATAAGGAGGACCTCGATGCTGCGATTGAAACGAGCAAGGACACTGCTCGTATCTCGAGATCGACGATTGGTAAACTCGAGGTACGTCGGAAAATTCTGATGACGACTGTAAAGTGAATGACTAACGATATCTGTTGTTTAGATTTGGGTGTCCGAGTAAATACTTTTGAGCCATAGCATCTTGTTTCTGCTATTTGTTTGTTGTTGAGTATATATTTGCTTCTGAATTCTGCGAAAAATTGCCGATGCCATCCGATTATGGCCTTGTTTTTGATTTTCACACACGGCCGGAGTTATATCATATGTAGCGTTGATGTTTCTTCTCTTGCGAACTCATAACTTTGGAATATCAAAATTTGGTTGCTGAGTACAACCCACTCACTCTACTACTAGTTAATATCTCATGATAAAAGCTGTTAATTGCGTTAATTGGGTGGAAATCAGCTGGCTTTATGATCTGTCTTGACAAGATGATTTTGTATTTGCAGCAATTTGCACAAATGGTAATAGCATTAATTAATTGAATTTTAGTACCCGACAGACTCGCTTTAGAACAGGTCAAGAGGTCCTATTGTCACTCGACAATATGAATTATCGGGATTGCTACCTAGGTTGTATGTAGTATGTACATATATATATTTGCGGACCGGCCCGGAAGGGGTTCTGATGCTCACTCGGAGGTTCGATCTAGCTATTGGCTCTGCTTAGGTCCCTAAATTTGCTTAGACCAATTGAATTATTCTTCCCCCCTTTTCTTTTTAAGGGGCTTGGTGCCGTAAATGTAAAAGCTGGTGCTGCTGCTTAGATGATTACTAACCTTGGTGTGCTCTGAATAGTCTGGCGACGAGACAAGTTGCAAGTGTGCTCCCGCTACCAGTGACTACCAGTGCCTCTCTTCATATGAAGTCTTTGCGCATAAGTTTATAAAACGGGGTTCGAAACTCTGTCCCTTTCTTAAATATGAATACCTTTTAATGGTTTCCTCGCCCAAAACCGTTTCGGTGATTACATCGATAAAAGATACTAAAGTGTAAAATCGATAGTTCGTGAGTTCGTGAGTTCGCGAGTTTGAATGTTGTAAACTGTCTGGTCTCAATATTGAGATTATGGAACCCGCGGTGTCTCCCCAACCGGTTTGGATATCAATACGGGTGCGGGAGTGGCGGGAGCAGTCGATCATCGATCGCGGTCAATCTTCCTCTATTCGGAGTACCACGAGAACACAAAGTTTGTGTAACAGCTACTCCATCACAAATTGTGTTGACGATTATGTAAATCTATGAGTACTATAGTACTAGTGAGACATGCGCATTGCATTTTGCAGTTTCAATACATGTATACAGTTGTCCCGTTCCTAGGGCTGAAGCTGACCTTGCTATTGACGGTCTAGAACTGTGAATGGCTCTTAACTCTACACAGTAATGAAAATCTGGTCTGGAGTGAAAATCTTAATTTAGGTTGGCTAGATTCGATTGAAGTACGGGTCGACAGTTGCATTTTTTGCTTTGCTGGCGATTTTTTTGGTCGCTGATCATATTACAAGGGCCAAGTATCTTGGTCTAGCAGCACCTTGTGGGTAGGTATGCACCAGGCCTTCCACGGCTGCGCAAGCGAGTAAACCTTAAATGGTCTTGTCTCACCGAAGTGGTTTAGTCTTTGCTAGAGCCAATCAACCACGGAATTTTCACCTCCATTTCACTTCATTTACCTTGATAAGCCTAGACCCCAGACAGAGGATTTCAGGTCTGGCAAGGAGCACGATGGACCGTCGACGACGTAGATTTGGATTTTAAAGCCGGGAACACTGCTGTTTGAGCTTTAAATATATTTGGTATTTACAAGAGACAGCATCCTTAAATCGAATCTGCGGGGCAGAATATATATCGAATGCAGGTAAGGGTGCCAAATGTAAGATGCGTGTAAAAGGCTAGTCGTCATCAGTTGCGGCGCGATCTTAGTGCTAGAACCGTGCGGATTTTGGATCATGATCGAAGCACCTGCATCCATGCATGCAATCTTGGGACCCTCTCAGATTGAGAGGCCTTGCTCGAAGCACTGCATGATTCACATTCATATTTGTGTACCTATCACTAATCAGATACTGATAGCCCCCCAATTTTTAAAGGAGGATATCTTACGGCCATCTTTGTTTTTATCTCGAAAAAGAAAAAGGACAAGAGGGAGAAAAAAATTTGATGGATTAAGGTCGAAACCATTGATAGTATGCACATGTGCACTGTGATACATTTGACATATCGATAGGCGAATACCCTCCCGTACATGTAAGTATGCGATTTACCATGCAGAACGGGGGTTTCCGCCTTATGTGCATGTACAAAAACATCAAAAGTGGACGCTCAGACCCATAGCTAAGCAGGCTTGTTGCCTAGATCGATCGGGAGGACGCAAGGGGCCTGAAAGAGCATGGTATGGGCCTAGACTCATTAGCTGAGGCCCTCCTCGAAGATTCAGGCTCGTGATCTGAGTATTTCTTCCCTCGCCATTTCCTTTCTTTCCCCAAACCTTCTTTCTTCCGGCCTTATTACTTCCGAAAGAGCGGTTCGCGGATTAGACCATGGTAGCGAAGGTGGCAGCCACGAAAGTCGCCAATGCCACAATTTACGACTAAACAACACTATTGATCTACTCAGCATATTGTAATTATTTCCTAATATGAAGCCGCCAAACCCACAAACAGACATAGATAGGGAGTACCTAAGAAGTCTCTTCTACTTATTCAAAGACTTACCATTCGATTTCGAATTTCCTCTTGTTATAAACGAGAATTATGTTCCGCCAAGCAATTCTCTCTATTGTTTCATCATTGGGGCGGTAGCATGCTGTATTACAATCCCCACGGTGTTTCTCCGACTTTGGGTCCGTTATAAATCGGGATTTGGAACAGATGATTGGATCATAGTGCCGGCACTTGTACGTATTTAAGTAAATTAGTAGTGGCCATGGTCCACATTACTCACAACCAATTGTTCCCATTCAATAGATTTCTTATTGTGTGTTCAGCGCAGTGAATGCGGTTGGTATGTTATTGATAAATAGGCTCCTACACTCAGTTTTAATTTTATTTCATGTTATGGTCAGCTGATGACTCCGTTTAATGTAGCTGTTTGGGGGACTGGCATGGGGTATCATGTCTACGATTTGTCAAGAAAGGATATCCATAACTTCATCGTTGTAAGTACCTGGTGGAAGCCGGAAGTTCATTCCATGTTTGAACTGCTCCTATGCATCGCGATATCGATGGCTATTGCAAAATAACTGGGTAGCTGTTTAAAGCACCACAAAAGGCTTACTTCCTCTCAAATACATACAAATACTAACTTGGCGGATCAACACTAGATAAAATACATACACGTGAACTTTTGGTTTGCTATCTTGCATTTTTGCCGACTTTCGATACTTCATCTACTGCTGAGACTCACACCATCACAATTAACGTTACATCGTCGGTATCTCTTGTCAATCATTTGGATATCATGGCTATACCTTGTTGTGTGCCTGGTTTGCCATACCTTCGAATGTGGATTGCCTTTAAGTATGTCGTTTGAATTAAAGTCAAGTCTAGACGGTACCTGTATTGGTGCCGCCTCCCTCTCGATGTACGGTGGGCTTATCGTCGGCCACATACTGCTCGATATATTCACCATTCTACCACCACTTATCATTCTTTGGGCTCTGCCAATGTCTAGTCCTAAGAAGTTCAACCTAGTTCTTCTTCTCACCCTCGGAGTCTTTACAATATTATGCAGCCTACTTCGAATTTTCGTGTTTTACAGAATTATGGTCAGCTCCTACGATATTACTTGGAATGCTACCGATGTTGCATTCTGGAGTATGTTTGAATGTAGTCTGGCTTGCATAATCGCTTGTTTACCGGCCCTAAACCATCTTATCATCAAATTTCTCAAAAAGATCACCAAATTTCTAAGGCTCAACGAAAGTCGTGGCCCTAAGTCACCAAAGGGCAAATTAGGAGCAATACGGTTCCCAGTGCGCCAAGCTGAAGCATACCAAAGATCGGTTATCTCTAACGGGTACGGACAGTACGTGAAACGCTGGGCAAATAACTCGAGCTCAAGGCCTGGGTCGGAATACAGCGCTGCAGATGCTCCTATGCGACGGGGCTCAAGATCTGGGAGCACAACGGCCTCCAACTCTAGCACATATCCTAGCACTTACTCCACAACCAACAACTCTTCAGTTATGGAAACTACGATCTATATAATCGACGAAATTCCGTCAGATGTCGAAGAGGAGGAACAGGAAACTTTCGGTAATATTTCCACAGCTGGATTGGGTCCCGGAAATATCCATGAATCTGATCCAACGGAGCATTCACCATCCAGTTCAGAGAAGGCCGATGCCTCCGAAAATGTTTAAGCCAGCTGCTCCAGTTTCTTACTTCATTTCATTAAAAGATTGAATAACCTATTGTAATTGCATATTTTTGGGGAAATAGACGATATTTGGTATCATCGCCGGAGTCAGGTGGCGTTATTGCATCTATTTTTAGTTCAATTCTAGCTTTTCAGCCTTTGATGCTGGCCGTGGTTTCTAAACCTGTATATCATTTAGCACGTAAAATTCATAAATATACGCTGTAGAAGTAAATTTATCTACTTTTACGAGACGTATGGTGTGACGATCACTAATATCAATATAACCTCCGCAAGTGCAAGTCTTGATGAGTCCTTGAGCTTACTTGTTCAGCAGATATCGATACTCCCTACACGCCAACACGACACAACAAATTTTTGGAGCTCACGAATCGGGCTGGTATCTGGATAGAAGAGATTGGTTGTTTTATCTTTTTACTACATCCACCGAAGGAAGGTTTTGGCAAGATAAGGACTTGTACTGCGCCTTGTAGGTAGTGTTAGCCTCGTTGATGCCAAGAAGTAATTCAAGGCTGGCAGGATTACAGCTCTAAGCCAAGTGCATGGTGCATTAGGGGCGTAGAAACCACAACAAAGCCTCGGAGCTGCGTAGGCGTACAAAGCTACCGAAAGGCTTCGAGTTTACAATATCCGCCGAAATTTTCTTGGCCCTTCTATGTTTGTCATTCTATAATAGCTGTATCGCCTAAGGCTTCAAAAATTCGACCGAGCCTCAGGATTTACATGCTATCAATGAGCAATAATCCCACGACTGATAGAAGAGGAATGTATACATATAAATTAAGTTGATATTCCAGGTTGACATGATGGTTGGACTAAATCCCATTCCAAGTTTTCCACCTTAGCATAAGGCAGTCGTACTAGGCCCGTGGAGTAGTGGCCCTAGCCTCATTTGCAGTATAGCTTTCTAAATATTTTGAACGTGTTTCAGTATTTACAAGGTGGTATATCGAAGTATTAGGATGGTACTTTTTGTTCTAGCAGAGGCTGCTGCTGCTGTATTAACAGCCCCGGTTACAGTAAGGGAATCTTTTGTTACAATCTATTGTTGAAATTCCTTTCTACAAACGTTTAGATCTAAGTTTGAAAATATAAAGCTTTCACTTGCGGCAGCGGCGACTTCAGCGGCTGTCTATAATGCTTACCTCGCAAATCCTACACCAACAGGGACAACAGTCCAAAGTCCAAAGGCAGACACTAGTATCAGCGAAGTGGTTCTCAGGAATGAGAAAAAAATAGAAAATCAGCGGTATGAGGAGATGGTATTTGAGGAGGAGAGGGAGATACAAACTTTAAGGAGCCTCATCAGTCAGTTCGGCCCGTCGAGCTATCCGTATGAACACCCGTTAAGGGTGTTGTGTCTAGGTATAGTACAGAGCAAGATGGCGTACGAGCCCAAATTAATAGAAGCATTTGCAAAACTGACACTATTGATTTTATTGCAACAGACGGTGGCGGGGTTCGCGGCCTATCCTCCCTCTTGATTGTCAAGCAGATTATGCAACAGATGGCCCCGAATGTTAGGAACCCAAGGCCTTGCGACTATTTCGACATGATAAGTGGTACGAGCACCGGTGGGATCATTGCGATAATGTTAGGTCGGCTGCAAATGAGTATAGACGAATGTATCCAGGCATATAGGGACATGGCAAAGCGGGTATTTGGAATTGAGACGTTAGAACGTCTAGCGAGATTTGGAGCAACAAAGGCTAGATTTGACGCGGAGGTTCTAGAAAGGGTTATTAAAAAGTACGCAGGAAACAAATGGATGGTGAACTATTACCCTAATGCCTGTAAGGTGTAAGTCGATGCCCCTAATCAATAGGTTGTACGGATATCCTCTGGGCCAAGCCTAGCCTAATTTTTGACGGACAATAATTAGCTTTGTCGTTGCCGTTAAAAGCCAGAACATCGACGGCGGACCCAAACTATTTCGAACATGGGGCCAAAGGGCTATCGATGAGCAGGTCCGGATTTGGGAGGCAGTTAGAGCAACCTCCGCCGCTCCGACATTTTTTAAACCGATGAATATCAATGGGGTTGAATATTCCGATGGAGGTATGGACATCACGGGTTGTCATATTTGATTTGCTTCCCAAATTCCGTTTTCGATAGATTTAATAATGCTAAAGTGGACCAAAACTTTCAAACCTAGGTCTCGGATATAATAACCCAGCAATGCTCACCTACCTCGAAGTTGTTCAAACCTATGGCAAAGGTTTTCCTATAAAGTGTTTTATCAGCGTTGGGACCGGGGCTTCGGCCAACATCAAAATTAGGGATAACGAAGGATTAGGCACATACACCATAGATCTACTAAACTTTCTCAAAGACTTGGCCACAAATACTCGGAGAGCGCATCATGAGGTTAAGGAACTGTTACAGTTTTCTAACAACTACTTTCGGTTCGAGGTAGGCAACGATTTGGGATCCCGGGTTGGAATGGATCGACATGATCTTTTGGGTGTCATACAAAGTGATACAGAAGAATATCTGAACTCTCGGGATGGGAGAGATAGTTTACGTAGAGCTGCTGGCGCCATGAAAGCAGCCATCCGGGAAAGAGTTCCTAGCCATCTAAGACCAATGCACAGTACTTTTGACAATGCTTAATATTATAATAAGACAGTTTCGGATTTTTTGTACTTTGAGCTATGGGTCTCAGGGATCTTAAATCCTTTCTAGCTAAGAATGACAGGAAGTTTGTACTCTAAAGCCAGCGATGGATGAGGTTTCGAATCCCAACGCCATGAGGTTTATCTGAATACATTCCATCTCTCGCGCTAGGGACATAGGAATAAGGTTAGAGGGCTATGCTCCAAAATACGACAAAAGCGGTGCTGTGGATGGTACCCCAACACAAGAAGGGTCACCGAGACTAGATGGTACCTATAGAACCGGGGAGCTATATTGTAATTATAAAGTCGATGTTTTATATCCTGGGGTCCATAAAGTGGTATCTAATTCCACATTATCGACCATTCTACTCGCGTTCCAGTATTATCCTTTTGGATTTTCAACATGTTGACAGAGCCTACTACTCGAATCCCTAGATTTTCGGGTTTGCGTAGCGCGTACGCATCCATGCCACTGTTGTAGACCTTCAACAGTACGACTTCGTGGAGAAGCGGCGTGTATGATGTGCTCTCTATTGGTTGGTTAACATTGGATATTCCACAGGGAGTTGGGTATGTTCGTGTTACTCTGATTACTGTAGTCTTGTGAGTTTATCAACGGCCCGCAGCTACGTAGATGATGACTTGTGTATGATGACCCTTCCGGGAGTGGTCCGAAACCTCGGTCTGTTAGTATGCCGATGATTCCTCTAGATATTTCGCTTCAAATTAATATGTTATAAGCAAATAAGCTTTAGTTAATTTCACAGCGTATGAGCTACACGTATACGCTAGAACATGATACGGAATATCAAGATGTTGTTGACCTTGAAAATATTTGAGGCTTTTGTGTTATAGTGTTAGAACAACCGGTAGACCCCGTATGGCACATATGATGCATGTAAGTTGTATCTGAACCTTATATACACTTGACCTACTGTAAGTATGCGGATAGAACCGTAAACGCCAAGAATACTACATGGAAATGTACATCGCATTGCCTTTGAGCCGTGCCGACTTTGCAGTTGGTAGCTCCGGCCCCGAGTTTTTGTTGCAATGCCATAGCACGAGTTGGTTTACAGGGCATTGGACGTTTGACCGAGCCGTGCCCCGTGCCATTTAACAGTCCTGAAGCCTGTGCACACCCCAATTTATCTGATTCCATGTTAAGTGCAGAGAAGTTACAACTTTTCTGCAGATACAGTGAATCTTTTATGGAACCCTGATTTTTATGACATGTCGGTATACGCTACCGGCCCAATAGAGATATATTGCAATTTATTTATGAAGCCAAAACTAACTCACGGATTTGAGGATTCAGTGAAGATTTGGACTAGATGGAAATATCTTGGAATATAAATGGGATAAGCTCCCCAGAAGGAATCAAAATAATCTCTAGAAACTTAGATTCTGACATATTATAGTGAATAGCAAATAAACCCTTTCGTTTAACAACAAAACTTTCGCATGGGTGAAAAAGGAACGAACTTAACTAAGAGTTGCCTAAGCCATATTACTACGGTATACTTTCGGCGGGATTGAGTATCATAACTATCTCCTACGTGGCTTAGTATCCTAGTATTTCCGGAGTGCGTGTATACGAAATTCAAATGTTTGCTACTACAGCCGTTAAAGGATCTTAAGAAAGGAAAAGAAACCGATCCTCGCCGCGGTTCTAGTTCACAAGTTAGGGCTACGCCTTATACTGCAAGATTAGTAAATATCACATATCCGAAACGAATGATACAGCGGTCTCGGGATCTCAGGTGCCAATGTGTTCCTGTTACAAAGGGAAAAGAGTTACACGGCTGGTTCTGATCTGCCATGTCAGTTCAAATTATACTATACTATATTATACTATTAGCCCAGCACTTCATAATATTGCTGTATGCGCTTGTATAATGCCTCATCTATGAGCTTAGGCTTCACAGGAGGAAGTGCTGGCCCCTCGTGCATGGGAGCACTGCCCCTACTAGTTTAGACATGACCCATTAGTTTCATCTTTTTCTAGGGGTTCCGTTTATTTCCAAGCTTGCGTTGATTTGAGGGGCTGTTGTGTCTATAGACTTCGAGACCATATCTATAAAAGGGTATATTTCCTCTTGTTCAATAAAAATCGATATCGGAGGGTCAATAAACCGTAGGACCAAATCCCTGCCATGGGAATCAACATTGGGACGCCTTGAACTTCAGCTAGATTCAAAAACTAGCTCCTTACTCAGTCTTTTCTATTGTCCTCTTTAAGGCGACCTCTATCCCACTGTTAAATTTCAATACGAGGGACTTATTTCAAACTTCGAGAGTTTTACTTCTTGTAGGTTTCCCATAGCTCCAAAGTTGAAAAAGCAGTCCAACGCTTCCATTCTTTCCCAAGCTTACTCATCCGATGGTATACATAATACATAAACTTTAATATGTTTGCTAACAGATGCCCATTACAATATTGCTAGGTAGTAAGCTTGTATTCATTAATCGGCTAGTCTCGTAAATTACGAAATGGCACGATGGTCAAAAGTCGGACTCCCCTAGCTTATATCATAGCACTTTATGCTCTGGGACTCAGCATAAGCAGCTGCTTAACGATCCCCACGCTCGCACCAGACTCCGCTGCAACCAATTGTTCGACTGCGAGCCAGATTTATAAGAAAACAATCTGCACCAAAAAAGACATAACATGCACCGAGGTGGCCTCACATGCGAGCCTAGATTATTGCTACCTTCGAGAAACCTCTGTAGAATCAGCTCCTTCCGACCGGGCGGCAAGTTCCGGCGAGAAACCCTCAATAAAAGGCTGTGATGAATGTATTCCTACGAAAAAACTATCTAAAGGGGGTGTGAAAGATGACCTGTCAATATCCTCTAAGACCTCATCACCGATAAATCGTACTGATAACTCTGAAAATCTGAATTTGGGGGGGGTTGTCGATCTCCAAAGGCGAACAAATTATAAAGACACGAAAAAGGATCCCAAAAAAGCTTCTAAAGGAAAGAAACCAAAAAAAGAGCTGAGGAAAGAACTCGATAATGGAAAGGGAAAAGGAAAGCTTAACGCGAAAATAATGGCGGATGAGAATGCGTTCTCTCAGAAATTAGTGCAATTGGATAGCAATAAGTTCGCTCGTCTACACGAAGAGGAGTACGACTGGAGCGGTGCATTTGAGGAGAGTGAATCCGATTCAGAGTCCAATTCTTTGGATTTTGATTACTCTGGGTCTGAGGATGATGAGATATACCAAATTGCAATTAAAAGAGCTCGCAAGAACCTCGTCCCGGAAACCTCAAAGAATCAGAAAGTCGATGGAGATCTAAAAGTCGATGAAGATCCAAATAAGAGTGTATCCGCGGTGGTAATTGATCGAAAAGAAGCTCTTCATTACCACCCCGCTTCGCCTATTCTCAAAGCTATGGGGCTGCCCGACGAAGTCTTTTCCCCGGAATCGCCGAGCTTTGCGCAAATGGATTTAAATGTTGATACTGGCGGCCAGAGTTTAGAATTCTTAAGAAGTTTATGGGCTTCCTCAACTCAAAAACATATTGTTATGGATTGGCATCCCCAAAAACAGATTGTTGAAGACCTGCCAAAGCTCTTGTATTTGGTTTGGAGGCTTGAAACTTATCCCGGTATCCAGGTTGGCCAATATCGCGCTATCCATGTCCCTTGGGAGCCAACAGTACCATTGGAATATATTACCATTAACAGAATCGCAGATGCAAAAAGTTTGACAATCCTGACTCGAGCTGCAGAGCTACCTGGTCGTAGACTAAAAAACTATCATGACCCAATGCAAAAGAAAAACAGGTACGGTTATTTCTTTGACTCTAAAGTACTCAGCCAGTATCATAAAGACTCACCAGAAAGGAAATCAATAAATGCATTGCTCGGATCAGAACCAATACTGGCTATTAGGAAGATGCTGCAGACTTTTCGTCGTGGACTGTCCGAGGCAGAGATATCATCGATCTTCTTGTGGATAGATTATAATGAAGACGATTCTTCAGCTATGATTATTCTCCAGCTATCACATAAAGCTTCGGAGCCGGGAGACTCCCTAGGAAGTTTCTCCTTGGATAAACAGCCACCGGGTATTGACCCTCATCTTATTATCACTTCACGCGGAGAGAACCCAGTTCACCACCCTCTTAGCCCTCCGTCATACGAGATCGAGCCGTCATACTTTGAAGCTTCAGCTCAGTATCGGATACACTCAGGACGATCTTTAGATTTTTATTTTTATTACTCAAGATTCGAAGGTCACTTTGTGTTAGGCGGCTTGGGACAACTTGGTGAAACACTAGACGATTCCGATGCTGCGAGGGCAGGGTCTATCCTATATTCAGCTTGGATCCGTGAAGCAGGACTTAAGCCAATTCTTAGCGTTACTTTTATTGATTTAAGCAATGCGGCCACTTCTTTGGTTGCAAGTATTCATGGCGTCCAAGGTAGCTGGATTCTTCTTGACATACGAAATAATTCCGAAGACTTCGCGATACTAGCTCAAAAGCTAGCAGAAACACAGTGTCGAGAAGCAAAGTTAGTACAGGCGCTGCTGGGAATGAGTGGAGAGAACTTCGGTCAATTCCAATTAGTTCAGTTGACCGTAGGGATAGATGAGGAAAATAAAGCATCCCTAACGCTGACTGTTGAGTACAACCAGTATTTTCAATCGGATGGTCAAGGATTATTTGGCGATACCGATAACGCTCTCCTGGTGGCACTTAGAAGGGGTACTCGCATGAAAGCTGAGATGGAAGTCCTAGAACCAAGGTTTCTGGACGAAGAAGGTGCTATGCGGGGAGAAGTCGACAGTTTGCCGTCTGGAAGGGTTAAACAGTCTGAGTATCGAGAGGGTGACAAAACAATTAGTTTCAGTAGGGCTATTATTGGGCAGTACAACTTCGTCCCAAACAAACCCCCAGACTGCAGGTCGGAAAGGAAACCGCCACTTTTAAAGGATATTGTATCTTGGAATAATGAACTTGAGAACCCCGCACATCCTGAACACGGTGCTTACGATGACGTTCAATCACAGTGGAGACGCAAAGTAGCTGCAGCTTTTGACGAGAAGGAGCTGTTTTGTACATTTACGCTTTCACCGAAATATCTTGAGCACGGCTCGCAAGATAATCAGAATCAAGAAAACCTCGAGTTTGGAATATCGCAAGGACCAGGATACATCGTCTTGCGAAGTAAATTTGGCGGTAACATGGATGGTCCGGGCTTCGGAAGCGCAGTCTGGGCGTTGTGGGTAACAGTCGACACTGCAACAGAATTACACCCAAACGTGTATCTGCAAAGGGTACCGAACGGACAAACTGGTCTGCGCTATGTAGTTATTCTCCAGCCTTCAGATGAAACGATAAACATTCTTCAAACGATCTACTTAAATCTCGGCCTCAACAAGGAAAGTATCATTATTTTCCCGAGTAAAGATACTGCCTTCAATTTGCCCCCAGATATTTCAACGATCGAAGACAATGTTAGACGTCGGGTTTTACTTACGATCTATGGTCTTCGCGAAGTTCATGCTATAGACGAGCTTTTCTCTAAGACATTTCAGGAACCATATTCCATCTTAAATTACAGAAGAAGAGTAAATGCTGTCTTGGTGAAGTGGTATGGCGAGATGCCTCAACTTGTTATAATGCTGGGCCACTTCACTTTTGACAATCCTAAAGTTTTCTCAGGCCTATTCAAAGATAATTTCAAGCTGCTATCACCTATGCGACAGCGGAAAGATCTAGAGGAGTTTACAACTGCAGGCTGCGAAATTGCGTGGTCATCAATTAGTTCATATATGTTTGATGTCTCCGACTATGGCCCACCAGCAGACCCCGTAGACAATGGATCAGCCGCGCCGGAAAATAAACCTCTTGAATACGCCTTTGCAAACACTGGAACCATACTCGGTTGCCCCCAAGATATACAGGGCTTTATACAAAGCATACCTTGGAGGGAATCTGAATCTAACATCCGAAAGCGGATTACGGCTCAAGAGGTTGCCGACTTGAGCCAACTAGCTACGGACGAAATTAATGAGGAGGAGAAACAAGCCCACTTAAAGGGAGAGATAGGGCCCAAAATATATAAATCCTTTGAATACACACGGCAATATCATCCCGCCCGCTACGTATTCACGGTACGCGCCGGCCCCCCCTATCATCTCATAGTTGCTGTTGCCAACGATGGACAAGCTGGGTTTTCTGCAGAGGTAGGGCTGCCTCGATCCACTAGGATAGAACGGCTAAGCAGGGCCTACTATGATTTATTCGTTCGAACTATGGATCTAGTACGTTCTCCAGGCTCAGAGACTCGGTGGATATCAATGCGGGCCCATGAATTAAGCTTTGAAACATCGTCGACAATTCAGAATTTGTACAATATGGCATCTCGCCTGGTGCCGAACTGGCAAGGCTTCGATGTATCCTTTACAGCTGGGCCTCGTCCGACCCCCCAAGATAACGAGGAAATTCAAGTCGGCAAAACGCTTCTAGGTTTAGTCGAGATTGGCGCTTTAGGCCGAATGCTTTCAGACTACTCAAGAGTGATGCAGAACTTGAAAATAGCGAGGATAATAATCCGTACCGCTCCAAATAGTGAAGGAGTACCAGATAGTAGTTTCCAGGTATTAATCATGTTGAGGCCTCTAGTGTTCCTAGGACGCCCACAATAGTTAAGACACATATACTGGTATTGAACGTTCGAACCCAACCACAACAGATAATGAAGCAGTTCGCTAGGGCCTTAATTTGAAGCTGTGTCCATCACGTCAAAAAAAGAATATTAAACGACCCAAAGAGGTTTGGGTTAGACTTTAACGTCTTTAAAACCCACACTATTGCTGTAAATTAATATAAAAAAAATCAGAATGTAGAGGGCGACTACAGCATCAAGAAAGTCTCAAACTCTGATGTTGGCGTAGGTCTTTGTTTGTAACTTATGATTGAGACTGCCTCTGCTGGCCGCTACTTGCTGCTTGCATCGGTGCCATTTCTCCATTGTTGCCATTCACTACTACCCAGTACGGAGGCGCGGGTGGTGCTGGGCCCACATTATCCAGAGCCTTGATTAGTCTTAAACCCTGTCCACCCCAACACTTGAACCATGCTCTGATCCGACGGAAATTGTCCTCCATGCTGTACTGATTGGTTGCATTAGCGTTATTGCTATTGTTGACCACACCGCTAGCTGCAGCATTTTGTTGGGCTGGGATAATGGATGCGGCTTCGTTGATAGTATTGGCAGGTTCTGCCTGGTTTATGTGCCCCTGTCCCTCTACATTCTCTCCGACAAGGCCTCCGTTTTCTTGATTGGTTAATTCCATTTCACCCTCGCCTTGGTTTTCATCATCGTCTCCACCTTCTTCCCCGTCTTCGCCTTCCGCTTCCTCTTCATCTGGCTCTGATTCCTCATCGTTGTCAGGGTCCCTACCCCGGAGCAGCTTGTTAAACATTGGCCCAGACATATCCGTCCTCGCCCAGATTATACCCTTCTCAAGATCCTTGATCGTTTTTTCCGATGCAACGACAACCTTCTTAAACCTATCATAAAACTGTTGCCTACTATCGCTACTATATAATATGTTCCCTCGCCCGTCCGGCCGACCCATATCGATCGAAAAGCTCAGCTCCCTGAGATTAGTTCCGCTGGTCTGTGTGTCCGGCTTTGTGAACCCAGGGATCCTTTCGATAACATCCGCTCGATCTCGAAAAAGTGGTATCAAATGATCAAGATAATTAAACCATACTTTAAGTGAACGCAATATATTATCCGCCGTTTGAAGATCAGGAAGACCATAACTTTCCATCACATCCCTACCTTCTTGGCCCTGTTTCATAAACTGAACAGCACCTGAAAATCGGAATTGTGCTACACCAATAGTATCGACGAGTGCCTGAAGAGTTTCCCAGTACCCATTTTCATGTCTAATGTCATTTCCTCCGGTAGCACAATGCATGTCAATATCATATTTGAAGCTATCGATTACTTTTCCAAGATCTTCGAGGTGTTCAGACTCTTTGGCCAAGTAGTCTAGCCAAGTAGGGTCGATAGGAACCTTAAAGCGTATGGCGGAAACGCTAGAAATCTCTGTCAGAAAATGTATTCAGGATGTGGAATAAATGTATATTACCATGAAATACTTGAAAATAGGAAAATTCCCGTTAAAGATGAAGGGACGCTAATGCCTCCCATCGAAGACAGTCTCATATCCGTGGTATTCGGTCTATTCGCAGCCTAGCTATAGACTAAGTTGTTTAATACATAGAGTGGCACGAGGATGGTTATCAACCACGTTCTTTTCGTAAATCGCCTCCATTCTATAGCGCGTTCTCTCTAGCCCGAGAATTATTGCCTATATTGAGTGGAGATGCGGTAGATTGCTCCACTTAATGTTTGACGCCTCAACATCATAATTCCGAGAACTAGTAATATCAAGCGGATCCGAATCAAGTAGGATGTGTTGTTCGAAAGTGAGTGGATGTGTTGATGTTGTGGTAAATATTAGTAGGATTCGAGACAGTAGACGCTGTCCGAAACCACTGTAAATTGCACTAAAGAGTTCCGGTAGACAGCGAGTTTATGACACCTACATTTATAGGATCCATCTTAATTGGTCTCATTAGCTTGATTTAATCTAATTCTCGATTTAAAAAAAGAATTTATAAGGTAAATAGGATTGTGGGCGTGGGTTGCATGATATTACCTTAGTACGGGTTCTGCTGTATTCGATTTGAGGCAAACTGTAAGCTGCGCATGCGGCGAGGCATGATCTGGATATTAGGTATTGGACAAGGAGCCTGTCTTTGAGAAGACGTTTAGACGTCACGCCTCGGACTGAGCCAAATCGCTAAGCTTCCGTTTTATTCGACACTCTAAGACAATTGAAGGGCCACCGCGATGTTGAATTATCAAATCCACGGTTTCGAATCAACGAAGTCATGAAGGCCATAGCGCCGACGGCAAGACATATCTCCCTTGTTAACTAAGTAGCTTTAACACGCAGCTGCTGGCACTTCCAAAACAAAGCAAGCTAATCTGTAAGTGCATGCCGACCTTTTCCATCAATCCCTTAATCTCAGGTTTGCGAGAACTAGACGAAGTTGTGAACCGAAGCCCCCTCCATATGCATATAAGGCGCACGATCGGCCGAAGCGTAAAATTTAAGAAGCAAGGATATTAACTTCTACGAATATAACAATAGATTCTCTTAAATTCAAATTCATACGGCCTCAGAATGTGCCCCGGCCACCACCAAAAAACCCCTGGTGACGCCTCGTATCATCAGTATCATATCCGGGAGCAACTTGCTCGCGTCCGTCCTGATGTGAAGCCAGGTCGTCGCCCCAACACAAAACTCTTAAGCTTCGCGCCATTTGCACGACCATCCCAAAAGCAAAGTACTAGTCTTCAAAGCCTCCACACAGAACTACTCGTCCAAATCTTCTCTTACCTCTTGTGCTCATCTGGTGGGATATTGATTGGCGGGTTTATAACGGCTGGGCATGATCAAGGACCCCACAGTACTTGGTTTGAATTTGAAAATCCAGTCACACAGAATAGGCTAGGCATCTCTAGTGGCTTGTTTCTTATCTCTCGACGTATTAGCGATATTGCACTTGATGTTTTATACTCTTTAAATGAGTTTAGAATTAATGTTAAGGAGCCAATGTTAACCCGATCATGGCTACTTTCAATCGGCGCCAGAAATCGAAATCGCCTCACCCGGCTTCAATTTTATGGAATCATTCGAACTAATGAATATGAGCTCCTTAAAATTGGGAGTACGCTTCAGATGATGCGGAAGTTGAACAGAATACATTATCGACCGGGAAGCTATAGCAATCCGAAAGTTGCAACTCACGCCGTGGAATTTGATATTTCGGCGGACGAAATTCCTTATTATAGTAGGACAATAATGAGTACGTATAGTACGAAAGGGCTGCCCGCTACTCTCAGGTGTGTATTTTATTTCATTTCCCTCCTTCTCTTGCCATTTCCCCCTTATCAGATCAAATACGTGTGTAAGATAGGTACAATAGCTAAAAATAACTAGAATAACTAGCAACGGCTCTTACCCTTCGCTTTCCATAAGGGAGCAATATCAGCAAAAATCGCTATTGCTTTCCCTCCCCGAGCCAATCCTTCGTAAGATTATAAGTCTCTGCTATACAGACGATCGCATAGAAATATGTTCACCTTTCAATCTTTCCCGAGAGCCTCGGAAAGCCGATTCCAGAGACGAATATGGCAAATCCCACTTGTCACAATCCAGTTACTTTGCAATACTTCTGGTCTGCAAGTCGGTATCTCAGATTATGAGAAAAGTCATTTACTCTTCGACAGAATTCAGTCTACGGCACCATGCGTTCGTTGTATTCTCAGACGTAATCAGGACTGAGGATTTCAATAGAGTTACCCGGTTGGAACTAGTTGTTGGGCAACTGGAAACGGAAAGGTTGTTATACAATATCCAGTGCCTAAAATCCATTCTTTCCAGACTCTTACAACCATCGAGTAAAATCAAAAGTCTCGAGATTAAGATGCAACGGCTTTGTGTGCCATACCTTAGTGTTTTCAGAGACTCATTGGCAAAACTGAAGGGGAAATGCCGAGTAAGTCTGGAGGAGTCGCCGGCAAAAGAAATTCATCGACCAGGGGTAACGTTCAACAGTATTGGGTGGATGCTCGACGCCGATGTTGACCCAAACACCACATGGGCGTGGGGACATTGGTCTAAGAAATGGAAGAATCTCCCTGCGGTTGAGAATGATGTAGTGATAGAACGAAGATGGAAGAAAATTAAGAAAGGGGGTTTTTATGTTGGAATGGCAATTGTGGGTCCCGTGGGAATAATTCTGCTCTCCCCTATCATCTGTTACAATATTGTTGGAGGGACGATAAAATCGAGGACGGGTCGCTAGAACCATACTGCCAGGGATGGGCTATTTAGAAGACTGAATTGTAGTTAACGCCTAGTCTAATCGTTCATTCGTTTTGGTGGTTCTCGGTCACCCGTCTAAACTAGACTAGTTAACGCCTTGTGTCTTGTTATATATTTTAAGTTCAGATCCTCTAGTTTGAGGGAGCGTGCAGAAGCGTTTTAATACAAGACTAGTTTGGGGGTTACCTAATACTTTAAAGCAAAGTTTATTACTGCATCAAATTCCATTGCACTGAGCGCTAGCGCCGGGCTCGTGAGGGACATGGCGGGTACTCGCGTCGACAGCAGCGCGCGCAAGTTAGGCTTAGAACTTAAAGCGTATTACGTAAGCTCCTGTCCCACTGATTCTCGGGCTGCGCCGCGCGCTGTGCATATCAGGCATCATTTGATTCGACATATGACATCGCGAGATCAGAGCGCCCGGAAACCTTAGGCCGGAGGTTCCAACATTTCAACGGTTCAATTATTTCATATTAAAGTTGAGATCGTTGTATTGTACATACATCAATCACCGAATCGATCCGAAACTGAGAATCCAAGATAGCAATCGGAAGGTATGTTTTTACGTCAAAGGTGTAGGAGTTCAAGATGTTATGAATTCGGCTGAAATTAACAATTTAAAGACATATTATCATATCAATAGACATTTTTCTCAGATATGACAAAAAACTCGTTAGCCGACGATATAATTGCTACAGAGGAGGATCCTCCGGCATATACACCACCAGAGAATGGCGCCTGTGAAGCCAACAGTTCGAAGACTAAGCCTTCACCTCCGGCTACCGATCAACCAGCAGCTCCCAAGGCTGATAAACCAAAACCCGTCAAGAAGAGTGTGGACAAAAAACCAAAAATCCTGGCAATTAATAGAAATAATTCCCCGCAGCCTGGATCAATCTATATAATCAACGAAAGCACAACCTCAAAAGTTATCACGAACAAAGGAGGAAAGGTTGTTTTGACGGAATATAACGGAGAGCCAAAGAAATCTCAAAAATGGGTTTGTCAACGGTCTGGAGGTTGGTTGGGGTTTACAAATGATGCTGGGTCGGACACTACATACCTCGGACATGATCACAGAGGAATATTGATTTGCACGGCGACGTGGCATTTACCTTGGGAGCATTTTAATGTCCATAAGAGGGAAGGAGATGGGTTCGAATTTATGGTCAGGCATTGGTTTGGAAGTTTACCTCTAGGATATCGAGATGACGGCGCAAATTTGGGAAAGAGAGAGATACCAGATACTTGGTGGGGTTTTACTAAGGTCGTATGAAAATCTACTAATAGTAGCACTCTTGTATGTCGAACTCATGATTCTCTAAATGTAACGAAAGATTGGAAAGCGAGTGCAAATTGATTTTAGGCTAAGCTATAGCTAACAAGATTCACCGTATATGCTTTAAAAATACTAAGATGACCACAACCGAACAAAGATTGCCCCATCTCGGGCCGCATAGGTGACACCTTAACCCTACACGAATGCCGGTTTGGAAAATTCTCATATGCATTCATTAAGCTAGAAACTTGGATATATTGACGAATCACTGCTGTTATCGCCACCCTAACACGACCCTTATACAGAACTACTCTTGATATATTCTGCACATTGATCCCCTGCAGTTCTTCCAAAAACGACACATTCCAAAAGTGAGGAACCACCCAGCCTGTTTCCGCCGTGAACACCGCCAGTAACTTCCCCTGCTCCCCAGAGCCCTTCAATCTTTTCTCCATTTTCCTTTAATACTTCCGCATTGCTACTTATTAAAACCCCACCCATGGTAAAATGCACAACAGGAGTTACGATCCCAGTATAGATTACAGAATCAGGAGTCGGGTCCTTTAGCGCCCAATTTGCGAAAGACGTTCGATGGAACGAGTCTACCTGTTCTCCGGCTGCTGAAGCTGCGTATTGTTGAATCGACTCGAGTGCACCGTCGTCTAAATCCGCGATAGTGGCTTTTTTCATAAGCCCTTTGAATATATAGAAATCAATGTGCGATTTTGCCGCATTGTATGCTCCCTCATCTAAAACAAGCTGGACTGTCCATTGTTTTGGCAATTCTGAAGTCGGAGCCGTCGCAACAATGGCGTTGGTGACGTTTTCGCGTGTTTCCAATTCGTTTATAAAGCGCTTCCCATTTATAAGAAGCAAGCCACCTTCTCCTCGCAGAACCTCTGCAGCAAGGAATTTAAGAGGCGAAGATGGATTTGTAGGGTCGATGAACCCGGACGGATGTACCTGCACTAGATCCATGTCAACGAGTTGAGCCCCCAACGCCGTCAAAATTGGTTGTGTGCCTGGCCGCGGGTCATTTGTTGACGGATACCCAGCGAGATCGGGTCTATATTTCGCAAGCAGTCCTTCTGCATCGCCACCAAATCCTCCTGCGGCGAAAATAACAGGCCCGTGAAGCTCCTGCTTCTCCCCATCTTCGCATGCGTACTCAACACCTGTTACACGGTGATCCGCTTGGAGGACCTTGGTAACGGTGCATGATGTCTGTAAGTGGAAAAGTGGTGATTCCTTTAAGGATTTGAGTAGAGTGCTAACAATTGAAAACCCTGGTGGTGTTTGTCCGGCTCCACGGTGCGTTCTCGGGAAAGTGTGGCCACCAAGCTGAGCTACCCTGCTAAGGTCTATTCCTTTGTTGTCAACCAACCACGATACAGCAGCCGAAGAAGAGTTGGTCAAGGTGCTGATAAGTTTCTCGCGATGTGCTGTTAGTGCGGACATGGCCTTGCCTGCCGACTTGATCGTATCCGCATAAAATGCATCGTCCGCAACGGGTTGATACTTTGTCGGGGCACCATTGATGCCGGAAGATGCCTTTATGGAATTGCCTCCAGGTTTTGCTGCGCGCTCAAGAAGGCGGACTGGAATATCATGTGAGATTAATTGACTTGCCGCTGATAAACCCGCGAGGCCCGAGCCGACGACAATGGCACCGAGCTTGGCGACGTCATCGGTACGAATATTCGGAGCCATTGCTGCTCTGAGGTTGTAAAGATATGCTAAAAGAAGCCCAAAAATGCCAAGAGAGAAGAGAGTCAGTATACGAAGGCGACTCATCACAGCATCCTCATAACCAGACCTTTTTTCATTCCGACCCTCGAGAAGATTGGAGAAGGAGGTAAATATATAGACCTTAGGCGCATTTGCCTAGCGCTGGTTGTGAGGTGTTGTACACGTTGTTGTATACATGTATACTGCCTAGCTAGCGTCGGGTGATCGTCACGCTTTTTTGATACTCATTGCTTACTCCGTATTCAATCGGGATTGCAATTGCCCCTTGCTCCGAGGAAAAACGCCATTCGAAACCACCTGGAGGGTATCGCTAGTAGCCGTTTTATGTTAGGGACCGGGATGGGTGGTGGGTCTCCAATCCCAGCCGGATCGGGACCCGTTGGCTATTAAATTCGATGTATTCCATATACTTTGGTATGAGTTGAAAGCTAAAGGACCACAACAATCTTCGAAACTTCGGGCTCCCGACAAGCGATAAATCCAGGTCATTTAGGGCTCTCACTAATATTAACATGTTTTCGAATTCACATCCATGGCCATGTCCCCGACTTCATTTGCAATATTGGTACTTCCTCAATTGCAACGTGCACGTGCAACGGAGATTTGTACAATTGTATGCAATTCATTCGGCTTGGCCTTTGCAAATTAATTACAACACTCTCAACACTAAAAAATACAATCTCAGATCAGCATACTATATTTGTTCCTTAAGTGGTCTTAGGAATTCTTCAATAACCCCGCTACGTGCTTAATTAACTACGCACGACAGCTGCAGTCGCTGTGACTGTACATCCCAACTGGAGCATGCATATTGTGATGCTTCCCCCAAAATGATTTTGGCAGTAAAAATATGATTGACTTTGGGTATGTGTGTGTTTTCGTTTCGAAAAAGAATTTCCTTCCCTCATGTGTTTAGCTACCTAGCTAAAATTTATAATTTTTTTCTTTACTCATTCCACGGATGGACAAGGTCAATCAACTAAAAATCACGTGCAAATTGGTCTCGTTCCCAGACGTCACAAAGGGCAACGTGTACATAAATACTTTCTAACCTCCTAGTTCGGGCGTGCATATCATTCCACGCACTCATCTACCTGACAAACCATGCGATTAATGTGACTTTCGGAACTCGGGGTTTGTTTACATTCTCTCCCCGAGGCCCCGAACAAAGGACCATTAAGGCTAGAAAATCCTTCACCGAGTATTTCTGCGGCAAAGTTAAACATGTAACTTAGTCCCGAGGCCAGGCAGCGCACACTAGAAAATACAGAATTTTTGTACATGGCTGGTGTTTTATACAACTGACAGGGCAGAGTTTGCGGCTGAGTCAGATCTAGCCACACCATGTCTATGCGTATGGAGCAATCTATCGGGCATAGGGCATGGTTTTGCGCTTGAATCATGACAACATACAATAAGTTTAAAACACGCACATAGTCTCGTAATGGGATAGCTAAACGGTCTAACCGGGGCTATTTCGGTACCGTTATAATGGAGGAACGGCCTATGTATTGTGCTGATAAGGTCTTAAGCTTATATGTATATATATGCGTACAGGTATGTATACATCGTTCGGTTATGAAAAATATATAAACAAGTATAGAATCGAAAAGGTTTTTGGTTGGTTTTTTTATAAATAGTAAGAAATCTTGGTCCAATAGGTATGGGTGGATTCTCAGGTCTGGAGAAAGTTGTCGATTTGATATTTGCCAATGGAAACAACCTTCAGCTCCATCAGTACGTTCTTCAACATGGCTGGGGCTGCATTCAAAGGATCCTGAGGTGTTCACTCTAAGTGGCCGGGTATTAGTATGCAGTTCTTCATTTAGTGACACACTCCTTGAAAGAGCTGTTGGTCAACTTACAAGGCTATATCCATCTAACACTAGCCTAGCAGTATTCGCGACGACATTGTGCGTATCTGGCGTTGTAGCAGGCAACATGGCAGCTGGGGCTGGTAGCACCTTTGCAAGACTTGAGGCAAGCAGTGGATGCAAGATTGGAACAGTCGCTCGCGCAGGATCCTATAGAATCAAATATTGTCCTTAGTTAAGAACCAAAATATACGTCCAAAAAACGAAGTCAGCAGGAGCCGAGATTACTTACGGCGTTGGAGCTCGCTAGGCTCCGCAACAGGAGAAGCAGCAGCAACAGCTACGAGAGCAGCGATAATCGCAATGACCTTCATTGTGTCGAAAATTGACGGTTTAGGGTATGGGAGAGAAGAAAAAAGGAAGCTTATTGCTAGATATATTTTGGGGTATTGAGTTTGAGTTTCTAGTTTTCTTCACAGAATGTGATATGATAATGAAAGAAAATATGAGCCATGAATCAGCCTTCCAGTTACCTTTTATATCTTTGATGAGACTGCATTGTCTACTACAATTGATTGATGTTAACGTTGTGAAGTCGTTCAGACGCTGAACGGGATTCCGGTCCGGCTTCAGTATAGGAGCTCGAATTTTAACGTTATATTATCATTCCACCGGCGGCTTTAAAGTCTAGTCAACAAAGTTTTAAATTAAATAGATCGCCTCCAAGGCCCCTGCTAAAGACCTGCTGCTCGGTAACACTATAGCTTGGGGATGCCAAGTAGTTGATTCTAGTATAGCTTTTTTCGAGGCCTGAAAGAAGATCAATCATAAACAACAGATATATACCGCCGGGTCGAAAACATATTCCCAAGACCTTAGACACTCCTGCAGCTATAGACATGAATACTTGGCTCCCTGATACACACCACCAGGTTTCCACAATTCTCCGGAGTATGAGGAAGAATTTATCCATGCCCATTCTACCCAATTTTGTTTGTTAGCCGGCGCCAAGGTCGACTCTGAATATACTCGTAGGACATATATATACCTTTTATATACCCTTAATTATAACGTAATGACCGAGGTATTTGCTTCAAGGAATATAACGTCATGGTGGTAGTTGTGTTGGATTCTGGATTCTGGCTCTAGAACACGCCAATCGGAATTATACCTGCTCGCTTGATTCTGCAACCCTATTACTAAGCCAGTGGTCGGTGAAGCCCGAACCACAGCTGCACAGCCGTCCTTAGGATCCCTCTATTGCCCATGACCTGTAACCGATAGCAAATGCGATTCTTCTGACAAATACCAGGGCATCTAGACTGATGATCGGAACATTTTGGGCCTGGATAAATAATCCATGATTTAGTCGTTGGCAATGCAATGATATGAGATGCGCCATGCGCCAAACGACAGCCAACTGGCTCATTCACCCGGCTGGAGACAATCAACTTCCCCGTGAAGTTGGAAATATCGCCCCCGGATTTCCTAACTCTAGTTCCAAAAATATTAACTTAAGATGCATTGAGTGGATACAGCGGGAGGCGATCCACGAGCGTGATGTTTCTAAAACTAGGGTACCATTGTCCATTACAGCCGAAAACATGCATTGCAAGGATGAAAACGACATGGGTGAGGAGCTCAAGTATCCGAGTAAGTGAGGAACAAATAGGCGATAGCATCCATACATCCCGGAAACCACAGTTCTCCAACAGCCCTTCCTCTCTAATTCAGCTCACGAGGGCAAATAGCTTAGATTTTACATATTCTGAATTCATGAAAAGACGAAACTACTCGACAATAAGGAGAACATGAAACGTGCGGATGAAAGCCTACAGCTCGGTAATATTCCCTGTAGTCATTTTGGAATATTGATAGACGGCAAGGTGACTAGGGCACCGAATATGTCGGACGGATTGTTGCATCTTATTCATATATGCTATGTACGTATGCGATGAAGGGTAGATAGTATCCAAAGGGAAGACAAATCAGTGGGAATCTCTTGCGGCTCTACCGGTGCCGCGTATACCGGTATACCAGTAATCAATGGCCATGGGTGGTTATAAAAGGTTGTCCGCTGGAGTTGATCAGATGTGTCTGGGTCTGCATGGATCCTTAGCCTGGTCTATACTAGTTAAGTGTCCCATATCCACAAAATGAAATCTATATTCTAACTGGGGTAGAAATCCCGTCGTAAATTAAAGGGAGAAGTATCTGTATGCTCGTAGGCTGCTTAATTTCATATTAATTTGGTATCTCTTCGTCGGTTGTCAAAAACTAAAACCAACGTTGCAACACCCCTGGACACCAGTGCTAGGGAATCCGTGGCTATGTAACGGTTATAATTGTTTGTTTAAACTATATTTGATGGTATACAAATATAATAGGTTGTAAAACTTTTGTGCAGCAAGAGAGTTTCAGAAGCCGAAGCCGACTCTGAACTCTCAGATGCATTAGAATAGCTTTGTGGCAATAACATCCAAAAGCCAGAACTAATTTGTACTCGAGAATACATGCATTTATCTAGATATCTAAGTAAATTATTTTAAAATTTTTTAAAATTGTCTTTTGTAATATTGCAATCATCTGGTACGAGCCCCGCATGTACATATGTACAACCGGCGACCGGCTCGCAGCTCGAATCAGCCAGCTCTAGTCACAAGACTGGCACCATGCCCCGGCTCCAAGCCGAAGCCTAAATGGTCGAGACTCCAATCACGTTTAAACAGTCAACTTTTTGTAATTATTCCGGTTTTTGATAAGATTAATCATGCCCATATGACTTCGCTTTGATGATGACAACAATTTCTTTTGTGAAGTGAGCTAGCTTGCAACAATTGGATGTGAATTTGCCAGTCGGGTTTGGGAAGAGATTGACGAGATAGCAGCAAGACTAGACCAAGGTTAATAGCGCTATAATCACATGCATTAGTTGGTCTAGAAGCACCAAACAAAACATTTCAGGGTAGGTTCTATACCTTAGGGTTCTTTAACCTACCTATTCAGGTGATAGGCTAGATACTAGTATACTATCAAGTCCCAGAGCTCAACTAGTTACCCAGTACATGTCCACAAATGATTGCAATTGGGTACAGGGCCGCCTCGACCCCAGTTACGGCTACCTCTTATGTTCTTAAGATTTTTGATGTAGGATAGCTATTCACTATCCTACGAATATCAAATTGCACATGCAACTTAGTAATTCCTTCAGATGCTGTATCATTAAGTAAACTCTTGGCAAATCACTTGATCATTGTTATTTTTTCCCGTGCCGAGGTATTATCAGCTAGGCCGTCGCAATATCTCGTAAGCCGTGATCTGCACTCTCTGATTTTTTTTATTAGTATTTCTTTTTGAAAGAATTAAATAACATAGCACAAGAATAAAATGTTCTCTGATTACTAGGTAGTTACGGTGTTTGTGTTCCCAGTTGAAGGGTCCCGGACTATGTTGAGAAATTCTTTAAATTAACACAACAGCTAAATAGATAGATACCAAATGACCTCGACCCGGACTGAAGGAATCTACCACAGATTACAAAGCGTCTTCAAAATCTATTTACGTTCTCCAAATCTTAATGCAGTTCGCACTTTTTTAAAAGAACGTCGATTAGGCGCCGGCGATGCTAAAGTGTCAAGATGTAACCCAGTTGTCGCTTTGGAGTTAAGATACATCACATATGAATATTCGAATGGCAACTGGGAGTTAGGGCCTATGGCGGAAGTAGGTAGAAATACAAATAGGGTCTAGTCTAAGCCGTTTGGTATATAAGTGCGGGGCTATATAATTATTCAAAGTCTAATTCTGACTAAAAGGCCTGTATACCAGGTAAATACGGCTCCGCGACCTGCATCTAGCATACAACATGGACGCTAATCAATTGAGAAAATTAAGTGCTGTGAATACATATGCGCAATTACACTTTCAAAAAGAGTGTAAAGCCATGAGGTTGGTGGCCTCTCCTTTATTCAGCCTAGAAGTATCATCATTTTGTTCATTCGTTCATTCACTCATTATTTGTTTCTTAAACCCCGGATAGAAATCCATAACATTCATTCAAAATGCACTTTTCAACTGTCTCCGGCTCGATTGTCCTCCTTTTTGCGGAGACCCAGATGGTTTCCACCCACGGCGTTCTTGTTGACGCCTAAGCTACGGAGATGCCGATCCTTCTGTTCGTGGGTATGGCCACGATACTGTACGCAAGGGCACCTGGTTGTTCCCCCATTAAAAAGACGTAGCTTTTTTTAGCAATAAAATCGTACACGACAAATGGTGGAAGCATTACAACCTAGATGGATGTGGGATTTGTCGATTCTGTGGCTGGATGGTATCAAAAGAACCAACCACACATATGGGACCCGAAGATTACTGGGGAGAAAGAGAGATGGGATTTTCTGTGGAAGGTGTCTCCATCACTCACTGCATATATTTTAGCGGATAAGAGTATCCAGTATCTAAATTGGCTGGAAAGGACTGGAAAAACAAGACTCAACCGCGTAACTGGTCAGACGCTCAAGAGTGGTATCCCGAAAGTCACAGCCGGGGGAAACTCAAATGTCATGTAAGGGACGTACTTCACGACTTCCATCCTTACTATCTTGAGCACTTTAATAGTGTTGGTTTAATGTTAATAACCTAGTATTAAACCCTGCTAACGCATCTAAACTGATACTCCTAAATACGAACTATCGAATTAACCTAGACGGGGCTGGCCCATTCAAATGTAAAATATTTTACCATTGTGCCCCAAATCGTTGAACAAAAACTTTATCTGTCACCAAGAATTGCCCAGTGATGGAAGGTCACTGCGCTGGCCAGGAGTCCAAAAGCCCTGTTGGTTTACTATCGTTATGCCCGCGGATCTAGATTGTACAGGGTCCTTCGGCGCCAAAGATATTTGTATCGTGAGATGTGAGAACAATGCAGATAACGGCCCCTTTGGAGGTTGAATACCCGTATAGTAGATCAGGCCTGTCAAAAAGCCAGCGAAGTAGTGTGGCCGAGTGGAATACGGTCACGGGTACCGCCCGGATAGGATCCGACGAAAGAGGATGCTAAGAAGCCTGCTCCGAGATCGAAAGGCGGGTCATATGAAACCCAATAAAGAAGAAATCAAGGCGGCTATGGTAGAGAAAGCTACGATAAGAATGTAGCTTATGGGCTCAAGAACGAGAGTATTAACGATGAGGATAAAGGTTACGTAATCTTCAGGCGGCTTACAAGAACAAGTACCCTATCAACAACTACTCCTACAAGCGTAGGGTCAAGCGTATATTATCAGATTTTTATTAAATATTGTATTGTATCAAAATTAGAAATAGAAACAGCAAGAAGTCCCGGATATCGCGGATATCCTGGCCAGAGTTCGACCGTCTTGACTGGTCTCGACGTCTCGTTACGTAAACCAGACAACACACGGGGTCCACGTTCAGGCTAAGAATCCATGATCTTTTCTCAACACATTCGAAGAACGTCGGCGACATAGTGACCTATTTTATGTGTTGAAGCTGTTGCATTTTAATTGCCTTTTTGGGGAAGGTGTGACGTTGAACTAAGCCGGTTTAGTATAGTGTCGAGATTGGTGAAACAAGATTAAGACGAGATTGAAAAGTTGATATCGAAAAGTATGTAGAGTTTTACATTAAAAGTCATAGTCTTATGCTAGATTACGTATGAAATGCGAGAGTAGCACACACTATTGCTTGTATTTATTATATAAATCTATTACCCTAAAAGGAAACAAGTCTCTAAGAATCCCAGTGTCGTGCCCTGAGGATCAAGTAGTTTATTACGTTGACGATTTAAATATGCAAGCACCTTTGATCCCTAGACTAGGATCCAAGATTACATAATGTTACCTCTAGGCCTCTTCGCGATTAAACTAGGTAGTTACAGCTGTAATCTTCGCGGCCATGTCAGTCAAATGCAATTGCTTTGAGTAATACTATAATGCGAGGCCGGCGGAAAAGGGGTATACATAAAGTACCTCTAGCTCTAGCCGTCCTGCCTGAAGATATGAGACATCTAAGTTTTTTATATGTACAAATAACTAGATATTTACAATATTTTGAAGATAGGGGTGGAACACCTCTTTGCAGGTCGTTTTGGAACCTTTACGGTGTCGCTCCAGTGATAGTGACGGAGTAGTCAAGGCCATTTTTAACCTCACTAGACAGGCTGAATGCATCATAGAGGATAAGGTTCGCGGGTGTATTTGCAATCACGAAAGTGATTTCTTCGTCGCTGGCAACAGACGCGGAGGCTGATCCACCAGACAGATTGACGTAGCGAGTGGAACCAGAGCTGGTGTTTCTGATGGAAAGAGTGGCGGTATACGCAAGAGTGGCACCAGAGACTGAAACACTAACAGTGACAGCGCCAGACTTCTTCAATGGGACGATGTTTGCACCCATATACAGTGGGCGACGAGCGGACTTAGGCTTGTAAGCATTATTGCCTTGAGAGTCGAGATTAGCGTAGTTGAGTCGGCTGCGCTGGCTAAGGAAGACCTGGCCAGCAGTCGGATGACCGATGTCGGCATATGCCATACGAGCCCAGTACCGTCCGACGATTATTGGAACTCCGGCATTGGAGACACGAGCAAGGGTGTGGAGGGGGGTCTCGTTACTATTTTTGGCGTATTGTCGGAAGAGGTTGCGAAGAGCATTGGTACCAAGTCCACTGTAACCGTCAGGGTTATATGTCAGATAAGCAAGGAATGGCCAAGCCTCGTAATAGTTTCCAGTATTTACGGAACCATCAACGATGACTTGGAAGGAATCCCCAATAACTTTGCTCAAGTTTATTTCAGTGGCGGTGGCAGATTGCCCATATTGTGATCGTGCACTTGCGCACAGTGGAGAAGTCTTGAAAGTGTCAGCAACAAAGTTGGCGACAGTCTCCCACCAAGCTCCCGTTCGACCTTGATCAACCCAGGTCTTTTCATGGTAGTGCATTCCATGGCCAAGCTCATGGACTGTTACACCAGGAATGGTGAGGTATTGGTGAACAACCTCCAACCAGGCCATACCAGTAGCATAATCTGCGTGCATTACGCCGGCTGCACCAGGGAGGGTGCTGACGGAATAAATATTGATCTTAGTCCAGGGGCCGTCATCATCCGTGTTATCATTGTAAGAGAGACCTTTAAGCGTATTAGCATCATGCTTGTAGAATTGGGTTTTAGATTATACATACCCGGTGACCGCCAACCTAGGGTACCAACAAAGCAGCTGTAAGCGGCCTCGAGCATATTGAGTGCGGCATCTGCAGCGGATGTACTTGTAGCGCCATAGACGCGGAAATGAGGAGAGTCTCTGAAGCTGCTACCCCCAGGGCCAATATTGGGGTTAGCAGTGAATGTAGCTGGTTCATTGCCAGGCGCGCTTGGGGTAGTTGTTGTAGTTCTCGCAGTAGTAGTAGTGGTTGTGACAGGTGTGGTTCCAGCCCTGGTAGTTGTCCTAGTAGTTGTAGCGAGGGTAGTTGTCGGGTTCGGACTCGAACCTGGGAGACACTGAGAATAATAAGGGTTTGAGTATACGCATGTGGACCCAGAAGCACATGTCGTCGCCCCCGTCCATCCTATGCCTCCACATTGGCCATAGACTGGTGCCTGAGCATATATGCCAACGGCTTGGAATAGTAGAATTGCGAGAAGTTCTTTTGAGGGTGCCATTTTGTGTCTGAGATACTTTTTGATGTTTGCAACTTGGTGATAACTAGTAAGGTTCTGGCTTGTCAAACTGCACCCTCGTCATGTATTTAAATATCTCGCTGTAGATAATAGCAAATACCTATGGCAGTATTAAACCGGAGGAATCTAGAACCATTACCGCTTCATCTGTGTGAAGGATGATAATCATGCCTCACCCCTTAGGCGGAACTACAGACATCCGTTGGAGGCCATCCATCTGAGAAATCAAACAAACGTGGTTAACGGCTCTCAAATTCGTCTAATGTTTACTCCGTCTCTCGTTTCGAGATGCGGAATATCGGTAGGGTAATCCGGGGTTTACCATTGACACGGCCAAAATATGAATGCACCAACTATAGCAAGCCGTACCTATTAATATTGGGCCAGGGGTGGTGTTCTCATAAGCTTTACATAAGAGAAGATCCATACCGTTTGACTTGGCGCTTCAAATAAACCCCAAGTTGACACCACCATCCGCCTAGGCGCGTTTCTCATCATTTAAACTTCTGATTTCCCATCCTCCAAGGGCCGAAAACCCCGAGGACAATTCACCATTTTTCTGGAACCGAGTTTAAACATAGGTTACCGTGGATTCGATCTATCGCCTAATTTTGACGCATCTGCAGGTGACGGTCGACAGGCTGATATCGTGTTCCGACGATTGGTGGAGAAAAATGGAAGAGTGTTGCGGACGTAGCATCACCGATGTTTAAATGTGTTTTGGACTCGGATCCTGGGCCGGCCCTTATGATGCCATATGATATATTATATCGATACCCCCCCCCCCCCAAATTTATAGAATCGATCCTTATTTTCAACTCCCGCTGCACTGCTAAATATCTAGTTTGAGTAATGGTGTAATTGGACTGTTAATGCAATGGATCCCTGAGAGGCCTATCTAGATATCTGATTGTGGCCATAGTGGATAATAGCCCGAAATTTGAAAGGTTTATTGGGGGCCAAAAGGTATACACTGTCTACCTAACTTCGATAATGTGCTCACATCGAGATATGATAAACTCATGTTAATTTATACTGAACTCTGTAGGGCGTTGATAGCTACCTCGCGAGGCTTGGATAGAAGGATCCCGAATGCATTAATTTCTTACTGGTATATATATACAAACGGAAAAATCTGCGTCTGTTAAAATATAGCTAGTTTATCAGACATGATTACATTGATCTTGTATGTGAAATGGACTTCGTGTTATCTAGCAACGTTGAGCCGGCATACGAGACTCTATCATCAAAGTCTCGTGTACAGCCATTATAGTAAGAGATGTTCAAAAATGATGGATCTATTTGTTCACTCGTATTTCAAATTTCGTTTTGAATACTATGTTTAATCTATACATAAGCCTAAAATATGAAGATAATCTGTCCAAGGAAAGCGCAAACAGAAAAAAGAGTTGGGCTATGATCTTTGGCTTAACGACATAGCTTAGATCTATCTAGTCGGGTAATATCTAGGGTGGAGAGGGTTTTGCACCACACTAGCTGCGTGCTTGATTTTAGTTATCCTTCTTCTTCTCAGCTGACCCCTTGTTCTTCCAGCTTCCTGCCTTTCTTAGTCTGACCTTCTTCTCATGATATTTCTTTCCAGCCTCCTCGGCCTTGTTAGCTAGTGTGCCATTTCGCATTCGCTGCTTGACCTGAGTTCGGAGTTTGTTGAGCTGTTTCGCCGGTACAGCGTCGCCCTGAGTCAAAGCCTTGACAGTGTCCTCTACTTTCTCCGCCTCGGATGTTTCACGCTTGACCATCTTTGTGCTTGTATCAAAGCTAGACATCAGTCTCGCAATATCAGATTCAGATGCTCCTTTTCCAACCTCGGGCTCCTTTTTCTCAGGTCCGACTTCCTCTTGACGCTTAATCTTTTTGGTGGTAGTATCGAAGCGAGACATTAGTTTTTGAATATCAGCTTCAGTTGCTCCTTTTCCAACCTCAGGCTCCTTTTTCTCAGGTCCAGCTTCCTCTTGACGTTTGGCCTTCACACTCGCATCGGCATCGTCGCCCTCGTCACGTCTGAAGAGACTATTGAGCTCCTCCACCAGTTGGAAAGCAGCGCAAGAGCCGAACGGTCCGTTGATTGCAAAGTTCTGACAACGGATTATGCAGACTTTATCCTTGTTGCCGAATGTGCCAGTACACTCTAAGTTCGCTGGGAGGTTGACGATCAATGGGTGGTTGGTCGCGCTAACAGCATTGAGGTCTGGGTTTTGCCCTGGAACTTGCTTGGCGATGTCAATTTTCTTGAAGGAACCTCTCTTCGCCGACCCGTCGGTATTGATAGCACAAGTAAATGGCCCGTTTCCGTCTCCGTTTACTTGATGAAGCACCATAAAGAGCTGGCCACCAGCCTTAGCCTGGGCAATCTCTCCCCTACCGGCTTGAGCTGCCGCCACTCTTGCGGGTTGGAGGGTACCAGTCAAAATGTTCTTCCCGCAGCCATTCCAGGTTGCTATGTTTCTTTGATCGAAAATTGGGACATGTCGCAGATCCGCTCCGTTAAGTGGCACTGCGCGGTCGTACCCCATGGCTTGTCCCATGGGCCCAGCGTTCTTTCCATCAACAAGACCTTGAATCGAGATAATTAAAGCATGACCGGCCACGTAGCTGGCCAACATGGACCCGGCGACCAAAGAACTGATATGCATTGTGAATGATTATGTTGGTGGAGTTTTTCTCACTAATTGACAAGTGATTCCGAACGAGAGAAAATTTTAAGGATAGGCGTGGGCGAAGTTATGTCTCGTTAAGATAAAAGAGTGACTATAGATCTATGAAAGAGAGAAGATCTAGGCGTTGAGGGAGCGACTGTAGTTTGGATTGGCGACGGGTGCCTGTCAACTTGCTGTTAGAAAAGGAATGCTAGTCATCAAGATAGGTTATCCATTAGCGTTATTTATATTTCGGATTTTTATAGTTTGACATAAGGGATCCTTTCAGTGAATACGTCAAGTCGACGTTTAGTGCTGAAGGCTTGCACAATCGATTGGCTTGCTCCGTCTATGAAGGTGGGTTATTTTTTGAGGCCATATCCGATACCCGGGCTACAGGTGATCACCAAGCAGGTTAAACAAGATATCCGATGCGTATAGAAAGCTGGCCAAATTGGAGTGGTCTTCCGGTATAGAACGTAGACCCGGTGCCTAAGCATGATAACGAAATCGAAAGTCAAATGCAACGGATGGGCTTTGCACTATTCTCTTGTGATGTTACGTTTTGGTCGATCTTCCGCCAAATACATAAGACATCTAATCCTATGCCTAGCTAGGTATTCGAGTCGAGGTAGCAAGACCCGAGGTTCCGAGTTGGCAATGTGCACGTTGTGATCGCGGAAGAATAAATTTGCCATTGCACATACATAGACAACGGTAGCTAAGTAGGGATAGAAGCTGCAAAGCGAAAGCTTGTTGAAGGAGAAAGGCTCCTACCTAGGTACCTACACATAGCCCGCATATGGAAGGCCGAAGGGCAGCAATATAGATCACCGGCGCCGAATATCCGAGGATTAAGCAGAAAAGGGAAGGGAAAACTCTTGAAAAACAGTAACAAGAACAAGGCGTTTCGAAGAGGATTTCATTCCCGAAATCATGGACCGGTAAAGGGCAACCTAGCTTAGGCGGGTACAGGGACGTTTTGTCGATCTAATATTAATGGGGGTTCGGCAGCATAACAAGGAGTCGCTATCGGCTTCTTGAACCATCTTTCACTTACGCCTAGCAGTATCCTAAAAATACAGTGGCAAATTAATTACTTAAGTTAAGTCGGCTTTTGTTTAGACAAACACCCCTCAGGCCATTGCATGGTGCACATGTATTACGTATTGCGCTGCCTTGCGACTAGTTAGGATTAAACCAACTTATAACTGGCTAGTTGAGGGAACCGTTTTTGTGCCACCGAGTCAGTGAATCAACGGTTACCAGGCCTAGTAAACTTAAGGCAGGAATACCCCAAATAGGCCAATTCATGCCAAGATACTAGTGCCAAAGAACACAAAGGCTTCTTTTTAAACCAAATTTATAAAGCGTTTAAAACAACATCCCGACAGTAGTTAAGCTAGGCCGGTTTCTTAACTTTTTGCATTGGTACTATATTGTTTCAATAACTATAAATTAAAAATTTAAAAAGATTGTTTTTGAAGCTAGATCGTATAGATACATACACTTCATCAATCGCTGCATGGGTACGAGACAAGATCAACCCCCCACCAGTCCTATTGAAATTCGTGCAAGCCAAAATCGCATACGTATACCACCAGGCATGTTCACATGAAAGAGGAGAATTTTAATGTTTCTTCGCTTAGGAGAACCCTAGACTAGTTGAGCATGTCTTTTGTGTGGAGATTGGCGCGAATCCGTGCTAGTGCTGTCAGAGCGGAGGGTTTAGCCGAGTTATTCTCTTCCAGCTAACTTTTGATTAAGGTGGTCTGACAAGAGTCGGCTTCGTGTCGAAGAACCCAAAAGTAGTCGGGAACAAGCAAACATCCGCACGACAGTACTACTGTACTACTGTAGCTAGTACGTATAGACACAGGTACAGAGCTTATATTTGCTTGTCTTATGGAAATGTCAATTACCTCAGCCGGAATGAATAGCTAACTTGCTTTTCGCATAGAACGAATGCTTGGCCGGCGGGATATACTCGCTTGTAAAAACCCGAATACAGGATCATGGCTCTTTAATCCGGTGCCAAGTAACTACGGACTCTGCATGCAACTGCAAGAGTCGACAGATTAACGTTGACTAATTGACAGATTGATGAGGACTCGCTTTGAACAGGTTGAATGTGAATGTCACGATGACCGATTGCTCGGCTGAAGCCCCATTATATCGGTTCAGATTTCAATTCAAAGCTCAGCCTCGGAGCCCCTCGAAGATCTGTTCGATTGATAGATCCTAAACTGGAAATTTCCATAGTCATCTACACAAATCACTAAGGTGTAATTTGGACCACAATGGGCTTCACGTAGCGCCATAGCTACAGCCTCATTAAATTTACAGGTACTTTAACTCGCCGTCATACTATGCTTAATTGAATGCAAAGAACTATATAACTAGACATGTTTTCGAAACAATTCAACATCTTTTTTCAGCATCCGCCTTCGAGCTTCATTCCTTTAGCTCTATAGCTGTCTCTCTGGATCCATTTGGGTCCGTACCACTCTTTTGAGGATTGCCCCTTCGATCCGTATCACTCTTTTAAGGATTGTCTATAGAACAGCTACACTCTTTTGGAATACACTCAGCATCACTCCTACCTTTTGGAACGATGTTTCTGAAGGCGTTACTTGCCCCCGCGGCGCTTATAGGCCTCGCCTCAGCCGTCGCGCTCCCGCCTAGCAATGGCTTGGACCTCTCGACCCACTCTCTGAACAAGAGAACTGCAACAATGTGGACGTGGTTCCCACCTATTGTTCACGCAACTCCTTGGAAATACGTTGGGTAAGTTGATCTTCTTCAGAATTTACAATGTAATGGCCGTAGTCGCAAGTTACAAATTCTAATACAACTTCTTAGATGCTTCTCTGGCGATGTCCCCTTGACCTACCATGTTGCAGATTTCTGCTCGTGTCACAATACAGCAGTTTCCAAGCATATGAATATGGAAAAGTGTTTTGCTTCCTGCAAGGCCGCTGGTTTCCGTTACGCTGGCCTCAAAGGCCCCAATGGTGCGAAGAAGTGCTGGTGCGGTTCTGCCGACCCATCTGAGTATAAGCTTCCCAGCGCCGGCACTTGCAATGTCGCCTGTGGTGACGGTGAAGGTAATACCCTCAACAAGTATAGCACCAGCCAGTGCGGTGGTCAAACATCATACAGTATCTGGAGGGATCCTTGTTACAAGAGGAAGTTCGATATCGAAAATGCTCCACTTGGTTATGAGTCCGCAGGATGTTGGTCTGGTAATGGAGGTAAGGGAACCGAATAGTCGAATATATAACCGGTAATTCGAACCACACTAATGTACTGATTGGGGTTTAGGATGGCTTCTCGCCCACTTTGAGAAATCTGTTTCTGGTGATAATCTGTCTATTGACTCATGTATCGAAGCCTGCTCTGCTAATGGATATCCATACGCGGGTATGAGAGGTGGATGGGAATGTTTCTGCGGAGGCAGACTCTCCCCCCACTTCGTCGATGTCCATCAAAAGAATCCAAATCATAATACCATGTGTACCAAAGTGTGCACGTCAACCTGGAAAGTCTATGCGACGACACCGAAAGAAGAATGGCAATACTGTGGTGGTGATGTCTACTACAGTTTGTACTTCAACCGGAAACTCGCGGCTAGCACTGCTGATGTTTGCAAGGACGATGATGACGAAGATGGTGATGAGACCGTTACAAAGGTTGTTCAAACTATTACCGTCACAAAGGGTGGTCCACCGCCAACGGAGGCTACACAATCATTCAACTCGGACAAGACCACTAGAACCACGATCACCGTTCCCGGCAAGGCTGAACCAACTCCGGATCCCGAAGATGACGATAAAGACGACAAAGAGGACGATGATAAAGAAGGCGGCGATGATGATGATGATGATGAGCCCACCCAGACCACCACAATCACTCTTACCCGAACAAGCGGCGGCCCTGCACCAAAGACCGACCCGCCTGGCAAGGGGACTGTCTACGTTACTACTACCGTCCCAGCCCGTGCTAAGACTACTATCACTCTTACCCAAACAAGCGGCAGCCCTGCACCAACCGGCAAGAATAACAAGAATACTGTTTATACTACCGTCACCGTTCCTGCGAAGCGCACCAAGACTACCATCACCCTTACCCAAACAAGCGGTGAGGCTGCACCAACCGGCAAGAATAACAAGAATACTGTCTATACTACCGTCACCGTTCCTGCGAAGCGCACCAAGACTACCATCACCCTTACCCAAACAAGCGGCGAGGCTGCACCAACCGGCAAAAATAACAAGAACACAGTCTATACTACTGTCACTGTCCCTGCTTCAAGGCGTGGAAATGGTGGTAAGACTACCACCATCACTCTTACCCGAACAAGCGGCGGCCCTGCACCAACTACCGCCAGGCCTGGTAAGGGCACCGTCTACGTTACCACTACTGTCCCCGCTACCAAGCCTAGCGACAAACCTGAGGAGCCTGAGGATGATGATGATGACAAGAAGGACGACGGTGATGACAAGAAGGATGATGATGAGAATCCCGATGATGACAAGGGCAACCCAGGTGGCAAGGGTGGTGATGATGATGATAAGAAGGATGATGATGATAAGAAGGATGATGATGGCAAGAAGGATGATGATGACAAGAAGGATGATGATGACAAGAAGGATGATGGTGAGAATCCTGATGATAATAACGGCAATCCAGGTGGCAAGGGTGGTGAGGAGCCAGGCGATAAGGGCCCCGACCTTGATGATTCCTTGTGCTCCAAACCCATGGTTCCCCAAGACGTCGTTAAGAACACAAAGTGGAAGAACATCAAGTTCCCCGTCGGTGATGTTAAGGCACCAGCCGTATCCTGCCATAACCGCAAGGGCAAGTACGATGCCGGTTATCACTTCAAGCTCTTTGTTGGACCTGGCACAGCTTGGCCTGATGCAGTTTGCCGCAAGGAGTACACTCGCAAGCCCACTGAAATCCAGGCCGCCTGTTCGAACGCCTGTGTTGAGCAGAAAAAGAGCTGTACCAGTTCTTCCAAGGTCAGGAAGATCGCTGACTACAAAGCTCTTTGCGAGGCTCAGCTTGTTGCTTGCCAGGCTATCAACAGCTTGAAGGTCCTCCCCAAGTACATCGAGTTGATCAATAACGATTACTGCAAGAAGCCTAGCCCACCATTCCCCAAGCCACCAAAGGCTGGAGGTAAACCAGCTGATGATGATGAAGAAGAAGAGATTCAATACTCCTAAATCTTCAACCAGAGTTCGGAGCAAGGTATTTAGGTAAATACAGCGGCGGCGGGGTGTTAGGGGAGCATATATGTACAGGCAGAACGATAGTGTGTATTAGAATGTGTTGGTTTTGTTTTGGTTTTGTTTCCTTCCAATCAAATCCATGCCATGGCAGAAACAAAATCGCCATTGCATCCTTGTATTTAGGTAGATGAATTGGGGGATGAATATCGAGAACAAACTGTGGTTTCACAGTGTTGATATAGAAATTTTCTTTTGATTTAGACATAGAGGGCATTTGTAAAACACAATACAAATTCTTGTGAACATTCACTTGATCTTCTCATTTCACAATTTGATTCGCCATTAGAGCTAGAGACACATGATCAATCATATGAACCAGCTAGTTGCTGGTGCTTCCGGGTTCTTCAGTGATTTAAAAATAGGGTACATAAAACTCCCCTCAAGATAGTCGGCGCGGATGTTGGATAAGATTTTCATCACGCCACTTTGCTACATGAACCTTTTAGGATCATGAAAGTTCAATGCAAAAGTTTGGGAACCATAATAGTGAGCCTTGCCCTATAAGCTTCGTTTTGCACGTGTGACATGACACAAACCCAGACCGGATGCCAACACAAAACGGGGATGTCGTAGACGTAGCAGAAACTGTTGCCGAAGCTAAATACGTGCAGCCGAGCCGGGAAAACCGTTGTTGGTTCCACATTATACTAAGTCGGTACGGCACGGCTAGCCTTTTCTGACAATGCTTAAAATCTCTTGGCGGGGCGAAGCCCAAAGCGGCGAATAAGTCCACGACCTCGTCTCGACGCACCATGCTCACTAAAAAAAACCTATCGTTCACGAGCTAGGCGGACTTAACATTGTCATTTTCTAGTCAAATCCAACGCCAAATCAGTGCCGTGCGTTTGCTGTAAGATCTGAAATCGCTTCCGAGGGCCGTGAACCAAAAACATACATCCGCCTGAAATTCAAATGGAACCCCAAATAAACTAAATGCACAAATTCGTAGACCTGGGAGGCTGATACTAGTGGCTAGGAGACGCCTGTATCGATACGCTTGCGAGACTCTAAGCTATAGTGCAGCCAGAATATAAAACATTTATAAAATACTTAGCCTAACTCTTCATCTCTCGCCGCCGTATGGAATAGTTAAGTTAGTATTGCACTAAGCAACTTTTACAAGGGAATTCGCTCTTTGTCTCAAATGAAATCGAGTCTCTGCATGCGCGCACCTATAGATCCATAGATATCATTCCTTAATACACACGATAGAACCGATCAAAAATCCTCCCCGTTATACTCATCCGGCTGACGAAAATCAAGACTAGAGTCAAATCTCAAAATATCGTCTTCATCCATCTCGTCATTGGTGAATTTTAGACTAGGGGAGATATTATCAATATCTACACTTCCATCCAACAACCACGCTGGATCATTCGCTTTCGTGAAAATAAAAGGATCTCCCCCAAAATTTACACGCCCCCTTTGCGGGGCATAGTCAAAGGTCCAGGATGGGAAGTATCGTTGATGAGATACTTGGAAAGTCGCCGGCAGCACAATACCGTCGACTGTAAAAAAGACAGTGCCCGTAATCGGATTGATACCACTTCCGATGACTTTTGGTGGGTGTAACAGAAGACAGTAGGTGGATTCAATTTCCGCTTCCGGATCTACCTCTTGCCTATTAGGTTTGAATGGCCATTTCGTAACCTTCCAGCCTTTGGAGACCGAACCGTTCGTATCGTAGGTGATTTTTTTCTTGGGGAATAGGGTTTGGAAACCGATCTCCCATTGAATGGGCCCATTCCAGTGCTTCCACCTACGAGAAGTGGCCAGTGGTGGCATGGTTAGCATCCTATTAGATCTGATATAGGCACTCAAAAATTCGCGCCTGGGCTTAAGCGTTCTTACCACCCCGGTGCAACTTTCGGGATTTGAACTTCAAAGTAGAACATCTTATCGATCGGAGGCACAGGATTATCGGATAACACAGTTGCGCGCAAGCGCTCGTAGTTCCACCAACCCATACCTAGGTTTCCAAACCCACCGGGGAGTTCAATTAGCGTGACGATAACGTATGACTAGACGTCTGGTGCGACTTACTCGCTGACGCGAAAAATTCAAGGCCATCTTCTGATAAGGTGAGTGATTGAGTGCGGTTATGGCCTAGTTTAGAAGGCTTCAAGAATTCACCAGGCTCTGATGGGCAGGATTCTGCTGGCAGATATTGAATAAGATCGCTTCTACCGTTGCATAAGAGCACGTCGTATATCGTCCATCCGTGTTCGTCTCTGTATGGATGGCGAAATCTGTCAAAGATTCTCTTTAGATCAAACATATTTTCTACCTTCATAGGACGTTTTGATTTGAACATGGATGTCTCCAAAAATGAGAGTGGAGGGGGCTCCTGCATGTTCACCTCGATAAGGTGATACAGGATCTCTTTCCCCCTTTCTAGCGTTTCTAGCTCCTCTTCATCTATTTCGTCTTTAGCAAAGTCTTTAGAAAGCATTTCGCACCAGTAGTCCAAAACGTTAAGCCCATTGGGATCTCTAGGCTTAATATCTGGGTTAATCGCTGTGATAAATTTCGTAAACTCGAAATCATAAAAGCGAATGACCCGACGAAGGGCATTCCAATTCCTACAATCCGTTCTTCCGAAATAATCTGTGACATCTGTATGCTCCGAGACAAGTGTCATCAGTTGCTTGAGCAAACGCATCGAGGTCTCAGGATCAGGGTGGCCACTTTGTACAGTCAGGCCACGATCCCAGTTGTGATCCCCCTCTATCAGCAAGTGAGCCCATGTTTCCCAGGAGTATCCATCACGACCCAAAAGAGGATTGTTGTCAGGGCACTGTTTCCCCTTCTCGCTATATTTCGGGAGGAATACTTCTATAAGATGGGTCTTTCGTTTGATTATTGCGTATGTGAGAGGATATCGGCCCTTTGTGCGTTTTGTAGAGTCCACGCCGGCCTCAAATAATGTGTTAGCAATAGCGACCTCAGTTTCTGGGTCGGTTCCATCGCTTTCAAAGGCTAAATGGTCGAAACAGTTTCCACCAACGCAGTCTTCATCGTGGACATTCGCCCCTAGCTCTATCAATGCATAAACAGCTTCTTTAAATCGTGCTTTTACTGCAAAGGCCAAAGGGGTTTCACTATTGTTGTCTTCGGCATCGACAAGATCAACGACGAGCCTCCCCTGGCCTTTCATCTTCAATATTACCTCGCATATTCCCAGAGTTTCTTTGATTCGGCTTGGTTCATTTGGCGGTGTATCTTTGAAGAGGTAGTGCAAAGGGGTCCACCCAAAATTGTCTCCTTTGTGGACATCCCACTCCCACGAAACACAGAGTAGTTTGAAAAGTTTGAGGTTTCGGATTCGTGCAGCAAGATGGAGGACTGTCGATCCTCCTTCACCTTCAACATCGAGACGGGCCCCTTCTGCGATAAGGATCTTGGCAGATTCAAGATATCTTTGTAGAATTTCCTCTGAGGGATCATTTAGTTCACTGAGGCTTTGCAGTATCGCAAGTAGAGGCGGCATCGTCGGCTTAAACGACCAAACTGAATTTGGAATAGTGAGATCGTCCTCGTATGCATCGTCCAGTTCGCTATCAAAGAAATATCTAGCTCTATGAAATGCGTCAGATTCCAGGACTTGGGGGTTGACATTCGCTCCGTGTTTGATAAGGCATCTAGTTGTCTCCGGATAAAAAGCCGACATAAACAAAGGTGTCGCAAAGCTGGGGCTGCTTATATCGCAATATCGCTCTAGGTTAGGATTCAACCGCGGTTTCGTCGCAATCAAAAGTCGAAGCTTATCCGCCGCGCGCACTTTGTCGTAGCTGAGCCCTTCCAGAAAGTGGTTGATATCCTCCACCAACCCAGGATGCCATGGCCCCAAGCGTCCAGTTCGAGAAGCAAGTCTTTGTAAAAATTCGAATTTATCAGCTGCTATAGACGGTATGTTGCATTTTTGATAAGCCAGCCAAGTTACACGGAGCTCTGGGTCGAGAGCAGCAATTACTTTTTCGAGATTGAACATTCTCTGTTTCCAGACCAAACGATCCATAACGAATTCCAAGCTCAGAAAATCAACCAACTGTTCGTTATCCATCGCACCTATAAATGCCAGACTCGCCATCGAGAAATCTTCATCTCGAAGGCTGAAGGATAAGACCTTTAGTGCCTTCAAAGCCTCTACGGTTGAAGCCTGTCGGGGATGGGTTTCTTCAGTCTTGGTCTTTATGCTAGAATCATTCAGCAAAAGATCTACCAGAAGGTGTAGCCCTAATCTGCAAGCGGTGTGAATTGGGTGTTCAAAGATCAGGTTTAGCGGAGAATCCTCAGACACAGCTGCCCTCCAGCGGCACCAATTTTCTGGCCGAGTAAATATCAGGAGTTCGGTCAGTAAATCGGACCACCAGCTATCTTCGATACTCTCATCACTCCACCATGCTTGTAAGCTCCGAATATGGTCATGCCAGTGATCAATTTCATATCTTCTAGGCCTAGGAGTGTCGTCGTTCATCCCCTCAAGATTTTCCGATTGTGTATCCGGTATTTCGTAGGCTGTTCCTTCAGCTGGCTTAGATGTTTCATCTTCAGCTCCATAAGACTCTCCCCCAAGCCATAACATTATACTTTCGAAGTCATCATGGCCTCGCCAGTTTCGTAGCTGCTTGAAGTACTCAAGTTGAGTATCGAGTTGGGTTTCCCCTTCCGCGATATCACGTGCATATTCAAGAAAATTCGGCCGATGCATATGCTCATTTTGGAAGGATTCGTTATTTAAAGCCCGCACTAGTCGACCAGAACCCGTCGTTAGCTAAATCTTAGCCAGTCTGATATAGCTGAAAGGGCGGAGCAGAAAACACGTATCTTTTGACAGGAAAAACTGTACGACTAGTCTGGGGTACAGACAGATACTTAAAGCAATCGACATGTGGGCTTCTTTCCTGTTAAAGAGCTCAGATAGACTATCTCCATATTGAACGAAAGAAGCTAAAATCGTCACAAGTGCCATAATATTAGCAGATAACCTCACTTAACCTGATATTTGACTCCGTGGAGGCAGCACCAGTAGCCAATTGTCAATGGGACATACGAGTAAGTGTGAATTTGAAAACAGTGTTCCCTCCTTCTCGGTATCGGTTGAAGCCACGGGCCTCTTGGGTTGCCGAAACTGCCTTCGATAATTTGGTATCTTCCTGTATCCACTCCCGGATCGAAATATCGACGCCAACTATGCCTGTGTTACGATCGAATTTGAAAAAGTCCCGACCAGCGTTCTCTAAGTGATAAATGATGTCTTTGATCTCTGGATCCTGGTATGGGTTCTTCTTGATAAGTTGCCTGATTTTAGAGAATATCGGGTTTTGGTCGACTTGTTCGGTTTTGCCGTAATGACTCAAATCTGTGTCTGTGTTCCGCTGGTAGAGCTCCCTGTAATGGTCAGATATCTCGATGACCGTTATTCCTGAAACACTCCAGACTACCCATTTGAGGGCTGAAACGATAAATTCTTGTTCGTCGGGGCTAAGAGCTTCTATACTTGACATGTATATCGCCCCAATTGCTGCTGGCAGCCTTTGAACTTTCTTTTCCAAAGATTCCTTCGACGGCTGTTGTAAATTAGCAATAATCATTCTAGCTAATGTAAAATCACCTTTCGCTTTTCCCTTTATGATTTTTACGATTCTGGATAGCTCCAAATCAAAGTAGTCTTTCAGCTGCGGGTCAATTCTTCGTCTTAACAAAAAGCTCACGTCATGTTTGAGGTAGTCTTCCAAGTCGCGGGAGTTCTTTTCTGATGTGATTTCTATCACTTTTATATAAGTTGGGAGGGAGTCTATTGCATCCCCTGTGCTGCTCCGTCCGTTCTTTGGCCCCAAAAGCTCGTTAACAATATCAATGCTATCTCTGGCCGAGATAATCACCCTGATTCCATCTGTTTGATTTTTCACCAGTTCTTCCAGCTCTTGAAGAAGATCATACTCTTGTCTGTCATGACACTCATCGAGTGCATCAATCATGATATAGAGTCTATTGGGGATAGCTTCTCCGACCTTTCTGATGGCTGCGCAAATCGAGGTGATGTTGGTCATAAAGCTGGCAGCAGTCCCTCCTCCTCCTAGCCCTGGAGTTCCAAAACTAGGATTAAGCGCTTCGACTGCGGAAATAAGGGCTGGGATACTGCTATGCAACTCGTTACTGCTGAGAAGTTGGTAAAGAACTGATTCCACACAAGTCCGGGCATTTTGCATGTCTTGGTCCCCTTTCTTAAAAAAGAAATGACATATGACTGGCGGCAGGGTGCTATCGGTTGTGCTAATGATTTCCCTGTGAGCACTCATCATAGCAGCGGATTTACCGTGCCCACGAGGTCCCTTAAGGCACAGAAAGTGCGTTTCAACTTTGGATTTCCAATTAGTGTAGGCATCCTCCCCGAATAACCAACCTGCAATTAGGCGCCCGCCACGGTTCCTGATTATTCTATCTATCCTGTCATTTAGAGCATTAAAATGATCTTTATACGACACCGGGTGAGTTAATTTGGATTGTTGACGGTTAAGTTCAACTTCGAGAGAGTCCCTCTGGATAGCGTCTATAATATCCGCACTGATTGACACATATTTTCGCATATCACTGAGTATTTGGTCAAGTTTCAAGCCGGTTTCTGGGTAAGAGCCGACAATTAGCCCCAGAAGATTCGATTTCCTTCAGATGTCAACTTATCGGGGGGTTTTAAATTCTTACTAAGGCTTTCTTGGAATACGGACTCCTCAAAATGGGCGTGCGCCAGCTTGACAATGTCGGCATATTGTTCCAAGAGGGAATCCACTTTTTGCTGTAATTCCTTTGTAAAAAGGTCCTTTATAGAGCTTCCGATTCCTAAGTAGGCAAATGACAGTTTTTAATGAGAGTTTAGTAGACCAAACCATAAGCCATAAGTAAGTTTGGCACCATAGCGAGGGCATCGTACTTTTGATTCTACTGTCGTCAAGATGAGGGCGAGCGCCCCAAAGAAAATCCAGAACGCTGAATATAAGATTCGGCATTTCTGATTCCCAGACATCAAATTGTGGCAATGCTTCGCTGTTCTGGGACAAATGCATACGAGCTTCCCATCGCACACAATCACCAATAATATTGGCGATGCTATCGCAAGTCCCACAAATAAGGAGTTTAGTTTGAACCCTTGCACTACCGACCTAGATTTCATGTCATTCTCATCAGCTCCGTTCATATACTAAACTGTATCTAGTTTAATGTATATTGTAGCACCATACGAATTAATCATTGATGCCTACCGTTATCAAGGAACTTATCCCAAACCACACTATTGAAATACTTTCTGGGGCGAACTCCATGAAAACATCAGCTGCTCCTTTCAATTGGTCTAGTGTCGTCCAAAGTTTAGCAGCGTTGTTATTAGCTTTATCTTCTGCTTTATTTCTCAGATCCTTGCAGGTTTTCTCCAGAGCGGCGATTTCCATGCCGAATAAAAATCGTTCGATTGCTTCTCGGTGTTTTGGATCTTTTGTGAGCAGAGGTTTTGCGATCTCATCTTTGAATCTCTTTTGAGCAATCTCGAAACACCGGGATAGAGTCTTGCGGCTGGGCATTTGTTTTTTTTTTTTTTTTGATTTTCGGGGCCACGTTCGCGCAACTGAGGGTTTGAACTCGTTGATATGCTAATGTTCCTAGCTTGAAGCGTCGTTATAGGGGGCGAATGTAACAGTTAGTAGTACGCAACTGAAATCATCTAAAGTACTTAAATTCAAGATCTTGAGATCAAATCCGTACGCACGTCGAAGTGTTTCCTTCTTTCTTTCTTTTTTGGGATCTACTAAGTATTTTTTGTGATGGCGAATATTAATCGTGTAAATGTGGGGCTATGAATAATCGAATGTTCGACAGTCTAACAAGTTAACCCAGGCCCAAACTTCAGCCCCGAGTCAGACAGCCGTTGAAACATGCACATGCAAGGATGATTAAAAGGTTATTCGTAAGTGCTAGTTAGCGGCCATGGGACTATTTCCACTTGGGGTTAGGCCGAGTCTGTCGTCAATTAACTAACTAGGTCTGAGCCATGGTTAACTATGGCATGCATATGGTGGGAACTTTCTGTCTTTTTGATGTCAACAAGCCTTCATCCATATCCCTGTAATACCCTAGGCAGCTGGGCAGCACCAGCGAATTACCTATATGCCGCGCTACACGAGCACCCATGAATTCAGATGAATACATAAGTATGCATTATCGATTTTCAGCATCATAGCGACGTATAATATAATCTATTTGAAATTGGATTGTCGTTTAGGATGTGAATATTCGAGTGAGTGCCTATAGCTAGAGCTCCGGCTTCTAATCGCTGTTGCCTGTGGTCGCATGCATGCAGTGCTACGTGTTGTATTGTTAGCCATGCGGCTGTTAAGTTATTGTTGCTCCCAACACAGTTTGGTTCCGAGACTGTATTGTTGCGTCTGTGGTCCTTCGATCTGAACATGTACTATAGCCATATAGCCATATCTATTATGATTTACAAATTGATCGTTATCACGAATTTCAAATGACATTCTCTATTTGTTAAATTACAAGGCAATATTAATACATGGAACAATCACAACCAATTTATTGGTGAGGGCTGCGGATTTTAATTTCACCAGGGTACTCTCACTCCAAACTCAATAGAAGTTCAAGAGATGTCTATGTATCTCGAAAATTCTTATTTTAATACCGTAGTACCTTCACACCCCGGTGGTTTGGGTACGCGTACGAAACAATCTTCATCTATTGATTAAAAATATGCTTACCATATAAGTATTTACCCTAACTATTAGCCGTCCTTGCCTTCTGACTTACTCAGAAACAGCATTCTCACTTTTCCTTTGCCATGAAGGCCATACCATCATTAGTACATCGACAATGGGCTAATCCTTCCATCAATAGTCTAGTATGTAATCGTAATTCCCACGGACCGGAAATTTCCATGCTTTCGTAATGGAATTGCATACTAGTCAATGGTTTCAAATAACTACGCAATGATATCAGAGGAGTTTGTAATCTAGCCTTTGGATAATGAGATACCTAGGTTCAGTCCTGAGACACCGTAATAGTCGATTGCGGACATCATTATATTCCATATGTTTCCATATCCTGCAACCGGGATCTCCTCTTGGTAGCTCAAATGTTCAAACGCTCAAATGAAACGGTACTGGCCTACCGTGGTACCATCTATAGCGAGTTGCAGAAGTATGCATCTAAAAGACGCAGAAACTAACTCCATAATGCAGTTCAAATTAACCCACGGTATCGAGTCCGAGATGTTTCGTCCATATCTATATGGTTGAAAGCCTTTGTGAAAATTGGAATCCGAGCCTCCTTATAATATGAACCCGAGGGGTTTGAAGTAAACGATACCCAACAGCAATTCTAATTAGATCTAACTTTATAAAGTTTATATATAGGAATGGATGTTCTTCGATGGTAATATGTTTCAGATGAGAAGTTCTTCTAACTTCAGGCTACATTAGCTTATGTAATCATGTTTATGATTGAGCTAAGTTTTGCTGCACTAATTCCGGCCTGTAGATATAGTACGTACTAGTTAAAATAAGAACGGGTGACAACCTTCCGGTTCCACATACGTTCTAGTTATAGAGCCTGGTCCTTGTTAGACTATGATCTAAAACCTGGACTCGTTTCAAGTTTTCGCAACCATCTTTTAAATTTTCAGAATTTAGCATACATCACTAGTCCGTTTTAAAATAGAGGAAAAGTATCATAATCGATTAATAATTCTTGGTTGTTCTAGCTGCCTATAGTTCGGGCTGAGCGATATTGATTGATCTTACATGTTAGACGCCTCTGTGTGGTTATATTAATATATTCCGTCGTATTTTGCTATACTACTGATACCTCTACTGAATGCATGAAAGCACCAAGGTATTTGCATGGGCTTTGGTATACACATTTGGTGAGGAGTGTCTAAGAGATGGTCTTAGAACTATTACACATTATATTCTATAGCGTTTAAATTTAGCAGGCCTAAGAGATAAATCCTAGGAGTATTGAGACTATCTAAAGCTCTAGGCCCCTTCTGCTTTATAATTATATATAATTATAAATTTATTCTGCTAATCGAGGTAGAGGCTTATTCCTCTCATCAATACTCATCTAAGCCTAAGTCTGTATCGCACGTGTTACGTTTTCATGCCTAGAATACTCCCGCCTATCTACCACCATTTACCACCCCCACTTCAGCTTTCGTGATCCTATTTTAACGGCAAGTACGCTGCTGCATTCATTATTTTTGTCTACTTTCACCTTTACTTCATCTTATCTCTCAGCATTTCCCCCCAACTCTCGCTATCGCTGCCGGAGTCTGTGGATTCAACCCTAGAGCTCATAGGAAGAAGGCTTCATCCAATATGGTGCCAACCTCATCTTTCCATACTCTTTCTGAGGATGGAGCCCCGACGCCCGAAAGTGACACCCTGGGTTCTTATCAGTATGTAAAATCTTCAACCACCACAACCCGTACCCGCGAACGGCTTCGGAACGCGGAGGACGAACTGAAAAGGTTACGTTATAACTTGGAATTGCAAATGGCGATTGCATCTGATTCACGGCACCATGTCGAGAGCCTTCATTATGAACGCCCTTTAGCATTTTTGCCTACCATGCCGGATGTTGACGAACGCATTCGTGAACTTAAATTCAACGAACTCCAAGCAAAGCGTGAAGCTCCCCGACGGTCCAATGCAGGATTGTTCAAGGCTATTTGTTCCACCGACCTGTTGTTCTTGATTGATACCACGGGCTCCATGTCGCCTTACATCGAGGCTGCCAAAAAGCAAGTCAGAAGTATCGTCAATGATATCAAGGCGACATTCCTTGACGAAGCCGACGTCCGTATGGCTATAGTAGGTTATAAAGACCACTGCGACTCGCCAAATATACAGTTCCTCGACTTTACTTCTTCAGCTGATCAAGTACTCTCCTTCCTTCACATTCTACGAGCTACTGGCGGCGCCGACGCCCCCGAGGATGTCCTCGGTGGGCTTCACAAAGCGCTTAATGCGAATTGGAAGTATAAAAGTAAATGTATTGTACACATTGCCGATGCACCACCGCATGGGCGAACGTCGCATAACCTTGGGGATCAGGCGGATAATTATCCTAACCCGGGCAGCGAACCACACGGCCTTCAGCTCGCACCTCTCATTGACCTCATGATCCAGCGCCAAATCAACTACTCCTTGCTTCGCATTAATCATTCAACAGATCTTATGGCGTATAAAATATTCAAAGCGTACGCCGCAGCTTCTGCAGACTGCACTTTGCTCCCGACCAACACATACTATGATAAAACCAATAGCTATAGTAGCGGCCCAAAGCGCAGTCTCAGAGGCGGGTTACTGATGCATGAAGCTGAGTTGGGAGCTACTTATGCTGCTTTACGAAATCTAGTCGTTCGAACCGTTACTTCCGCTGTTACCGGCACTGCGGCTCGTTATCTGTCCCGAGCAAACAAGCCAGACTCAAAGCTCGCAATAATAGAAGAGGATGAAGACTCTGTGCCCCAAGTAGAGGACTCTTCGCCACAATGGAACACACCAAACTGGTTTGACGAGACAATCTCACTCAATGGCTTCTGCCCCGATGTCACAGTACACGGCGCACATACTCTCGACAACATGATGGCGCACGACGACCACATCACTATGAGCGTATTAGACCTCACGATTCATAAAAGACGACAGCCGTTTGCCCAAGGCGGGTTGCGTTTGGCATCTTATGCACGAACGGCAGCTTCGACTAATCGCTATGTGGTCAAGTCATCCAAGCGGGATAGCTCACAGTTGGCGGAATTAGTTGAGGGCATGCGGTGCCAGGCTTTGTGCAAGTTATTTGCCCTCGAATTCAACGCATTACTAGGAAACCAACATTCAATCGACTTTATTGTGACAGCGTGCTTCAAAGGGAAATCGGAAGAGAGCCCCGGAGATACATGTATATCCCTCGAGCCCTTTATCGAAGGCAATTATGTTAAGTATAACAACAACGCCGGCTATGTCAACGAGGACATCACCGATGAGTCCAATAGAGCTGCGCAAGCCTTCTCACACTTTACTTTTGAGCGTTCACGGGGGCGCTTTTTGGTATGTGACCTGCAAGGCGTTGGCGAACTATTGACAGACCCTGTTGTCCACACTTCTGACCCCGATCGATTTTTGCTCTCTCCGACAAATTTTGGCGAGGAAGGTTTTAAATTTTTCTTCGCTTCCCATAAATGCAATGACGTTTGTTCCCAACTAGGGCTCATGAGTACGGCCTCAACATTTATGTCAGGAACATGTGTTTTCAAAGAGAGTTGGCCTAGCTTGGCTGAGACGGTATGCTGTTCAAACAAGCTTTGTGGTAAGATTTTGCATCGAGCTAGCGGTAAGATATTAGGAAATCTGCCAGGGTATATCTGGTGCGACTTATGCTGGCCACAATTGGAAGGAACTGTCGTAAATATACGATGCACCGCGGCCGCTCCCACCCCATACCACGAATTTGCAGCGTCTAAATTCTTCTATGAGTCGCAGGGACGTGCCACGCCGCGTAGATGCTTTAAGCACCGTGAAGAGGTTAGGGCAAGGGCGAAAGCCGGAAAAAATGGTGTCGCAGCCGCTTGTATCACTGTAGCGGATGAAAAACTTTGGGGCACACTAAAACCCGCAACTGGGAAAAGTGTAGACGAATAGGATGTGCTTCTCATCATGATTGCTATTTCCAGTTTTTTTCTCCCTATTTTTGTTTATTTGTTCGTTTGTTCGTTTGTTCGTTCTTCCTTTGCGCCCCCTTGCTTCTCAATATCCGGACCGTAAAATAGAAATACTCTAGCTAATAATATTATTCTCGGCTCGAGACGCCCTATCCTAAAATGCCACACAACCCCCCTCTATGCTTTTCCCTCCTCTAATGGCAGCATATGCCTCTAGATATACGTAGATATTTTTGGTATTTCCCACACTGTATCTCCACATCATAGCTCTAGGTTTTCAGCTTTACCGATTCTAGCATCTCTATGATTGTTTTTTGTCCACCATAGACCGCCTGTTGCAGAGGAGTTCTGCCATGCAAATCCTCTGCTGCGGGATCCGCCCCATGTTCCAACAAGGTAGTTACCAACTCTTTATTACCCACTCTAGCGGCCCAGTGCAGAGGTGTTCGACCGTAGCAATCTTTAGCTTCAATATCAGGTTTTTGACTCAGTATCAGCCTGACTACTTTGTCGTTGCCACTTTCCACGGCCCTATGAAGTATAGTTCTTCCATCTTTAGCCGTGGCGACGGGGTTAGCACCGTTTCTTAGTAGAAGCTCCACAGCCTTCTCGTGCCCACCGAGGGCAGCAAGATGAAGGGCTGTTGTATTGCCTTCTTCCACTGCTAGCACATTGGCCCCTTGATCCAGCAATTCATTAACTCTGTCAAAATTCCCTTCGCGAGAGTAGTAATGTAGGGATTCTTTTTTCTCGTGCGCTCCTGTTGTCCCGGCTTTCAAAAGTAATAAGGCAGTTATCGTATCGTAGCCATTGTCTCTCGAATAGTCTAGTGCCGTTCGTCCGTCGTAGCATTTTACTGTCATGTCGGCCCCGGAGTCTATCAAAACCTCAACTATTGCAGCACGTCCAGTCCTAGATGCCCAATGCAGTGCCGTTCCACCGTGATAATCTACCGGTGCGTTAATATCGGCACCACTCTGTAGCAACAGCTTTACTGCATTGACGTTTCCGCCATCGACGGCGAAGCGCAAGGGTGACCGGCCGTAATCGTCAAACACTCCGATATCCGCGCCGTTATCGATAAGTATCTTCATTACTGCTTCATTTCCAAGCCTGCAAGGATGATGCAAAGCTGTTTTGCCATCGAAATCTCTTGCATTAATGTCGGCAAGTCCTGAGTCTTGAAGCAAGCTGTGCAGGACCAAGGTTAAGCCCCAGTTTGCAGCCATATGAACAGCAGTTAACATCTTGTAGTATACGTCGTAACAACCGTGGTAGGATATCCGTGGCAAAAATTCAACCTGCGTGGCACAAGCGGCTTTTGATCTATCTTGAAGGAAGTCCGAAACTAGTTTCAATAGTTTGTGTTCGCCTTCCCCGCGTACGTGATCCCCCCAGTGTTTAGCGCTATACCGAAGAAAAGGATTATCTTGGAGTCTGATCTCCAGCGACTCGTCGTCATGGCAAACCCCTGTGCTAAACGTGTCGAATGAAAGGTATGTTACACAAGATTCGGCGATCGAGACATTGATTCCCCCGAACAGCTGCGGGGTCATTCTTGTAAAGTATTCCCGGACTGTCAGATGAGCGAGTCTGATAGTACTGCTCTCTCGGTCAATTACAACTAGTCCACCACATACGTTGATTAATAATTTTGGGGCGGGAAGATTTTCATCATCTAGGAAAGTCGTATCTGGTTCTACGGCGAGTCCGTGGCATAGTTCCTCGACCGAAAACGGTCTTTTGGCGTGGGTAAGCCAAGATAATATCCGTAGAGCAAGGGCAGCGTGCTGTTTAGGCTGGGCCTGTAGCCTTTCTAATGCTACGTCGAATGTCTTCTGAAGATCCGACGGCATCGTCTTGAGAGCGTTACGAATTTCTCGAACTGTCGTTGCAGCATATATGCTATCCATTTGTAAGCGTGCAAGTAGAAACCTATAGTGAATGTATTGGTAAGTGATAGCCAGGAAACTTTTGGATGCAAACCTCCTTACATGCCGCCGGCAATTTCTGAGATATGGTCTACTATCTCATTACGCAACTTCGGCTGGATCAAATCAGCTAGATTTTCGTCGTTGGTCAGACAGCTTGTTATGTAATCCCTAATATCTGATTTCGAGGCTGTTATTTTAATATTTAGTCCGCTTTCGTAGGCATTCCGAATGTCCATAGGGTGTGAGCGACTGGTCACGAAGATTTTAAGGGAACGTTGCTTTGCTTCTAGTTCGTGTAACGCAGATAAAATACCCCTCCTATGCCTTCTAAAATCCGACTCGTCCAAGGCATCAATGATGAGGTAGGTCTGCGAGAAACAAGTCGAAACTTGAAGCAATAAGGCTATGAGTTCCGATATTTTGGGCAATCTATGTTCTTTACAAAACACCTGATAGAGTTCCTCTAGTTTGGAGGGCAAAGTTAAGGTTCTGCGTACTAGCTGTTTTGTTAGGCTTGCCACAAGATAGTCAGGAGTTTGTTTGTCTTGATCTTGATAGTCGCAATAGAAGAAAGCAAGGCCAACACCATTATTAACAGAATGATCTGATATATGATTTATAACCATCGATCTATGATTTAGCGTAGTGATTAGCTTCTAGAATGCGTAGACATAATATTTATTTGGCTTTAGAAGACTACGCACGTCATTACGGTTTTCCCCGCGCCGGCTGTTAGTATACCTCTCATTAGCAGGATGCTTCTCTTCTATATACTTAAGTATATAAGTACTTAGATATCGATGTTTCCGGTAACGTACGGTCGCCATGACACCAGAGACGAGTGTCTGCTGCTGAAAACCATTTTCTAAATTGTGCGCTATCCAGAAACCACCGCCCGCTTGTCGGATGATACTGTTGGAAGACGTCCCTTTGTTTCTCTTCGAAATTTGCCGAACTTAGCCAATTCAGAACCGTTTCGACTACAATATTTCAGCGTACAAAGGTTTTTAATATCTTGTTAGAGTGGATATGCATATTATATATATGTATAGGTTTGAGTAAACCGGCCTTACACTGCATATCCGACTTGAGAAGGGTAACTTCCCGAAGCATCATGGCTGTAAAAACACTGGTCAGGTGAGCTTGGCATTCGTAGACTAAAATGTGTTTACGTGTAATTAAATATTAAACTTACAATCCTTCGGTTGTCAGAGAGGTTTGAAAGATCTCCCGATATCTGTGCAACATTTTGACCAGCTGAAGAGTCTCCTCCTCGACAAAAGGCCATGATAGTTTATTAAACTTGATCATAAATAGCCGGGAACTGCTTCGTTTCTTAAGCTTAGAGTGTAATTGTTCGAGGTCGCGCATGCATTCCGAGATTGGCAGGGATGATAGAAGCTTCGACGAGACCCCTAGCTCGGAGGAGCGGGAAACCTCCTGTAGCCTCGAGAACAACAGTTTTAGATTTGCCAGTTCAACAATATATTCCCCTTCGCTCTTTGAAGCTTTGTTAGCGCTAGAAATATATTTATAACTGATCCCAATAATTGAAATGGAGAGACTAAGCAGCCCAGCGATACCCGATGCAAGGCTAACAGCCTCCATAGTTTAACAATTATTAAAAATCCCTCGGATATTAAATGCCTTAAACGTATCGGCAAGAAGAAACTACAAAACAGTAACAAGAGTAAAGAGACGCTGCGTCTAAACCCGCTATAGCGCTAAACTTCGAAGACAAGAACCTAGAAGGAAGAGCCCATGAGGAAAAGTGAAACTTGTTGGAACTCGCAAGGTTGTTTGATCAGGGGAGGGGTAATTCCCCATTTCGTATTAAATACCACGTGACTAAACTCATTACGGAATATCCCGACGACGTGAAGCTGATAGCTAAGAGTAATAAAGTGATAACCAAGTTGCAAGTATACATGTTATATATTTCAGAATATAGGTTTAGTGACTATGGTTCTACCATATATAGTATGTACATATATCATATATTTAATCAATTATGCGTCGTCTAAACAAGTTCTGCTAAAAAGTCGATAGTACTAGTACGTAGATGTCTTCTATGCAATGTGTAATAACCCTTCCATGCACTGCTATATGCTATATAAGTATATAGCTATGCGAGACAAACAGCTACGTGTAAAGTCCAGCAGTACTCAAATTTTGGCATTGTCAATTTGGTATCGCGGGCAGTACTATAGCTAATTTCACAAAGCCAGGGTACTGTTTTGAAGACGCCTCCGACTTGTCTCAAACCAGACTCAGCAGAAAAAGGTTTGATAGCAGCACGGCGCAATGCTAGTATAAACGCATCTACAATGCGTGTAGCTGGCCCTAAGTTAGTTTCGAGGCTCGCTACTTTACATACGGTTCTCGAATTGTCTGCAGAGCTGCAGAGTGCCGTCGGACTTCCGATTCGCGTTTCTTGAACAGAACACATGCGCGTGCGGCAACCCGCCATGCAAACCTATCATTCGAGCCAGCTAGTTGCCCTATAAATCGACAAAACTAATTTCTCGGGAAACCATCAATTCCTTGGCCAAAAATAATAAAAAATTATCAAGTATATATACGTATTTGTGTGTCGGGTGTTTGGAAGTAATTCAGAGTAATGATGTGCTCCCTTAGATTAACTCGTCAACGTAACACGATTGCAGTACAGTAATAACAGAATTTTGATAGTTATTTCATGTAAGCAAGACTCCAAGGCTATACGTATATACACAACAACAATAAGCATAGTTTATAGTGTAATTTCAAGATTTCGGGGAGGTTAGGTGATTCGCTATTAACATTAAAGATCGAAGTAACATAAGTCGATAAGAGGTAATATAACAAAGAACTATTGTCGGAATGAAAAGGGGGGATTCTCATTCCTTCCTGACTCGAATTGTAGTCTTAGGTCGCTCCAGAATTTTTGTTGTGTAGCTGAAGGGCTCTTCATTTTCAACCCTCATTCTGTCCTAACATGTGCCTCAGCCTCTACGACATCAAAAATTGCAAGACCGGATATAGCGATACTCAAACCCGAACCAGCAATGCCAGATCCAAAATTGCGGCTGCCCCGGCCAGACCTCGCAACACCTGTTGAGGTGTTGTCTGGATTTCAAGACGATGCATGAGACCCTGTACAACTCTGTTTGGTTCTCGAGCACAGAATACACACTATTCTTACGGCTAGTCCATGTGGCTAGAGGATTTTGGATAACTAAACTCATCATGAGTCCTATTTTCAAAACAGACTAGCAAAGACTGGGTGGGGAATATCAGCAAGAGGAAACAAGGTTAGATGAAGCTGCGTATATGCGGGAGAAATGTTGAATTTTACTACAGCGGGGTGGACATATTAACTCACAGAACGTAGGAGCATCGATGGGTCTAATGCAACTGAATTGATCGGCCCTAGATATCTCTCCTATAAATAATTGGAATGGCTAATACCCCACATCTAAAATAGCCTTTATGATGAGCCGAATTTAATATATCAATATTACAATATCATAATTATGCATAATGAATGTCCTCAAGAAACGAGTACGTATACGCATTCAAAATGCAACGTGTCGCCGTAGCACAGCTCAAGGTAATTTCTATAACAATCTAGAGCAAGTTACTAATTGTATTCCCGGTCCCTAAGACACTAAGCTCAGTGAGATCAGAGCTTTTTGGCCAGCCGCTTTAGGAAAAGGGTAGGCATTATAATTATAATAATATGGTCTTTCGTACGTTTGCTTATTAAGCTTATTTGTATTAAAATATTAGGATCCGACTAGGGATGGATCCATGAGACCTGAGCTGAGGAAACTGAGATACGGAAATCATTTCATAGTCGTGGTGGTAAGTAAATATATACAGAACAAGCGCAAGGTATAGAGTGGTCTCGTGTATAGAGTCATGATATAAACTTCTCTAGGATATTCCCGATATTCTGCATGGCCTGGATCTGCATGCATCAAAGACCAGAAAGCCCATTCAGTCATATTCTGTGCGCGATGCAAAGGAAGTCGCTTTGTAGTATTCCTTTCCAAAGCAAGTATGAGAGGGTCCGGGAGTACTCGGGTAGACACTCAGAAAACGTGTGTGGGTTTAAGATATACTATAAATATAGCACAAATACATAAATATAAAGTCTATACGCTCGAGATGTTTTAAAAAAGTTTTTCTAAATCTTATTCAAACCCCATTTAGTATGCCAAATTTATATAATATGGCCACCTAATTATAAATAACCCGTTTGATTCCTTTTCCTCCTAGCTATGGCACATCCAATTTCGAAATACAAGTACTATTTGTGACTACATTGTCAATAATTATCACCTGCTCAGTTTGCGTAAATTAATGTTGGTAAAGGGTATTTAGTCGGAGGAATAGGCGAGCGCATTGTAGTAAAACTTTGGGAACGTTGCGACCTAGGTAGTGGCCGGCCCCATGGGTTTTGATTAAAGCTTCATTGTATTCTTTGATCGGGAGCCTGATGAGGGCTTTATTGCTTTCCAAAGATCTGTATGAGGAAGAGGTGCTTCGGGAAATGGCCGCTCGTGGACCAGTTTGCCTGTGCGTGCGCATGCATGGGGTCACCCGCAGATGCACCCCGCTATTCACATACTCCAGACAGAGGTGAAGCTTTGAGTGAAATGGTAAGCATAAGAAAATCATAATACTTTTGATTTTGTCTTTAATAACTAAGATAAATATATGTAACAGCGCTGCAGCGGTGTGCTAATGGGGGCCCTTGTGTTCACCCTCAGATACATATTTAATCACTAGATATATATACTGACTTAAGTGCGATACCTTCCACAATGCGCTCTTAGTATATAGTATATACCCTCCAACATGGTAAAATTCGTTACGAAAAAGGTTTGCGAATTGCCGAGCTAGCATGCGGATTTGCTGCCATGCCCGCTATGTCTCCCCTTATCGCGAAAGTGGTAAAAAAATTACAAGGATATCTATATGAATTGAAAGTTCGGTCCGAGTGAAAAGCTGGGCTGAGCGGCTTGAGTGGTTCGACGAGTTTGATTGGTTTGAGCGGTTTGAGGTGTCGCAACGACAAGAGTATAGTATTAAAGCTGGCTATAAAGAGAAAGGGAAAAAAGAGGCAGATTAATCCCAAAATTTGCAAAAACGCCGACAACATGGCCAGCAGAGCAGGACACAGCAAAGAAGGGGCGTCAGGGGAGGGACGGGGGGTAAGGGATGAATGAAATGCAAAGTTCACTCAGACAAGGTCATGCTTTGCGTCGGTCCCGCCGGTTTCTTCGCCATCGGGATAGCAGTACTGGTACAAATGCTGCAGCTGGGCGAATAGGTGAACAATCGGCCTAGATCTTCGATTGTTCAAGAGCCTGACAGATTTTTACCATCGAAGACACACTATCATCGTTAAGGTCCAGGTTCGGGTCTTTATCGAGTTCATTAATAAAGTCCTGTCAAAAAAAAATATGATTAGCAAAACCTGTTAAAGCAAAATCTAAAACATGTGAATTTCTACTTGCAGAAAGCGATTTCCACTTATAGTCATTGACTGGACCTTGAATTGGATCAGGCGATCCCGGAATTCCAAGTTCCTGCCGGATTTGCACCATAGTGGTTTTGCCCTTTAATTTTGGGCATCTCAAGTACTCATATTCTTCTGCAGTCTTAGGGATTAAATTGGCGTCCGCAACTGCAGAGGATGAGATTACCGGTATTAGGGGTGCGGGGTTCAAGTTTTCATCGTTTCGCAATGTGGACAACACGACGGCTGTCGCAAAGTCTGATCGTTGACTGTCCTCTCGTGACGACGAAGCCCGGTTTGAGTCCGACATTGTGATAAGCGCTGTTCAGTCCCCGGATGGTTTTTTTAATTGAGAACCGTTGTGGTTTTGGTCTGACATTCGAAGCGGGAGGGCCGCATGCGCAGGGGCGAGATTGTGTCGATAGCTACAATTAATTGCAAAGTATACGTACAATCGATCGGATTAGACTCGGTTAATTTGCGCCGCCTAGCTATAGGAATCGTTACGTATACGAATGCACCGTACGTGCAAGCTTATCGCCGCCCATATACGTGTGTACTTACGGGTGTACTGTGCTCAGGTACTTGAATTCGAATTACGATAAAATGTCTTAAAATGGACTTTCTACTTAGCTTAAATAATATAATACTTAGGATACGAGCTGAACACAGTCGGGAAGCAGGTTTTCATATCATGAATATCATTCAACGATGGTGACAACCAAACGCTATAACTACCGTCGATAGAACTCTCTCGCTTCCTATTTCTAAAGAATTTCAATATATAGGTTTAATTAGGCTTATTAGAGTATTACACGCTCTCCAAGCCAGAATTAATAGCCTCAGAGACGAAAGCAAGCCTGATGGGGACGCAAGAGCCGCCAACATACTGACCGAAATGAGGATTCGAGACTGGGAAATCAATCCCACCTGCATATCTCTCAGTACAGCACACCTTCGACCTAAAACATACGAAGAGTTACTTTATGCTGAAGCCAAGAAAATCTACAACCCACCTTAAGCCTTCATATCCTACATACAAGGACCTCACTCGCGATGTCCCTTCTAGTATCATCATAATTGCATCTGCGGTTTGGCTATGGTCCAAGAATCTGCAAAGGCATGATCATTCCCAGTGTGAAATGTAAATGCATCTTTAATGGCTAGGAAAGTGGTTTCTGGTTTTGGGAGGAAACGGGATAAGCGGATCCGGGGCCAGATAGACTCTGAGGGCTGTGCTAGTTCGAGATGTTGTATCCAATCGAAGGGGTGCCGGATTTTGCCTGCAAGATACATTCTGTTTCGACACTCCTCGGGTTATCCAAGTTTAATTAGTGGCTTTGTTCTAAAATATTCGGTTTATAATTTACGGTGCTACGGCGTCATATGATCATGTAACGACGATTCTGCACCAGTGGTTGTAGCTTCTTTCCGCCGTCAGTTTTTCATTATTAGAGCTACAATCCATTGAAACAGCCATCGCTCCTCTTCTTCGGTTGACTCCAGTATGTCAAAAAGGATGGTTCGCAAATCATCTTCGAGGTCATCGTTTCGAAGATTTTGCACAAATTTATCATAAATTTGGTTTTTCAAACCTGCATTCTGATGGGCGAAATTTCGAAACTTCGGATTTGTGGCTCTATCTCGGATCTATATCTCTTAAGAGAGTCCCGAAAGTCTCGACTATACTGCAATGGACTCCTGCGATACTAAAACATTGACACCACATTGCTTGAATCCAATCACATGGCTTGACAGGCGTCTCGACCCGTGAAAAACAAAACATACTACTTGAGCTGGTGGCCACGCAGAGAAGAAACCTTGCAATTGCATGCATGCTGTAGCTACCATACATAAAGCAACACGGACTAGAAGTAATATCTGTATCTTGGTCTAGACCAAACCCAGTCCCTACCAACCATGGCTCCTCCAACGTCACCAAGCTCGAGGCACTGTCCGACGAGAAGCACGGCACAGAATCTAGATTTCTGAAAATTTCTCAACTTCAGCTGCAGGATGAGAATGAATCTGCTGTAGTGGCGTCCACTCAGGTGGAGGCAGTAAAAAGCAGTAACGCTATATCGGAGTCTCTCTAAGCTTATAAGAAAGCTTCGAAAATCAATGCACTGTCATCCTCTGCTATACAGTCCTGCTGTTTCAGGTGCATTATTTACCCATTGGCTCGTCACTGTCTGAATCTTGAAATGGTCTGTATCTGTAGGATAGCTACCGACGACTGTTCGCTTTGTACCAGGAAGCATCCGGAAATATACGAGCTCGAGCAACTTAGATGCCCCAAACAGCTAGAACTAGAAGCAGGTTTTGCCTTAGGGCACCTTTTCCTTATCATTTTGAGCATCACCGCAATCACAAAGCTAACCATAAGAAATACAAGGGTATTACCTTCCAGGTCTGGGTACGACAAGGGTATTACCAATAGCGAATGTAGTTGCGCACACCTCCACAATTGTTCGACCCGATTTGCTAGCAGCAAATAACTAGAGGCTCGGTTCCTGTGATCTCTCGCCAAGCTATGCTTCGTTTGTCAAATGGCCAGAAACCCTTGTCAAGAGCCACGTTCAATCTACACGTACACGGATGCGGCGGTATATCCGCGGGGCGAGGTCCAAGCTCAGACTATAGTAGATATGGGCGGCATACCGCTAACAACATGACACACAGAACGACGGTAACAGACTAAAGTGGCCAAAGTGGACGACGGTGCGATAATGCAATGAAGCCGAAGTACCAAAATACTATCTAATACTAGGCATATGTTCATCGAGACTTTGCGCGTGCCTTGCTTGAATTTGAACGATCTCGTCGGTTCCTTCGCCATCGAAAAATTAAAATAGGAATAAATGCTGCAACTGGTCGCGTTGGTGAACAGTCTTTCCATATAGATGACTGTTCAATCATTTGAATGATTTTTACCATGTTAGCCAGACTCTCGTCATCCAGATCATAATTCGTGGAAAGATCATCGACAAAGTCCTACATGACGGATTAGAAGTTAACTATCTAGTGCGGCCCAAGAGAAACACCCCTTATCATACTGCGCATGGTCTCAAAGCTATAGGTTTTCGTGCTTACAGATAAAGCCTTCCACTTGAAATTATTGATTGCGGCAATAACTTTGTTATCGGAAGGTGGAATCCCGAGTTCCGTTCGAATTTTTGGTATACTTGTTTTGATACTGAATTATCACAGATCATATAATCATATTCTTCTTTCGTCTGTGGAACCAAATGAGCCGCGGCGTCAGCCGAACATGAGATGGTTGGGATTAACAGTGCGGGGTTCCGTTCCCATCGTCTCGCAATCCAGACAACACCTCGACAGCTGTTGCAAAATCCGACTGAGACGACGGCGGTCTCGGATCCGACATTGCTGCCCCCGCTAGCTAGCTGTATTGGTTCAAGTTCGAATACCGCTAGGTCCGGTCTTGCAATTTCGACGTCGTAGGGACTGTTGTAGGGCAGATTGATGGATATGCATATATGGATGGCCGGTCAGGCGCTGCAGGCTTGAAATTAACCGGAGCTGGAACTCGGTTATAATATATAATTCTCACTTTTAATTGGATGTCTTGTATACATACCCAGCCCCACCTGTAGAGATAGAGAAAATATATAGCATGTAACAGCTACCGGCATCCCGCCTGAAATTTCAGTAGGAGAATTATTCTACGTTTGTTTGAAACTTTCGAGACGGCTGAAAAAGAAAACCATTCTAGAAAGAATCCATCGCAAGTAGAGGGCTGGGAAGGAAAGCGAGGGCGGGAGGATACATGGCCATGCCTCGAAGGTTATAGACATAAAACTGAAAGCTGTACATGGAATGTTCAACTCAATTTTCTGTCGATAGAAAGCTCAGGGCGTCGATAAAACGAGGTCAGAAGAAAGCATATCAGAGGAAATATGTTCATCTTTTGGAACTACCTTTAAATCTAAACTTCATATGACCATCCGAAAGTATACAGACTCTTGGTCTGAAACAGACTCTATAAATATAAAATTTGAAAATATCAAAGGTTACTGTATAATAATTCACACTCAAATGGCTAGCGTTAATATCAATACAGTACCCAACAGCGTAGCTAGAGCGATCGACCGAGCGTTTAATTGTGGTAGTACTTGTTCATGCACAGGTTTGGTGTTAGGCTTCATGATTCTCGCGGCTGCTTTGTGTACATATTTGCCAATAACCGACACCGGGCCATAGTTTTCTTCAGAGAGGCTTTCCATCTAGCTGCAAGGAAGGACGGGGGGAAGGCATCGGTCTAGTTGCAAATACCGTACATCTAACTTTCCCTGGCGCCACCTCGTACTCGAAACCTGAGGAAGTAAATTTGGGAATCTATCCTATCATCGCTACTAGCCTATATTTACATTTCAAAGCCCCAAAAACCACCCAGGAATCCTCTCAGAATGGTAACGAAAAATGAGGATGTTTCTCCACAGAAAAGCATATCAACCGAACCCTACATAATGCTAGCAGCGGACATAACAATTTAAGCACTGCTATCTTCACCTTATCGTTGAAATAAATTACTGATGATTACTGCAATCTGCCTTAGCTTTCCCACGACCTTCTTCGGAGCGACCGCTATTCTCATACAGGTTATATAATGATTTTCATACATTTGAAAGGATTTTCAATTAATCACGTTGTCACCACCAGGAATCGAAACTCAAGTAATCTTGGATAGTGCGATTGACTTTTGAAACCGTGATGAGACATGGCAACCATCTCGGAGGAACATTTACCTCTGCGGACTTTGAATGGGGAAGGGGATTTCAATATTTTGCTAGGAACCGGGGAGTCAAATTTCATGTCTGGAGCCGGTTATACCCACATCATGATATCAGCGTACTTAGCGAAAATGATTTAACCGACGAGCCCCCAAGATATCTTAAGTGCTTACATCTTGATCAAATTCTCACTTCTAACCGGTACAAATATAACTAAATAGAATTCAGAAACAGATAGCTACGAAAACTAGCGACATAAAATTATCAGACTCCATTAAAAGAAAGGAAATTCTAGGGTTAAGCTTTCTAGAAAACCTCTATAGTCCTAGAAGAAACCGAATTACAAGTTTTGCATGCGCCTGTGTCCAACTATGCATGCGAGGCCATCGCTGACCCCCTACCGGGTGAGATCCATTTACTTTCACGGTCAGTTAATAACTGAGACATCCGTTCTGTTAGCTACTATAATAGATCGATAAGACAGGGATCAGGTCCCTACTTACGCTCATAGATCCCGAGATGACCTTTTAGTTGGTTTTGTTTGTTGGAAGTATCTTCGATAACTATATCCGTAGTCTCCGTAGTCGATGATTGGTCCTGTAAACCAGCCTCGAGGAATTGACTATATGTCAAAGATGATCCTTCCATTGGCGTCTTTCTTTGCTGCCAAGCTCGTAGAAGCTGATTAACAATCCACACAAACAGCCATCTTCTTTCTCTGGTAGATTCAAGCATATCAAATAAAACTTCTCGAAAATCTTCACACAATTTGATAGTGCGAAGATTTTCAACGAATTCATTATATATTTTGGCTTTTATACGGTCACTTTGATCTTTAAAACGATCAATTTCCGGTTCAAATTCGGAGATATATTTTTGAAGAGGCTTATTGCAGCATTTCTACAAAAAGAGTCAAGTTAACAGAGGAGATGCTTGAAGCCATACTCATCATGCGTCTGGAAATTCGAACCTTCAGAATTCTAATAGATGCGGGCATTGTAATATGACCCCAGTTTTCTGTTTTATCAATGTAATAATCAACTTCGAAAGCTTCCTGAAGAATTTTATTGGTAAGATTGTGACCAGTCTGTTTCGGTTTCGGGATCCGAGGCGGCTGGGTTTTCAGGGCATCTTGGTGCTCCAGAGGGGCCGACATCGCTCATTTAGATTATGGAATGGAATAGTTGCTAAATCTAGAATCCGTCAGAACGATACACAATGCGATCTTCAACTGATCTCTCGTGCCTCCTCGCCGTTTGCTCTCGACCGTGACATGACCCCACCCCGACGGTGTGGTGTTCGTGCATTTCGTGAGGCTTGCGCTTGGCATGTACACCTTGTACCTCTCTCTTTTTTTCTTTTTTTTCCCCTTTGTTCTTGAATTCTTTCCCTCTCAACTTTTCTGGATGTATACATACATGTACATCCATCCATATACATCTTTTAACCAGGGCACACTGCATTACACGGCACAACTGTTAAAGCACGCCATGGCCAGGGTAATCAGGGCTGAGCTGAGCCGTTGGCCGCTTGTATATATATGTAGGCTACCTGACTTCCCTCCTTACAACATTCACTTTTCACATGCATGGGTTGTCCAGGACTTGACGTGGTTTGATTAAGGTATGAAATCGTACTTGGACAGTTCTTCTTACCTAATATCTAATATTGAAGCTTTCCAAATCCCGCTATGGCACTTTGATCTGCAGGTTATTTTGTTTTTCCTCTAGGTTTCATCGCTTCTTTAACCAGTAAACGAGTAAATCGATCGAGATAAGAAGAATATATGCATGTACCTGAGCTGAGCTACCTAGCGCTAGCGATTAAATCAGTAGGGGCTTCCTAGAAAATTGTCTCGATTTTACAAGTGATGACAAGATCTGAAGAAATAATCAATTATTTAATTAATTGACGTGACATCGTCTAGAGAACCATAAAATTCAAAGTTTTATTATTATATAGCATGAGAAATTTCTCGATGGACATTTTAAACGGCCTCATGATAGCCCTAGCGTCAGGTCTAGCGGCTCATCAACCTCAGTTACCCCCTTCACCGACCCCAGTCCTTGAGTCTATGCCACCAGAGATCATAGATAACATCTTTCAATATTTCCTTTCTCCTCAAAAAACAAGCGATATTCGGATCCAATTATGTTTACAGGAGCTAGAAAGAAGACCGATTAGCGATTTCCCGACTGATCTCGAAATTTTAAAGGCAGCCAATAACATTTTTAGAATAACATTAGTATCGTCCCGCATCATATAAATAAAATCTGTAGTATTGTGATGCGTACTGAGTTGTAGACCCTCGCTCGAGTCCCAGGGCTTTATTCTTATGTATATATATATGCATATGGCACCTGCCAAAATACTTAAAATTTTATTTAATTCTTTTTATCTGGTATATATTAGTCTCAAGGCGACATTCATCGCCATAAATACCAAAAAACCAGTACTGCGACCTGTTGAAATCTAATTTTAAAAGTTCTTGCGTTTGAAGGTGCCAAGTAGACATATAATAGTAAGTTTATTCATATATCTCATCCCGAGGCCTGCTTGCAGAATTGCGGGAAGATGCCATGATCTTTTGCGAAGTCTGGTTTTGAGACAACATTTTTGGTTGCATATAAAAATAAAGATAACTGGCAATAAGACCTCGGGGTCTATCTCGGTGGTGAACTTTGAGCAAACCTCCCCAACAAATAATTTAAACCGCGCTTAAGCTTTAAAGACTTGTCAGCTTGACTTCAGTCTCATAAAACACCGTAAAAGAGCGGAGTGAGTCAGCAGATGCCATATACGTAGGTAGATGCGGTCCGAATTTTATAAGGATTCCATTCAAGCCGTTGCGGTATTTATAAGGCAACCGCCTTTTCGGAAAATATCTACCATCCAGTTTCTGATGGTTTCGTCTTCGATCAGCTTCAGATCAGGCAGCTTTCTTTCACGCGGGCTGACATGGATATTGTCGTAATTGTTGTAGTCAAGTTTAGGGGGCCCGCACCCGGTATATATTTCGTAGACTACTAGAGCCAGTGCGTACCAATCCTCGATCGGATCTGTTGGGAAATTAAAATCGATACCGGGACGTCTTTCCTCGCACAGTTTATTTGGGCAAAGATAGGACACGTTTCTTTCGCCACGAAAATTTTCCGGGCCCTCGTTGAAGAGTCTAGACGCTCGAAACTTAACGAACCTTAGTTCTCCTTTCCATCTCATGAAACTACATGGTGTGACATCTCCGTGAATTATTCCGTATTCCCCATGCAACCTTTCTAGAAGATTGATCATTTCGTTCTTTAGTCCTTCTTTTGCCTCAAGGGTGACGTAGTCTTTAAAGTTAATCTTTTCCGCAGGCTCCATTATCAAACCTATGAGTCGAGGGCCCCCTTCGATTTGGCACTGCGGCGTATATACATGTCCGAGAAGTGGGACGGCGCAATCGCCTGCTATTCTAGCTAAGGCCGGTTCGCGTATCCCCGTATACATCGATGCAATGACACCTTGGATGCGCCCCCCCCCCAGGTTGACAATTTCGCGGTCACCTGTAAGCCAGTGGTGATTTGCTGTACTCAAAAGGATGTCTGAATACTGTGGTTGATACAGAGCGTCAAATTTGGGGACAGTCCTCGTTCGGACTGCTTTTTCAAGATCCACGTGCTGGCATACGCACGGCGCTGGGTGAGAAGAAGGTCCAGGGTAAGGTGGATGCATTTCTTTTTAGCAGAGAAATGATCTTTGATGGGTATATAATTGAAGTAGTTATGCCGGATGAGGGCTTATGGGAGGAGTTTTGACGTGATAGAGTTGGTGGGATGGTAATTGGTATGTTATACTTGCAAGATCAAGAAAATGAGTTAGACTGTAGACTGGTAATTAGTATACGTATTATATAATGTTGAAAAAACCCTAGGGCTAAGCTGGTTAATGTTGAGCAGAAAATTTCACTCTCTATTATATGGATGAGATACCTTTTGAGGGTGTAACTACCTCAATATAAAAGATCGGCCAAGGATCGATGATGATGATGATGATGATGTCGGTGCATGGTTTATCTATAATGGTTCAAAGTCGCATGGAAGCTTCTGTGTTGTTGACGATGCGTTGTGGGATGTTGGACTTCCAGAAGAAGTTTGTCACGAAAGTTTCCCTCATGCCAAGACCGCCAAGAGAGGCGGTCTATAAAAGCACGACTTCCCCTTCACCCTCTTTTATCAACTGTCCTAGTGCATGGGTGTTACGCGTGGAAGTGAAGGTTTATCCTGATCCCGTGTTTTTGCCAATTGGTATGTGCCTTCCCTCTCCCTCAAGTACCTTTCAAGTACCAAGTACTTTTCAGATTCTTTCAACATTTGTACCTTCTATGTACCTTCTATGTATCGTTGTCTCTATCTTGGCGGCATAACTTGGCAATATCAGAATGTCTTTACCAACATCTTTAAAAGCTAAACTAACTCGTTGATTTACTAGAAAACTATACAAAGACCAGTCGTCTTGGATTCTATCCAATACGCAATTTTTCGATATTTTGATAGAAGGTCTATCCTTCTCCCTTTTTTCATTAACTTCTGGGCGATGTTCTACGGGTTGAAGAAATAGGCAGATGGGAAGACTCCTACGAAGATATTGAGATGCAAATTCCACCCGCATGTTTCCCGTGCATCATCTTGGGCCCATGTTTCCCCCCGGCCCGTGTGTATCTTTCCTTGGGCCCGTGGTCTCTTGGTTCTTGGTGCCCGGTACGCAGCTATTACGCCGAGAATATATCGATTCATCGTCTTCGAAAAGACATGTATCACTAATGACTCTTGAATTGAGGGATTTATCATCAAGCAGGAATGGTGGCTCATGGAGTCTACCAATGATGAAGGAGACGGCACGGTTATGATTTCCTGAATCAGAGAAGACGCCATATTCAAACGTCACAATCGTCGGTGCCTAGATGCACGGGATATGAGCGCATTCTAATTGGTCAGCAATGCCTCAGCTCTCCGTACAGCTGCGTCATGGAATGTGATGGCTTTACCATCGAATCAAATGTCGACACGTCTTCGAGATGGCTTACCGTACGCATTTGTCATCACGACAAATCCCTCAAGATGAAGAAATTCATCTTGTGATCATAGATGTGGGCTGAATGAGTTCAGCTAACTCCGTTTTGCTAGAAAGAGCTGGACGTATTCATTGCCATTTTAACAGTTTATAAAATTCATTTTATTGTATTATTTTCTCGTCTTTCCTCCATCAGCCGAACGACCTTTTTATCAATATACCGGGACGAGTTCACAAAACGTTAAAATGGAAATGAATGTGTTAATTTCCTTCTCTTTGTATGCATGCGTGGAGTACTAAATAATGTTTCATAGATCAAGCCTCGCCGAGGATATAGGTGCTTCTCTTTGGACCGTTATTGACAATGTATACAAACATTAATACGAAAGTTTGACGTATTCGATATTATCAATACAGTCGTATTCGAAATTGAGAAACGTGCCCTTTACCCCCCCAAATTGGACGACCCTAGCGAGCTAAGTCAAAAACTGGATTCAGTTGCAATATCATCTCGAAATGGGACTATTAGCAGCAATCCAACGATACCCACAGCTGCTATCCCAGAGTATCAAGGGTTTCTCAGACTTCTTTCTCTACCCTAATCCTATGGGAAGAAGACATTTAGGCAGCAGATTTCACCACATCAGAATCACGAAGAATTGCTTCCGAAACTCTGGCATCGCAGGAACCTCCCACCCGTTTGTATCCAGCGGCGCCTGGAATTCCTCACGATACTTCCCGAGTGTCTAAGAAAGCCAAACGTCGCCGCAGAAAGAACCGTCCAACCCAGAAAAGGTCCCAAAAGGCTACTTGCCTAATGTCCTATCCAGAGTCTCTAACCATATATTTTGGGAATTCTCTCTGAAATTCCACATAACTACACTCATTTCAATGCATTGAATTTATGCCTTTTGCTAATGATTTTTCTCTCTTTGTCGAATATACACGGTGTTTCTCTAATGCGGGATGTATATTCTTACACCAATATTTCAGACTACAAACGGTCAAATGTACACTAGCAATTGACATCCTGATTCAAAACAAGATCATATATTTCATATATTTCATATCTAGCTGATCGTAACAGCTGCTCGATAAACCAATACCCGTCTTACTGGGTGAACCAACCTAGCCGTGCACGTGTGGCTGTAACGTAAAATATTGATATCGGTTTGGGGCCGTTTGAGGAGAGAGTTATTAAACTAACGTAGACAATATGGCACGACGATGGGGCGACATTGACTATACATCCGCTTTTGGTGAGGTTTGAACTATCATGGTCTTGTTTCTGGGCTTCTTTAGCTCGGCTTGAGTCCTCACGAACAGGAAACGATACCCTTGGCTCTTAGTCCCTAACTTGTCGGTATCTACGTTGCTCCCATCTTCAGACGAATTCGAATTCGAGTCAAAAATATCTTGATTTAAGGTTATTGACTACTACTACACAAGATCTAACATATCATGCTCCTAAAACGAATGCAGGAAAGCTCCATCAACGAGATAGACAAGATCCAAGATTGTTTTTGCGGGCTGAATAACAAAATTTCTTGAAATAGAACGAAGTTCATCAATATTACTCATTTTTTTGGATTGCAGACCACATAAAATCATGTAATTGACTAGATATATCATGCCGTCGAAGCATTGAAGTCGTCATTTTCAATTGAACACGATGAATTGCTTCGTAAAAAATAGCTCCGAATTGTTGTATATCGCCTGGTTTATGAAGGTTAGCGTTTACAGTACTTGTCCGACTGCATTCGGAGACATTTCCTATTCTCGTACGGGAAAACTGCGGTCAGTATGGTCCTCAGAATTCGACAAGTTCAGCCCTCGATTTTCTGGTCGTACCTATTTGAACTAAGCATCTCGACCCTAATATGGTGATCATAATCCAATCGCAATTCATTGTATTCAAAGCAATGTCCAGTCCGTGAAGGAAACTAATCCCTTCTAGTAACTAGATACCCGACATTCACTATTAGCTGATATCATGATGGTTCGAATTGAAGCCGTACCGGCAGCTCTTACCTCCGGATCCCGCGCGATATACCAAATTACTTCTTCCCCAAGCTCTGTAAATGAGTATACTTGATTCAGGTCCTGAGCTCTAAATCCGTCAACTAAAATCTGGCCTATCGATAACGTAAGAGCTTCCAGAGCTAGAGCAACGTTGAAGTATTTCCAATTCCCTGCGTGTCAAATTTCCAACAAGGTATACGGCAGCTGGATGAGCACTGTCGTAGTAGTAGACATATTTATAACCGCATTTCTTTATATAAAACGGTTTCTTGGCCCTCCAAACATGAATTTGTGACTCTCCATCAGTAAAGACAATGTTTTTTCCCATGCAGCCGATGATGATGATGAGACTTCTGTCATAGTATTGCCAGCAACCATGGATATCATATTTTGTAAAAGGAGAGATTGTTGATTTACGGGATGCGCTGGATTTATTTTTGGCCTAATAGGATGGGGTGTAATATCTAGAGGGCTTCTGAGCCGCGGCGACTTCGAGGGCGGCGTTTTCGACTTTGAAACTTTCGGCTTCTTCACAGGATACTATTTACGTTTTGTACTATTAGAAGAGAGATGGATGTTGAACAGATTTGGCCGCTTAGCACTAATACTAATGCCATTTTCTTGATAATGTGACTTTGCATTTGAAATATGAGGCCCTTTCTTTGGAGGCTGTGGTGAAAGCTTAAGGATTTTGGTTGTATTCAATAGCTCGTGTGGTAATTGCGTGGTGCCAAACAATGACCAGGTATTTCCTGACATTTTGGTTATTCTTTTTTATAAAAGTCTGGTTTTGAGATTAATAAGTTTTATAGAAGGAATCACGAAGCCAAATACAAGAATGCCTCTGTGACTCTAAGTTCGTATATAAGGAGCTACCAAGCGGTTGGTCGTGGTTGGGGGCTGATTGATATCCATAAGGACACGATGAAGTACACATACGCAAGCCTTCTATACATCTGTAACCCGAAATCGACTTTTTGTAAGCAGTTTTCAGTAATAATAAATATAATCATACCATATAATAGTGATGCGCACGAAGCTAAGCAGGCAGAAATTTTAAAATCAATACAACGCTGAGTTTTCTAATTTTAGTTTTTTTTTTGCCGATGACCATCATACAAATCTAAGCCTACGCTATTCTCCTTTCTAGCTCTCGATTTAACAAGGGACGAATCCAACCGGTTCTAAAGTCTGCTCTGGGGTCAACAAAGAAATATCACAAAGAAAGAAAGAAAGAAAGAAAAAAAGACCAATCTACCATCATCATTCTTCTACAGCATTTATATAATAACTCAATTGTTCGCTTATATATAAGTACTCTCGGGATTCTTCCTCTTGATATTCCTGCTGATCAAATACCCTGTCCTGCACACGGAGCTCCAAAATTAAAACCGGGACTAGAACCAGCATTAGAACTAGAATGAGACATTGCACATTGCACTCAGAACGCAAACACAACTAATAATATTGATTTACAGTACGCTGTATTTTTTTGTATTGGTTGTTGTTCCGCTAATACACTGTCCCGTTGAACCTTCAACGTGTGTTTGAGGGTAGCCGGAAGTTGCCGTCATCTTGCTTGTACAGATACACTTAGTTAAGCAGGTATATTAGTATTAGCCTCGAGGACACACGCAAATGAGAGTAAGGTATATAACCGGATTTTGATGAGAACGACGGGACGAGTGTGGAAGAATTTCTCGCGGATTTGAATAGATACCCTTGAGCTAAGAACGGCCGGTCTGGGACCGATGAGTTGATTAAGATGTGAGGTTTAGCTTAGGAAGTGTCAGCGAGTGCACCGGTTTACGAGACTGGCATTGGTTCTTAGTCTCAAAACTACCTATTAGATCAAAACGAAATTTAATACACCTTTGGCCGGCTATTAAATTTGGCCGGCTATCAAATTTGGAAGAAAAATTTAGAAAAGTTCAGAAAAAAAAAACATTTCTTGTCCCACGACACGCTGGCCGCTATTCGAGAGTCCACCAGAGCAAGCTGGCCGCTGATTACATAAATACCAAATTAGCTAGGCTGACATAGATTTGGGACGAGGCCGGCTGACAGCTAGAGCCTCTTCTACTAACCTACAGCTCACATCTCCCTCCACCTTGAACAATTTGGACATGCTTTCATCCAAAGTTTACATGCTCGTTCGAGCATACGCGGAGCATCTTCGGGCAGGGGCGGCATTAAGAAGTTGCAGACTTCGCCAGTGTAGTGGTTTGCATCCGGGCAAAGCCACACGACCGCGTATGTTTTTTTGGGCGTTTCTGTACAATTTCCGTATTCGAGCTGCATATTATTACACATTCTATACAGGCGTTCATCAGATATGGATTCGCCCCATTTCTTTCTATTCCATGGGGTTACAGTGTCTGGAAGGGGTCTAACGTTGCTTAGATACTTTATAGTTTTTTGATATTGTATATTGGAGATTCCAAATCTGTGATGATATTTTTTAATGGGATTGTAGTCTTGTAATCATTGAGTTGCTTGGTTAAGGTAAACAAAAATCTACCTAAGGCCTAGGGGGATGGTGGGTTAATATACACAGGAAACAGTCCCAACAATACCAGCCTATGAGAATAAATTTATAAACCAAGATACTAGGCAAACCCCCAAGAAGCATCTGTTCCCACATGTAGATTGAGATATATCGATCTACGAGAAAACGAACAAAATAGAGTTTGAGGAGTTCAACCTGCTGATATCTGTTCCACTAAATTCGCGAAAAAGCCAGTTGATTCATTCATGGCGGGTTAAAGGGACGGGTTAACACGACTAAATCTACATGTGAATGACACGGCTCATTGTACGACTCTCTCTTTCTATCAATCAACTTATCAGGCGCTTCATGCTATAGGAAATGTTATTTTCGAATTTCCGAGTATTGAAAATCGGTGACCTCATCCTCAAACTTTACGAAGAGAAGACTAACCAAGAGATTCGGTATTCACCGCTGGTCTCCTACCGACATTGTGCTTCATGAATTCAATGTAGCCCCGAGAATTCGCCGCGGTGTGACCAAAAAGGATTATATATACGACTTAATTTACTCATCTAATAAATACCTGTACTGCCCAAAGTATTAACTCCCAAAATTTAAAGGAAACTTTATCGACCGTATGACCAGATGCATATATGATACTTCCCTAAAAGTCTGTGATGATCGATTTGGGCTCTATCAACGGTGTATCTGATATCGAGGTCACGCACCTCCGTGGCCGAGGTAGGTTTTCCTATTAGCCATCCTTCGAACTTTAGACTTTGAAAATTCATGTTTGTGTAACTTTGATAAGCAAAAACTCAAACGAAAAAGATGCTTTTTTTCGATATATATTGAAGGTATCGATCATAAATATACGGATGGCTCGGTAAAGGTTACTCCCGTGTGAAAGGTCATTAGCTCACCAGGAGCCCTGCAGCAGGTGGGATATGTACATTCTGCTTGCGCTTGCGAGCTTGCTTATAAGCTTACGTTTGAGAAGTAGACTAGTGCATATAGTGTGCCCTCTTTCTAACTTTTCGTCGGATCATAGGAACAAAGTTGAGGCCTGTGCAACACGATAAGGGGTCTTGAAGCGGAGCCCTATTCCGGCTGTTTCCCAAATATATACCGGGACTGCTGCACTCGTCCTGGTCACACCTCCAGCATGAGTTTATGATCTACGATTCTTTCTTACTGGTCACCCAACCGATAGTATTCCTGGCCAAAACTTGGGCTTAAGGGTGCCAGCTTTTAAACATGAACTAGAAAGCCGAAGGCTGCACATGCGCGCATTTAAACCCGAATAACTGTACTCGAGCTCAGCACGATAATGAACTATAAGCCTAATTCGTTCTATATTCTATTCTTTGACGTCATGACTTCCGATTATGTCACACGAAAAAGACACATTTTTATGCAATGCCCCAGGGCGAAATATTTTTCCTTGCTCGGTTTTCTATTGGGATATCGGATCCCTCTTGCAAACAGCCAGTCATACGAACATTAAAACGATACAAAGTCTACGGATCCGGATCAGAGTCCGGCTATGCGCATGAAATTAGGCAGGTATTACCCTATTCATCTATACAAAGCACAATTTTTCTCTTCGATCAGGCCAGCAATCTAAGCAGCCGGAAGGCTCTGAGACTACTGAATGTTTTAAAATAGTACAATATAAAATTAGCAGGTTCGTGAACCGAGAGAGGGCACAGGAATTGAAGTTTAAAGCACCTGCGCTGGTGTACCACCAAACGCCTTCTAAATACCTTAGTGGAAACCGAGGGTTTTCCAGGGCAGAAATTCCGCCTTAAGTCTGCTTTTGGGGTAATCGAGACGTCTTAGCTACTGGGTAAAGCATCTTAAATTTTAAAACCGATCCCAAAACTCCTTGCGGTATATATGCCAGAGAAAGGTGGTGTCGATAGCGGGTCAAAGGTTACGGTACTACCCTGCTTACGAGATAGTATATAACTTTGCGGTGCAACTAGGCTTTGGATTAACGTAAATTAGTATCAGGGGCCCAAGTTAATTTTTCTGATTCCACGTACTATTAAATGATATTTTAACATGTTTGGGGATTTTATCTCCAGTTTCTAAACCACCACCGCCCATGGCTCCGAAAATGATACTAATTTCTTCTGGTTAGGAGAGAAGGTAATAGCCCGAATAGGCCCTTCCTGCTCCCCGAAAGGTTTTCCTGTTGATCCGTCGCTGTATCCCAGATGGCGATTCAATCCTCGCTTTCTGCTGGGCGGACTTCATACCTAGTCGAGCCCGGCGATGCTGTAAATGCGAGATATTTACTGTCAGGAGAGAAAGTAATTAGCGCTGAGGAAGCCTTAGTGTCTATACGTCTAGCCGTTTCACTTCCCCGAATATGGCTGTATCCAAGATCTTGATCCCCTGTTCCGCGACAGCACTATTGCTATATGTTTAAGATCAGGAGAAACAGTCAGATATTTTATATAATTAGTACTTGGGCATAGTCTGGGCTCTTGAGCTTCGGAATTTTCCGTCACATCCCAAAGCTTTATCATGCCCTGGCCTGTGATGACGTGGATGCTAGCATATCGGTGGACGAGGACGTAACTGAAGCAATCCCGCCATACGTTCGAAACCTTTCCAAAAAGGCAAATCGAAGAAATGAAAGCTTTGTCATCAAGCTCTTATATTTGTTGACCTACGACCAGCTCCCAAATCTTGATTGATCGTACATGCCCTCTGATACTGGTACTGATACTGATACCGATACTAGATTGGTTTTGGAAGAGAATATCAGATGTTTGACTGGATTGATATCATGTTTGAGAACCATCATGCTTTCTTCATTTGTCGTTTCCCAAATTTGCAAATCCAGATGTCCCCTGATATCAAATCTATAGATCTATGCGTACCAAACTTCCTTATTACTTCATTTGTTTCAATATCCCAAAGCATTATTGAGCCACCGCGCAGCACCTGTACTATCAATCCACTAGGAGAAAGAGCTATTACGAGGGTGTGGATGATCCGTCAAAGCTTTAAAGCCGGTTCTGTTGATGGGCTCCATAGATCCAAAGTCCTGGGAGTTGCTCTCCCGTTGTTGTACAACCGTATCCCAAGGAGATATTTTCCCTTGCTCGGACATGTGTACACTGATACTAGTTTCCCGTCCGAAGATAACTTTCGCGTTTAAACCTCTGTGACTTTCTAGCTTCTGAAGTTCTGCATCCCATGATTCTGGGGTCGAATCCATTTCGAGATGCAGCTCTGGAATGTGACTCTCACACTACTCTTCTGTGGGTTGAAAATGAGAGTAGAAGAGTACCTAGGTAGATTTGAAGTGGGGCTTCGTTGATTATCCACTGGTTTTGCAGGATAAAAGTTCAGTAGGTTAGGAGCTTCCTTCCCCTTACGCCTTCCAGGTCTGGGTACGAGACAACCCCTACGCTCCTAAGTTGTCAGTCCGTGCTATGAGATAGGTGGTTATAAAACATTGTGCCTCAGCAAGTGAACACAAAGTGTCAATATATTTGATACGGCCATTTAATATTAATGCTCTCTAGTAGGCTAAGAGCGTCAAACCAATGGAGGAGGTGATTACGAAGGGAAGTGTGGACGCTGTTATCATCACATATACGTTGGTCGCTATGCTTCAGCTGATGGACCCAATAGCGGCAACTATACATGTATCGAATATGTGCCGGGAAAACACTTTCTATCGAGGCTGTATCTACTTCACTCCGTTTCATTCCTGGGTATTCCATCGAGCATATATTCCCTTTTGGAGACTCGGACAATACTTCAAGGCATCTAGCCGTATGCATGCCATTGGTTTGTTCTTCGTCGATCCGGCGCGGAACCAACATCCACCTATCTCTCTATCTCTCTAGATCTATCGGGTCAATTAGAAACTCGCGGAAAGAGAGATGTAATAATTGCACGGGTAAGTTTGGACAAGACGGAGCACTAAGGACAGAGTGTAGGTTATGTAGCTTTGCGTCAAGCTCCTTTTGAGGAATGCCGAGAAGGCTAGTCGGTGACGGTGTAGATAAAATAAATCAGCCAATACAACAGATTTTTTGCGTGCACATGGGGCTGGGTACGAGACAACAATACAACAATTAAACCAATAATTTTACAAAAACCTCTAGAGAATTCTTTTGAATTGTGACTTGGACTGTTGGCTTTCAAATTTTCTTGATACTGGCTGGCAGATATGTTTAGGTTAACTGGTATGCTTCACGAATAGGTTATTTTTTAGATTTTGAGTATAGTGGCCAGCCGTCCTTGTGACTCCTAATTTGAGATATCTCTTAGTCTTGAGTAAATCCGCGTATGGTCACCGCAAAAATTAATAATTGGACCGCCATGCCATTTCCGCCAATTTCCCTATTTCCCCATCCCAGGCCAGGCCGGGGAGACCTGGGCCGAATTTTGACTGTTGAACTAAATTATTTTCTAGAAAATTCCTATCTGTACCGTATCTAACTAGTCCCGAGCCTTTGCAAGAAGGCGGAGGATCGTTTTGATGTCGCGGACTCCTTCACATTCGTCGGGCGCATTAACTAGTAGGACCAACATCGGGACAGAATTTGACAAGCCTTGATCGAGGTTTGCAAGGGGCTAAAAAACAAGAAAGTTGAACTATTTTTCCAATTTTTTCGCCGCAATTTCAGGTTCTTCATCGATTGCCTTTCTATTGTAAGAGATTGTATCCGGTAACTTTCGTAAAAGCTAGGTGGTGGTCGTTGTGAAGTGTTCTATAGATCTAACACCCGTTTTCACCTCTCTTGCAGAGGAAACGTTAAACTAGCACCCAGTATAGTATACCATCACCATTAAAAGATTGTGTAATTGTTCGAAAGATCGTTGATTGCCCTGTCCCCGCGACACCATTCAACCAAAATATAGCCTTTCCTTGAGGGTCTTTTGCCCACTTTTTCAGCTGTAGGAGGAGGTCTTTTCGTGTTTCTGGATGGCATTGAGCATCCAGTTCATGATTGCTGTGTATTATGGCGTCAAACACTGCACCTGGAGCGGAAAGTATCTTTCCGAGGTCAATATATATGCTTGCGAATATCTAAGACAACTCCCCTACACAGGGAACCAATAATATCACCAACTTCGTCTACGTTATCTTCAAGGGAAATTAACGTTTTCCGAATGGCTCAGACACTTACGTTGTATCCAATTGAAGTGCTAAAGAAACGTCTGTCTTGCATTTCTCAAGGTCCAAGATTATCTTGTCGACATCTTTGCTCTCGAAGGGCCATTTCAAACGAAGTCCAATGCTACTCATAAACTTCCGCCTCGTACTAGGGTCCAATCTCTTCTGAACCGAGCCTATCTGGGAACAGCACTGATCAACCACCTGTTGTAGCTTCTGTGATGTCGAAAGCTGCCCAGTTTTGTCACTTTTAATTTGCTCTTGGATATCCTTAGCTAGCGTCGCGATGCCCTCCGTCTTGGTTCGCAAGCGTCCGATGTCATCCTCTGCGTTTCTAACTTTTTTTGCATAATCCATGCACAGCGAGGCGACTTTGATCGAGATCTCGACAAATGTAGCAATGCTTGCGGCGACGCCTATTGCTTCCGCCATTTTTAGGTTTCTGGGCTTGGTATGAAGGCGCTTGATCCGATCTTAAGAGGTTAACAAAAAGAAGACGGCGAAGATTTAGGAGAGAGACAAAATCCGACTGTTGCATTGGCCAGAATGTTCTGCGAAATAAGTAGTAAACGCAGGGAATTCTTCCCCGATGGAGTCCAAGTAAGCCCTTAGCTTAACTTGTCTGTCCGTCTTTATATTTTCAGGAAGATAATATTAACTAATGAAAACCGCCAGCCGTTGTTTCGGACAGTGATAACAAGCCGACCCCGCACCAAGTGGCAGTGCAGCACCGTCCGGTGAGGTCTGCAGCAAGGCTGGCATAATTATATGCTCAACTAAACATCGGAGCCCCGCAAATTCCCATAGATCTTGCAGAGCGTGAGACCAAACCGGTGAATATCGTTCCGTATAATGTAATATACGCAGTACAACTTTTTTTTTTCCCTTCAAGCTATTTGTACAATTGTATGCTACCAAACACGATCTTACGTATCCGTAGCTAAATCCTCCACTATATCTTACACCTTTGAAGGCCTTTCTAAATTATTAGAGTTCATTGTTCATTGACCTGCGGCTGACACTATATCTAAGTTTGTTAGTAACTTTACTTAGCTAGTTGCTTCCTTAAGTAGCCAGTCGTATATACTTAGTTTATTGTTTTAACGGTGCCTTGTATATATACATTGACGGGGGAAGTCTAGCCTAGCGAAGCGCGTATACCTTCCAATCAAAAAATGCAACAAACTAACGCACGATACCTGTCGAATCTACAGAGCAGTCTTTGCCTTGTTTAATTGTTTTAGTGTTCATGATTTCTCTTCTTTCCGGAGCCTTTTAGATTTTTCTGAAAGGTACTACGAAAAAGGGTTATTCGGGCCATTCGACTTTGGGCTAGCTTTTAGTCAACGTAACTCTGCCGATTAATCGTGAGGTGACGGCCCGTCGCTTTCACAGACGCTTCTACGACAGAAGGGTGGGTACAGGCATTGGCTACTTAGAAAACCGTGACCATATATAGCTGGCCCAGATCAGGTTGTCTCATAACCGTACTGGTTAATGCATAGCTATTGAGACAAAGCTTGCAATTTTGAATAACGCATTTATAGACTGTCAATACATCGATGTATCGGGAAGCTGGTGTCGTGGGAAAGCTCTATTTGTTGTCTCAAACCAGACTTCGCAAAAAGAAATCTACGGTTTTAGACAAGTAGTTCTTGAAGTGAGTACCTTAGGCAAGGTACCCAAAAATCCGAGTCCCAGCATCGTCCAAAGGTGTCGTGAGAGCTGGAAGAGGGTACCTAGGTCGGTGTAGGACAAGTGGTGATATCTATGATATCAACATTGTCCCTCACCAATAAACAAAAGACTTTTCTTCGACCCATAGGACATCGCCTAGAAGCCAATGAAAAAAATATACCAAGTTGAAGAATGACTTCTATTGATTATTTTAAATATTAAAAATTCCTCTCAAGGAAAACCATGAGAGAGGGTCATTTAGGTAGTTTTCAATTGGCAAAAACACGAGATCAGGAAAAACCTTCACTTCTACGTGTACCACCCCTGTACTAAGATGGTGAAAGAAAGAGGGTTGAAGGGGAAGCCGGCCTTTTATAGTCGGTTTGCTCGGCTGATGAGGGAAACTTTTTGGCTGCAGTTTACCAGCAAGTTTGTCAACACATTCCGCTTTGGGGAACTTTCCTCTGACTCACCATAGTAACGGACTCATCCTCTTTTATATGAGCAACAGAGAGAAGACCCTGTATTGGAGTAGATACACAGCTGCAGCCTCATCTTTTCAGGCTCCTCTTCGACTTATAGTTGTTCGTATGAGCCCTACTATACAATGTACCTAAGTCCTAGCGCTAACTGTGGCTGTCAAAATGTACATACATGCATATGTCTATCGAGGAGAGCATATGATAATACTTTGACTTTAACATTCCTAACCCAAAGCTTCATTCCCAGACACCATCTCCCGGTATTAGTCCGGTATTTGTGATTATCTACCCATGTTAGCGTTCGCAGGATAGTTTCAAGAGCTATGTGCTAGTACGTCTCAAAGGTGGGTGTGGTTTGCGTTGCCTTCAAAATACCACACACAGCCTCACACAGCGTGACCGCCGCACAAACGAGGGGCGCAAACTCATCTGCGACTGCCGCACCAAAATTTCGAACTTTGTTTTCCCTCGATATCTCTCCACTTCACCCACCATCCACCATCAACATCATCGCCTCCCACCGCTTCCTACCCATTAAAGCCAAATCAAATACTGAATCGCTCTACAATGGCTGACTATGACAGCGACGAAGATGTTGCCGACCTCGAATATACCACCACCACAACCCTTCTAGGATACGCCGAACCCACCCCTTCAGACGATACCACCAGTCACCTCGGAGGTATTCCTGTTTGTACCCTCTTTTACTCTCCCGATGAATCGATAATATCCTAATCAATAAGAGGATCTAGACATGGTTCGATGATGCAATGGATTCGCGACTGGCGAAATGCCTAAGTTGCAATAACCTCATGCCCCTCCTCCTTCAACTCGACGGCAACCTACCAGATTCTCCACATCATACTAGAATGCTATACCTCTTCGGCTGTCGATCAAAACCCTGTCGCAAGAAGAAAGGTAGTATACGGGCTATTCGTGGTGTTAAATCCACGGGTATCACACCACCAAATGCTCAACAACCACCAGCAGCTGTAGCGCCAGTCGCAGAAACTAAAGTCGAGGAACAAAAGCCAAAATCCAACATGGGGGATATGATCTTCGGCGGCTCTTCATCCGGCGCACCTACAAATCCATTTGCGACTTCACAATCCAATCCGTTCGCAAAACCAAACCCATTCGCTAAGGATGAAGTAACAACTCTTACAAAAACCTTTGCGCAAGCGGCTTCGATATCGACTTCAGAGTCAAAAGCTATCTCGAAACCGGAACCTGTAGAGCCAACACTAATAGGTCCACCGTCTCCTTGGCCTCCTGCTTCATCGATACCACAATACACAAGCTTCTACCTAGACGCTAGCTATGAGGAACTTGAGCCGGACGCATTAACCTTACAATCCCAAAAACTCGCTAAAACAATCAAAATGGATACATCAGACGATATGGAAGAAGATACCACACCTTCAAGCTCCAAAAAGGCAGCAGCAGCAGCATCCTCTTCCTCTTCGAAAGCTTCAAAAGAGAAGGAATTTGAATCAGTAATGAACGCAGCTTTCCTAAACTTTCAAAGCATGAGTTCACAAAACCCAGAACAAGTTTTACGATACGAACGAAAGGGGATACCTTTGCTATATTCGAGAGATGATAGCATAGGTAAACTATTGGCGGACCCAAAATCGGGCGCAAATGATATTTCACTATCAAAAGTTCCACTGTGTAGTAACTGTGGAAGAGGCCGGTGCTTTGAAATTCAATTGATGCCACATGCGATCTCGGTGTTGGAGGAGGGCACCGAAGGAGCGCTGGACGAGGGAATGGTCTGGGGTACTATAATCGTCGGCACCTGTGAGGCCGATTGCCCATTGGCCGGGAGCGATAAAGGTGCATATGTCGAGGAATGGGTTGGAGTACAGTGGGAGACAGATTAGACGTTTGCCTCAGAGTATTATTAATGTGCTATGTGAACATGACTGGTATATATTCCCTGCTAAATTCAAATTGGTAATAGATAGTATTCATCATTCATAACGTAATCCACCTACAATTCATCATGAAGCTTCACAGTCTCCTTGAAGTCGTTCAAATCCACATCCTCGAACCCGGGAAGATGAATATCTACCTTCTTTCTCCCCACAATCCAGACTTGATCCCTCATCTTGACCACCGGCCAGGCTTTCGTGACCCCAACTAACTTCTCCGCCGCCTGCTTTCCTCCTAACAATATATCCGCTTCCTCAAGTTTACCACCTTCTTTCCAAATCGCTACACCATCATACCCCTTAACAGCCTTCTTAACCTCCCAATCCGGGAACAAGCCCAGCACATATTCAGGGCTAGAAGTCAAAACATAGTCCATCTCCCTCCAAAACCCAGGGTTGGCCAATACCTCCTTCCTCTCCTCCTTCGAAAACTTCCATCCAGGATGCCCCACGGTATTCTGTGTAAACCGCGTGGCACCGGTCATACAAGTAAGCACATCCATATGAATCCTCAAATCCTCCCTCCCACCCGCAACCTCTTCCAGAATCCTAAGTGCCTGTCCACCAGGATAATTCAGCGAAGAGACATAAGACATTCCAAATGAAGCCACGAAAGTCAAAGCAACCGTTGTAAACAGCGCCAAATTTAACCCGAGGTATAAAACTCCTTTCCTTCTCTGCGAAAATACCCAATCCGCGCCGACACCGGCGACTAAAGTTAGAGCTGGCATAATGTAAACAATAAATCTCCACTCTTTGTGCGGTAACAATGAGTACACTCCTACAAAGGCAGTAGATGGACCAACGATCCTTTCCGTCGTACGCTTCCAACCTCCGGCGTAGATACCGATAGGGAGTAAAACGAGTAATGCCAGAGGGTTGAGCATCATCTTCGGTATCGCATTCACAAAGTAATAGTATACGGGACTGGTACCCCACTCAGCACTTCGCCCTTGCACCGTATTGAACAAGAAACCTTCTAGTTCGGCCCACATGGGCTTTGGAAAAGTTTGCCAGAAGTAAGTGTCAACACTGACTGCCGTGAGAACACCCAGGAGGCCAGTTGCTCCACCGAGGATGATAAGTTCGACGATGTTGACCCAGCCGGTTGCAAGGAGAGGAACTACGCTGGTAAGGAATAAAATTCCGAGCTCGCAGCGGAAGATTACGGCTGCTAGGACGAGGACTTGGAGGCCAATTGGTGAAGTGTCGAACCAATCTTTTCGAGCGGCTAGGGAGCGAGGTGGAGGGAGTAGTTCGGCGAGGGCGTATGTTACTATCACATACATATTAATACTTCTTATTTGAATTCAAGACAAAATTGATGGCGACTTACCCAGTCCAAAGGCGAGCATGTTAGGTAACGTTCGGGAGACGTAATACATGACATGGAACTGACTGGCTTGCAGTAGCAAATACCACTTTGCGGCACCAGGGCTGTATGCACTCGCAGCCCTCCTCGAAAGCAAAACTATGGTAGAGCAATTAAGCAAACCAAGAAATGCTCGCACTAAGCTTCATCGTCGTATCAGCATACCGAGTTCTTATAACCTCGTCCCGTAATCGATTATAAAATAAAAATATATAAAAAATTATAAAAAAAATAGAACGAACCTATGATCTGTTGTAACAATCCATCCTGAACAAAGCCCAGTACCATGGAAGTAATCCCACCGATTAACCCAGCACCAGCAAATGAACGTGGGACCACACCAGGAAACTCGACATGATCATATTGTGCGAGTACTTCCTCGACGTTGGTAAATGGTACCGGCATACCGATGTTGGCGACATCATGAATAGCTTGGATATTGAATGACTCCTCGACTTTTGTATAAGGAGCCATCAAAAGATGGACAAACATTGTCGCCGGGAGAAGGATTTCCAGGAGTGTTCCCACTGTCGCGCGCAATTAGCATTTTACTTCTATATCCTGTAGCTTGGTTAGGCATATAGGTAAGAACTTACATATGTCGCTATCACCAGCAGCTGCAGGACCATGGCCACTGTCGGCCTCGACAGCCTTTTTCGTCTCCTTTGTCTGCGACATTTTTTAGAACCCCAATTGTCGCGATGAATTGTAATTGTCTATTCCTGAAGATAACCTTCAGAAGAAACAGCTGGTAGTTTTGTCAGCGCAGTGGGGAGGAATCAAATCGAAGGCGTGCTCACTCCCAAGCTTACCCAGAATCTCACCCGACGCAAGCCAAGCCTCGACCCGCCCGCCATCCCTGTCAAACGCCGCAGCTGGCTCGGTCGCTTGCTTCGGTCTGGACACGACGACACCTTCAATCCACACGAATCCCATCCCTCCCTTTCACGGTACTTCCATCTACAGCTTCATCAAACTCCAGCTCCACTCGAAAACAAAGAAGTCACGACTCCCACCCATCTTCACGGAGTCAACACCTCAGAGCCGCCATCATGGCCATGCTCTTTTGGTTCGGAAATCTATTCTACGGTAGGTCTCCACCCGTCCCCTACGCTTCCTACCTTCGCAGGGTACCCACATCACACGATTCACAAACAGCGGCACGACGGGGAGGTTACAGCTTGAAGCAACTAACTAACGTTTCTCCACGTGAATAGTCGCCGTCCTTCTTGTCAACGGGGTCGCAGTTCTATCGGAAGATAGATTCTTAGCACGAAGTCAGTACCAACACCCCAAATACCTTCTTTCTCCCAAACAGGCCAGATCAATCGAACAGGAACCACAAAGAGGATGGATGAACGAAAGAAAGAAAAAAAGCTAACCTGTAGCTTTTTACGGCAAAAACAGTCGGATGGGCAGGACAGCAAGATCAGGGTTTCGGTGGAGGAGATGTTAGCGTAAAGGCAAAGCTCATAAACCTCATTTCCGCCATACGGACATTAATGAGAAGTACGTAAAGGGGCCCTCCCCGTCTCTGTTATACAAGTTATGCGGCGCGAAGTTACTAATACCAAAGGCGAATAGTACCTCTTATCATTGTAAATGTCGTTATAATAGTATACGAGCTATTATTAGGTTAATCCTCGATCGCGACGATGTCATGTCGATGCTCTACTATCGCGCACTAGAAATTCGGGAACCTTCTAGCCTCGAACCCACTTTCATCCCGAGAAAAGCTACGCCACGGAATCCTCGTTTATCCGCCCTTTTTAAACCCCCATAGTAGAGGCTACGCGTGCATGTGTGAATCGGGGTAAAAACAGGAACGAAAAGGCTACTAGGCATTACAACTGGAGGATTTTGTGGCTTCGCGAAGTATCTTGACATAAAAGTTGGATATCATCCTGTTGAGCTTCATCGACCGATGTATAGAATCGTCTCGTCGCCGCCGCTGCCGCCGCCGTCACACCAAAAGTAATGATTCGAATGGACCTTCCTCCCAAACTGGATATTAATGATCTGTACATACCATTCTGTTTTTTGTGCAAAGCGAATCTATTCTGTAACGATTCCCCTTCCAATTGGTTACCGTACTAGGCGCCGCCAACAGTAGCGTTTCGCATAGCCAGGTGTTTTTTTCGATCATCTGGACCAACTTGACTTACGATGTAATGCAAGTGCATTGTAGAGACAACGTGATATCCAAAGTAACTTAGCAGTGTTATAATATAGATCAGACTGGCTACGCCGTATATACAACAATTCAAACGAACCCTGCGGATGCATCAAGCGTATCTGTAACGCCTTCATTAATAGATGAAACGTCTTCGCCATATTCGGTTGGTTTTACCCAGGTTATTACTAGCTTGTTAGCGCATATATGCATATACGCATATTGACGGCTGTTGGCCTCCTCCTCCTCCCCTTCTCTTTCTCTTCTTCCAACTTGTAACTCCTTCCACCTAACTAAACCCACCAAAGCCACTCCAAGCAAGAGACATCATCACTATCCGTTCAGCCACACTATCACCATCATCTATCCTTATATATTCCTTCCCAACCAACTTTCCAAAATCCTTTCATAGAAAAGAAATAAGATAGTAACAAAATCACCCTCTTCGTTTCGCAAAGTTCTCCAAATCGTCTCTAGTCGCGACAGCCAACACGAACTTCCTTCCAGCATCTGTAACAACAGCAAACCCACTTTCCTTGCCACCACCACTAGTCAGGAACTCCTCCAGCTCAGCCAGCTCCGTCTCCGGTGTTATCACCGTATATTTTACACCTTTGCTCTTTCTAAACCTCGTCATAGCTTCTTCGACGGTATCTTCCTCCGTTAGAGTTCTGGATTGTAATAGGTGCTTTAACCGTGGAATAGATAGATATCCAAGTAGTGAGCGGTTCTGGGGGTTGATGACGGTGAGTTGGTCATATGACCGGTCGTAGGACATTGCGAGCGCCTCGGAGATGGATTGTTGGGGTGGAACGGAAAGGGCAGGTGCCAAATCTAGATCCGCAATGACAGCCTATTGGAAGTTTCCGTTGGTGGTAAAGTCAGTAGGCACTCAAGTATGCAAGGGAAAAACAAGGGGAAAGCAGGGTAAAAGCAAAGTAAAGTAAGAGGTAAATAGTTGGTTTAAGCCTAAGCGCAAGTATAACAGTTGTCCAGACTATCATGCAAATATATAGAAGAACATACTCCACGGTATTTCGCAGCGAGGGATTGAGCCGGAGTGGGCGTGGCAGTGTGCGACGACGACGATGGCGGCGGGTTTCGAAGGTATGATGGAATAGCGTCTTCGGAGGGTAACGACATGTTGGGAAGTGCTATTGTATACCAACAGATGTCTCTTATTTCATACAATTTTCGTGAAGTTGAAGGGATAGTAATTTAACGGTGGATGTATGATGATATCTTGATTATGATGGCGGAGTGTCGAAGGAGGAAGGAAAGCTAAGGTTAATGTTAGTCAAGCTGGTTGGTTGGTGGGATGGCGGACACGGCGTTTCAGCGTCGAAATGTTGCCATTTCAATGCGGCACAACCAAGTTCCAACACCGAACCGGCACAATTGTGCGGCACAGCTGACTGCAATGCAATGCGAATGCCAACTTGTTTTATTTTATTTTTCTGGCTACAAAACTGAAAACCTCAAACAGGAAATTGAGAGTTATCTTGGAACGGTGTAAATAGAGCGCATACGGTAGCACTGTAAACTGAGAGTGCGTCGAAATTAGTCTAGGCCTGGTCGAATGTTAATCTAATGAGCGAAGTTATATATATCCAGGCTCCCTGACATTTATCGTCGAGCCCTTCTCTTCTCTCTCTCTCTTCTTAAAGTAATACTCACATCGTCAGACTTCGAAAATAAAAATTCGTTGGTATCGGAGTCTGATCTTACACAAATATTGATACCTGTACTGGTAATATATATATACACCTCCTCTGGAGACAAAGGTCCAAATCATCGGTCTAAGTACCGTCCGACTCTAGCTGATTATCTTGAAATTTCAGACCTGTGTATGCTTTCCCCTCAATGACCTGAGATTTTCACGCTAAAATATAGACTAAAGTGGCTAATATAAATCTATACGCAAAATACAGTGACAGGTAGAGTAAATCATGTATAATCTCTTCTCATTCGCCGTTCTATCGGCCTTAGCCTCGCAAGTCCTCGCCGGGCCCATAGACACCCATGCCAACGGTATCTTGCTCTCTCGCGAGGCTCTGGCAGAAATCCCAGAGTACAACCCCAGCAAAAGACACGAGCTAAGCCATCACGAGGAAATCGGCATCGTCGGCCGTGACCTCATCGATCATCTTCACGAAAACTACGCCCATCACAATTTCTTCAGAGACGTTCATACTACTGCGGAAAACAGAACCCTCAGAAGATATGAAATCCCAGACGACCTGATGGATCTCGCCATCAGGTCCTTCCCACTCCACAAACGTCACTCAAATGTTATCAAAAAGCGGGCCCTCAAGAAAAGAGCAGAGGTCGTAACATTCGGACCACATGAGCGCCGTGCTCTTGAAAAACGTGAGGGTGCCGACGGTTTGAACAGTTTTGTAGTCGAAAAATACTGCGGGGGAGGTGCGAGAATTACTAATGAATTGTGGAATGGAGCCACCGTCATCTTCTGTCAACAACATAACGATTATCTTCGAAACTTCGCTTCAATGGGCGGCAGTCCACCACCATCGTATATGAGCTATGGGCCCTTCCCGTTAGCTGACGGAGGAGAAGGTGACTTGGTTTTCAGTTTTGGTAGAGACGATGGTTTCCCTTGGGCTAATGTGATCCTTACCTGCTCTACTCTCGTGAGACTGGATAATTGCGGTGGACAAGGGCTTGCCAACGGTGGAACCATGTCGACTCGTTCGAAAGTAGGGTTTGGTGCTTTCCATTACGCCATGATACCTGGTGACATTACGAAAGGTCAACCTTTCAACAGTGGTTAATATAATATCAATCTTCGGGTACATCTACGAGGCCCTGTGATATTTACATCATTAGCTGAATAATCCTTCTCTTCCACATAGTTTCTCCTGTTTCTTCTCGTTCTCCTCTTCTTTTTTTATAGTATCTAGATCTAGTGTATTAATCAAAGAAAATACGGATCCTGGGCTTCGACAATCATGTATTTCGAGCTAGACTGTACTGTATTCGATATAATTCTGTCATGTAGTAACTGTCTGTAATTTGAATTCTGTAAACGGTCTCTACTTTGTCAAATAATCGTAAGCCTAAAGATCTCAAAGGCAACTTAGAATGCAATTGACTTTACCAAACCTTTGATACATCCTGCTATATCGCCACAGGTATCACTAGTGCAGCGTCTACAATGTTGGATATTTTGCGTTGTAACATGGACCAGAATCCAAACCCGAATTGCTCAAGTCGACCTCGACTGCATTTCGATATTCCTCGAACATCATCACCTTCATCATCATCGTCACCACCATCACCATGAAATCCGCAAACTTCGCCAGTCGAAAACCCAAGGCGCGCATAATCGCCTCCTTCGAAGATGATGAACTAGAAACCCCCAATAACCCAAAACCAACCACCACCACCGCCACCTCAACATCAGAACCCACCGACTCATCACCACCACTCTTCAAACGCAAATCCGCATCAACAAAGACCCGCAAAACCATAAACCGTTCTTTAATCTCCCTCGAAGACCCCCACGCCGAAGATGATCAAAACACCGAAAAGACCTCCCAATCAACAGATACTCCAGAACTCACCCGTCCAATCGTCATCAAAAAATCAACCCTCTCACGCCAAAATAATCCCGAACGAAGCGCGTCTTCACCAGCTTCACTAGTTCAACCCTCAACGCCAAAGGATAAACCGCGCGCCACCTTAAAAAAATCAACTATCCTCCCTTCACAACCTTTTTCCCAACTATCTTTAACTTCTCGTCCGAGTTATTCGAAGGAAGCGCTTGCAGAACTTAAGGGATCAACACCTACCACACCTCTCCACCGTAGCAATGATGACGATACAGATATATCAATGTCCGATGCTCCTCCTCCCGCTTCCAAAGATCCCCTCGACGTAGCAGGTAAATTTGCAGTCGAGCGAGCATCTGCTGCAGCTGCTGCAAATGAACTTTCAATCCCTGACTCAGGTACCATCAAGGCTCTAAAGGCCCGTCGAGCACTACTAGCCCAAAACCCGGACTACATCTCGCTCTCAGACGATGTAAAAAAGGGAAGCCGCCTTCAAAAGACACAAGATGACGAAGAAGAAATCTTAGAAACATTTGTAGAAGATGGAGGACTCGCGCTGGGTAAAAGAGCAGAGAAGGAAAAGGAACGTAGACGGCGGGAGGATATTAGAGAAGCTATAGACATGGTAGAAAGACCTTCTGATCAAGACGAAGAAGATAGTAATGACGACGGAAACGGAGAGTGGGAGGCAAATAGACTACGGACGGGAGGTTATGGCTCTAATAAACGTGAGACGTTGGAAGAAAAACTACGAAAACCACCTGCCGTGATTACACCGCTTCCCAACTTCCAGGAAGCTTTGGCTAATCTTAAGGGTATTCTGGCGGGTATGAACGATGCCATGGAGCAAAAGTCGAAGAGGGTTGAAGAGCTACTGTCCGAAAAGGAAATGATTGAACAACGAGAGAAAGAGCTTCAGAAGTTGCTTAAGGAAACTTCTGAAAAGTATGAACAATTGCGAGCTGAGGCCGGAACTGCTTTACACGTTGGCAGAGGCCTTGAAAGCTTTGGCGACGATACAGCGGGAAATGGAATCCCGGCTGGTGTTTAAGCCACCAAAAAATATCATTTGTTACCCATAGCATTAGACTGTAACGATACTCACGATTGTACGATATATTTATTAGGAAATTTGTATTTTTATAGATGGGGTATCTCGAAAACCACTTTGAATCAAATCTAAAGATTCAAGAATGCGGGCTTGAGATAAAAAGGAACTATTGATACAATTTGCATGTGCTGTGGCCATGCTCTAAAGCTTCTACATAGTAGTTACCAGTTTATTAAGCCGACTCCTGTAATGCCGGAAGACCAAATGTCACTCTCAAAGCACTAGCAAATCGTCTAATACCCTCAACCATAGCGCGTTCCTAGAAACATTGTTAGTTACGTCTAATATGATAAGGATTCCTTGATAGACTTACCTCAGCAGCAGCAAAAGTTGCTCTCAAGTAAACACTAGGATCCGTGCCTTCTGGCCCTGCAAAGAACCAACTACCCTTCGCCAACAAAGTCTTCTGGTCAACCACAGCCTCAAATATATCATGCTCAATCGCTGTTGAAGCCTTCTTTCCGTGTGCCGGGTGCTTCTCGCTATTGATCTTAAACCACAAGAACATGCCCGCAGCAGGGGGTGTCCAAGTCGCCACTTCCTTCGGAATATACTTTTCGCAAGCTTCCAACATAATATTCCGTCTGGTAGAATATTCCTTCCTAATATGGACTAGCCAATCAAGGTATTTACCATGACCCCAGTGTTCATCAAGTAGCTTGAACAGTATCGCCTGCGAAAACCCACTAGGTGCTTGAACTGTAACCTCATTATGTCTCATCAACCTCTCACAAATTTTTGACGAGGTAGTTAACCAACCACACCTCGACCCCGGAGCGATAACCTTAGAGAAAGAATCCAGTCGGATAACGCGGCCTTCCGGATCCATGGAAAGGTATGACGGTGTTAGGCTCTTAAGGAACTCCTCGTGGCTCTTGGGCGCTGCCGAATTCTGATTGCCCCCCGGAACATATTTGTCCATTTGTAAGAAGTAGTACGGCTCATCTTCGATAATAATCAAGTCGTGTTTCTGCGCTAGTGCATATATTTCCCTCCTTCGCTGAGTACCTTGTGTCGAACCGGTTGGGTTTTGTCCCGTTCTGTTACACGAAGAAGAGAAAAATTCATCCCATCAGCCCTCTGATACTATGTCAAAATTTCGGGATATTGCGCAAACCGGAACGTTTTGTGAACGGTTTATGACTCGGAAAAGGTGAACTTACGGAACAAGATAGATTAAAAACGGCTTTGGTGCCTTCCTCGCCTTTTCGTCCCACTTGCTTAAAACTTCATCCAAGTGGCTCGGAATCATACCCTCGGAATCCATGTGGATCCCTACAGCCTCGATGCCCAGGCCTCTCCCTGCTTCGATTGCACTGCAGAAAGCATATTCGTCTGCAATAAAGTAATCTCCTCGATTGCAGAACGACCGAAGACACATTTCGAATGCCGACGTACTTCCGACTGTCATCACAGAGGCCCAATCTTGGTATGGAGGGTTGTGTACAATCTACCCGGACGAAATCAATCGGGATCACAAAAAAACCGTTAGCCCATAAACCTTCTTATTTCGGATCATTTTCGCCCTTTCGAAAGGGAATGGGAAAATGTGATATGTAATTTCTGTACTACTGTAGCACATGGCGCAAAAGATACACACCTCAGTATGCTCGGTCACCCATCTGACCATCTGCGGGGATCCAGAGCCCTGGCCATAGTTTAGTGCTACAGAAAGGTCTAAGATGAGACGATAACTGTCAGTATCGGTTTTCGTCCCATGTCCAAATTATTGCCGTACCATATGCCGATTTCCCTTCCCTCATATCGTGCATTCCGATAGTGACTTTTTGTGCATATTCGTGGATATCCGTTTCCGAAAAGAGGTTGTCACCGGGGACCCCAACGCTAACGTGGTCAAATGGGAAATAGGCGCTCGACGGGAGACCGCCTCCTAGAGATATCATTCCTATCGCACAGAAGATACAAGGTCAACTTTCTTCCTTCTCGATAGCGAAAAAGGCGATACCAGACGAGGGTTCTAGATATTTACCTTCTCTCGAAAGATATCGAGCTGCTTGTTTCAACGGCGACGGCTGTGGTACAACATTAGCATAAGTTCCACCACTAAGGATAACGCAAGTAGCACCAACCTGCCGGGACTTGCTTTCCAATGTCAACCGATCTATATGGTGAAAAAGGAATCTCATTAGGCAATGTTCCGAATCCTGTCCCAGAGCTTTGCAGAGTCTTACAAGTAAAATCCTTAGACACCGGCTTTTTGGTATTCTAAAATGATGTTAGAGCAATCCCTGTAGCAGTGGGACAATTGTGTACAACATACACTCTTGCTCTTGAAGGCATCGCTCAATCCTAGTGCTGCAATTCCACCAGAAAACACAGAGTTTGCCCTCAGCTCGTCCACTCCTAAAACAGTAAGGTAGGCCGGAGTTGTAGAGGCCGAGTTGTCGTCCACCGCCTGAGCAGCGACATCGATGTTTACAGCAGCTGGTGGAGGCATCCTCGTAAGAAATGGGTATATTAATATTAATCAAGGGTGTAGGAAGGCTTCAGTCCGACGTTGTGTGGGGTATGTTGGGATATGCTTTTTAAGGTATGTCAAGCGAACTGTGTTGGGTGAGGTTGAGGTTGGGTTTTTGGGCCGTTGGATGTCTTGGTGATGTCTGCTTTAACACCCCAAAACCCAATTGACTGGCGAAGACGGTATAATTTATAGAACCGCAAAACTCCGAATTTGTAATCCGTCTACTAGCCCGCTTCCACGTTGCGGACTGACTCAGGCGTGTGTGTCGGATACCTTGCCCAATTAGTGATGGTGATAGCGAAAAGCTCCTGCAGCGGCGTGGAGTCGAGGAATGGTGTGTGTGTGTGGGAGACCGTCGCAGGCTGCGGATTTCCGAGGGGCTTGTCTTCTTTAAATTTTTGGAGCTCCCGATTGGATACCGGACACTTTTAGAGTCGCAGCAGCTACAGCTACCTAAGCTAATGAAGCAGCCTCTTCACTGAGAATATTTTCTTTTCCAGGTTTTTAGTAACGCCTGTGTGAGCATAGAAGAAGGTGAGCAGTATAGTATCGATAAGGTTTCCCTGGCCAATCCTTGCATGGTGGGTGTGCTGCAGCAGGAACGTGGCTTTTATACATATCAAGAGACCCCATAGCGTCGCTCCATGCAATTGGCCGAATTCCAGTTCAACGTGACAGCCTGGGTTTAGCTGAACCGCCAGGAGATTTGCCTCTCGTCTAAACTTCCGATATTCGGGTCAGATCAAGTCGAGGGCGTTACATCTTCGGGCGTGACACGGGATGCAGCTAGCATAGTAGCTTGCAGCTCTGGCTTTTTTTCGTTCAGCTCATGCATCTAAGCATTCTTTGCCCTGCACCGCGCTGCACGAGAGGGCGACAGAGTTCGGAAATCGAAGGGTCGAAGTAGCCTCGAATCGTATGTAAGTACACATGTCGCCACGCTACACAATCGGGCTTAGTCCTTTCAGCTGCCGCAGACTCGATTTCGCTCTTTCGTTCGTTCGAGCGAGCGAGCGAGCTAAAGTTTCTCTTTCTTTTTATATCGTCGATATGCAAACCGTAGTGGGGACGTTTTCCCTCTTTCAGGTGTTCGCATACGCAAGACCCACATCGGAGATAAGCCGGGTGTAGCTTCTCGATTTTGACGATGCCTGTAACGTAACTATAGTTTGGTACTTGTATACATGGTATACATGGTAGGTACGTAACATGCTTTCGGGTCAGGTGTCTGTGGATCTTGACTATGAGCTCCCTGCCGCCAGCCTAGCGAATCCGTTTGCTAAGGGATTGGATAATCTGCCAAGTTAGCCTTCCACTGAATTGAGCTTTCGATGTCTAGGAAGAGGTTAGAACGGCTTACATTCGGCAAACTCCATGGAACTGAAACCGCCCCGCCAGAGAAGAGAGGATGCTTTCTCTTACGGATGGGATGGGCATACGAGATGATGAGCTGCAGATGCAAGAAAGTGGCAGATTAGCACTAGTCTCGATAGATCAAGATGGTTGATATCAATATAAACCCTTCCCGAGTTCCGCCCGATTCGAATCGAACCTAGAATATAATGAAGTAACTACCACAGTACTCACACACCATTTCTCGAAATTCTATCATCGAGGCTAGATAGAAACATACATACATCATACATACCCGTCTGTCTCTCGTCCCTGATTCAGCTGCAGGCAGCACATCATACCAACTGCAACGAAATCTGGGGTAAAAGGTCCAAAAGTTTAAAAAACGAGAATTTCTGCCGAGGGCCGCATTTGTTTTTATCACTCAGCCTCCAAAGGACTCCAAAAGTGATTTCACCCGTCCGTCGACCTTCCCGTCCCAGTTTAACAATTAAAAAGAACACCCCTTCCCCACCAAATTCCCCACGATCGATTGATATTCATCCCCTTCCCCCCCCAGGCCAGGCGGACATGGCCTTCACATGAAATGCTTGGAATTGGCTTAGCTCTTTCCAATGGATTCTATCTCGGTAACTTTACAGAGGGATCTAAACGAATTGCGTTGTCTTAGACTTGCATTTGCGTCGAAGTCTTACATGACCTTGTCTTTCTTGAGAAGAAGCGACACGGAATTTTAACTAGCCGATGTCCTGGAAATGGCATGTGCTTTGAATTCGAAGTCATGGCCTTCTAACTTCCCGTGTTCATGGGGGAAGCTGGAAAGAGATGGGTGTGTATATATATATCTATCCCAGAGGCCCTCGTCGTCCTCAAATAACTTCTATCTCGATATCGGCCTTCAAAGCTTCAACTTTAATTCCAAAAAAACATCCCTATATATCAATTTATATCCATAATTATAAATCACCAAAATTCTTCAATATGGCTGCTCCAATCGAAAAGACCGCTACTGATATGTCTGGCTGCTATGTCATGGTCAGTTCCTACACACTCTGCTACTTGATATAAATATATATACATATAGATCCGGATTGTAGAGCCTGCGTCGATGATATAATTTTCACAGGATACTAATATTTCGCGTGCATCTTATAGAACCGTGAACTCTCCGGTGACACCGACGCAATCCTTTCATACGTAAGTACCTTCTATGCATAAACATACAGTGGCATACCTCTCAGTCACAGACACAATCTGGGGTAATACATCATATCTAACTTCGATCATGAATACAGCAAAACATCGGCTGGCTCACCCGCAAGACCCTTGGTCGTGTCCCCGTCACCATTACTCTCACCCAAACTAAGGAGGCTGTCCAGGTCGACAGTGTCGCCGCTGGCTTCATCACCACCAATGAGACCGTCCAGCTCGATGACAAGTCCTATCCTCTTAACCACAAAGTTTGGGGAGAGATCACTTCCAAGGCTAAGTTGATCAAGGTCAGCGATATCGATGATGAGACTCTGAAGGAAGGATGGGTTGGAGAAGATGTTATTGAAGTCACCAGCCAGAGTGAGGTTAACAAGTGGAAGGCTACTCAGGTCAGTTTATGCTTAAAATCACTTTCACGTCGAATGTTTAGCAAAGTAACTAACTGAGCATTTTTCCCTCGAAATTATAGATCTGGGGTTTCCAAGATGTTGAAGTCAAGGGGGAGAAGCAAAGGAGGTATTTCCGACGAATCAGACTCGAACACAAGAAGGGTATTGAATACTGCCACACTTGCTACGACTACTCTCCAGTCGCTTAGAGTGTTTCTTTCAGGACGCGGTGGAGTTTGCGGTATTTGGTTATTTGTATAGTACTAGCTTCAGGATACCTACTTTTATTCTTATAGTAAATGAGATCTCGACACATGCGAGCATAATTGAGATATCTCTACCAAACTAGCTTTCAATACCTCTGTAGAAGCTCTCTAAATTTTATTCTCAATCTCAGAATCTACAGCTTAGGATGTGGAAAGAGATGAGGATAGACTTATGTCTTTTGAGTATTGATTGATGATAAGTACACATGTATACATGTACATGTTATCTTAATTTAAAGTCGATACCGATGCACCAGCTATCTCGATCCAATCGGAATATTCGAATTCGGTGATGCCAAAGATTCAGGCAGCTACAATTGAAACTAATAATCAAAAAAAGCTATATATCCGCTAATGTAACGCCAAAACGGAAGACAGACATAATGAAAGTCCAAATTAGATAAAACATGGGAAAGTGGGGTAAAATCACATGTGTCTATAACCTCATACGAAGCCGAAATTATATTGGAATCCAAAAAACAAATTCCCAAGCCCCACAATCCCGGGAGAACAAGAACCCAAGAGTTTCAAAACTTGACCCCGGATGATAACGCAAGATATGATATTGCGTCAAACCCTTGCTACTTTGCCTGTCAGATGCATGTGGGAAAACCTGATCTTGTTAGATATCACGGCCACCAATTCATCTTTTTATAGCTCGCTAGCATCTCTTCCACTTTCTCGGTTGTAATCTTAGGAACCTCGTATTCGAACCCTGTTACGGTCTTGAACCTGGTCCCGTCTAGTGACAAGTCCGAATCTTGGAGCTGCTCCCGCTCGATAAAAGGTGATATCGGACTGTTCTTGATCCCTGCATCTTCAAGCAAATCGCTCCAGGGTTGTAAAACAGTTTCGTTGGCTTCGTCGACGGCTTCGTCCAAGTTTAGCTTCGCCAGTTGTGAAACAAGTGTCCCCATAAAACTCGTTTTGATGTTGAAGACCTGCTCGACAATTTCTGCCACTGTACCTTGACCTATAGCCCCGTTTGTAAGCCTAGAAGAAAATGATATTGAGTGGATTTGGGGGGGTTCTTACTGGTATCCCCATCATCTACAATATTAAAAATGGGCGCCGTTCCCTCTGATTCAGCCTGCCAGCCTTCCTTGCCCTTGACGTACCAATCTGCAGCATGCCATATCGCCCTACTCACATCCGACACGTGGACAGTATTAACCCTCAAATCTTTTGTCCAAAGCAGATCGAGCTTTTCCTTCAGAAACTGATGAACTCGAGCATTACACATCGCCGTCGCAATAATTTTCGTCGAGTAAGGCCCATAAGCGTTCGCCAGTCTCAAGATAACAAGGTTGAGCCTGCCACGGTTCACATGTGAATCAACAACAGATTTTCTCCAAACCTCAAACCCCAAACCCCGAATTTCACTTTATACATACCCTTCAACTTTCTGTAATTCTCTTTCTGCATCAGATTTGTACTTTGCCAGCAGTAGCCAAGGTTTAATTTCATCTGACTCCTTCTTCCCCTTTGGTCCATTACCATACACCCGGCCTTCACTAAGTTCCACAAATAGCTTCACCCCCCTCTTCGCTGCTTCTTTCCCACATGCCACCGGTAGGTCGAAATTTCGTTGTTTATAGGTTTCGTCCGTTTGGCCGTACTTTGTTTCTCCAGCGCAATTGAAAACGTAATCGTAACTCGACCCGTCGGCTCTGTCGAATACCCTCTTCATAGAATCTGAACTCAGCACGCCAATTATTAGCTATCATAAAGAAAACTCAGAAAATAATTTTAAAAAAAAAGAATATTATATACCCGGGTGCGACATATCCGCCTGCACAAAATTCTTGCATGCTTCCTCAAACTCCGGTGCCAGACCCGCTAGCGGTGGTATTCCCTTATCGACGATCCGAATCTCAGAAGCGAGTTGATTGGTATGAATGTGGTGGGCGAGCCATCTTCCAATATAACCTATTCGCAAGAATCAATATTAAAATTAGCTACCTGTCAATGGCTTTCATGTATTCATTTCGAGCGTAAATTTGGTAGAATTGGTTTTTCATGATTGTGACCTCATCACATATGTTTTGCTAAGGATGTCAAGCCTCAAGCGGGGTTAGGCAGGACAAGCTCTCAGAGCTCCAAAGCTACCAAACTGAAAGCTCTAGCTGCAAAAGCAAACGTCCCCGCGCGCTCGAGCTCGAATTCTGGGAATGGATATGAACCTACCAAGGCCTCCAATAATAAGGACCGAAGGCTTCTCGTTCGTCATTTTCGAAACTTTACTAGCTATTTAGCTATTTCCCTTGGGCTTAAACTCCGGTATTGTTGTTTTCTTCCTTCCTGTATCTTCGGGTCGAAAACCGATTTAGGTGGCACTACGTGGTGGTAGCGAATTGCTTTCCACTTTTTATAATGCGTCCGGGGTACGAGATTGAACCGCCTGGAGAAACTTCGCTTCTAGATAACCAAAAGAAAGCCCCCCAAGAAACACCAAAAGGCAAGATATAAAAAGGTATTTCGAAAGATTGGACGAATGGTTCGAAATAAAGTAGAGGAAGGTAAGCACAATTCCTAGCTTTAGATTTCCTTCTCCAAAGAGCTTTTTAAGAACTAGCGGTACTGTCGGACTAGTTGTCTATCTAGTACACCTTAGTTAGCTCTATATATACTAGCTCCGGCGCTCTTCTCCTTCCCACAAAACATGTAAAGAAAAACAGCAGCATTTCCCTTTGGTAATCAATTGGATGTGTAAAATTCGTAATGGGAATGGTCAGTCCAGGCGGGGGGTAAACGTAGAAGTCATGCATGCATGATATCAAGTCCGGTGGCCATGGGTGTACTAAAGTTACTTTGGTAATGATGCAGGTATGCTTTGCACCCAATCTCTGCCCCCTCCTCGCTTGGGGATCCACCTTTTCGAAGGAAGTATCCAAAAATGCAAGAGGGTCTAGAGTGTGTGAATCCCGTCGACAACGAACAAAAAGGCCTCCAATTGGCGGCCTGGTCTGCAAGACGACTCTGAAACTTCAGGAACGTGGACGAACATTGCATGGAGATGCATTGTGGAGTGTGGGATAGCTAGCTAGCTGCCCCACCGAAACAGATCCAGTGATCAGTTGATCAATGGACCGCGCTTGTTTTCCTTTTCTCGCACTGCGATTCGGTTTGAAGTTTTCGGGTTTAAACTGAAGCTTACAAAACAAATGGAGTATAGTAGTATAGCTAAATTGAAGCAAGTTGACTTACCATACACTCGAGAAATTTGTGACGGGCGCGGGCAAGATTAATTGAAAATTGATTAAGAAAAATAAATTTAAATACTCGTACTCGATCGATCCAGCCCGAACCGTTCGAGGGACAGCCTCCAAGATATATAAAAATGGTAACTGCAAGCCAGTCCCGCGCCATATAAATCGTGAAACCCTCAATATGCAATCAGTACCACCACCACAAGCCACTGAAATGAAACCGAAGAAAGAGTCCGGCTAGTACCTATATACCAGGTTCTACCTTTCTTTCGCATAAAACCTCAGCTAATGTGGCCAGCATGCACACAAACCAAAAAGAGAGCTCTCCCATGGATCTCAATAATATTCCGCCACTTTCTTAGCATACTACTTCACTACCGTATACCAAGCACTAAATAATAACCTATACCATAAATAATCTCCCGCACCCGCGGGAAATACCTACTTTTACTTTATATATACGTACATTTATGCATGTATATACAGACATGACAGGTCTCCACACGCTATAGTCGTTTTTCTCAAAAACTTATCTCCTTCAAGTGATAGAAGTGAGATGTTTTTTGTTCTTTTCAAACTCGGTGATGCGCAGATGCAAGCCATATCACATTGGTTCAACTGGTACCTCAAGATACATGACATGACATGGCACAGTTTCCTTGTTTCTACGCGAGGATAAGAACCTGTATGCATGCACTAGCAAGCTGAAAGGTCTTAATACTCGATTATAAGATTCTCATTTTAACAGGCATAATTGCTTGATTCTCAGGCTATGGGCATTTTATCATATCAATTGTATTCAATATATCCTAGAAAGTCAGTAGGGAAACCAACGACATGAGTCGCTCTCAAACACGATAGCTACAGGCCACTACCTACAATGTCAGACTCCGAAGTAGAACGGGAGAGCAGAAGACGATATCAAGGTTATCCCTGGTTGGTCAAAAGAAAAAAAGTAATAGAATTCTGGAAACCTACAGCAAAGGGGGCTTCCTTTCCCGACGGATCTACCTCATGGTAGTATCGCATTATGTATTTCCCTTTTGTCCTTAGGCTTGGCCAACTTCGAAGAGTTCTCGAAGGCGCTCAGAAGCCTGCGGACGGGGACGGATTCGGCATTCCGAGCCTTGTGCTACCATCGATCCCACACAACGCATTAAACCAGAAACTTAACTCTCGGAATTGAAACCTTCAAAGCTACTAAGCTTCCAATCTCTTTTGAAAAATCAAAACTACACAGCCACAAAAAGATATTCCGTGCTATAGCTAGGTTACTCCATATATATACCTTAATTACAATAAACAATAATACCTCAACCAAAGATTTCCGCTCCTTCTCATAGTAATCCAGTACTGGGCCTGCAGGGCTAAAAAGGCTATTCCGGTTTCCGATCGACAGGCGCATGCATACGTACCATGACCATGGAAGAAAGAAAGGGAAAAAAACCAGGAACCGAGATGGAGGGGATATTGAAAATACTGGGGTCGGAAAAACCTCATACAGATGACAACTTTTCAACATACTGTGTACGGACTACATACTTACTTCCATGCCACATATACCAGTTTTTCCTCTATCTTTCCTTCTCCTTCTGATTTCCGAGAAGCCTTTCTTCCCGCGGGATATAATACAGGTAGAATTATAATTAATTCGCAATCTTGTCTTCTAGAAGCAAAACTTCAAACGCCTTCTCGAACAAATCGGAAGAGATGGGGTTTTCGGTTGTCTTTGTGCCTAAATATTAAATTCGGACGGGATATTAATCCATTTAAATTGCAAGACCCCAAACGTGCAGAGAGATCTTCCTGCAGGACATCTTCAAGCACGGACCATATCCTAACGTCCGCTTTGCCGTGAGTTATTTCAATATATAACTTACGGACCGGTATTGGTCAATGAAAAGGGCATGGCTACTACGAAAAAGTTTTTTTGTCTCGTAGGTACCAATCATCCCGACATTAATATTGAACTATCAAATTTGTCTCATAAAGCGGGCCTTCATTCTCCCATCCTATCATACCGAACAATATGGCGAAAAAAAAGTCAGCATCACAGGCCGCAAACGCAAATACATCCGATAAAAAAAAAGCATTTTGAACGACCGCTCTGAATAGAATATGCACATGTATGTACAATTTCCCCCCGTTGACCAGGATAAACGGCAAAAATAAATTATCATCAGAAGTTTGTGAAACATCAAAAAGCACACCATGACGCCCAAAGATACAAAATCAAAGAAAGTTAAAAAAAAGTACCATCAGTACCTATGCGAGCAGAATCCCCTGATTTAATTCGGGAACTTATTTCCCTCCGTCGCGATATCAACCAGCTTCCCAATCCTTTTACTCATCATATTCCATCCATCTGCCGTCTCCCAGACTTTATGCCCTGCCTTGTTCACAATATCCCAATGTAACAAATTATCTGTCAACTCCGTGGATTCCTTTTGCGCCTGATCCCATCGACTATCCTTTTTCACACCTTCTCCGCTGCTAACAACTACCAAAGGAATTTTCCTATTCAAAATGACCTTGCTTGTCGAAACTTCTGGTTTCGTAAATGTCTTAGCCGCGAGGCTCTCCTGCAATTTCGCTTTGATGGTTTTCGCATTAAGATATGAGGACTTCCCGAATATACGGTCTTCTCTAGAGCGGGCTTTAAAGATTGCATCGAAGAGAATTTCCAATCCAAGAGGAGAGATGACACCGCGGAACCACATGAAGAAACCACGGCCTGTAGAGCCAACATCTGGGAGGTATGATTCATGGAGAGGGTCGATTAGCATCAAGCCTTTGATCGATTTCCCTTGACGTGAAGCGAAGATTCGAGTGTATATTCTATCACATACACCATATTAGTATTCTTGTAGGGTTTTGTATCTTCGCAAAATCGAGAGAAAAGACTTACGATCCAATTCCGTGTGCGACTAATATAAACGGCCCCTTCTCACCAACTTTAGCCAAAGCTTCACTCAACGCATCCGCAGCCATCCCAGCACTCAATGGACTAGGAGCTACATCGCTGAACGCGTATCCAGGCCTGTCCCAGTAGCAAAACCTCCCAATAGTCCCATTCACATAATTTTCTTGTGCCCAATCCAACAACCCATTCGCAACAGCTCGTTCCCCACTCTCCAAGAATACCGTGACCTTTTCTCTTCCTTTGTCAGAATGTTCTGGAGTACAGAATATGTGAACTCTATAGTAACGGTCTTCGACCCAAACTCTTTTTCCAGGGACCTCGAGAGATTGGTCGTATGCTCTGAGAGAAAGAGTGCCAGTGAGTAGAATCGATATAACCAGGAATATGACCATGATTACTAGGGCGGAGAAGACAGAACACCATTCCTTGAGGGAACGACGGGTTTCAGCTCGTCCGGTTAGACGTTCCTCTTCTTCTTTCTTGCCCCATTCGACACTACGGTCTACACAGACCTAATAAGCAAGAACTTAAAGTTAGCACCTAACTATCAGTGGAGGTTACAATGATACCTACCGCCCAGAGAGTAACAAATAACACGAAAATAGCGGAAGCGATACCAATCCATCCTTCTTCCTAGTTTTGAAGTATTGGTTTAGCATATATTTTCCTTTTGAATTTAACTGGAAAGAGACGGTGCATACTTCTCGAAGCCCGGGGACCGATAGAGTAATAATAAGATTCACGAGTAGCAAGACTGCAATAACCGACTGGATAACTTCTTCAGCTCTGGATGGGACGGTGAATGAAAATAGCAGTAGCATGAGAATTCCAATGGCCAAAGAAGTGTATCCGAAGGCAAACCAACCGCCACCACGGGAGTGGAATCCTGTAAGAATGTTAGACGCATTACCAAGCAATATAAATTCTTTATTATAATATTATATCGAAAAAAGATAAATACCTTGTGGGCTGACAAAAGTCGTAACAAGCAATACCAACCACCAACCAGAAGCAACAAGCAAGAAAGCGATAGTGATATATCTCAAGAATCGAATACCCCAAAGATTCAAAGGCGTGACAGCCGGGTCATCAATATCTAAAATTTTCACATAGCTTTAGTATCATATCCAATTATATCTAATACAAATCTCTAAAGCATACCAAGTGGTGGTTGTCCCGAAATACCATGATGAGTACTGGCGGGCAATAATCTAGTTCGCTCATCAGGTTCATAGTACGTCACCGGCTGTGGAAGAGGATTTTGACGTGATTGTGAATCTGTTCTTTCGCCCGTTCGATTGTCGGCTCCGTTAGTATTTGTTACTCCTTCTCTTGATTCCGAGTCGTCCGCTTTGGAGGTGCCTTGGTTAGTATTACCCATTGTTTCGCTCCCTTTTCTAATTTGTGAAGTTTATTGGAGATGGAGATATGATAAGTGAAGAAGATGATGAGATGATGAGATGATGATGTTGTCTATGAATAATCCGAAAGCAGGGGAGCTATTATAGATTTGAATTCCTGGGGTGTGGATATACCGATACAACTGGTGGAACAATACGCAATTGCAATAATGTCACACCGACGACAATGAATCGAACAAGAAAGAGAAAGGGAGAAAAAAAAAGGCAAAAACGATGAGACAATGAGAAAAGAAAATACTAGAATACAGTCTGCAATAGAATATTGTACAAACAAAAATAAAAAAAAAGACAAAAGTAAATTTAAGACGAAAAAGAGAAAGAAGGGAAGAGAAGAGAAGCTAACTTAGACTGCCAATGACGTAAATTCGTCGACGCCGCCCAGAAACAGCATTTGCATTTGCATCGCTAAGTGGCACACAATTGTGCAACAACAACACACCCCGATCGATCTAAGCATTTAACTAAGTATCTACGACATCATTACCCGATATCGATATCTGATACCCAAATCTTTTGTACTCTTCCAGATCAAAAAAGAAAAGAAGAGAAGAGAAAGGAAAAAAAGAGAAAAGGGAGGGAAGGAAGGTTTTCTGGGTTTACGACTGAGTCTGCTCTGCCTCCGAACTTTGAAGCAGCTGTTGCTCCTTCCCAGCACGTACCCTCCGTCTCCTCTCCTTGGCACCGTAACTGACCACCGGTGGAATGAAGACGTAGAAAGAAAACAGGGCAATAATGACGATGGAAGCCGATGTGATCACCATGCTCTCTTTATTCCAAACCCAAATCTCTGGGACTCAGCTAGTGTGAAGTTTATTTTGGTTTCCCTTCTATACTTTTTCTCCCAAGAGAATTTAACGAGTCGGAGAAATTTAAATAAACGAGCGAAAACTAAATGCTCGTTTGGTTCAAGTGGCCAGTGGAAATGTCGATGGTGTGGCCAAAACTAGGCGAAGATGCGAGATCTTTACTTGTTTTTGGTTTGTTTTTCAAGCCAGGCCAGGGGGTCTGTAATTCTTTTCAAGGTTTGATTCGATTCGGGTCGAGTCGAGGAGGTATGTAGGTAATAGATCGAGGCTTCGCGAGTTCGCGTAGATGTTCGACGAACGAGCGAGCGGGGGTGTTTGAATGATATGTTAAGTTCGTAACAGTGAGCTTGGTTATAACGGAAATATAACTCAAACAATTGCTGAATGTGAATAACCGATGTTATCGATATCGATATTGGTAATCTTAATCTGGAAAAATAAGAATGAGGCTCTGTAGTTTTTGACTATCTGTATTCTTGACGAAAGCACGCTGCTTATATATGAGCAAGTGCTTATATACTTATATACTACACCTAAGCACCAGCAATGTATGTACTTAAGTAGGTACTCGGTGATACAGCGCCCGGCGGAACAATATGCGGAGAAGTTCGATGTAAGATGTAAAGGAGGAAAACCTGCCCTTTGGTTCGGCTCAGATTCCGAGAAACCTAAGCCTGGTCTTCTCCACCCATAAGCCCCGTCCCGAAATAGAGTTCCAAGGGGGGGTGGTGTCCCAAAAAAACCGAACGTGATCTGCTAGACAGGGTTTAGTCAGAACAAACTACTCCTCAACTGTCGACCGCGAGATCATGCACCATGCACCCCTCAGTACAACCGCTGTGGCCGAGAATGAAAGAAAAAAAGGCGGGTTGGGGACCGGAGAAGACTTCATTAAACGCCCGATATATGCAACTATAGTGTTTGTAGCTTCTCTCCTCGATTTTAAGCCAGTGAAAGAAGCCGCCTTTACCATGCATGTAAGTGCGAAGTATGATATGTGTGCGCACGACAGTTTCGAGAAAACAGTTTCTCGAGGCTTCCGTACTTACAACGGCCACATGCATGCGTACGTGTGCAGTCGAATCCAACTAATTGCGACTTTAGTGCGTATCATGTAAGACTAGGGCCCCGTTATCAAATTTAAGGTAACAAGATCAATCAACAGGGCTTTGTGGAAGTCTAAATGTTCTAAACATACATCCCCTTCTTAACTAGAGTCACCGTCATTTGATCAATTGACTCTTTCATCAATTAATTAACTAAGGTCATGCTATAACTATCACTATATCCACTGTCCCGATAAACTTTGCAAGGAATATTAATAGTAATCAATGTTTATATCATTTTTACTAATTAAGTTTGCGAGGAAGAGCTCCGATGGTAGCATATTGCCGTAATCACAAAATTTACAAAAGTATCTAAGGAATGATTGAATAGAATTTACATCATGATAATCGATAATATCAAAGCCGCAAAGCGGCCGCTATGCAGGGTCGTACCATAGCTAGCTAGCAAGAGCCGACGCCGCCTATGCTCCAGGCGCCCCAGGCCGCTGCCTAATCGGCGCCAGAATTAATAGAGGACCTACCCCATTAAAACAATACATGCCGACACCCGATAGGGCTGTGTAGCTTGATATTCCTACCTGACTCATATCAGCTCGCCTCAGTATAGTAAACTCGCGGGATGATGCCATCATATAATAACCGTGTAATTTGCATACGCATTATAATACCAAAACCTCAGTCAAGCCTGAGGGAAGAGAAGTAAAATCCTACTCGGATCGATTCCTTATAACCACAATTAATTACGTATACTATATATCGGGTCCGACGGTTGAAGCAGTGTCGCGAGCCTTAAACTATACACGCGAGTGGCGAGTGAAAAGGTCTATAGATCAACATAGTACCTAAATAGCATCGCGGCCAGATGGTATCAAAAAAAAGTCATATATAAGAACACCTGCATTCATGATGTTGTATACAATTGTAGATGTCTCCAGACTTGCTTATGTATATAGCATTATGTAGGCGAATGTTCGAACGCGAACTTGCTTGGCCACACTAAAAAACAAAAAAAAGGATAGACATTGCCACATGTGGCTTTCTGGTGGACTATCCTGTCTGGTTCGAAGCATGTATGTGCCGACAACGTGAGCACAGTCGGCGTAATCTGCATAGCCTCTACGTTTGGTTCAAAGATGACGAGTTCCTTAGGATGGACGGACGCTAGAAATAGAGGCTCTCCGTCCACTTTCGGGAAATCGAAAAGCCTTTAGTAGTCATGTTCTTCCTTTTTGAATATCCTTTGAAACAACCCTAGATATTGATATCTATGGTGACTGGTTTATCATTATTCTAAGCTGCGCGGCACCGCTATCAGACAATCTCCAGACCGCTGTACAGGTGGAGAGAAAAGAGCAGAATTACAAATGCAAATATACAGACGCTAAATCCACAAAGTCGAAAAATGGCCCCAAAAGCCGACGGGGTGAGAGTACAAAAAAGGGGACTTTAAAAAGAAAAAAAGAAAAAGAGAGAGATAAGGATTATACTCCCTTGATTTGACGTCCTATAACGAGCCCCCCTTTACAATATCCGAACATTCCCAAAAACTCCATAGTGGTCCGAAATGTAGACTTTTGGCTTTTCTGGTGTTTTCTCTCCGATCCCGATCGGCTCTACCTGTTCGACCTTGATCTTATCACTAGGAGGATGGAAGATTTTGTCAAATCTCCTTTTGGGGAACTGGTTGTTCTCAGTCTGATAGCCCCAGGTATGGCCTCTGGCATTATCCTCAGACCCACCACCTACCAGATAAGCGTCTTTCAGCCCCGCTTCATCCGCAATCTTCAGATCGTATGGGTCGATAGGGTTCATATCTCCAGCTATTAACCCAGTATAAACATTTGTATCGTAAAGCACGAATCTCGCCGCCAGCTTGAGTTGTTCCAACCTCCAGGGTTTCGCGCCTACGAGGGATTCAAGATGTGTATTTCCGACTCTGACGGTGACGACCTCCGATGTACGCGATGAGACGGCTTCGATATCGACGAATAAACAGTCGCGATCCATGTTCGAGTCGTAATGTAGTCGAATCACGTTCTTGACTTTAATCCTCCTATCCACCAACGTAACGGTACCATAGTGGCTTTTCTGCCAAATACCCTTATCGCTGACGACATCCGTGATATAGAAGTTCTTTCGTACCCATTCGTTCTCTGATAGCGATTTGATCATTTCGTGGTTAACTTCTTGTAACACTATAACGGCCGGGGAGATCGTGTCGGGATCTTCGGTTCCACTGATCAGCATGGAGCGGAGATATGACATGGCGGCACTGATCCGGTCTTGAGGCTCAGAGGAGACGAAGTCCACATTCCATGTTATTAGGGCAAAGTTTGAGCGGGGCTGAGTGTTGGCATTTGCTTCTTCGGTATTTTGGACCTGTTTCCATTCGTTCTCCTCGCTGTTGTAGTGGTTGATGCCGAGAATGTGGGCGACGCCAGCATCGGGACTGGGTGTTCGAGGGACTGCGGGCTGCATTTTCGGTTATATTGTTAGCTTGAAGTTTTCGTTATGTCGAAAAGGAATAAGAATGTAAACGAAGAAGTAAAAAAGGAAAGATGATATGTCGAAAGGAGAGTGGTGTAAGATGTAAGCTTTTTTTTTTTTTTTTTTAACAAAAAAAAATATTGAAGAAAGATGGAACATTCCGCACTGCGAGAACGAAGCGACCAAAACCGCACACACATAAGCAAGCAAGCACATTAACAGCACTAAACTCACAGTCTGATGTAAATGGACAATATCAAGACTTGATATTGTCCGTGTAATGAGAACTAAGGCTAACAGAACGACGAATATTCGGAATTGCCTGGTCGCAACAGTATGTGAAACATAATGACGAGCGACGTCTAGCGGTCGCGTAGACTGGTACGATTGAGGCATCATCATGAGGTTCCACTTGGGATCCATGAGGTATTGGGAAGCTTAAGCTTGTCGAAAGCCGTTGTGTAGCTGGTGATGGTTGGTGGTTTCTATTCGAATCGGTCAGAGCAGTATCATTTATGTCGTGGTTGTCGTCGTTGCCGTCCTCGTAATCGTGATCTAGAGTCGAGACAAGCGAATTTCTGAGACAGGAATTGATTCCCAGGGTGTTCTTCGTATCGTACGTATGTACTTTGAGACCGATAATGTATGTAAAGGTATGTATGTAATAAGTATGTACAGTGCAGTGTAATCAGAGCTAATTATAAAGAGGGGCGGTGAGGTTGGAATGAAAGAATGAATGAATGAAGGGAAAAGAGAAAGAGAGAAACGAAACAACGTTGAGAGTCCAGAAGAAACAAAGAATGCGGGAAACAGTCCACTGACCCAGGCAGACGCATGATGGTAATAAGAATAATGTCGACATGCCCGATTAATATTAATCTCGAATGGCCCGAAATCCAACGGTCTTCTGTTAATCCAGACACTGTCAGTGCTAGCCAGACCCGGCCAGGGGCCAACTGTAAACCGCCAGAAACAGCTCCGCCGCAAAGACGTGCATGGCGCCGCGCAAATAAAACTCCAACCGCAACTCCCCAAATCTGTTCTGTTTCTTGTCAGGAGAGCTTTGGTTATAAAATTTTCGTATGTTTGCAGGCGGACTGGTTGCGAAATCCGGCTGGGCGCCGACCCGGGGGCGACGGCTCTTTTAATTTTGGGCGCCGCCAGATATAATAGGCTAACCCGTCGGATATAATTATAGCTCTTCTGCTTCATTTTGGTTATAATCGGATCTTCCTTGAGTTGGTTGTTATTATATTATTGTCATCGTGAACCGCTTCAGGAAATTAAAAGGCGAGGAGGGTATTAGGTAAGTGAATATCGATGTATCGTCCTCATATGCACAAGCCATCATGTCATGTCAGTCAGATGTGTAGCTTGATCGATATAACATTGACTGTCTTCTGGTCGATAGTTCCTTCTTAATTACTTACTGAATTAGCTAGCTCCAGGCCGCCAGTACTTACGCACATACGTCTCTCGCCTATGAAATTCCCCTGCTTCAATTCATTATGCAATGAACTTCATACGGCTTAGCCTCGACTAACCCGAGATGCAATGGCTCCACCAAAAAAAAACGCTATGAAACGGGTCCCTGATTCGTTGACTTTGACAGGAAGGGTGCTTCGATTGCGACTCGAGTTGGACGCTTCGGACCCAATCAGTCCTCGATGCCTTTGTGGGAAAGGAACCGCTTCAGGTACAAGTATATGTACGCACTTATACATGCTCGCGATAGTATAATCAATTGATAGCTCATATAACTAGTTGCGCGGTCTTGTCATTCGTCATCATCCGCATCAGCATCATTATCTTCTAATCGTGAGCATAAGTATCACGCCCTAATGATTAGCTTGAGTGGATTTTGTTCCCACCCTCAAGATCTATCCCCCCTCGCAACATTTACGAAATTAAAGCCTCTCTCGTGCGAGAGTCGATCTTGAACTGCGAAATGCGGGGAAGCTCTCGAGCTATCATATCCAGCATGGGTAATATCGGACCTGTGGACAGACATATGTATTTCATACCAGCCTCTGCATACATGACGGTTTTAAACGTTTGGGTGAACCAACAACGATCTATCGAAGAATCGAATTCGAACCTTCGCCTAGATCAGCTGTTATAGTTGACCGAATACAGGGGGTAGGGAATGCTTGCGGTCTGAATCCCATTGGTGGCCCAATTTTCGCCTCTTCGTCCCAATCAGCATGACCACTTCCTCAATTCAGCTGAGTGCATGATACTCTATAGAATAGACCATGGCATGTAAAGCTTAACAAATGCGAAGCTTTGTGAAATAGCCTGAATTCGATCTTTTAAAATCAATACACCGGGTAACAGTATTAGTCCATTGACGGACCATATTTTTATGCGCCGGTGGCTTTTTCGGAGCAAGCATCAGCAAGCTGATCTCTACCCAAGAGTTCGAGGGAAAGTAATCGCAAGATATCACTTTTTTTTTCCCTTTCTTCTTGTCAGTACTCGGACTGCAATATATGACCAAAGGCCAGAGCTAGAGAATCAGCTTGTTCGGTTAAGTTATCGATACGACAGACCATGTCCAGGCGGTCGAATTTCATGGGTTGGCCGGCTGCTGGGTGAATTGAATGGGGGTGTCTTTCAAATTTTCGCACCCCTTGCTAACAAGGTCACCAGCGCCATGGGATGCAGGCGCAGGATAGTTAAATGGTCTGCCTGATATTTTCAACTTAGTTGCCGCGATTGACAGCAGCATTTTTTGGGGGGGGGTTGCAGGCCGTAATGGTGACGCTGGAAACTGTCGATATGGGGTTGCATTGGTTACCAAGTTCCGGTTTTCGACGCCATGTGGTTTATGGAGACCTTCGATCAAGCAAGCAAGCTCCACATCTTCGGGACTGACACCATTGGGAGTAATATCTCCAAGGCCTAGGTAGTTAGTTCTCCACACCTTTGGGACTTCATGTAGATATACATGTATACGAAAGTGATCATGAGTCTCTTTTACCTTCCTCCTTCTCGCTTGCACCCCGGCTTGTCGAAACTATTATTCCGCCTACATTGTAGACTTTTTAGGTTCAATCGAATGCATGCAACCGAAAAGATGGGGAAAAGAAAACCAGACATCATGAATAAAATGATTAAATGGCGGCTCGTTTTATCCTGCTCAACCGGTAAAGTTAGCCGGTTATACCTCATTCACCTCACCTCGCAGCTTTTGCCCCTCCATCATCCATGTCGCGAGAGGCTTTCCCTAACAGCCTGCAGCAAACTACCGGAGAGGTAGTTACGGAGTACTGTTGGGCAGTTTTGACTTTCTTCATCCCACCTGCCAACGCCGACCACGATGCTTGCTCCTGCTGCACAATTGTGGGTCTCGAAAAGGTCGAATGGGAATAGCGTCATGCTGCCTGTCTTCACTGTGCGGTTTTCGAACATTCCTTCATTCTGTTCCACCGAAGGGGGGGGTATCGGTACCTTTGTATGTAAGTATGTATGCAAGAAGTATGTAGGGAAGTATGTAGACGCAAGATAATTTGATATTGCAGACACCACCATGTTGGACCTCGTAAAAGATTCTCCCACACCCGGTCAACATGACTAATAATTCGTTCAAGATCGATATATTTCGTTTTCTTTCTCTCAAGTCGGATTGTTTTTGGACGGTACCTGGCGTGGGTGAACCCGTCTCGTCTCTACTAGCCATTGGAGCTTGGGCTGTGGCCCAGCATTGGCGCCATCCTCGAGTCGAGAAGGATCACTTTATGTAGCGTAGTAGTCCCTGACCAGACCGCCTGCCTGCCTGTCTGCTTGCTTGCCTGCTTGCCTGCGAGGTTTTATTCGAGGTGGTTCTGTTCTGTTTCTTTCGACCTTCTCAAAGCGTGAACGTTCGAGCATAGCCTTCGATCTGATGTTTCCTATTTTTATATCTCCTGCACTTCACACAATATACTAGCTGTCAACCAGAGTCCCTTGAGTTAACTGTTAATTAGCCGTTAACTGTTAATCGTTAATTAAATTAGTTGGAATCGGAGAGAGAAATTAGGGGGTTTTACCTGACCTGTGTCTGTTAACTTCTATCCTCGCTGATTTGTAACCTGCTGGGCTGCGTCACAGCCTGTTGGTCAGCCTCATCGACGGCTCTCCGTTCTGTCCTGTCCTGTCCTGTCCGGTTCTGTTCTGTTCTGTGCTGGTTCGGGCTGGTGTTTCTTTCCCCTTCCAAATCAGGCCCGCTCTCAACCTCACTTCCAATTCACTTCACCTCACTTCCTCTTCCAATCTCATCACCATCACCATCACCATCACATCTCTCCTTCTTTCTTCCTCCTTTCTCGACTTCAGGAATTACTTACCTACCAATATTTCCGATCCTTTTCCAATCGCCTACGTTTTTAGATATCTCCAACAACAGTTTCCGTCCTCTCGGCTTCCTCTCCGATCGGTGTTGGCCGTCTGCACAGTCGCAACCAATCCAAACACAGAACGTTAGCGGCGTCGACTGTCCTCTCCCCACGCTCTGTCCGGCATTGAGGGTTCTCAGGGTTCAGACAATATATACATACTCTCCGACTCGAGTGTCTATAAACCAGCATATCTTCACTTAACTGCCAGTATCCTCATACAATACTTCGAGTATTCTCTAGGTCTATTATCCCGTCGAAAACTGCCTTTCACCCGCCAATTTCTGCGATTTTGTCACCGCTTTTTTGCCTCCAGCCGTTAAGAAACCCACCAATCACCCTAGCGAACTCGCCGCTACACAGAATCCTACGGCCTCTCTCCTTTACCTACGGGCACTACCAACCGTTTCAAATTCCTTGATCAAAACCAACGGATCTTAAAACCGTTTGCTTCAAGCACAAAATACAATTACATCGATTTGTTAGAAGTTTTTCCTCCGGAATTCTAGTTCTAAAAAAACATTAATATTCTCCAACTGAATTGTTCTGGTGCACTCTCTGCCGGCTGCCGACGCGGCAATATCGCATACCAAATCGCCTGCCACATTCCGTTCGAAAACCTCCAAAATGTCATTCTTCAGGAGGAGTAAATCCTCTGTGAGTTTATATTTTTGCCGAAATCTGACGCTTGCTAGCCGGCGATTTTCCGCACTTTTTGTTGTGGCTTTCGAATTTACCCCTTGCTAACGTCATAACCTTCGATGTTTAGGCCTCTGGAGCGCCACCGGTTGCCGCAAAAAAGAAGGAGGAGGCGGTAGTTCCTTTCACACCAATACAAGAACTCGTCCGAGATGCGCCTCAAAGGGTAGACGGAAGCGATAAATTTTGGGGTTATGAGAACGTAAGAATCCTACTAAGTAGCTATAATTGCGATAACGATGGCTAACACTAAGGTGATGCAGTTTGGAAATACATGGTATGGTTTAATCTCCTAGATATTCTTCGTTATTATCGTATTTCACTGGATGCCAATGGCTGAGATGTTGTGGAACTTGTCTTTTTTTTGCCAGTTATTGCAATTCCATGCTACAATGTCTCTATTACTCGAAGCAATTCCGCGAAGCAGTCATCAACTATCCTCGAAAATCGTTACTACCCGGTGCACCAAATGGAGCGTTGGTATCAAACTCGAAACTCTCTAGGACATCGACGGAGCCCGCTGCTCCCAATGGAAAAGCGAAAGGAGGTGTCGGGTCGCCTGCCCCACTAGCAAGGCGGGGGTCGACTCCAGCGAGTGCAGCGGTCCCACCTGCGGCCCCTGCAAAACCAGAGGATAAGGATTCACCCGAGGCGAAGAAGAAGGCCGCTTTGACTGCTGGTCCGATACTCAATGTCGAAGTCGCGAACTCGAAGAACTATCATATGGAGGAGTCGCTATTCACAGCGATGAAGGATCTTTTCGAGAGCGTAGTAGCAAACGAGTCGAGGACTGGAGTCGTGAGCCCTTTGCGCTTTGTCGAAGTGCTTAAGATGAAGAATGAGCTTTTTCGAAGCCAGATGCATCAGGATGCCCACGAGTTCTTTAATTATGTTCTAAACGAGGTCATTGAAAACGTGGAGGACCATGCGAAAGCTGTGAACCAAAACAAGAGCGAGACATCGTCTCGTTTAATCCCAGAAACAGCTGACTCGGCTGATTCCGCAAAAGCAGTGTCAACGACATCCGAATCTGTGGTGCCAAATACAAGCTGGGTTCATGATCTATTTGAGGGAGCATTGACATCTGAAACCAAATGCCTAACATGCGAGAACGTTTCAAGAAGAGATGAACCATTCCTCGACCTTTCCATCGATCTAGAAAAGCATTCATCTGTCACATCTTGTCTCCGAAACTTTTCAGCGAGTGAGATGCTTTGCGAACGAAACAAGTTCCACTGCGATGTATGCGGCGGGCTCCAGGAAGCGGAGAAGAGGATGAAGATCAAACGGCTTCCGAAAGTTCTGGCATTGCACCTAAAGCGATTTAAGTATATGGAAGATTTGGGACGACATCAAAAGCTTTTCCACAGAGTAGTTTACCCCTATCATCTCAGATTATTCAATACCACCGACGACGCCGAAGATCCGGATCGACTCTACGAACTTTATGCTGTCATTATTCATATTGGAGGTGGGCCATATCATGGACACTATGTCGCTATAATCAAGTCTGAGGAGCACGGGTGGCTACTGTACGACGATGAAATGGTGGAACCCGTCGACAAATCCTTTGTGCGAAACTTCTTCGGCGATAGACCCGGGTTGGCGTGCGCATACGTTTTATTCTACCAAGAAACGACACTGGAGGCCATAGAGCGCGAGAATAAGATGGAGCAAGAAAGAGCAGAGGCAAAGAAGGCGAAACTGAACAAGACTGACGCTAAAGAGAAGGATCTTAAGAAGAAGCCATCGAAGGAGAAAGTTAACGGATACACAAATGGTCACATCATTTCTCCCATCGATGATGTTCCTGATGTCGCAATTCTTGATGGACCTAAGACGCCAATCCTGGAGCCCCAGCCTAAGACACCAACTGGACTCCCACCAGTGCCGTCGATACCGACATCATACCTCAACGTTAATACCAAGCCGACAGCACCGGAGGCTACGTCTCCTGTTTCACCTATCAAATCCAAGAAGGAACGTGAAAAGGAGCTTAAGGAGGAGAAAGCGCGAGAGAAGGAAAGAGAGAAGCAAGCGAAGAAGGAGCGGGAGAAAGAAGCCAAGAATAAGGGTAAAGAGGAGAAAGAAAACGGCGGTAGCAGCCACGGACTGAGCCGATTTAGACCGCCGTCTATTGGCAAGAAACCCTTTGGCTTCAACAAGATCATGGAGAAGGAAAGAGAGAAGGAACCTGTACCGCCAATACCTTCAAACGCATTGCATTATGGCGACTCATCTGCAACGACGACTCAAAGTTCAATAGCTAGCCCTAACCTACAGCCTGTAACAGTATCGGCAAACGGAAGACAAGAGAGTTTCGACGAGAGACATTTAAATGGTAGCCATACACCTAAGGAGGAAAAGAAGCACAAGGAAGAAAAGCACCACAGAGCTAGTAAGATACTACGGAAGAAGCTGTCGATCCTGGGATAGTTTCCCTGGTGGTGAGCGGGAAGGTATAAAAAAAAGGGAGGGGCCTTCCCTTTCCTACTCCTTTTTTTAATTCTTAAATTCTAATGTAGTCATTATTTTCCTCTTTTTTTCTATTACATTCGGTGGTATCATGGGGCATGGCTTGCGCTTTCTTGCTTTCTTCCTTTCATTCTTTCACTGGCTTCAATGGCTTCACTTCCTGCGGATTCCCTTTATATTGTGGCCTACACTATACTACTACTTCATGTTCATGTTTTCGGATGCAGCGAGAGGAATCATTCACCTGGCATATATACCAAATGACGATAATGCATAATCGACATTGATTTTTGTCGGCTTCTTTTCCTTATATTCCCTCGATCTTCCTTCTTCACTTCGGTTTATATATTTCTTCTTACCTTCCCCCCGTTCCGGGTTTTAAATTCTGAGGAAGGGAGTGTGTATATGTTGGATAAATTCTCCTTACACTTTATTTCAAAAAGCGGTCCATATATATAGTGTCATGTCATTACTTTCCTTTCTGTAGCGGTTATCTTTAATATATATACTTACATCTCCTCGCTATTTTTTGACATCGTATGATATATCTATTGAAATCTACATGGTCATAGTATGTGTCCGAAGTAGTAGCGAAGCATTTCGTAATGGGTCGAATGGAGCGGGTAAACGCCACTGTGGCTCCCATGCGACCTTCAAACCACCTCAACTTTACCACATCCCCAGAACCCATCCTCAACCTCACCAACCTTCACTCCTCCTTCACGGTACAACTATCACCATCATGTCTACAGCTTCATCTGAAATATCAGAACGAATCGCCGTTCTCACTAATGCCTACCAAGAAGTATTATACCGCTCTATCCCCATAACTTTAACATATATACCTAGTTCATTAGATAGCTAACCTATCTGCGCAATTCCAAGGTGACGACATATATCGACCGTCTAGCAAACCTCACGGCACCGGGCACCGAAGAAGCCAGAAACGAGCTAGCGGGATTAATACACCAGAGCCTAAAGGAAGGCGATGCAGAACTTGAAGTATTTATATGTCCCCTTATAATATCTATCTCTTTCTTCGAAGGCGCATATCACTAACCAGCAATGATTTAAAAACTTGAAAATAGACATTAACTCTCCAAACCGCCACTCTAAACCCATCTACAGATCCCCAAGCGGCATTACACTCCCGTCTCCACAAGCTCTCAGAAGAATTCAAATATACGCGAACAATATACCGAAAATCCCTCCTCCACTCCAAAAGATCCTCAACCCTCAACGCCCGTCGCGAACGTGAAGCCATCCTCCTCCACCAACAGTCCTCAATCCCAACTTCCCCAACCTCATCAACAAATGCCTCCCCATCAACATCCACAGCTTCCCTCCCTCTCCAAGTCCCAGGTTCAGTCCTCTACCGTCGTCCATACCACCAAGCCACGAGCTCCAAATCCAAAAAGGACGCCCAATCAGACCTCCTCACCTCCGCCTCTTCAGACGTAACCACAGCCCTCCGCCGAACCCACGCATTAATGACAGCAGAACTAACACGCTCCCATTTCGCCTCCGAAACTCTCGCACAATCGACAGAAACCCTCAAGCAATTGGGATCAAATTACTCTTCCTTCGATAATGTAATATCAAAGAGTAAAGGCCTGATAACCGACTTGGTTAAGAAGAATAAAAGCGACATGTGGTATTATCAGATGAGTCTTTACATCTTGATCGGAACGATTGGGTGGTTGATTTTTAGAAGGTTGCTTTGGGGTCCTGTATTCTTGCTGGTTTGGTTGCCGTTGAGGATGTTGGTTTGGATGGTTTTGATGCCGTTTAGGGGAGGTGAGGTGGCGGTTAGTAATAGTGGTGATGTGATAGGGAAGATGGAGAGCGTACTCGGCGGTGGTGATGCACGGAGTGAAGTAAGGAAGGTGGTGGAGAGTATTGCGCCCGAAGTCGGTGCCGGTAATAATGCAATTGAGGAACCGAGTGTTAAAAAGGTGGTTTTGAGTAATGGAGAGGAAGTGGAAATACCACTGGAGACACCGTTACACCCCGTGGAATCAGAGGGAGAGTGGGTGGACGAAGATATTAATGGAGAGAAAGAACATGGTGAGGGTAACGAGGGTGGTGAAACTGATGAAGGTGGTGAAGATCACGAAGTTCATAAAGGTAATGAAAGTAATGAAGATCACCATGACGAACTATAAGTCTATGTATAAAAATACGCAGCGCAATCTTTTGTATAGGCAGCATTTCCTTTGCTTTCCCATAATCTTTCTGATTATGTATACCCCATATTTAGCTGGCGTCACGATTGGTCTATCTTTGCGTTTATCTTAAATTATGTTTGCATCGACTTATAAAAACTTATGTTTGGATAAGTTTAAGAGAGTATTAATTATGCGTGTGAGAGTCATGAACTTTTGTCATTTAGCATTAAGCACCTAAGCTTTTTCCGAAATATATCAAACTTGCTGGGTGTAGAGGATGGTATCATAAAACATTCTTTGCCGTTAAGATTCAAAGGTAATCTGGATTCCTACCCCATCCCACCAAATTTGATACGGCGGTTGCGCGCTATGTATAGACATCACAATGATCCCTTTGTCTTCCTTGACGCATTTGGAACTCTTTAGGCAGCGGAACCGCTGATGAAGAACCACTTGTCAATGCTTGGATCAATTGGAGCAGGGGCAAGGTTCTGGTTCGCAGGAATTGGTGGGATATTTTCGAGGGTAGTGCGGAAGGGTGATGCTCCGACGGTGATGTTGGCGCTAGATAGCCAGAAAGATTAGCCTTTGTTTAACGGTGTGGGTACATGATATAGAGCTTACGTTGTGATACCACCGGCATCAGTCTGCCCGGTGATCAACTTCTCCCAGGCCTCGTGGGTCTCACGGATGATGTCGTCGGCGTACTTCTTGTTCTTGCATTCACCAGAGAATGCGAACTGGTTCTCGGGCTTGCCATCTGGGATTTTGTAGATGCGGAACCACTCATTGGTAGCCCTGAGAAGACCTGGCAAATGACGTTCGACATCCTCAACGTCGTTGAGCTTAGGAGCAAGTGGGTCGTTAATATCGATGACAATGACCTTCCAGTCGGTTTCGCCTTCGTCGAGGAGGGCCATGATGCCGAGGACCTTGACCTGCTTTACCTGACCGGTGAATCCAACATTCTCACCGATTTCGCAGACGTCGAGCGGGTCATTGTCCCCCTTAGCCTTGGTCTCGGGGTGGCTGGTGTTGGGGTCTTCCCAAGTCTAGAACGTCATTAGTTTCTACCAATTCAACTTATTGTTTCGTGAGTTAGGGTGCATACTTGAGGGAAGGCACCATAGTTCCAGAGGTATCCCTTGTGGGGGAAGCAGTTTCGGACGAATCGGAGCTTGCCTAGACATATACCATTAGAAATCATAGAACCCAAATGGATGCAAAAAGAAGGAAGAGAAAGAAAGGAAAAGAAAGAGATAGAAAAACAAAACAAACAAAAAAAAAGGAAAAGGAAAAGGAAAAGGAAAATGGATACATACCCTTCTTGATATCTTGCTTGATGGGGTTCAAGAGCTCGTCCTTGCTGATTTCCTGCTTCGCATTGGTCCACCTGCGGTTCCATTCGGCATTCGTTAGAAAACTACAAAACACGACAACGGAAGGTGGGGTACCATTAATTTGGATAGAACATACCTGGGAATCTCAACGATCATGTTAAGGATAGTTTTCTGCTCATTGGCATAGAGAGGGATATCATGGAAAGGAGAGATAGGCTGACCGTCGGCCTCGATGAAGACACGATGGTCGAGGGTGAAAGGAGCACCGACCTTTCGGACGGAGTAGTATGGAGGCATCTTTGAACCAGATGAAGGTGAAGTTGAAGTGGAAAAGTGCTGAGCGATGAGCGATGAACGGGCGTGAATAGAAGAAGGGAAGGGAGAATGAGAAGGAGTAGTAGCCAGTCTGACGGATTGATGGAAGAAAGAGGTTCTATTCACAACTGTCCGAAGCAGATGTGGGCAGAATCTCATTTATATGAGGTGGGGGAGGATGAGGGGTTATGTTATTATGCTAATGGGCAGGGAGATATCTTATGTAACTGCAATAGCACAAAACATATAAATAGTTAGCGGGATAGTTCTCCACTTGATATTATATCGCTCGACAAGAAGAAAAAAATGAGAGCAGTTCCCTGCAAGCCCCGTCTGGGCAATATGTAGTGGGAGGGAAGAATATATCAAATGGGGACGAGGGGCAGGCACACCATCGGCAGGCTATCTAATTGGACGACAGAACTTAATTTTCGTGTCAATCTAATGGAGATAGTCGAGTGTGAAATGGTGAAGCAATTGCAATTCCAAATGCAACCGCAATTAACTAAGACAATCGAGTACTTCTATGGTAGAAGTACTCGAATACTTGCGATATAGGTACTTAAGTGGATAGTGAGGATGAAGTTAAAGCAACAGATGGAGATGTGTTGGAGATGTCGTTGAAATTGAGGTTAAATGACGTTGAAGCGGTCAACTCACCTGAAAAGATGCTTCTTCAATTGGGTACTGAGGCAGGAGGTGAGTAGGACAGGAAGGGACGATGTGAAGGGAGACGGAGAGGATGCCGCAGTACTCTGCGCCTAGTTGCTGGCTGGCGGGCTGGATCTCTCGGCCTCGGCAATCTGAAAAACTTTTTGTCTTTTGTCGCAGTCATTCCGATCCCTTCAGCTTCACCTCACCCAACTCACTTACTCATCTCGACAGCAGCTAGTATCACCAACCTCAACCTCAACCTCAACCTCAACTTCAACCTCAATTCGGAATCATATCTGCATAATTCGGCCCTTACTCAGGTACTCGGCTTCAGCTACTGACCGACCGGACGACCGTGCATGAACCGTCTCCTTCCTTCTGTCCGGCAAGCTCTCCGACTGCACCGCTTTCGATACTATGCCACTATGACCATGACCGACCACGCCATCGCTCCACCCGTTGTTCCACCCAACGAGCCCCAGCCCGATAATATCCCGGCTGGCAACATCTCGGCAGATGCCCCTGCTGTTCCCGCTACAAAATATGGGAAAGTAGTCCTGGCTCCCATGGTCCGTTCGGGCCAGCTTGCCACCAGACTGCTATCCCTCAAATACGGCGCTGACATCGTTTGGGGTATGCATGTTTTTGTTTTTTTTAATCTCTCTACAACCTTAATGCTAGAACCGAGCTCTAAATCAATTTGCGTATTACAGGTCCAGAGACAATCGACAAGTCTCTCATTGGCTGCGAACGAGTTGAAAATCCAAAGACCGGTTGTGTCGACTATGTCAGAACAGGCCTCATCTTTCGTGCTTGCCCTTCTCGTGAGAAGTCAAAATTCATCTTCCAGATGGGCACAGCTGCACCTGATACCGCCGTAGCTGCTGCAAAGATCGTAGCTCAAGATGTTTCGGGTATCGACGTAAACTCTGGATGTCCCAAGGTAACCAACCAAATCACCAATAACTTCTCGAACTCTATAGCTAATCAAAGTCTCAATTTCGTGTAGCCCTTCTCTACCCACGCCGGCATGGGAGCAGCCCTCCTTAAAGATATCCCTCGTTTACTCTCAATCCTTACTGCCCTCGTAGAAAACGTCGGCCTCTCCACCCCCTACGCCCTCCCAATTTCTGTCAAAATCCGTCTCTTACCAACTATAGAAGAAACCCACGCCCTCGTAACCTCCCTCTGCAAAACTGGAATTTCAAAACTAACACTTCACTGCCGAACCCCACCCATGCGACCTCGAGAACCTGCCATCCGCGATGCTTTAGCCGGAACTGCCAAAATTTGTAAAGAAGCCGGTGTCGAATTCTTCGTAAACGGCGAAATTAAGGGCTGGGACGATGCTCAACGGGTTATCAAGGAATACGACATCGATGGAGGGGCCATGATTGCTGTCGCCGCTGAATCGAACCCAAGTTGCTTCGTCCCAAATCATTTAGGTGGCCCAAAACCTTGGAGAGAAGTCGTTACCGAATACATGTTGATCGCGATGAGTGTTGAGAATCCGATTTCGAATACCAAGTTTTGTATTTTGAACATGGTTCCCGGGAAGAACGAAATACATAAGGTCCTGTCGAGGGCAAAGACATACCGGGAACTCTGCGAGGCCTTAGGTTTGGAGTGTACATACCCCGAAGACTTGGACCTAGGAACGCTGAAAACGCAAAGAGTGAAGGCTCAGGAGGAAAAACAAGCCCAATTACAGGTAGAAAGGGCCGAAAGGCAGAAAAAATTGGCGGACTTCAAGAGAAAGAAGACAGAAGCTGAAGGAGAAGAGAAGAAAGAGGAAGAAGGTAGTAATAAAAGAGTCAAAGTGGACGTCGGAGAAAGGAGTAATGCAACCACAGGCGCCGCCGTGGCGGAATTGGCGGCTACGGATATGCTACTACCCGGTGGTGCCGCAGAACCCATTCAGGCGGTAGTGTAGTGCGTCATATATTATTTCATTTGATTGATCTTGCTTTTGGCGTTTCCCCAGTTTTTAGATTTATACTGTACTATAGGTATGCAAGATGACAGCTGCATGATGGGATGGCGTTTTTTCCGTGCCTTGGAGGGAGGCAGGTCTCGATCTAGATGTTTACCGAATTCGGTCTCTTTAGAGTTGAGGGTTTTGCCATATGTTGAAGATATATAAAAGTTTTTTTTGTTTGAATACCAAGCAGCATTTATTCTGGACGTTTTTATGCAATTTAACTTTGTTCTTTATAGATTCTTTGGCTATCGAACATGCTTAGATGATACAATGCTCTATCATCTTTTGAAAAGCTGGAGACATGGAAAATATATATATTCGCTCCGTGAAATTGTTGAAAGGTGTGGTTAGCCAACAGTAGGAAAAAGCGTATGGTATCTTGTTTCCCCCCCGCAGATAAAAAATGACAGCAAAAAGGTAGAAAACCCGAAACGGGCCAGGCGAATTTGCATCGGAAATGACCAAAAAAAAAAGAAGAAGAGTCAACAGTGTATGCGGCTATACGGGATCGTGATACTGATGAGGGCGACTGGTTGACAAATGGGGAAATATATACAGTCGAGAAATGAAGATGCAAAAAACCAGTTTCAAAAAAAAAACTCTCCAACACCGATGGGGTAATAACAAAAGGAAAGGAAAGATGTGATGGAAGGAAAAAAAAGAAAAAGAGGAAGAAAAAAACGTTGCACGCTGCATCGTTATAGAAAAAAGAGTGTGAACTTTGTGATACGTAGGTATGAAAAATAAAAGGGAGTGTGTGTGGTTGGGTCCCGGGAAGACGTTTGGACCCGGAAGGATTCCGTGTTTAAAAAGTTGTCGATTGTTTTCGGAATTCGATTGAGCAGCGCAGTCCATATGGGAACATCCTGTGGGAGAAAACCAGTGAAGAAAAGGTGTCGATTCTTTTTGAGTCGGACCGAATTAGATATTCTGTATAGATGAGATAGATGATGGCATTCTATTTGTGTGCAATCGTGACGTTTTAGGGCGTTAATATTCTGTGGGTTCTGGTGTAGTCGTCCTCGTCCGTATTTTCTTTAGTCGTCGTCTTTGCTTTCCTTTTCTCGAAATAAAAATAATAGTGAAAAAGGTAAGAGATAATTCTTCTGTATGCATATATCGTGCTATATGTCTATTACTAGACTAGCCTTTGTCGAATGCATATTGCACTGCTCTTCTTTTTTTATAATAAAAATAGGTAGAGCACACAACATTTACTCGAAGTGTGAGAAAGCCAAATTTAATAGGCTCCGAAGACACTCTTCCTTCTATCCTTCTTTGTACTGCCACTGCTGACGCTGCCGTGCATTTGTTGGACACTGACGTTGGGATTCTTTTGCGTCATCGATGGGCCGTAGATGTATTCTCCGTCGATGTAGTATGCGTCGCAGATGAATGTTGTACGGCGAGAACGCTTGGTATAGCGTTGTTCGAGCTTGAAGAGCTATATTTAATATCGAATGTTAGTAAGAAAATCTTATACGGAAAATTCAGTAGATGTTTATGCTGTTGTAAGACTGACCTCGATCTCTGTAAGTAATAGCTGATATTAGTAACTTGGAATATTTGGAGAAATAATGAGTAGCGGGGAAAAACATACTCTGAGAGAGCTTCTCGAAGATACCCATTTTTGGCAAAAATATATTAAACTTGGGAATTTAAAATGTGACGAGGATAGATATCGATATCGCGTATTGTGCGTGCCTGTGGTTCCCTTAGAATTAGTCTCCCATGCTTGCGCATTAACCTCGACAATTGAGGGGGAAGGAATATCCCGTATTGGATAGCACTTCGGAACCTGCATACATACGAATTCAGACGAAAAAGAACTCCCAAGCGATTTAATGGAAACAAATTGTGATTATGTTTTCCTTGTGGTGCAAAAAAGTATATAGTCGTAAATTAAAAAAAAATTATCACAGAATGAGCGTGGGTGGTTTTCTTTTAATGAGAGGAATGCTGCCTGATTCGAGGTTTCTTTCACAATCTTTCCTTTCTTCGCTTGCTGACCAGGGAGAATGCAATTATCCGCCTGTCACAAAAAATGGACCTTGGGACGAAAAGGGCCGAAATAGCGAAGCGGAGTAAGAAAGCTGTGGATTTTTTTAAATAGCTTTTGCCCTCGTAAACCAAGAAATCAGCCTGAACTTGAAATCGAATTGTGAAAGCAGAAATCCAAGAGAGACCAGGTGAGGGGAAAGAAAAGAGGGAGAAAGAGAGGGAATAAAATGGCTGGAAGGGGTTTGTTGGAGTTATATGGGCCATGGGGAAAAACGGCCGAATCTTGGGTTACGGCCGGCCGTAAGAAGGACTGGATGTGCGGGTCTCTCTCTTAATTTCGCTATTTTTCCCACCACGAACAAAGGAAGTGTCAAGCGGCCTTGCCTTGTCTGCTTGTGGGTGGATGATGGCCAGCTGCAAATGCAGGGTCTGGAAGGCGTTCATGATGGACTTGGATTCAGCGCATTTGGGAAAGGGGCCGGCAAGGGCCCCATCAAGGGCAGGGATGCCATCCTTCGAGACATGCCCACCAACGATATTCTGCGGTGGGGCATGTCCGACCTGGAGTTTAGCTTCTTTACTGACCCTCCCGGTTTTATTTCCTCAAGTCGACGGCGAACATGAAAATGCTCAGAAATTGACAGCTAGAGATGTCTTGAAGAAAATGCTTTGGCGAGACAGTCTAGCTCTGTGAGGAAAGGCCTGGGCAGAAAGTTTTTTTTATTACAGTACCACAATATCGATCGAGAAAACGGAAAACAACCTCAGGAGATAAGTCTTGTGCAGTTCCAGAGTTACACAGGAAGTTAGTTAGTATCATACCCAATCGTCAATATCAGTGAGGAGCCTTGACTTAGCTTTCGGTTTTTGTCGATGGCAAAATGTTAGCTTCTCGGAATGAAAGGCCAGTTCTAGAAAGTACCCGCGGATATGCATGTCTTCCCTTCCTATGTATGTAAAGGCCCACACGAGGTCGCATGCAGCAAGGCAGATGCCTTGTCACCTTTTCATACTCCTGCATGCATGCGCGAGCTGCAGTGCAAGCTCGATAGTTTGCTCGGGAAATGTAAAAAGTGGATTCCCATCTGTTAGATGTCATTGTCAAGGTTATAGTATGTACAGTACATATTGGGTACTCCTCACGTCGACATCTACAAAGTAACAATAATATAGCTCGGTCGTATTCAATAAGGGTTTGAAACTTATGCATGCGGTGGCGTATTTTAGACAGACCCCCGCCAAGATATTCCGAAATCGTCAACATGTTGTATTGCAGGCTATCATCACGAATTCAAAGTCGTCGACGTCTTATCTGTATCCGCTCCTATCGACAAAACTTCTTGGGCTAGACAGTCGTTTCATGCGGGAGTCAGCCTATCGATACATTTCCGGGCGATAAAAAAAACAAAAGTCCAATCAAAATCTTCAACGATGACTTACCTGCCCACATGGATGCATAAACCGTTCCACCATCAACAAGTTCCTGATGGGTTCCCTGTTCAGCGACCACGCCGTCCTTCAACACAATTATCTGATCTAGAAACCAAAAGAAGCAGCCATTAGAATCATTCAATCAAAATCTCGCAATTGTGCGGGTCTAGTCTTGAAGAGGCATAACCTCAGGGGCTCAGACATCAGACAACTGAAGAGTGGGGCAAGAGAGACGATCAAAGCTCCCCCAACGAGCTGCCTGGGTTGCATTTCCACCCCAAACATGGCAAGCAAGGAAGGCCCCGGTTAGGGAAAACGTGGGTTTTTTTTGCACCATGTGTATCAAGACCTGCACGTTCAAGAGGGGCAGGTGCACAGTTTTCGGAAAGACATACCACTGTCAAAGATTGTGCGCAATCTATGAGCGACAAATACGCTTGTCCGCTTCTTTTCCTTGAGGATTCCATTTATATTTTGCAATAATGAAGTTTCGGTTTCGGTATCCAGGGCTGATGTCTATATGTTGTTAATTATATTTCTTGCATATTAGCAAACCGTGATCCGGGGATTGCATTAATGCAACGCAATTAATGTTGATGTCTGTTATGCCGCAGTGAAACTTACAGCTTCGTCAAAGAATAGCATCGGTGGGTCTTTGAGGAGTAATCTCGAAACTGCTAGCCTTTGCTTTTCTCCACCTGTTTATCGATAATTCAGACACGCGATCATAGCGTTCCTTAAGATTAGCCAACCCCAAGTCCGGACAATAGCTAAAATTGGGAGCACAATTATGCCACAGCCAAAAAGTCATAGCGAAAGTTTTCCAAAGGGAAAGAGAAATTATACCTGATATCATTAGGCCTCGTTCGCCTACTTTCGTTTGATACCCATCGGGAAACTTCGCGATAGCCTCGTCGATGCGAGCGCGCTTGGCTACTGCTCTGACCTCTTCGTCTGTTGCGTCCGTCCGTCCGTATCTTATGTTGTGTTCTATAGTGTTGTTGAAAAGTGGAGTATCTTGGGGAACGACACCAATGGCTTTGCGGAGAGACCCCACAGTTAGGTCCCGGATATCTTGCCCGTCGATTAAAATGCGACCGGAGTCGACATCATAATACCGGAATAAGAGGCGCAAAATTGTGGATTTCCTACCAGGTTATCAGCTAATTTTTATTAGAACTGCCGGTATCTAGACAGCTACATACCCGCACCCACTGGGTCCGACAAAGGCGACCTTATGGCCAGCTGGAATAGTAAAAGACACATCCTTAAGAATCGGCCGCTCAGGGTGATATCCAAAAGAAACATTCTCGAACTTTATCTCGCCGCCTTTGAGCACAAGCGGTTTGGCATTCGGGGAGTCCTGTATCAAAAATTAGGCTGAGGGTGAGAATAGAAGGAAAACAACAAGCGACGGATTGGTACACTTACCTTGACAGTTACATTCACCTTTTGCAAATTGAATAAGGTCTCCATGTCCAACAAAGATTGCCGTAGCTCTCTATAGACGCTTCCCAAAAAGTTCAAAGGCACTGAAAGCTGGAATACCAATTGATTGATCATAACGAGGTCGCCAACAGTCATAGTACCATCTACCACACCTTGCGCAGCAAGGTACATCATTGCCGTCAGTGCTGATGAGAAAATGATGTTCTGGCCACAGTTCAAAAATGCTAGCGAAGTTGCAACTTTTATCGACGCAGACTCGTATCCATGTAAAGCTTTATCATATCTTTTCACTTCAAAGTTTTCGTTATTAAAGTACTTAACGGCTTCAAAGTTAATTAGAGAATCAACAGCAACGGTAGCAGCGGCATTGTCGGCGGCATTGGCTTGTTTTCGGAATTTGGTTCGCCATGACGTTGTAACAATTGTAAATGCTGTATACGCAGACATAGTCACCGCTGTAACAACGGCGAATTGGGAACCATAGTTGTACGTCTATTCCATCAGCTACAAAGTCATCTTAGCGAGATGAAACATTGGATATTCTTACCAATATACCGCAGACCATCGATATTTCCAGCAAGATTGGCAGAATATGGAATACCATGCTTGTCAATACAAAACTGATACCCTTTGTTCCGCGATCAATGGCTCTCGTAAGTCCTCCAGTTTGCCGGGTAAGGTGGAAGTTAAGATCTAGCCGCAAAAGATGGTAAAAGACATCACGAGCAACCCGACGAATAGCCGTTTGTGCAACCGTTGCGAAGACAGCATTTCGGATTTCCTGGAATGCAGTAGCTCCGACCCTCGCCAATCCATCTATCAGTTTGTTAACGGGGTCTTCATCTAAATTTGTATAATGAATTGAAGAGACGAACATGCTAAAATTAAAGACCCTGCTACTGCTGCAGCAGTTCCTCCAACGTGAGTAAAATCGATGTTGAGTGAGTCGACGATTGATTTGAAGTAGAATGGAACTTGAACATTGAGGAGCTGGTTGGATGTTAGTTTCAAACTAACACCAAGAAGAAAGATACATCAAAATACCTTTGCTCCTATGAGTAGACTTAATGCAAGGCCAACCCTCACACGGGTCCCTAGATTATCCTTTAAGAACCAATATTCAGTACATGCGAACATTCGGTGCATCCAATGATGAACGGAAGGTACCTTTGGCCATATATAATGAACCATGTCCTTCAGAATGGCCCAATCGGCTTTTCTTTGAGCGGACTTTGAGGCTTCCATCGAAGCCAACAGTGGGTCGGCTACTTTCGTCGCCTGTTTATTCGTCTGTGTCTTTTTGTCAACCTCAGCCTGCAGGACTTGAGGAGTCTTTGTCGCACTCTTGACATCCTTTGCTAGTGGGGTAGGGTTATTTGTAGGATCTGTCGTAGCATAGCGACGGAATACCGTCGTTACATGCTGTTGAGACCGATATAACCCACTGTCATATTTGAATTTCGTTAATGGCCGCACAGCAGCCTTCGGCACGAATACGGATGCATGTTGATGATGCCGCGCGCAGACCTGTCCCAGTCGCGCGAAAGGCTTCATCTTGAAGTGCCGGCGAGTCGCGACTCCCAGGCGATATCAGAATCAGTATGCAATGCGTGACTATATCACCACATCTTCAGCACGGGAGCTGGTCGGATTCACTGTACAGGTACTATAAATATTCTTGGTCGAGCGAGGTCGGTGTTGTTGGTCAGCAAACGGATGCATCCACTAATTCCAGATTTAGATTCGATTTGGTTTAATATTAATCTAGATCTAGAATCTTGAGGCTTAAGATTTGATAACTCACCTTCTCGTATATTTTAACCCGGTCCCAGCCGATTTTTGGGGGAGCCGAATAGTGCCTTAATGCTGGCCGATTGCGCGAATAGCCCTTTAGCTTGATATCATAGCATATCGATACCGGTTTCTCGGGATGCGGGATTCTGCCTTAGTTCGATTTCATCATCGATCGAGCTCGGTGATGCGGCAACAAAAGTACAACATGTAACAACACAGAAGATACCGCGGATATCGATAGGCGTTCGAGAAAGCATCTCTACTCCCAAGTTTGCAAAATTCCTCGTGTGAAACCATTCCATGGATGTTTCCGCATCTACTCCTTTTTCCTGCAGTTGTTGGATCATATCTTTTACATGAAATTGATAACTGGGCAAGTACAATTTATGTGCCATACTGGAGCACCGACTCTTATGGTATCGACTATTGATATATAAGTATATACTCTCACATGTTGATATTTTAACTTGATATCCGCAAATTATATAACTGCGCTCTCATGTTGTAATCAAGACACATACAGGTTAACCTATTGAAGAATTTTGATCTTCATTACTTGAAAGCTTTATAAATTTTGAACTAAACCAGGATTATCTATGATAGGTTCCCTTTCGACTACCCTTCTATCAAAATTTTGTAATTAAAGGAACGAGAGTTCGAGACAACTAGATTAGTTGTACATGTATACATCATTATTTCAATGCAATGCTTCTTTATTTCTATATATACTGCTATATGCATGGTACTAGCTGCAGCAATTGCAATCGTGCCTCTTACACAGATAAGTAAGTCGGTACCAGCGCAGGGTATCTGTATCAGCATTTTGTCATAATTAACACAACAAGCGCAACACGAGCTGCACAAGCTTTTAACTGTTGGATGGAGACGTCTACGATTGGATGATATCATTACAGTCGATTTAGGCTAGATTCTGGGACCCCGCCCTGTTACACAGGCGTTTTCTATTTACAGTGTTACCACTGCAGAGCCCCTTACTTAAGTTGTACATCCTAACAGATCGTATAGAATTTCAATTGCTCAATCATACGGCCTCTAGAGACGTCGCACTATACTCTATATTTATACAATCATACGGTTGGCTAAAAGGGATTCTGAAGTTTTACAATGATGGCTTCTAAAATACCCACAATCAACTTCTCTCAATTTCTTAACGGCGACCCTGAGACTCGTCTTGTAATTTCCAAGTCCATCGTCCAAGCCTTTCGTACATACGGCTTCGTCTCTCTCACCGGCCACCCCGTTCCTCTATCTGAAGTATCCGGAGCCTTCAAGTGGACAAAATTATTCTTCGATCTTCCTTCCGAAGTAAAATCTCTTGCTCCACATCCTCCAGGGTTTCTTCACCATCGGGGGTACTCCCACCCGGGGCTAGAAAAGGTCTCGAACCTCACTCGAGGGACAGATACCGATTCTTCGCTATCCCAGACCAGGGGAATTCCCGATATCAAGGAATCTTATGAGATTGGGTCGGAGCATTATCTCGAGCAACCGAATATATGGATTCCTCAAGATGTTCTACCGGGGTTTCAAGAGTTTATGACGAAATTCTACTGGAATCTGGCAGAGTTTTCAGCAGAGATAGCAAAGGCCCTAGCGTTGGGTATCGGGCTTGACGATGAAAATTACTTCGAGAAGTTTTTTACAGGGCATCATAATCAATTGAGATTACTTCATTATCCCGAGGTTGATGCTAGTATTCTGGAAGAAGGAAAAGGCGTGAGGGTTTCAGCTCACCGTGATTGGGGGTGGGTAACCCTTTTCAATCATTGTAATCACTTGAGTATATTCGGAGATTCAGATCTGGTTGCTGACATATACCTTTTTTGTGACTATATAAAGTGCTTTTACATTACTATTCCAAGATGATTGTGGAGGACTGGAGGTGGAAAGTCCTAACAAACCCGGCGAGTTTTTCAAAGTTGAACCGGACGAAGGCGCCTGTCTCGTAAATATTGCAGACTTGATGGCACGCTGGAGCAATGGTAAGCAGCCATATCACTATATCAGGAGTGGCATTGATACTCAGTATCAAAGATATGTTAACAATTCAATTAGATTACTTGCGGTCAACATCCCATAGAGTGGGTCTTCCACCGCTTCAAGATCGATACACTTCTGATGGGGGGAAACGGACTACGAGGGCTAGGTATTCGATTCCCTACTTTGTAACTACAACTCCGGAATCAGTTATCGAGTGTCTGCATCCCTTTACCGACGAGGCCCATCCGGCGAAATATCCACCGATCACCCAATGGGACTACAGTAAGTCTAAATCGAGCATGCAATATAGCTAGCTAAACACATAGTCTCGCGGCCGATCAGTACGTGGATCCGGAATGAGTCCCGGGGTAGGCCATTCCTCTATGCGTTCGCTACCTGGCAGGAACTTTACACATTCACAGTAATGGATAAAACTGGAAAATTGTATTCCTATATTTACATCCTGCAAGCTCAGGCGTCTTTACAAGATTCTTTTCTTTATAAACAAAGAAACGCAACTAAAAAATGTAGTACTTACAATAAATAATACTTCCTTCCCACAACGACTATGAACAAAAGGGTGCTTGGTAATTGTACTTAGTGATAAATATCATCCTGTACATGCCAGTATTTCCTCTCTTCCTCCCTCTCCTTCTCTGTCATTGGCGGCAGGTCGTAATACTTATTCGATCTGAAGTGTCGGATGTAGCGTAGCATACCCTCACCAATGTCGTCAACCTTGTCCATACCCAAGTCGGCAAATGTCTTTGCGGTAGGGTCGATTTGATGGTCGATAAATTCTCTCTCAACTTCATCCACACTAGTCAATGGCCACCAGACGTATTCCCATGCCGCACGGTAAATCTGCTGGAGTTTCTTCGGAACATTGATGTGTGTTAAGTTGCGTTTCGTTTCGTTCTTGACCATCTCACGGATTTCACCCATGCTGTATTCCTTGGGGCCGAAAAGTTCATAGGTTTGACCGACAGTTGAGTCGTCGTAGGCGATCCTCTCAAGAGCCCTTCCGACGTCAATAGACTACCGAGCAGGTATGTTAGAATTTCAAGCAGTCATTTCTGGTGTATGGGTGTATTGGCGTCTCAACATACATGAACTGGACGGAATCTCTCTTGAAGATTGTTCGAAGTGATAAGGTATCTCTTTTGGGCATGGAATAGAAGCAGACGGTCTTCCTCTCCCCAAACCCTGGCTGGGCGGACAATGGTAGTCTCAGGGAAGATAGCCCTAGCCTCAAGTTCACCCTCGGCCTTGGTTCGGTAGAAAGCAGATGGCGAGTTGAGGTCGGCATTGTGGGATGATACGTGAATATATCTGTCGATATCGTATTTGGCTACGGCCTCGGCGATACGCTGGGTTCCTTCCACATGAACATCCCAAAAGTTGAAGTTCCTAGTACGAATATCCGATGAGTACTTTGCCAATTGCTGATATCGGTCGGTGGGTAAAGGAATACGCACTTGGTCTCATAGTCGCGGCCGATAAGGTTGATAACAATATCCGAATGTCGTACGCTTTCCTCGATGGACTCTGTGTTTCGTAGGTCGAATTCCTGATAGATCGTATAAGCCGGGCCCGGCCCCCAAGATTACAAAGAAAGATACGGGCTAATCGTACCAAGAATGTAATACGTCCCAAGTCACCGGTGACCTTGAGATGTCTCTTCCACATCTCCTCTCTGTATGGAATAACGACATTGCATCCAGTCCGGGCTACCCATAATGTCAGTGTCCACCCCCCTATATATCCTTAAGATATCAGTCGCACCTAATCGATTGACGATATAACGACCCAAAAAACCGGCGGCGCCGAAGACTGTAGCGGTGTGACCTATTCCGAGTCGTTAATTGGCGCTTCGACGTTTTCTCCACCAAGGATTCAAAGTTACCTCCGAGAGACGACCTGGATATCCATTATATCAGCGATTGGCCATGCACTAGACAATAAAAATGGATATAGCCACCGTACCTTCCACCACCTTGCCTGTATACCGGCTTCCCCGTCCTCGTAATAGCGATATCGTGGATTTGTCGGGCGTTTCGACCCGCCGTGGTAATGGGGTTCAAGACCACCGGACGGGCATGAGAGGCGATAACCCTCGCAGCCGACATGATGGAAGGATGGCGATATTGTCCTCTCGTCCAGCTGCTAGGGAAGCGAATGGGATGTCGGGGATGGCGGGGTGATTGAAGCCGTCGAAAAGCGTCTTTGCATGCGTAGTTTGGAAGAGGACTGGCTTAGTATCACGAAAAGCGAATGATGTCGTTGGCTGGAACCCATTTGTGTTGTTTCGGACCAACCTCAACTCTCAAGCTTCACCTCGACCTTGCTTCAAACATCCAGAACCCCAGTTTCGACCTTCAGCTCCACCGACGCTTCACGACTTCATACGATCCACATACCTCCCGACATCCGTATACACCCTCGAATCCCCTCCGACTATTTAATAGAAGATACAGCAACTATGACCGTCGACATCGAGGCGTTCCTGGCCGAGGAACGCGACAAGGCCGATGAGGAGCTTACCGTCATGTTCCTTCAGTTCGAAGAACTATGGTCACGAAAGCTATGGCATCAACTAACTGAGTCCCTGCTGGAATTTTTCAATAAGCCCCAAAGTGGGAAGCAAAGATTGTCGATATACCAGACTTTTGTTCTATCGTTCGCAGATAAGATAAACCAGTTGAATCTGGTGTCGTTAGGGCTGTTGGCCGCGTCACATATCCAAGGTACGCGGATGTCATCTGGAAAATATATTATAGCCTATGATATAGCTTTAGGGAATCACGGGATACTGATAAAATATCTATTTAGATAAGAACGATGCCCTGAACTTCTTAAATGAACTTAAGGGCAAGGTCAAGGGGACATCGCAGGAGGCATACGTCTACGCCACAGTTGAAGCGGCAAAGATCAAGCTCCAGCTAGATGATTTTGAGGGTGGAAGGACAGACTTAGATGAATCTGAGAAGATCTTAGAGAAGTTTGACTCTGTAGAATCGATGGTTCATGCTTCTTTCTACAGTGCTAACGCGGATTACTATCATGTACGTTATCTTATCGCTTCACCGACAATCCATCAACCCCACTAACCCACACTCCTCTCTAGGCACGACAAGAATTCGCCTCATACTACAAGAACTCCCTCCTTTACCTCGCATGCATCAATATCGATGATCTCCCCGTCGCGGACCGTCAGGCTCGCGCCTATCTCCTTGCAGTCTCCGCCCTCGCTGCCGACACAATCTACAACTTCGGAGAGCTTCTTCTCCACCCCATCCTCGATTCTCTAAAAGGCACACAACACGAGTGGATACATGCCCTTCTCTATACTTTCAACGAAGGAAATATTGGCAAGTACGAGGGCCTTACTGTGCACCTCGCCAAGGAGCCCACCCTTGCCAGTCGTGGCGATTTCTTGCGAAGGAAGATCCGGCTGAGCGCCCTCACCGAGGCTGTATTTGTCCGACCACCGAACGAGAGAGCTCTGTCGTTTGCTACAATTATGAAGGAAACACAGGTGGCGCCGGATGAGGTTGAGCATTTGTTGATGAAAGCTCTAAGTTTGGGATTGATTCGGGGATCGATAGATCAGGTTTCGGGAATTGCAAGAATATCGTGGGTACAACCTAAGGTGCTGACTATGCAGCAAATCAAGGGTATGAGGGATCGGTTGATTGAGTGGGATTCGGGTGTTAGCCAGTTGAGCGTTTGGATGGAGAATAAGATGTAAAGAGACATCTGTAGATAATCGCCATCAAAAGTAGGTCTTTAAAAGCCACAGCAGAGGAATTTTCAGCTGTATTTTAGCTATAGCGGAGATAGAGGCGAGCAGAAAGTCATAATATACTACATTCAATATGACAATTGTCGTAGCCAGAAAGAACGAATGAATATGAAGTGAACAGTATTTTATACAAACCGTACGCCAACCATAATACAATCCCAATCCCGAACCAAGTCCCAGTACTATTTTTATTCCATTCCCGTTCTGTTCTTATCCCCATTGTGATTCCTATTTAGCACCCCCCTCGATACCATCACTCAGACAAACCTCTCCCTCGGGAAGTAGCTTCTTCATCCTTTCCTCCCTCACCGCTTCTACCCCACCGTACCCCTCCGGATCCCTCATCTTCAGAAATGCTTGTACCCTGCCATCTTTACCCACATCATCCCTCCTTATCCTCCACAGATCCCTCTGGATATCTCTATTCTTCCTATCTCTCTTCTCCTCATATGACGTATTAAACTGGTCCACCCTTGACAACTGTATCAATATCCCCGTGAAGGACAGCAACATAATAATCGTCACAAAATTCTTATGCGCGGTTATAGGCTCTGCAGCACTAGCATGCTCACCAGTGGAAGTGCCTCCACCCGGCGAAGAGTAGTAATTCCCGCTACCGCCACCCATACCTTCAGCTTTATACCATCTTTCCCAGTCCTCCCATGTCGCGTTCCCAGCTGGAGAATTCTTCCAAGGTCCGGAAGCATATGTTGCAGCAGTACGTCGTTTAAAATCCGTATGTCGTGGAACGGTGTTCCAACCTACCCCGAAATCATCGTATGCTTTTTTCTTCGCTGGATCGGATAGAAGCGTATTTGCAGCGACGATGAGACGGAACCTTTCGGTTCTTGTGGTTTTGGAGAGTAATGAACATGGATGGTCGGATGGTGGGATACAATCTGGATGGTAGAGTTTGACTAATTGGTAGAAATGTACTTTGTGATAGATTGATAAATGAGGTTGGTTGAAGATTTCATACGGGGTTAGTTGGGAAATCGGCTTGGTCGGCCAGCTGTGGTGGGCATTGGTGGCATAGAAACGGGATTGGGGTTTGTGATGGGGCTCAAGGCGGGTAACGTGGGACCTATCGGTGATAGGAAGCAGGAGGAGGGAATGGCAGCTGCTGGCGAGAATGCTGCATTTTGGGAGGATTGACGAAGCTGACGGCCGGATTGCATACATGGCCGAGTACGAGTGGGTTAGGTGATCATGGCAGGCCTGCTGGATGGTGATAATAAGAATCAACCGTTAAACCGGGGTTCAAGGCTCCCCGCGATGTGTATTAATATTATTCTCTTCGGAGGGTTACTCCGTATGTTTAACTGAGGTCGCATGCGGGCCGGGTGTGCGAGATTCGAGGTGGGTCCTCACCAAGCATCTGCATTCACCCGATCGATCCAGCTTCATTGCATTGCATGATTTGCATTGTATTAGCTTTTTGACAATTGCCAGTTAACGTACATGGAGACAGTAGACAAAAATAGCCGCCCTTGTCGATATCAATATCGAGTCCGATTACTGAAAATAAGTATTTGCAATCCGTACAGCCGAAGATAAACATTTAAAAAAAACACCGGAAGACTCCCAGTCCAAAGCCTGACCACCCATATTACATTATCATGTACCAACCCATCATCAATAAACCGTCCCAGAAATTTAAACACCGTGCCAGAAAATAAAATAAAAGACAAAATGCAGGATGAACCAGGGCGTAGAAGACTACCGCGCCATTTGACTGCGACTCGCCAACTCAATTTTCATTTGCAACCAGTTGAAAAATGACGGCGATTTGCAGAATTTCTTGTAAAAGGCCTCCTCCATTTTGTTTCGTTGAAAATGCGTCTTCCCCTTAAACTCGACTCCGCTCCCGTGCTTTGACAGCATCTGGAGGAAATCGACTTCTGAAAAACCCTTGTATTCGAAGGGATCCACGGCGGATTTAGCTGTTATTAATTGCGAAAAATATCTGTCCAGAGGTGCAAGAAATCGTGCGGTGAGATAGGCGAAATGTCGACGGACAAGACGGCTAATATCGACTGGTGAGCTATCGCCTTTGCAAGCTTCATCGAGTTCTTTGAGAAAACCCCAGTCTCTAGAGACATATCCTTTCGGCTCTTGGCTGACTATGTCGAAACCTGCTTCTTCTTTGTGAGGTGATCTTGATTTTCGATTTCTATGTCCGTTTCTACATGGAAAATTAGAGACATACTGCTTCAATAGTCCACGTTATATTTTTGGCCGATGACTTACTTTGGCGCTGGTTCTGTAAGATTAACAATGTAGGGCATGTCTTTTGGTGAATGAATTAGAGGCTTCTTTGATGGTTGAGATTGAAGTCGTTTCAATATGAAAGGATTTGTTATTCCGACCAAGTAATGGTTCGTGTTTGGCTAAGATAAATTTAGATCAGCAGGCGAAAAAGAAGGGTGTACAAATTGTATTATCCTTACACCGCCATGAGATTGTGAGAATATGTCTTTTTAGTAATTGATTATGTTAGTATCGGTATGGCCTTGATAGCTACTCGTGTATGGAAGTTGCTCTTACCTGAATGCATAGTGATGTAAGGACGATAATCTCCAGCAAAAGGCACCTGTTGTAGAAAATGTTAGAAGATTCGAACGACAATGCCAGAAATTCCACATACAGGTCTGATAAGATCGAAGGCTAGCGATACAAACTCGCTACAAAACCGAGGGTCCAGTGCGAGGGCGACTATTGGCTCGCAGAGAAGTATCTAGGAAGTATTAGTACTATATTGGAGCTAGGTATTCATTCTACATCTTTTGAGGAACCCTTACCCTTTCGTAGATTATGTATAAATCGACAGCATTCGGCAGACACTCAACCACTTGCTTCCAGGAACCAACGGGGTCTAATGCAAAGATGTCAATCGGATGGTTCTGCTTCACCGACTCTTTGCGTACAAGTCCCTGCAATGGATAAGAAGCGTGTAGAGGACTATGGAAAAGGTTAGTCATCATACTGTACTATACAGTTTGCAAGAAACTTTGGTACTGACATGTGAAGGTTGAAGATGGATCCAAAGAAAGGGAGTTCCATTTGCCCAGGTCGCGGGGTTGGCCAATTGACGATTTGTGCGCAAGCAGACTCCATCAAAGCCGAACTCGCACTAAAGTCTAGCAGAGGCAAGGTTTTTGCCAGCATTTGATCTCGAAACAAAGACGTGAAGTCATGTTGTGAAATGACCACGAATGATTTCTGGCCGTATTTTCTCTTTACGGTCTCGTCTCGCTGTTGGCGAAACAAGCAGTAGCCGAACCAGAACTCGGGATGAGACACTAACTCGGACGAAGGAACTTTGATATCTTTTGATGTGTGTCGAAAACGGAAGTGGAAGGAAGTGTCTGTTGTGAGGTCATCGGGGTTATTTCTATCTGGGAAACTATTGAAACAGATAGTCGTCAAGTCCGCCGGGGAGAACGGCGAATATGGATAGATCCATTCAATCTCGGGGCCTATACATATATACACCAAATAGTAGAAATGATTAGCTAGATAATTCTTGTAAGGACATAGATACATCTTAGGAAGTCTATATGTGGAATAATTCATATGACGAACCTAAGTCAACGTTGAAGTCGCATACGATGCTATATTTAGTAAGGCGTAAAATTATTAGCCATTGATGCCCAGCATCATTGTACACGCATATAGCGAGATATCTTGTAGATACACCTGCTTGTTATACGCATATACATCGAATTCGAGCTAAAGGACTAGATTTATTACTAACAAGGCTATGAGCCATTCCCGCAACTTTTCAACTGAGAAGGTGGATTCTGGGACGATTCCCTTCAATTCATCGAGTCTGCGCGCTTCCGTTTGGTCCCCAAAGCCGGAATCGTCGTTGCTGGTGGTCTCTTTTTCCGTCCGAGACATCCTGTCACTGTCTTCAGTGATGTTTACAGTTCGTCCGCCTACAGCCTGCAACTGTTTGAAATATCCCCCGCCGCACTACTGCTGGTGTTGTTGTGAATTTGGAGGTGTCGAAGATGTCACATTCGTCAGAGACAATCTGCAATGGATGGCAGGTACTGAATGAACATGTACCCAGGTGAAATGATGAAAGAATGAAAATTTAGGAATGAAGATCAAGGACAACAGGCGACTGATGGATTTCTTTTAGTAGCTGGGGGGGAGAATCTGCTCGGATCGGTAGAATAGATTAATAGCTAACTAGTAACTAGCAAGCAAGCAAGCAGTATTAATGTCGTACTCTACGCTCTGCCAGCGCTGCCAGCTTCATGATCGGATTTGGTAGTCCGTTTCAAAATGCCCTGCCAGACCACGCCTGCATAAACGAGATTTGATGCTGACCGCCTGCAGCTGGTCTTCTGGCAGGCTTCCAGGACGTTTTTTGTGTTTAAAACCCCCGTTTGGTATTTAGTAGACCCCACCAGTCGTTTGTGTCAGTAATGGCTTTTATCATGCATGGAAGTGCGTATAATTAACAAATAACATATGCACATGCGACTTGGGCAGGAGGGAACGAAGGCGAACGAAGAAAGAAAGAAGGGGAACAACTTCGGGTCGCTTAAGGCTAAAGTCGTTCTAGATCCTGGGTCATGTTGGCTTTTTAAAATTTGCGACTCGACGGCGGCGGTCTTTGAGCCTAGAATACCAGCCAGGACCCGGCCAGGACCCTGGAAATTTCGATATGATACGCCGCTGGGACGAAGCCCAGTTTAGTTAGCGGTGCCGCAGAAGTGGGATTGCGATTGGATTGGTTGCAGTGCAGCGCTGTGAAGATGTACTCCGTAAGTGGTGAAGCTTAAGCTTGGCCGGGTCACCGATAATGCAGCCTCCCCCGCAGGGACTGACTAACGACCCAGGTAACCAACCGGACCGCCATCTACGTCTTCACTTTTGATTCGATTGGTGATTGCTGTCTCACGTCTTCCAACATCATCATCGACATCACCCATCTTCCATCTTCCATCTCCATCCTTTCGCTATCTTTCATCAAACCGCTCCTATCCCTCTAACCACCGACATCCAAAATCTCCCTTCACCTGTCTCGCTGGGGCCTTTCGGTGGACATTTCAAGCTCGGGTAGCATCCTGGTCCTTGACGTAACCCACACCCTCTCAAGCTATCCCTCGGGCCTCTAGTCCTACTCCCAACTACGCATACAAAAGTTCCAAGTCGCAGTAGCTACATCACATCATTAGCGGCACTTGAGTAGCTTCGCTCATAAAGAAACATAGTGGTGGCCTCTTCCGAAATCCAAGCGGTGACCTTAGGCTCTACCAAAACTTCAGAGGATCCTCACTCGATCTTTTCCTCTCAAGTCGAGCATTAGTAACTGCTTGCAGCTTCAATCCTAAAACTCATCATCAATCATCAACCATATCACACAAGCCCTTTTTAAAAGATTTCGGATTCCAAGAGTAGAAGCAGCAGAGATGGATCCAGCGATTGGACGAAGTCTCAATGATAAGCTCTACGACAAGAGGAAGATGGGTGCTCTCGAGTTTGTCTCTCTGAATCACGCATCCTAGATCATTCTTTTGCAGTCGTTTGAAACTAACAAATACGGCGGTGATGATGGTAGGTTAGAGAAGCTAATTCGAGAGCATCTTACCAATAATGACACCGACAAGATCAAGGAAATCATTGACCAGCTAGTCCACGATTTCGCCTATGCCATTCACCAACCACATGCTAGGAATGGCGGCTTAATTGGTCTGGCTGCTGCATCAATAGCACTCGGTCCGGTACGTTACACACAGCATCCACCGACAAGGAACTCGGGCTAAACAGTACTGGTGGTTCACAGGAGGTGGCCTATTACCTCGACTCCATCATTCCGCCGGTTCTCGCCTGTTTCGAAGACCAGGATGCTAGAGTCCGCTACTATGCTTGCGAAAGTATGTACAATATTGCCAAGGTTGCCAAGGGAGAAGTACTCTTGAACTTCAATGAGATATTCGATGCCCTATGCAAGGTAGGACATGACGTCCATCCCTTTTAGAGATAAGAATGCCAAGCTGATCATTATCTATCTAGCTTACTGCGGACACGGAACTGTCCGTTAAGAATGGTGCTGAGCTGTTAGACAGACTTATCAAGGACATTGTCGCCGAATCTGCTTCGACTTACATCTCCATCCTTCATGCCCCTCAGGATGAAGCTGTCGGATCGGACGAGGAGGAGAATGATTCAGACTCCATCCTCCCGACTGCTTTTTCACTAAAGAAATTCATCCCATTGCTTCAAGAGAGAATTCATGTTATAAACCCCTTCACCCGCCAGTTTCTCGTTTCTTGGATCGTTCTTCTTGATGGGATCCCGGATCTTGAGCTCGTCACATTTCTTCCTGAGTTTCTCGGTGACCTTTTCGGATATCTAGCTGACCATAACGCTGATGTTCACGACGCCACTGAAGTTTGCCTTGAGGGTTTCTTGCAAGAGATTCGAAAGATCGCATTTGTCAAACGTGGAGTTCAATCACGCCGAGGAACGATCTCTAGACCGGTTAAGCCGAAGAGTCCAAGTGTCAGCGAGGGAGCAGTTACTGATGACACCGACACCAAGAAAGAAGACGATGATCCACGTCCTGACGACCAGGATAGTGGACTCGATGGTATGTGGATGCCCGGCCAGGACATCCCCGTTGACCACAAGAGGATCCTGGAAATCTTGATGACCTTCATCGATCCTTCTTCCCGTAAGTGTGTCCCTGAGGAATGAGATGTAGGCCCCCATACTAACAGATAGCAGAAGAAGAAGAACTTCAACGTACAGGATTCCTTTGGGTCGCAAGCTTCCTTGAAATCTGCCCCGAAGAAGTCGTCCAATTTATTCCACGCCTTCTATCATACGTCCTTCCGGCCACATCTAGCAATTTTGAATCCGTTAGAGAGGTTGCTCACAAAGTTGATGGTCTCATGCTTAACCTCATTCTCAACTTGTTCGGAGATTCGAAGCTTTCAGCTATCACTTCCCACCACCGTCAATCCCCAATACCCCCAAATTCCCACTCTCACCAAGATCCTCGATCTTCAACTCCGATGCTTGCTGAACAAGCAGATGACGGCGTTGGTGAGGACGCAACCCGCGCTTCTCTCTCCAGTACTACCGGAGAATTAGATTATGGTGCTACTGTTCATGCTTTGACGATCCAATTTCTCAATGAAAATGAGGCAACTAGACTAGCTGCTTTGGACTGGCTTATAATGTTGCATAAGAAAGCTGGTGACAAGGTTATTGCCGTTAATGATGGCACTTTCCCAGCCTTGCTTAAGACACTATCTGACCCGAGCGAACTTGTTGTTACAAAAGACCTTGAACTTCTCTCACAGATCTCAAGGAACAGTGATGACGATGTCTTTGCTTCGTTCATGAACGACCTGTTGAACTTATTCAGTACCGATCGCCGTCTTTTGGAAACCCGTGGTTATCTCATCATCCGTCGCCTTTGTCTCAATCTCAACCCTGAGCGCATATATCGCACTCTTGCTGAGATTATCGAGAAGGAGGAGGATGTCGAATTTGCCAGCACTATGGTACAGCTCCTGAATAACAATTTGATGACAGCCCCTGAGATTGGCGAGTTAAGGAAGCGATTGAGGAGTTTGGACACCAAGGTATCTTGCTGATTTACCCTTCACCATTTCTTTTGCCGAACGTCACTAATATCTTCACAGGATGGTCAAACCCTCTTTATTGCCTTGTTCAGATCGTGGTGCCACAATGCCGTTGCTGCCTTCTGTCTGTGTCTGCTTGCCCAGGCATATGAACAAGCCTCTAACCTCCTCGCAATTTTGTAAGGACAAACCCTCTATCACAAAGCTTATAGCCGCACTCTAACAAAATATTATATATAGCGGAGAGCTAGAGCTTTCTGTCAGCCTTTTGATTCAGCTCGACAAGTTAGTTCAGCTCCTCGAGTCTCCAGTCTTTACATGTAAGTTTTTTAGAACCTGTTTACAATCAAAGAGAGGACACCACCATGCTAACTTAGGTTGAAGATCTTCGAATGCAACTTCTAGAGCCCGAGAAATATCCATTCCTCTACAAGTGCCTCTATGGACTCTTGATGCTTATGCCTCAATCGACCGCTTTCGCTGCCCTCAAGAACCGCCTGAATAGTGTCAGCGCCATTGGGTATTTGCATCAGTTGACTCCACGAACGTAAGTATTTTAAAAACCCTCGCCATATCAACTAAATGTTCTAATGATCCTGTAGAGCCCCCACCTCAACCACATCTTCCTACGAACCACGCAACCGCCTTAAGGCCCGAAGTGAGAACGAAATCAAGTGGATAGAACTACTTGAGAAATTCAAGAATGTTCAAGAAAAAGCTAGGCGCTACAATGTCCAGTATATCACAAAGGCCCCAACTCTCCCACCACTCACAGATGTCCCCTCCGCTAATGGTGTCTCCTCCTCGGGACCCCATCTCTCTGGTCATGGAGCCTCGTCATCTGGACCTCCTAATCGTATCCCAACCCCCAGTAGCGTCTCCGGTGCTCCCACTAATAAGCCAAAGGGAGGGTTGGGGATTGCCAGGTTGGCTCGTGGGAGAATCAAGACCGCGAAGTGATTCTTTTAGGGTTTAATTTCCAATGATGCCAGTACATCCACACCAGGCATCCACGGGATTTATTTATCATTCACGATATTCCGCGATCATGTTTGTTCGTTTTGCATATCTTTGTTGTTATCTTTCTAATTCGACAGCGTCTGGGCCGCGTCATTGTTTTGGGGATTCTGATTATTTTTATCTTCCCGTTTTGCTCTGACAACTTTCAAAGGATCAATCCAATATCTAAGTACTCTTAGGCATGAAATACCTAGGAGTCAAGGGCATTCGATCCTTTTTGCTATTTCATTGCGAGCGCTAGTAGGTTTTTGTTTGTTCGCTACTTCTGATTTTCCATTAGCATACGCATGCATAGCGGGGAGTTTCTTTTGTCAATGTTAACACTATTTCCTCTGTTTTCAGCCCCCTTTTCAGAACTTCTTTGCTATTTCGTGTGCGAGGGCACCAATATCATTTCAGCATCAAGGACGGTGGTCCTATTTAAATCTGTATACCGATTGTGATGCTTTCAGCGTCTGATTTTAAGTGGAGTGTGTCATCTTTTTCGTATTTCTGAGTTTGATCATGGTAACGGGACCGATCCACCTTCCCATCTTGGCATTATTCAAGAGTACTTTTTGTTTTGGTCCCATAATATACAGATATATGTACAAACCTAGTCTATCATAGCTAGGTTACTCGACTAGTTGAGCGGGAAAATATTATACTTACAGGAGGATATGATTCCACATATGCTCTAAAACTTGCACGGGATACACCCTCTAAGATGTGCAAATATCGAAACCTTATATATATAGGTAGATACTTAGGTCATAAAAATAAAACCTAGTTGAAGATCCTCTTCTTCTTAACTTCGGTGTAGCAGTGGACGATGTCTCCTTCTTTGAAATCATCGAAGTCCAAGAATCCCATACCACACTCCGAACCTTGTGTCATCTCCTTGGCGTCCTTCTTAACGTTCTTAAGAGTCTCAAGTGTGCCTGTATCGCATAATACCATTAGAACTATCCGTTTCTTGCGGGGAGGGGGAAAGAAGGGGAGGGTTAATCTTACCATCATATACTGTCTCACCATTCCTCATAATCTTCGCCTTATATCCCTTCGTAACTGTTCCTCTATAAATCTTACATCCGGCAAATGGTCTCATAACCTTCTTCTTGACATTATATGGGAAGACCTGTAGAATTTCTGCTTCACCAACCACAGTCTTGACGATAGTAGGTTTGAGTTTCTCGCTCATCAGTGACTTTATGTCGTCCAAGATCGCGTAGATGACCGTGTGATGAATAATCTTGACGTTAGAGAAACGTGCGAGTGCCATGATATCCGGATCGTTAGAAACGTTGAATGAAAGACAGCAAGCGCCTGTGCTTTCTGCCATTCTGATGTCGGATTCTGTAAGCGCGCCGACACCAGTTCTGATGATTGTTGTTCGCGCTTCCTCATTCGCAACGCTGAGGACTTGAGCTTCGACTGCTTCAACTGATCCTGCCACATCTGCCTTGATGATGAATGGGACTTCAAGAACCTTGAATTTATCGTCTTGTTTGATCTCAGGGACCTGAGCAGCTGCTTCTTCGGCATCCATGCCTTGTTCTTGTAGAGCTTTAACACGTGCCTCTCGTTCCTTCTTTTCATGATGTAGCCTTCTCGCCTCGTTGATCGCTTCGATATCCTTTGCCAACTGCAGTCGCTCCTCCTTGAATAATCGATAATCGACAACAGACTTCGCCTTGTCCTCCGTCACTGCTTGCAGAATTTCATCACCTGCGTCTGGTTGGTCTCTCCACCCATCAACCTCAACAGGTGTACCCGGAAGCGCCTCTTCGAGCTCCACACCAGTGTCCGTGATCATATTTCTCACTCTCGCCCATGTTGTACCTGCTACAATCACATCTCCCTTCTTCAACGTACCCCTCCTCACCAGCACGGTTGCCACACGTCCCTTAGCCTTGGTCGAAGTCTCCACCACCCACCCTTCCATACGTCCGGTTGCATCAGCCCGCATATCGATATCGTCAGCCTGTAGCAATACAGCTTCCTCAAGATCCTCCATTCCCAATCCTGTTTTTCCAGATACGCACACAACCTGAGTATCTCCACCAACTTCTTCGATCTGGATGTCGTACTGGGCAAGGTCGGCCTTTACTCTTTCCGAGTCCGCATCTTCTTTATCGCACTTGTTGATAGCAACGATAATGGGTACACCTGCTGCTTTCGCGTGCTTGATAGCCTCAATCGTTTGCGGCATGATACTGTCATCGGCAGCAACAACCAAGATGACGATATCAGTCATATTTGCTCCACGTTCTCTCATCTTCAAGAAAGCCTCGTGACCAGGTGTATCCAAGAAGGTGATGTTTCTTCCAGACGGCATGTTAACCGAGAAGGCACCGATATGCTGGGTAATACCACCGTGTTCCTGGTCGACAATAGATGATTTTCGTAACCAGTCCAAGATTGTAGTTTTCCCGTGATCGACGTGGCCCATGATTGTAACGACCGGTGGGCGTGGGGGTAGCACAGACTTATCCGCTGGGACAGGTAAAGCGACCAGATCACGCTCATGACTCTTGTCCACAATTGGTTCAAAACCGTATTCCATGGATATTAATCCAGCCATCTCAGCATTCAGGACGTGATCTGGGTTTGTCTCTGTAAATCCCAACTCCTCCATTTTGCGTGTAAAAGGTTCGAGTTTAACTTTGCACAAACGAGCGAGTGTGTTAACACTAACGAACTCTGGTATCAATATCGGTGGAAGTTGTTGCTCCATCTCTGCCCTTTCCTTGGCCTTTTGCTCCCTCTCTAGTCGTTTCCGTTCCTTCATTTGGGCCTTACTTTCAACTTCTTCAATTGGATCATCTTCAGTTGCCCACTGCCGACTGTGTTTCGCTTTATCCTTTTCTTTCGCTGATGATCGACGACTCCAATCTTGTGCTTCTTCTTGTGCTGCTTTAGCCTCGAGTTCCGCTCTTCGTCGCCTCTCCTTCTTGGATTTCTTTCCGCCTCCCACTACCTCATCGGTTATTCCAGCCTCTGCGAGAGCCTCGTCTACCAGGTTTGTATCTCCAAATTCGAGATTTCCCAAACCATAACGATTCCCGCCTGATTTGAATTCCTGGAAGCTTCGCTGAGGCAAATCGTCACCAAAATTATCCCTTTCTCCAAACGTTCTCCGTCCACCTGTCCTTTGCCAACTATCGCCAGATGCAGCCGGTGTAGTGCTTTTACCACTTAGTTGATCAAGAATGTCGTTAGAATCGGAAGCAGCAAAGACGCTCTTCTTTGTGCTGATCCCCCATTTCCCTACACCGGACGCGGCCGTTCGCCATCTACTTTTGATTTCGGAATTACGTGTTAGCGATTCCTGGGGGGTTACAGACTTTTCGAAGGTTGCCAATGATTGTGCGTGCTGCTTGCGAAGGAATTTTAAATCTTCAGCGGATGTATTCTGTCGAGCCTGACTGTCAGCTGCAGCTGCCCAGCTACCGGCTTTCGGTGCGATGGGAGAGGTTGCTGACGCGGGCGATTGGAAAGATAGTCCTTGTGGAGCCTTGGCTTCTGCAGATGCTCTAGCCCATCTGCCAATTCCGGAGGTTGCAGGCGCCGGCATTGCAGCTAGTTCTCTTTGTGCCCAACTCATACTAGACGTCGAACCATGAGCGGATTTTCGAGCGACGGCGGCTGGTTCTGGAGAATTTATAGGCTTATCAAGGAAAGACAACGGTTGTTGGACGACAAGTTTTGGATTTGCTGTTGATGCAATGGATTGAACTTGAGCAACAGCCTCTGTACTAGGAATAGGAGTTGGTTCGACTGGCTTAATTGGCTTCTGGGGTGGTGGTGTGAAATCTGTTTCTGCGTGTAGAGTCGACAAATCATGAGCTTGGGTGGAATTGTAAGATAGCTCCTCAGTGGCCTGGGGCTCCGATGTAGAAACTTTGGGAACTTGTGTCTCCAAGAATGGGGCCGCTTGGATATCCTGTAACTCAGCTGCAGTATTGATGGGAGCTGTTGTATCCAAGCTCGCTTCAGCGCCTTTCGAGTCAACGGTGACGATCTCGGGTTCAACTAGTGGGATAGTTTGAGTTTGTTGCTCCGCTATGGAGGTTCCAGCGAGAGCTTCAGACTCAGCTTGTAAGCCTGTGGGTGCTTCAGCACCAGTCACTGGGAGCTCCTGACTGCCATGGATCTTCTGTGTAGGTGTAGCTGAAATTTCTTGAGCAATAGGAGGTACAAATTCCACAGTCAGAGCTTCAGTATCTGGTATAGAGGGTGTATTTTGTACGTCTTGACTTTCAATAACAGAAGCTTCGGTAACTTCCACGGCAAATTGATCTGCTGAGGTGTGTATCGACTCCGTATTCTGTGCTTCTACTTGCAGATTCACACCGTCCTCCAGAATTTCCACGGACTCGATCCTGGGGGCTTGGGTATCCTGGGATACGACCTCCGGAGTTAATTCTGCCTGGGTATTGACGGGTTCTACGGTAATCGGTTGTTGTATAGGTTCCTGGGGTAGAGTAGGAGGTCGGAAATGATAATGACCATCGATTTGATCCCGCTGTCCGATTTTTCTTTCGGCCTGCAGTGGTTCAGGAGGATTAGGAGGTACAGATGCCAGTGCAGGAGCGGATGTAGGTGCAGGTGCAGGTGCCGGTTCTTCTAGCGGTTTTGTTGGTTTCTTCCCCCACTTAGATGCAGCAATTGATGCCGTTCGGTTACTTCCAAAGCCAGCAAACGAAGATGGTTTCTGAGATGTCGGAATACCATGCAGACCTCCATCTTCCGGCTCTGGCCTGGATGCTAGATTCTCACCAGCCAGGCGATTGGCACTCGAGTGGACCCGGCGATTGAAGCGTCTCCGGGACGCTGTTCGAGGTATTGATCGTTCGGCCGTCGCTGTTGCCCGCAGCATGCAAAGGAGGCATGGCGAGGCCACTGGTCGCTGTGAAAGAAGTTAGAATTACCAGACGTCAGATATCGAGGGATCCAATTGAAGACATACTCTTGCAATTGACGAGCGCATTGTTATTTTATATTTTATTTTATTTATTGCATTAAAAATTAGAACCTCCGGAAGGGTAAAAATGTGCTGGCCGCCATGGTGGAGGTTGAGTGAATTCGAAGGTGATGTCAAAGACCGAGCCGGGCAAACGACACCGAGAAAAAAAAATATTTTGGCGGGACTCGTTACGGTTGCCCGCCGATAGCCCGACCGCGCTAAAAATTGCCCCGCAGAGGTCTCTCACGTACTAGTTAAGGAAGTAACTACTTAGTACTATAGCACTAACTATACTTATACTTGGTGTAGATGCTACAGATAACGAAATTGTAGCAGCACAAGATTAGAATTCTTCGTACATGTCCAAGAGCCTTAGCTTCAGTTATGTAACTCAAGCGCTCACAGGAGAGACAGATCAAATTCGCGGGAAATCAGTTCTTTGCTAATTCGCAGTTTTTTATCGAGTTCAACACTCATGAAGGGCGTCGCCTAAGGCTGCAAATGACATGAGCAGCTGCTGCAAAGAGCTTCCCGGACTGGAAAAATGCTCAGGCATCGCATACCTGCAAAGGACCTCTATATGTGCTATAATCCTGTTCTCCTCTCGTCCGTCAAATCCTTCACTTAATAGTAACAATTGACCTCTTTGAATAATAATATTAGCAGCGCTCTTCATTGCCTGCAAACGATCTGAGCGGTTTCCGCGTTCCCGCGTCCAGTTATGCACGACGGGGTGAACAGAAAAAGCCCCCGGCTGACTTCTATTAATCAGCGAGTATGAAGCGAGAAGCGAGAATCTTCTCTTCTCTATCTTATAAGTATAGGTATAAGTATAATATACAATGTTAGCGTATCGTGTCGATGATAGTGAATCTCGAATAAACTTACGTTGGATTCGAAATTCCGGGTCAGGCTGCTCATCCTCGGCCTCCCACAAGTCCTCGAAGATCTCGTTCGGGTTCAAATACCCACACGTAAGTAACAACGACGCTGCTTCCTCGTTTTGCTTTTGAATTTCCAAAAAGGACACTTCCCAAGTCGTCACGGCTGTATCTTCTCGATAGGCCCATCCAAATTTTGGTATTTTAGACTGTGCCTCTTTGAAAGTCTTATCGTAGTATCGCAAATACTCGCTCACAGGAATGTTCATTTCGTGTATGAAACAGCCAGCGTGAGTAATAGCAAGCGGCATGAAGCCTAACTTCTCAACGACTGCGCTTATATGCGCATGCTCACTTTCCGTAGGATTCCGTATCTGTATCAGATGCGACAAAAGCTTGATTGCATTCTCTTTATCCAAACCGTCCAAATTTATCTGTTCGGCGCAGTGAAAGAATTCGGGCCGACGACTAGTCACGAGAATACACCCACCGTGGTTGGGGAAGTACTTGTCGATTGCGAAACTTAGGTCGTCTGCATTGTCAAAAATTAACAACCACTTGTCGTTACCGGGTAGTTTCAACCAGCTGAACAAAGCAGATTTAATATTATTATAGATAGACGTTTCCGGACCGGAGCGGCAGTTGATGTTCCCGTTTCTATCTATTAAATCGGAGATTCCGAGTCTCGCGCCAATGCTTTCGTAGTCAGGGGGCTCGGGCCAGGATGCTCTTGCTTGCTCCTCAACAATTTGCTGCATAATGTCCACGAACGAAATCTGAATAGCTTCCTCGGTTGTAGTTGATACCCAGAAGATTGAAGTAAATCGGCGGGTTTCGTGACATGCGTAAGCGTATTCAAGGGCTATCTGAGTCTTTCCCATACCCCCAGTACCAGTGATCGCGCAGACAGGAGCGCTACCACCACCATTACATGTAGATTCCGAAAAATATACATCGATGACATCTAACTCTGCCCTCCTGCCAGTGAAATTACGGTTCCGGGGGAAGGGCAAGTTAAGAGAAACGTCATAGTTGAGTTTGATTTTTTTCGTAGGTCCTTCGGTATCGCCTGGAGTGATATTGAAAATATGTCCAGCCGAAGACTTAGTAATCATAAAAAGTAGCCGTCAAGCTATGTACGTATATAAGCTGATGGGAGTAGCTTTACCCATTGACAATTCCTGCTTGCATCAGTGTATGATTTCTTTTGTTCTTGAACGTATTGTTAACTATTGGTTCTTCGTTACCGGGGTCCATGATGCTTATAAGATTATCGCGTCGGAACGTCTAGATCCTCCAGTAAACCGAGCCTTATAGAATGATAACAGCGTTCCTCTTTAAAAATCAAGCTTTGGAATATAATAAAACCTGGTCTGGAGGCAATAAAACCATAGAAAAGAAATTCTCTGCATGTTACAGTAACGTTAAGCTAAAGGAAAACTTATAGCATCGCAAGGCGCTTACCTATTATTCTAACGCCCGTCATAACGAGGCTACCAGTTTATCTCCAGGGCAGGCAGCGCCGAAGCTGCGTTATGCAAGAACAGATCAGCATGCATAAAACTACCTAGGTACCTAGGTACCTGTTTGTCTCGTCGCCAGACTCCTCAACTGTGCATGTGGGTACTTGTACTTGTTTCGTACCATATCTATGTAGTGAGGGTGAGGACAGCCGTCCTGGGGATGTGTTGTATACTGTTGCTTAATTTACTAAGTGTAGGAAGTATAGCTTCTACTCTAAGTACTTAAGTATTTTATACCTAGATAAGTACCTATATACCTAAGTAGGTACCTATTGACTTGGGATCGAATCTTTTCCAGAATTCCGGCATGATATATATATCGATCACCCTGATAATATCTGTCGGGAATAAAGACATGTAGATGTATATAGGTTCCCTTGGAAGTTCACTTAGCACATTTTTTACTAGTGACTTTAGCATCACCTCCAATTAAAGGCAGCTAAACAAAAAAGATGACAATGGCAAAGTATTCTTACCGTATATATTGATATGTTATCAGTCTGAGGCGAGACGTAGGAAGTTAACGGGAGGAACTAGCAGGCATTTGGCCATCCTAAACTTGAAAAATTAATTCAAGTAATTAGTAACAAAACAACGGTTTATACACGATTACAATACTAATTCAAATACCTCAAACCACACGGGAATGTCTAGATCCGCCTCCCGGATGTCAACGGGTTGACCGTTTTGGTAGTACCGATGGGGAGTTTCTCCACTTTTCAATGCTTTGAGAACTGCCTTGATGTTTTCCATATGAATGGCATTTTCCTGGGGATACTTGAGAAGCCTTTGGAGATATCGGATTCGTGGAGCTATGTCTCCAGGGATTGGAATAAACGGTTTCCACTCTGGCACTGTTAGGTGAGAATGATCCATCTTGATAGTTTTTTTCCTGAAAGGTAAGTTAAGCTTGTAAGATGTATCTGTATGTGGATATATGCTGACAGTATATATAGTAACCAGCACGGTGGTTTGAGTGTATATAAGAGTATATATACTAGTACTATCGACATATCAGGACCACGTGGAAATAGTTAATCGATCTTCAAATGCATATCATGACAAAAATATGTTTTAAGAGATACTTATGCATATGTGGAGAGCTATCGATATTTCTATGAGCACACCTCTTTATACTTGAAACTGGTGGTCTGTCCATAGTCCGATAGGCGTTACGTATACGGAATTTGTGTATTGAGATTTGAGAAGTATAATATATACTACGACCGTTTCCTGTCTGGTGCTGCTAACTCTGCCATTGAAAAACTGGCAGTAAACCCCTTTTTGCCTTGCCTCTGTTTCCGACGAGCGGGCCCGATATTTGAGTCCTGTGGTTGAGCAATTGGCTCCGCATCGTATATCCCTTCCTCGTCCGAGTCCTTCTCAGAATCATCTTCCTTATCACTATCTTCCTGCGAGTTTTCCGGTATTCTATCCTGGCCATTATTTGAAGGTTTCTGCTCAGAAGTCGGATTGGCAAACGGCTTCGAGTTCAGTATTTTTTGCCTTATCTCCTCCATATCGTCCTCATCATCGTCACTTGGCGGTAAATCGTAATTCCTCTGCTTGGCGATGGGCGGGTTTATCTTGCGATTGTCCTCCCCTTCTGCTCCTGCGTCTTCTTCATCTTCTTCCTCGCTCTCAGAAGGTGGTAACGAATACCTTCGATTCTGGTTCCCTGTCGCCCAAACATCACGATCAGCTCCCTCGGTATCCCCCTTCCTGTTCTTATAACTTTCTTCTAGCTGGCTTAACCATTCGGTTTCAGCTGCTTTGACCCCTTCTGCATCCTCACAAGCTGCATATTTTTCTAGTAAATCCTCGTTGATCTCGATAAACGCATGACCCCATGAAAAAGGCAACATAATGTCTTCCGCCCAGTCGGGATGGCCTGTGATGTAGAAACAGGCAGCCAGTGCCTCAGCGCAATTGAGCTTCCAAGGTCGTCCGTAGTTGACAGGGTTTGCCGCCACAAGATATGGCACTGTAATATATCATAAGCTAGTAGTTAGATCTTGCCGGTACATTTTAGAGGGGGCGATTTCATTTCGTCTTACGTAACCGTTCGTGCTTCCCGCCTATCCGCGAAAATGGTATCTGAAATAAAAATGTTAGCTGCTACGGAATCCTCAGAAATTTCAAACTAGAATCGAAGAGATATACTTCTGATATTCTTGCCCATGATGCTTCTACTACGGCTGCTCCAAATTCGTTCACAATTTCCGCATCGGCGGGTGATACCACTATCTTTCCATTTGGTCTATCCTCGTCCTTCAGCCAAGTATCCAACCGGCAGCATTCCGGTATAGGACCTACGTACGTGACTACGACACCTGCAAACTTCTGCCCAATCCTAAGGTTTCTTATGAGACCGGCTTTCTCAAGCTTCTTTCCGGAGCATCGCTTCGGGTCGCAGTGGCCAAAATCCCACATTGCGCATTTATATGCTGGCTTTTTAGATGTGCCGTCCTCATCGTTGTCTCGCCTGCGAAGCAAAGGGTCCAAAAAAACCAACAGTTAGTAGTGCGACAATCATGCCAGATCTTCAGGTGTTCGTACCTCTGTCTTGGGCGGCTATACTTTTCGCCTCCCTTCCCTTTATTTGAATGTCGAACCATGTTGTCGCTGTCGTAATTGCCGTCCTTTAGTTGAGATCCACTTTCGAATTTCGATGTTTTTAGTCGCAGAAAGCGCAAGCTGCGAAAGATTTAATCCCGGCAAACAGTAGCTCTTCGAAACTGCGGCTTGGGAGGGTGACGTTGCCGTCCCGGTTCCAAGCCCGAAAACACCACGTCCCAACTATCCAGGAACCACCTCGATTCTCCTCGATTCTCCCCCATCGCCATTGCGTTCCCACGACGTATCATACAAATCCATATTTCGAAGTCAATTTCGCTCAAATTCATATTATAGGATTGCCAGGCAAGGACTTGTATGGAGGCAGCATCCGTCAGAATGGCAGCAAGAGACCGGTGGAACATGTATCCCGCGGAGCCCCACGGCTCATCACAGCTTCTGCGCTTCATCCATACAGCATGCGATCCGATGAACTTCGAGCCTAATCTAGCGCTGCAGCTTGAGATTGCAGATCTGATAAATTCAAAGAAGGGAAATACGTATGGCGTCCATGTTTTTGACTACCCCGCCCCCAGACATACAGGCGACCCCGCTAATGCCGTTTTCCGGATGTAGACCGAGAGAAGCTGCTGTCGCGATCGTCGGCTACATCAATAGTCGGAACCCGAACGTCTCTCTCCTCGCTATATCGGTATGTTTGACGAACAAACGCTTGTGGTGTTTTATATACTAGCTAAGGGATTTTATGGAACACTTCTTGCTGATTTCAGCACGGATGATAGTTATTAGATATATGTGTTAAGAACTGCGGATACCCCTTCCACCTACAAATATCGACAAAGGACTTTCTTAATGAATTGGTGCGACGATTCCCGGAGCGACCTCCGGTCCGTTACTCGAGGGTACAGATGAAGATTTTGGAGGCAGTTGAGGAATGGAAGACAACAATATGCCAAACCAGCAGATATAAAGAAGACCTGGGTTTCATTAGGGATATGCATAGATTGCTGAGTTATAAAGGATATGTCTTTCCAGAGATACGGAAAGAAGACATGGCTGTTTTGAACCCCTCAGAGGTATGACCATATTTTGTCGTCAAAGGGCGAATTAGCCGGCTAACGAAGATATTAGAACCTCAAATCGGCTGAAGAGCTTGAGGAAGAAGAGCGCGCTGCACAATCCGCGAAGCTCCAAGAATTGATCCGACGAGGGACGCCACAAGATCTTCAAGAAGCCAATCAGCTTATGAAGGTGATGGCTGGATATGACCAGACGAACAAAACAGACTATCGACAAAAGGCTGCTGAAGATATCGCTAAGCTGCAAGAGAAACAGCGATTACTGGACGAAATGCTTGCCAAGGTCAATCAAGGCGAGAAGATCGGAGAAGGAGACGCATTTGAGGTACACCTCTTAGTATATGCATTGGTCAATACATCCTAACAAAACCATCAATAGGAGCTAGCAAACACCCTACGAAATGCTCAACCTAAATTACATAAAATGGCGGAAGAGGAAAGTGATGATGCAGAGGCCGTCGCTCAGTTGTTCACTCTCAATGATACTATCAATGCGACAATTGAGAAATATAAACTTCTCAAGAAAGGCGACTATGCCGGTGCTGCAGCTGTTAAACCTGGTGCTGTTCCTCCCGGTGCAACGTCCACAGATTTAATCGATTTAATGGGGGATGAAATTACTAGCAATGGTAGCTCGAACGGCACTAGCAATACAGGAAAGAAAGTATCTAGCCTTGAGGATGATTTACTTGGGCTATCTATTGGTAGCGGCAGCGGTAGTGGTGGCGGAATCGCCCTCGGGTTTGGTGCAAATTCAAGTAAGCTATATTATTGTGCGATACTTCAAACGGTACCGCTAACGATACGTAGATATACCCGGACCTCCACTATTATCCTCAACTTTGAATTCAAGTACGGCTCGAGGAGCCACGCCTGATTTCTCACTGAGCAACTTCCCTTCCAATCACAACAGGCAAGCGTCGTCGCCCCCCAACCCAATGTCTGCCTTCGCCGGCCTTTCTGGGTTATCTGGTTCATCAAAACCTCCTCCTCCCCCTCCACAACAGCCCCAGTTTGTACAAAACGACGACGACGACTTTGCTGCGTTTTCATCTGCAGTACCGCCTAGCTCCCAACTCCCGCCACTCAAGAGTACAGAGCGAGAATTGGCCTCATCGCCATTGCGAATAGTAGTGGAAACATCTCCAAGATACCCAGCCGACGGTCCTATCAACCTCAAAGCCAAGTTCTCTAGTGCAACTAACGAAGGGTTAAAAGATGTCACATTCCAGCTCGCTGTAACGAGAGTAAGACAACCCGGTTCGACCTTGTAATTTTTATTTATCGTTGGCGTGACTTTCTTTACATTTTCAGATCAATTTGGGAACAGATAGGGCTGACCCAGTTTTTTTTTTTTAACCTATAGTCGCTACAACTTAAGATGGAGCACCAGAGTGGTACAACGCTTCAGCCGCATGAAGTGGATGGTATCAATCAGATGATTCGGATCGCTGGAGTTGCACCGGGAGCAGGTAGTAATGTAAAAATGCGGTGGAAGGTTTCCTATCGGGTTGGCGACAACTCACAGTTGAGAGAGGAAATGGGTGAAGTTACTGGGCTCCCGGTTTCGTGATAGGATTGTTTTTCTTTTCTTTTCCGACATCCATCGTCGAGATCAATGGTGATACGAGCTTCGGAGCTCGGTACCAGGTACCATAGGAGGATCAGCTCACCGCTATATTCTATTTAAAGAATTTTAGGTTATATTCCTAAACTTAATAGCTTTGATATATTTGAAAAAACTTCTACTTTCTTTGGCGGTGTCAGTACATTGTTCTAAATTTTGTTCAAATACTTCCCGCAAGCTTCTTTCCTTCGTTTTCTCATCTACCTACCTGCCTAGCTAGCATTTTTTTTTGCGTCAGATTTTGGCGACCTATTTTTTTTACGGGACATGAAGTTCAAGCATGCACAAAAAGAATCACTCTATCAGCTTACTGAACCAGGTTTTGATTTTTATACGACCCCCCCCGACCCTGCACATTAATGCAATGCATGCGATTCGCATTTCGAAACTTCCTCCACCTGTGATTTAATCGGATTCCATCAAAAATTAAAAGTTGTCATCAAAACTAAAAACTGCCAGAGATCTGGACCAATTTGAGTTTCTAGCTAACCCAGTAAACCCAGGTCAACTTCCTGTTACCGACATTCTTGTTCCAGGACACAGGATCTGGGTACGGTAGATCTACTTGGAGCTACACAATGCAGCACAGCCCGAGCATGCAGTGGCATTTCCCGTTAGCTCGATAAATCCCAATGATAACGGTGCTCGTTCGCGGTACGCTAAATCTTTGTACGACACACCCCAACGACAACCAATCGACGAACGAAGGAGAATCTGATATCTCAAACACCACGAAAATTCTTGTCGGCAACTACCCCCCATGCCTCGAGCTCACGATCACGATTTAGTCTTAGAGAGCAACATTAAAGATTACAGACCAAATGCAAGAAGCACTGTAGTCTCGTATTCCCATCCAATCAGAAATCTACTCGACCACACCTGAATATGTGAAGCCCTAGCTCCTTCAGGATCACGCAATTTGTTGTCGGCACGGGAATCTCCAATCCGTTGAAGTCTCCAAATTTCCCCAACTGCCGACGAAATGCAGACTAAACTACGCTGTACCGAATAGGTAGTTCAATTCGCGAGCAGGCTGTAGTCTAGGGGGACGCTCACATCTACCTTGGGCGGGCTGGGCAGACTTTATCAAGCTTTTGCGAAGAGTTTTCTTGGAAGACGGGGAACAACTGCATGTCAGCAGGATAACGACCCGTATTAATCTGTGCGTCCGCTAAATTCTAACGAGACGGATGCATCCCTCGAAATGAAGTGACAGGGAATCCTTACCAGCCCAATCGCCCTTCGCATTTTTCCTTAAGGTGCGGCGTAGAAAGCGAGGGAGATGGGCCAGGCCTAATCCTAGCCATAGATCCACCCCAACGACAATCCCATAATCTTGAATCAAGGGAGGGCAACATTCGGGTATATTAGCCCATTGGGCGTAAATCTTCGAAAGGTGTCACGGGGTTCGATGGTGTTAAACACTAGTAGTGCGGCTGGGAGCTCTTTGGGTAAAAGTCTCCTCTATTCTCGGTGCAGATGAAGACAAAATACCGAGAAAGTCCATGTCGAAAGTCCATTGAGTTTCAGTGGTTATATTAGCGATGAGGCTTGATAGAAATAGAGCCCAAAATTATTAAAATAAGCACTATTGTTAAATGGGATTTCCGGGTGGACAGGGATAATGGAAAAGCGAAGGGCTGAGAATGTCGCTGCCGGAAACCTTGTTTTCAGCCTTTTTTTTTTTTTTTGGCGAGGGTCCATTCGATTGAGATCTGTTATCAATGGGAAAACAAAGAATCCTGAGATAGGCATTCGGACAGGTCGTGGTAAATTATGGAGCTCGGGTTGAAGCTTGAAGTATGAGGAATAAATGCCGGACCCCTATTCACACGACCAACTGATCAACTGCCATTGAGACCTTCTAATGCTTCAGTTGCCACCAGTAAAATATCTAAAGTCCTGCACCGGATCATCTGAACAGAAACCCAAGAAGCTTGTTGTTTGTTTAGCGTGTGCCCGTGCAGCCAAATGTGGAGGAAGACCACATGAACTCAGTTCTCGGGCGCCGAGCCAACATTGGCCGACGTCTTCAGGATAGCCGCGACTCCACACACTCGCCTCCATCAAACATGTTGGAGGAGGAGGAGGTTGGCGGTTCTATAATGGGGGTAGAAGCCCAAGAACGAGATGTAACATCGTAGAAAATTCAAAATTGTTTCCGCCAAGATTCTCCAAAAATCACTATTGACACTGCGGCGTCAGATTCACCCGAAATGTGCATGTCAATACGGTACTTACATAGGTATTTGAAGATATGAATAGAATGCCTCTTGTTCTTGAAGAATCTCCGAGTCTTGTTCCCTATCAAGAATGGAACGAAAATAGAGGGAGTTGATCTCTCGAGCCAAGGAGCTAGGATGCCAATGATAAATCCATTCATGTCAGACGGACATGGAGGGGAAGTTGTCGTAAACAATATCAAGGCGCCATGCTACTTGAGGCAGTGGAGCTCATGTATTTTGGATTCAAGGCTGCATGTATGGATGGACATAGCTTTGAGGGTTTCCGAGTCGTTCCCTGTTCCAAGCGAGAGGCTCGCAACTGACTGATGATGAGCACATGCAACCGTTTTCCCCAGCTGCAAGATGGACGAATCAAACGCAGGGTGGGTCCTGTACCAATGCAAAGGCACTAGAAGAAGAAGAAAAAAAAAATGATTGAGACAGCTGCGCGTGAAGGCAAAGAAAGGAAGCAAGCAGTAAGATAGATTGCGGGAGTCTTGACCCACCTCCACCGTGCACCGGTTCCCAGCATGCAAGCCGACTCAGCTCGTTAGCAACATTGGTTGGTACCATGGTGGTATTATATAAGGATAGCCTGAGTACCTCTGGTGGTAACAGAAGATATCCTCTTTTTCTCCCCTTCCCCGCAGAAGAAGCTGAAGTTGAAGATCCGAAGCAGCTGGAGGGCTAGTTTTGGTGCTCAGTTAATACCTATCATCAGTCGGTTGAGTTCATTTTTGGGGGTTTTAACACAGGTTTATTGTGTTTTCAGGTTCAATACCCACATATACTTTCGACTTCACGCGTACACCAGACCCCAGTCCACGGATATTCTCTCCCTTCAGACGCAATGTCGTCGACCGTGAGCTCCGTGATCGCTGCGGCGACCGGAAACTCGACGTCGAAGGTTGCCGACCAAACTGGTATCATTGGTGGTGCCAACCCATCTCACTATAACAAGAACGACCCCATCGTTGTTTTCATCGTTCAGGTTAGTACTCAGATGCATACGCTAGAGCTCCTAGGATAATTTTATCGGTAATGATATTAACGGCTTGAATATAGGTTTTCTTGATCGTGGTATTATGTCGTCTAGTACATTGGCCATTGTCGAAACTGAGGCAGCCTCGAGTCATTTCCGAGGTCATTGGTGGCATAATATTAGGTACGATTATACCAGCCAGTGCATCATAATACGATACCGAAGATTTCATGATACTAATATCGAGTTTGGACAGGCCCAACGGTCATGGGTAGAGTACCCGGTTTCACTACGAGTATTTTCCCGGCGGAAGCAATGCCAAACCTCAATCTTGTCGCCAATCTCGGTCTCGTCCTCTTCTTGTTCTTGATCGGTCTTGAAGTTGATTTCCGTGTGATGGTTGAAAATTGGCAAATCGCTTTGGGAGTTGGTACCCTCGGCATGGTAGTGCCATTCGGGTTTGGTTCGTACCACAAGGAACGTTATAGGGATGCACAGGAGCTGACTCGAACTAGGTGCTGCAATTGCCTACGGTCTATATAACGAATTCGGCGAGGATCCAGGGGTTGACGAGGAGGTCAACTTTGGTATCTTCCTTCTCTTCGTCGGTGTCGCTTTCAGTATCACCGTAGGTTCTCCAAGCTAATACCTAACAGTTGAGAAGTCACGAACACTAACCGTTGCTAGGCCTTCCCGGTTCTCTGTCGTATCCTTACGGAGCTCAAACTATTGGGTACAAACGTTGGTATTATCGTTCTTGCAGCGGGTGTCGGTAACGACGTTGTTGGCTGGATTCTTCTGGCCTTGACTGTCGCCCTTATTAATGCCGGGTCCGGCGTTGCCGCTGTTTACGTCCTTTTGGTCGCCGTTGGATTTATCCTCTTCTTGTTCTTTGTCGTAAAGCCAATTTTCCATTGGTATCTGCGCAAAACTGGAAACATGGGAAATCCTAGTCAGAGCGCTCTTACTGTCACCCTCCTGCTCTGTCTCAGTTCCGCCTGGTTCTCCAATGTTATTGGTATTCACGCCATCTTCGGTGGTTTCGTCGTTGGACTCGTATGTATTACTTATTAACTACCAGAATATCAAAGGATACTAACGTCGACGCCTAGATTTGTCCCCACGAAGGTGGTTTCGCCGTCGCCGTCGCTGAGAAGATCGAAGATTTGATCACTGTTCTCTTTCTCCCGCTTTATTTCACCCTCTCAGGTCTCAGAACCAATATTGGCCTCCTCAACAGCGGTATCGTTTGGGCCTACGTCATTGGTGTTCTCGCTATTGCCTTTGTCACCAAGATTATCGGAGGTACCCTTGCCGCAAGGTTTTTCAAACTTCGTTGGAGAGAGTCTCTCGCTGTCGGAGTTTTGATGTCTTGCAAGGGTCTCGTCGAACTTATCGTGTTAAACATTGGTCTCACTGCTGGTGTTATTTCACAGCGTACCTTCACCATATTCGTCGTCATGGCTTTGGTCACTACATTTGCCACCACTCCATTGGTGACCTTCCTGTATCCAGAATGGTATCAGAAGAAATGTCTTGCCTGGAGAGCAGGCAAGATCAACTGGGATGGCACCCCGACTGCTCAGTCTGAAGACGAAGTAGAGAGCAAGGCCAAGACCACAATCAACAGACTGACCGTCCTCCTTCGTTTGGATACCTTACCTAGTTTGATGTCTTTCGTTTCTCTCCTCAAGGGAGAACAAGACCCTCTCCCTCCACTCATTCACAAATCCAAGAAGGGTGAGGAATCTAGCTCAAAGGCTGAAGAAGAAGTTACAAAGGTCGAGGGTCCAAGAGCCCCAAGATTGGAAGTCCACGGCCTCCGTCTACGCGAGCTTGGAGAACGAACGTCTGCTGTTATGCGTGTCGCCGAAGAACACGAGTTCGCGGAGAGAGATCCAGTCGTCAATACCTTCAAGGCATTCGGTAGAATGAACAACATTGCCTGCGCAACTGGTCTATCTATTGTCCCTGAGGATTCCTTCTCCGGAGTTCTGATCGATCGTGCAAAGGATACATCCTCCGACTTGTTGGTCGTCCCATGGAGCGAAACCGGCCAAATTAGTGACAACTACGACCAAAACTTAGAAAGCAAGGAACAGCAGTTCGGATCTGGCCCATATGTTCATTTCTTGACATCACTCGTTCAAGACAGCACCTCCAGGCTTGCTATCTTCATCAACCGCGGATTTGGTGGTGTTAGCCGAAGCGATCGAGCTCTCACCCGACGCAACAGCACTGTCTCTGGTGCCGTGTCCCGTGTCAAGACCGGTATCCAAGAATCGGCTACTCTCCCAGTCCTAGACCCGTCTCACCATATCTTCTTCCCATTCATTGGTGGTGCCGATGACCGCGCAGCCCTTCGATTTGTCCTTCAACTTGTCAAGAACACCAATGTTACTGCTACCATCGTTCAAGTTTCCAGCGCTAGCGCCGAAGCCGCATCGAAAGAAGTGAACACAATTCAACCCACCACCTCTTCCGCAGGAAGCGTCACAGAAGACGACGCCGCCTTCTACCTCCAAATCGCTGCTTCCATTCCCTCGGAAATCTCCCAGCGCGTGGTCTTCGAAACCCTTGAAACAGATTCTCCAATTCAAACAATCATCACCCGCGCCAAGCAAGAAGTTGGAACAACCCTCAAGAACGCTGGTGACCTTGTCGTCGTTGGAAGGTCACACACTGGAAGTTATGCTTCCCAAGTTTCAGCAGTTACTTCCGAGCACGCCCCTCCAGTCTCTAGCGACGCAAGGAAGATCATCGGAGTTGTTGCTGAGTCTGTTCTTGCCGCCCAGGTTAGGGCATCTCTTTTGGTTTACCGGGCATAAATACATTCGCTATATTCATATCTAATTAGAAAAGTCTTTCGTTCTCACTTATCTCTAACTTTTTGTCCTTTCTTTTTGGGTCGCAAAAAAAAACAAAACAAAGACTGGGAAATGATTTCCAAGTACTGTTATGAGAGTGTCGTGGAGAAAGCAAGGCTTATTAACTATTCAAAACCCTTTTTTTTTGTTCTGAATACCAGGCGAGGTGGGTTATTATTTCATTGGCGAATTGGACGTATAACTATTACAGTGGACAACTTTACTTTTTTTTTGGATTTTTTCATTGGCTCAGCTCTGTCCGGTCTATTGGGAATATTATGAGCTTCTGTGTGTTTTTGGTGATATCACGTACGTTCGTTGGGGCTTGTATTATCTACGACATTTAATTTAGCTAGGAGCTATGGTTATATATACCTTATGCATGCTATATTATTATTTTCAATTGAGAGCCGCATATTCCATACATATACGTTTACGTTCAAGATAGATAGAAAGGTCTATACATACCTAGGTATCCTAGATATAAAGGCTTTCACGGCTACTTGATCTATACTTAGTACCAAATAGTATAGTAGTAGAATTTGAAGACGGAACCTTATGTAAAGGGATAAAATTGTTATATTCTTGGATATATAACGTTCGATCTATCTCATATCGATCGATAGTACCTATAGTATCTTCCGATGTATCCCTCTATAACTATTTAGTACGCAAAGCGAGTACAATGCATTTTTAGGTTAATATTAAAGCAGTACAGGGGAAAAAATGCGTAAACAATTGGGTATGGGAAAACCGGGTATCAGAGATGATGGGAAACAAAACTCCAAGACATGCATATGAAACTTTTTTTTTTCTTTTTAATCTTTTAAAGTTGTTTTTGGCATGGCTATTTGAAAGCCATATTTTATATTTTCTTGGGACAAAAAAAAAAATTGCAAATTGAGGATATCGATTATCTTTTCCGATAGTAGAGTGGAAGATGGGAAGGAAGGGGGACATAAAAAGGGAAGTATGAGGATTAGAGAAATAGAGATTAAAGGTAGATAACACCTAGAAGGAGGTACAGATGGACTCCCGACTAATCATAACTAGGGGATCGATCAGTCGCAGCTCCAACAAGAGTCTTACCCGGAACAACCTTGACACCATCATAGACTCTAACATTAGGATACTGAGAATCTTTGTAGATGATATGGTTCTCAGCTTGTTCCAAAGTAGATGTACCGCCCTACATTGTTCATGAAATCTTAGTATATTGTTGCAAAATCGATAAAAACTAGAACTTCGATGAAAGGGGAGAAGAAGATACGTACCAAGACCTCGAGAGCAGTGTTAACAAGATTCTCCGAGACAGTCCACTTATCAGCATTAATTGCAAAGAATCCAATTCCTCCAACGCCACGGGTAAGAAGATACTGAGTCTTAAGCTCAATGATTCTAGGGGTATCAAATGAAATCATTTGGCGGGTTTGTTTGTTGTAGGTCCACGAAGCCATGATCTTTTCGTCCTCGAAAACTACATTGTCACCACCTTGAAGAATCTGGTTATAGTCTGGAGTACCGAGTTCACCCCACGAGCCCACACCAGGTCCAGTAAATGGCGTTCCGGGGCCATCAGTCCCAGCGAAAGAATGACCATATATCGGGTCGAGAACATTGAGTTTACTAGCTGGAACTCCGGCGGCAAGGTACATTTCAAAGCCGTCGACGAAGCAAAACTCCGTAGATCCATCGGTAGCCATGAAGAAATTTGCAGCATGAGTAGAAACCTTTGAGAACCCAGCACCTCCCATATCGTAAACCATGAGGTTGAAGAAGTCGACGTACTTGTTAGCTTCAGGGATATTGATCGTTTTGATGAAATGGGCACCAATAGGAGCTGCCATAGAGAGCAAAAGATGCCTATTAACACCAAGAATATTACCCGCAGCGTCCAGCTCTTGTCTCAAGAGTCTTAGGGTGTCGACATGTGCGGCAGTCTCGACATCATTTCGTGGGTACTCCCAGTCCTTGATTAGGAATGTTATCAGTTTATGTTCCCTCTCCTAATTAGTATGATACCTTTCGAAGATCGCACTTACGAGATCAATACCATCTAACCCAAGATCCATAACAGCGCGGGCTGCAGACTTCGCAAAAGTGTTTCGCTGTTCTGGTGTAGCAAGTGAAGCTCCCCATTGTCCTTCTGATGTGGCTAACCATCCGCCAACAGAGAGCATAACTTTGAGATTCCTGTTTTCATTCTTCAATCGGAACATCTGCTCAAATACACCGTTCAGAGCGCCCTTTACAGTGCTAGGGTTGGGGAGTTTTATTGACTACAAGTGCTCAATTAGCTCCTATGCTAACTGTAATCATAAACTGACCAATTCTGTAACCTGACAGTTTAAAGTCCACATTCTTCTAGGTTTGAATTTCCTTTCGAATAGCAGACACGATAAGTGAGGGGCTATATTATACCTGAATATCACTCCAAGGATCTTTGGGGGCGATTTGTCCATTCGCACCAACGTCCCAAAACCCAGCCATAATATGAGTCCACTGAGACGTAATTATGTCAGATGGCACGAATTTTCGGTCGAAAATGTACTACACCAGAATTGTTAGCCCAAGAAGCTAGATATTTCAAATTTCTTATGAGTACGAAAGCTTTAACATACCCAAGTACCATAATAACCGATGTTACGATAACCAGGGGTATAAGCTCCTGGAGCTGGAGCTGGAGAAGAAGCTACAGGAACTTCCCCTACAACAGAAGTGCTCTGAACACCGCCATCTGGCAGGGTAACAGTGGTCGAAGTCGGGACAGCTGAGACGGCAGCGGCTAGCTGAGAGGCGATATTATCTGGGATTGGGGAGGCCAGAGCGTAGATGTAAGAAGTCCCAGCTGGGCCAGTAACGGTACTGATTGGCTGTATTTGACGCTCTTCAATGTCCAATGGAATGGCAGCACCGGAGACGGTGTGAGCCAAAAGGCAAAGAACGGATGCGATAGTAATTGTTTTCATGGTTGGAAAACTTCGCGGATACGTTAGTAAATATTAGGAGAAATTTAAGATTCGCAATGACAGTGAAACTATTATCTGGGGAGGCCGGCTTGGTATATATATATAGGTATAATTTTATATATAGGCCTAGGTAGGTGCTATACTTACTTGTTTCTCAAGAACAAATAACTAAAACAATTTTTTGAGATGCCTGTGAAGTACGTTAGATGAGCATCCAGAACAATTAAAATATCCAAGGAAGGAGAAGGAATGCAATATAAGTTTCAAAGTGCACGTGTTAGTGAGTGGACATACTTAGTTCCTTGATTAAGTTTAGAGTTGAGATGGTGTAATAAGATTAATATTAGCAGTTAAGTGGTTAACAGGTGGAAAGGGAGGGAGAGGGGGGAGGAGAGGGTCGAAGCAGTCGAGGCTTGGGGGGAGAGGAAGTGGCTTTTATAGGTCGAGGAATTCAGATGCATCTATAGCTATAGATGGCGAGTAAGAATTCAACCGACATGTTCTCTTCGACGCTCCAATTATAGAAATCAACAATTCACGATAGTCTATTTAAAGCCATTTCAAAGATGTTATTCAACTTTGGTCTTTTTTCGGCCTTTCGGTGAGCTAATCTGTCCCTGTATACACACTAATTTTAAACTTAATCATGTAATTCGGTATTTCGAGATCCAGGGCAGGCGAATTCGAAGTCAAGTTTTCCTGAATCTACAAAAGTTTTCCTAGGAGAGATATATAGCAGACTAGTGGCTTCATGATCAATTGAGGTTAATTAAAATTGACCAGTATGTACATATGAATACATATATATCATTATCTCTACACATAGACGGTTCTAAAATCGCTGTCCAATCGATTTCCAGGTATACCAACTTGCTTGATAAAATAATTTGAGGTTGCATACGATATGACATATGGAAGATACCTATATCCATACATCATATCATACCTGCAAGAAAATCACTGTGTATTGCTTCGCAGCGCATCAATTTTAGTTTACGAAATAACAATTATGCCACCCAGGCCGATACTTGATTATAAATTCCAAGCTTGTAATTTTCTATTTACAGTAATATAGCATAATTTACGGCTATCATCTATCGTGAAGTTTACTTTTGTATGTTCTAAAATCTGCACCCAATTGACAGATCAACTTGCATGTGAGCCAATCTGCCACTATAAATATCCATACACACAGTGACGACGGCCACGCACGCCGATCATAACCTTCCCACGAACCCCGCCTCACGAAAGTTATCTGATAAATACTTCCGGCGAAGAATCTTCGAATGTTACCTTTCCAGTTTTGGCTACGGTAGCCATTTTCACGGTGAGGTTTTCTTCACGCCCAGTTGATGAAGGATCAGATGAATGCTTCGGTTGGTCTGGCGGATGAAATCTATCAAGAGCTCCAGGTTCTACCGACGCAGTGTCATTAATTTCATCCTTGGTAAACACATCTGTCAATCGTGATGTTCGCGATTGGACGAGGATCGTGCTGGGTCCTTTGAATTGTAAGAATAACTGATTATCAAATTAGCATATTTTTTTGTTTGTTTTTTTTTTGCAAAAAAAAAAAAAAAAAAAAAAAAAAGAAAAAGAAAAAGAAAAAGAAAAAGAAAGGAAAGGAAAGGTAGCAGGAGAGGGCAAATCCTCTATTTCCCAGCAGCATGGGGGGGGGTGTTTTTTTTTGAAAAAAATATATATATATAAAAATAAAACAAAAAGAATTTCGGGAATGATAAACCACTTAGGGGAAGCATCGACTTACCCTATCCCCCCATAGAACACGGCGTATCCATGTTTTAGTGTTATAAAGGATTTTAGATACGGCCTGGTAGGTATCGGTCTTCATCATCGTAGAAATGAATTCAGACTTGGGAAAGAGTCCTCGTAAGATACTAAATTTAGGCAGCTGAAACCTCAGTGTCGTCTGAGCGAGTCGATATGGGCGAGGCCGGTCAGCACCGATGGAGTAAGCCAACAAGTGACTTTAAAAATATGTATTGTCAGCGGGTATTTCTAATATTTTAGATCGATCAGGTGCTCACGTTGGGTGTATAATCATCTCTTCACCGTCTCCGAGAATGATTTGGTAGACTTGTCCTTTACCGACCAGCGCTGCCAATCCTCGACCGGATATTCGTGAGTTACTCCATTGTGCAGGACTCTTGGACGGTTAGCGTGTCATATCGTCAAACGAGTTGCTATTACGGGAGGGCAGAATCACCATTGTCCGGTTAATGATAGGTGTAGTTTGGATGGAGTGGCCGGTCCATGCAAGCAAAGCGTTTCTCTGAGTAACCATCCAATCAATTGCTCCGTCGAGTTCGATCACGGCGAAAGTCGTATTTGGAGAGTTCGTGCCAACGAGACATGTCAAAGGTGTTGTTGAAGATATCTGATCTAAGTCAGTTTTCATGTCCTTTTGAATTGAGGCTGATATCTTTGCGAGATACATTTTGATAAAGGAATGGTATTCCTAGCATCGCTCTTCGAATAGGTTTGAGCATGGCAAGAGTTGACACAGCCTATGCTACCAAGTTAGTCGAAAAACAAGATCCACATACGGAACCGCATAGACCCACATTGTTGATATCGCCTTTCGCAGTTGCGCCTAGTAACGTTCCTCTTCTAGTATAAAGAATCGCATCTGACGGCAGCGAAACGGATAACAAGGAATGGGGCGCTCCAAGGACTTCGAACTCGACGGCTATCCAACTATCAGTATTTGTATTCTAGCGAATTCAAATTTAAAATGTTTGAGTAAAGGCATACTCTGAGGAAAAGGTCCTTTGCCACTGAGTTTTGGGATTGTCCTGGTTTCTTGGGTGAGATCAATTGGCGGTGTGAGAGATGTTATCGATGGTGTCGCCTTAACATGGACAGAGCGAGTCGGGATCACGAGACGGGAGCGAGGGAGTCGAGAGGGAGTATAAGACTCTTGGAGAATACTAAAGACGCAGGATCGCGTCCTTCGCGCTGAACGGGAGGCGAAAGCCATGCCGCCGCTAGTATCCAGATGCAGGTGGGAATGCCGGTAGGGAGATGTCGACGTCAGGACCGAAGAGCCGAAGTCGTCGGGAAGTGTTGAAGCCTTCAGAATTATATGCGGCGGGAATTAGCAATTGGGTTTATTATTAGTATTTTGTTTGAAAGTCAATTGGGAGTTTCTTTGCCTAAAAACATGACATTATTGCCTTTTACCATAACGTCCCATGGGCAAGAAAAGATCTCCACTAGCTTTAATCTTTGGTAAACCTTGCGCGATTGTCACCGGTTCAATCCTGGACGCCGCCATTTTATTTTGCTCTTTTTTGCAGTAATTTTTTTTGGCTCTCGTCCCAATTTGGCTAGGCTTGGACACCAACCGAGCCCACTTCAAAGTTTGGGTTGTGCATTGAACAACCAACACAAACCTCTGTTGCATCCTCGTATGTATCAGTTCCCTGTTGGTTGAACTCTCGATCTCGCGCCCAGACGTAACAGCTTGTCTCGATGCCAGACTCTTCAACTGTAGACCAGAACCTCAGTGACTAGATAAGTATGCATAAAGTTGCTACCTAGTTCATGGGCTCTTTAGCTCTGCCGCAATCACAGTTCCCTAAAACTCAACATCTAGGGCGTAGAACTAATTGGCTGATAAGCTGTGATACCTTATATTATATAATTAGTCTCGAATCCAGGCGCTCAATATTATGCGAAGTGACGCCTTATGTAACTGGGTATATGTTGCAATGCAATGTTGCATTCACGGCCTGACCAAATACCGCAGGAAGGCGTCGTGCCCGTAAAGCATCGAGAATATAAACAGTCGTGTCTACGAGATTTCGATATTATAAGCTATGCGTTCATTCGGTCTTAAGTACTGCGCTAGAAAAGTGGTGTTTTTCAATACCGTTCGAATCCGAATTATTAGTAAAATTTCACCTCTAATACCATTCTAAGACCATATTGTAACGAAAAAACTACATCAATACGGTATCAACAAACTCCCTCCTTCCGGCACAGCAGCTAGTTTATAAAAACGGCTGTGCGGTTTCATGGTGAGAACCTCGATTGCGCATGATATGATTTTGTTTTTCTCTCTATAGTGGATGCATTGATGTGATTAGATAGAGTTGAATTCATATTAATCTTACTTTAATCAAGAGCTAGAGTCGACCAGAAATAAAAGAGCCAGCTATATCGTCACTCTAACATTCATAATATATACCATAAAAACGCCATCGGACACTGCTATGTTCTTTCTTTTAGCCATATTATACTTCCTTTCGCACTTCCCCTGTCCAGCTTTGTCAGAGTTGAAAGGAGAGATCCCAAAGCATCAATTTAAAATCGGCACAAATGAACAAGAACGCATGTACTGGGTCTATATTGTTTCAAAGGACCAAAGGAAAAACGAGGAGGAGCTTAGTAGATTTCGCAAAGCAGCTTCCGAAATTGCTATTCCCCCCAGAGAACTCGGTGTCTATGAAATCAAAAGTGAGCATCTGGGGACGTGGGCGTTTTTTATCGATGGGCTCGGTTACCGTGACCCCGATGATAGTGGTAATGATAATAACGACGACGACGACGACGACGATAACCCGCCACGAGAGGACGAATTTGAGTTAAAAGGCAAACTTATGGAGTCTTTCCCTAATTTGGTATACATATCTGAATCCGATGATATGACTTGCGTCTGCGCGCATCGTGATATATCTATATATATATATATCACGAGTTAATAAAGTAAGAGTGTATGTTAACAAAGTTTAAACCCCTCCCAGATATCGACCTTTCGTTACGTACATTCTTATGAACATTTTGCTGGCGCCCAGCCAGCAGGTTATAATGACGGTGAACCATTGCGAGAGATACCCCTATCAGGACGTCTAAACGTCGAACAACGGGCGAAGCGTCGGTGGGTTGATGCACCTAACAAGAAGGATCGTTTAAACCGCAGATCACCCAGCGATGACCTCCAAGTAATTGATTTACTTGACGACAGCGATGATGAGATGGTGGACCCAGAGTCAGAATCTGTGCCATTCTTGACAGCCTCTAAAACCAAGTTTTACGAAATGATGATGGCGTCGCAGCCGCCGGGGGTAAGCTTACCGGAAATGCGTGGCTTCGAGTTCGAACCCTCGTATCCTGGAGCAGGTGTAAGGGTATACGTGGTTGACACTGGCTGCGATCCTTCCCACGAGGTATGTCGAGGAATTCAAGTGACTTCCCGAGGTATCAGCGATTCGAGATCATATAACTGATCTAACATGGAAGCCCATCGTCAAAGCTCCATATGTTTATTATATATTAGAGGGATAAATAAACTAATACCGGATGCCCCGCTTTTATGAGGATGGGTTTGAACACTAGGCATTTTATTTACAGAAAGACGAATTACTCAACAGGGGCTCAACTTCCTGGATTTACTCAGGCCCTTTCCCTGATGACGAGAAGAACGATAACGACTTTCCCAATTTTGTGGGAAATATTCCCGAGGAGCTTGCTGGCGGTCATCTTTGGGGATACCATGGAACAGCGGTAGCCAGTAAAATCGTCGGGCGGGGCTATGGGCTCGCTCCTTTCGCAGACTTGGTTGTCGTTAAGGTCCAAAACGGTCGGAATTCAGTTAACCCGTATTTATCGATATTGGACACTTTAATTAAAATTTACGACGATGTAAAGAGGTCTATCGCTCGAAATGACGACGGTGCAATTTTAGGGGCAGTCATCAATTTAAGTGTTAGCAATAATCTGTCGGATCTTGATGATAAGGAAAGGAAATGGGCAGACTCGATCATGGAGCTCTATCTCGAGATCCTCAGGCATTTCGAAGACATCGAACCCAAGGTGTATATAACCATCTTAGGTGGGAATGATGACATCGTGAGTTCAAATCCTCTATTTTATAACCCAGGCTTCTTTAACTGCAATTCAGGACTTAAGTACCTAAGCCACCATCCGATTCATCTATTGGATTAGTATGTATCGATGTACAAGCTAATGTAGTTCGAATCAATAACTTGGTTGTAATTCGAGCAGGATACACCAACTCCACTATCCGAGTACCCTCGAAACCAAATAATTAAGGAACGTGTTAGAAACCCCGGTGCATTCAAGCAATGCCTCATCGTGGGCGGTGTTGATAAGAACGGGGCGATTCTTTACCACGGTAACAACATCGACTTTTATGGTCCGGCTAAAGACTTAGCCGTTGCTCTTCCTCCTATCGACCCGAAACGGCCACATCTACTCGATGGAATCCAACTTACATCCTCAGGAACATCACTCTGTAAGTTTGCAATTCTCCAAATCAGGAATGCCATCTAGGTCCAGCTAGAGACTACGGGCTAATTATGTCATCACGTCCGATACTGCCTGTAGCGGCACCATTCGTTGCCGGTCTTCTTGCTAGGACGATTGGTTTAAATGTGAAGGAAATAGATCCCTTGGAGCAGATGAGGCAATGGGCCTATCCCCGAAAGAGAAATGGCCCCGATATAGTTTGGAACGGCATCCCAAAGGAAGTTTGGGGACAGGCAGATGGATGGGAGCCTGAAAATAGAAAGCGACCTCGACCGCCCGATGAAGATGCCTGACTTTTACTAGTCAACATACAACGTCAGAAGCCTGAGTCTATGTTAGTATACTATATCGTGTATAGTTTGAATTAAGCACGGTAGGCAAACCTCACATCCTGTTCCTATTGAATATGAATTTCAATTTGCCTTAGAATCTAAGCACAGTGGATATAATATCAAGATCATGATCATGCGTTGGTTCGGTTGGATTTTGTAGTTCCGGGCTGCAATTGTAGCTAGCGCGCGCTGTAGCGCCAGATATAGCTAGATCTCAACTGACAAGCCAAAGCCCTGTCATCCCGCACTCACCGAGATATTATCCTTATTCTTCGATCGACGTTTCATCGTTGTGTTCAATTTTCGGATTCGAACCGTAGGAATTGCAGTTGGGGTCGCATGATCAGCATATATGACTAAGTAGGCTAGATCTATGCATGATCTATGATCTATGATATCAAGGTTCAAGAGCACAGTCACCTGATCCACGCGTTCAACTCCCAACACATCGGCCGCCGCGACAAGCGCTTCTTCACCTTCAACGAACACCAGCGAACCGACATCGCATTGGTGGATTACAAATCGCAGAACTTCACAACCAAGATATCATCCCTTCCTAAGGACGGACAAATTTGTGGCGTAATATCAACTCGAGTCTCTACATATTGGACTTGTCGCTCGCCAGCCGACTTTGAACATCCCGTTTGCGCTGGTCGCCACTTCTATTCTGACTATCCTCTCTCGACGACACCGTCCCGTATTCTTGTCGCCTTTGAACGCTCATTCACATAACTCACCTGCTCCATATGCATACACCATCGTAACCACTGCAATATATCATCCCGTCGTCGTTGTCGCTTTATTTATCAATTCGACGCTCTTGCCAGCTCTATTCCCTCCTAAAAGTCCCACGGTTTACTCTCCGTCATGAGTGGAGACAAAAAACCGGCTTCTAGTAAGCCTGCATCATCTTCAGAACCTCCGCAAAATCCACCGAAATCCTCCTCCGTCAAACCTGAGAAGTCGAAAACCCAGACCTTTGGGCCGCCTCTAAATCTCATAGTACCGAAAAATAAGGCTGTCGGTTGTGGTGGGTATCCCACCAAAAGCTCTTCCTAGCAAATTTCATATTACTAACGTTCATTCGTTCGTGGGCGTAAAGAGCATTTATTTGCGTTCTATAAAAAGCCTAGGTGGGGAGTAGAGGATACGAAGGATCGTTACAACAAGAAACTCGATCTGTTGATTGACTATAAGAAGGAGTGCAAATCGTGCAGCACATGCCATGACGTCCCCGCTTCACTGTATCTTTGCTTGGAATGTGAAGAGCTTAACTGCTGGGATTGTACAGACCAGCATGCAAAGGGCGAGGAACACGAGTTCAGTATGGATATCACGGTCATACAAGTTGCATCCAACCCGATCTAACAACTGGTTTCTAGGCTTGAACTACCGCAATGGATATTTATGGTGTCATGCTTGCCGTGATTTCATCTATGACTCTGACCTCGAGCGTGTTAGATGTGCACATGAGAAAGTCATTGCAGCGACAAGTAAGTTTCAAGTACCAAATCTCCCCCAACTTATCCCTCACTAATATGTCATTAAACAATAGGCTTCCGAAAGCGCAAGCGTCCTACTGCGGATGAGGCTAGATATATTGAAAATAACTCGAATCCGCAGCCATGCAAATCCACTGGCCTCAGGGGCATGGTGAACTTCGGGAACACTTGCTGGATAAGTGTATCTTTACTCAGTCTCCTTGAAAACCCACTCTTGCGAAACTTCTTTATGACACGTCCTCATGAATACCAAACATGCCAAATTGAGTGCTGCCTAGTGTGTGAACTAGGTAGGATTTTTGACGCCTTTTACAGTGAGGACAATTTGTCGCCGTTCGCTGCCATGGAGTTCATCATCGCCACTTCCAAACGATTACCAGTGAGCCCCTTTTTCAATGTCCATCTTTGAAGGAACATAATCTAACGATTGCCAATAGAGCTTTAGGGCAACTGAACAGCAAGATCCAAGTGATTTCCTAAGTTTACTACTTGGCAGGCTTTGCGAGGATTTCAACCAGAAAGACCCCGTAACAGGAGAGTGCAAATGTATATTGCACCAAGTTTTTCATTGGAAAATAAGTGATCATCGGTATTGTAAAAGCTGCAAATCAAAGAACACCTTGGATGGTCCGTTGAGCGGCCCGCTCTTGCTTTTTAATAAGCTTGGCAAGGACTGGCGCGATACACCAGCCGGCAAACGAAGGAGGACAGAAACTAAGTCTGACAACCCGACCCCGAGCCTCAAGGTGTTTCTCGACGAATACTACAAGAAACAGGCAAATGTTCCTTACACTTGCAAAAATTGCAAGAATGCAACAGAAGGAAATACCACCCATTTCCACTCGTTTAAGGCGTACCCCATGGTGGTGACTTGTTACTTTCCTGTAAGTTCCCGCTCTTATTCCCTTTACAACTTATATCTTTAGGCACAAGCTAATTCATTCAATCTCTAAACCCGTAGTGGATGAAAATGGGCGAGAATACTAGTCCTGAGCATGTTGAATTCCCTCTCGCCCTTGATCTGAAAGAGTTTGCGACACCCGTTAGATCCGGGAAAGTTAAGGTTGAGGACGCTCCAAGCGTTTGGTACGATTTGTTTTTTACCACTGTTCATCATGGAAGTGACAAAGGAGGACACTACGTTTGTTACGCCCGGGACCGTGAAGGATCCGTAAGTGTTCATTTCCCCATTGGAAGCGTTCTATCTCCAAGAAACCTATCTAACAAACCCACGGCAACAGTGGTTTCATTTTAACGACACCAACGTCACTGTCGCCAAGCCTGAGCATGTCCTAGGATCGACGTCTATAATGTTATCGTACATCCTAAGGAAGCTCCCAGAGACAGAAGTTTAGGAGAAACACGGCGTTCCAAGAACGACACTCTTTCCCACCCTTCGGCTCCCTTTCGTTTTCCATCCAATGGCGCTTGCGACTCCTTCTTTTCTCTTTATTTTATACGCATTGGAGTTAGGGGCTGCCCAGTCTGTTGATATGAAGATCCTTTTTTTATATATATTTACCGCGTTTTAGCCTACAATACGTTTGTCTCGAAACCGCATGTTTCTGCCGATACTACCTGTCAAACTGCACTACACTTTTGAGTAGCACTTATTTCTGTTTAGCTATTTAGGTAGATAGCAAAATGTTATTTAGATCTTTTTAAACGTTCAATAAACGATAGAGAGAAGAGAGAGAAAGAAAGGCAGAAGAACAAGTCCCAATAAAGAGACTGATTTATGATAGAAGTGTAGAAATAATCAAGCATTTCAGGCGCCGCCCCAACCAGTATAAGGTATAGTCGTAAAAAATGCATAAAAACAATGCTTAACTAGTACTAAGGAAACGTTAAGGTTGAAATAAAGGTAGTAAAAATAAAGATAAGACTCCAGCCCGATGAATTGATAAAAACAATTGAACCATAAGAAGAAGAAAAAAGGGGAAGAAAGAAAGAAAGGAAGGAAGGAAGAAAAAAGGAAGGAAGAAAAAAGGGAAGAGACAATAAAGAAACAAGGAAAGGAGAAACGAAACAAAGACTAGACGAAGAACGAGTTTTGTACCACCGCAACCACCCGAGATCTTATTTTTAAAATATGCATATAGCTATGGAGATGAAGGGGGGGCAAGGAACCAGCGCCGATGGTAAACACTTCGAGTATAAATAAAGTAAGAAAGGATGTAAAGCGCTCACAATACTCTCCATTTTAATTCCCGGTGATGTTTGAGACCCTCGAGTTCTTCTTCCTGAGATCCATAATCCACATCCTCATAGCCAATTCATCCTCCTCTCGAGCGGTGAGATCCGGTTTCCCCTTGGAGGAGGGTTGCGCTCCCATGCCCGTAAGGTGTCGCCCAGGGCTGCGACTAGCAAACAAAGTTCTGTTCTCTTCATTCTTTCTCCTCTTTTTAGTCTTATCCTCATTTTCCTTGTGAGAGATATCCTTGTCTCTGTTCCTTCTAAGGGATTTACCCGAACCCATCGCCTCATTCTCAATGCTACTCTCTTGAACCATAGCCAACTCCATGTCTTTAACCTTCTTGTAAGCTTTGCTTGCCCTTCGTTGAGCAATACTCTATTTTGCTAACGTCGGCTCTAGCGAAGGCTTTCTTGAGATGGTTCGCAAACTTGGAGTTCTAACCCGGCTGCTCGATGACGGTGCTGTTGGAAGGCATAGAAATCTGTTTTCGGGAGGGACCCCGTGTCTTTCTTCCATCTTTTCCCTTACGATTCTGTATAGATACTCGAATTGCGATTCCGATTGTACCATGTACATCCTCTGGACTCTTAATTTGTCTACCAAGTCGAAGATTGGGTCTGTTTCTCCTTCAACTGAATCGTAGGTCCCATGGTTGATTTCGGGAAGCATGTGGTCTAAGGCTATAAAAGTGCCTGAACGTCCGACACCGGCTGAACAATGGACGATTAGAGGTGACTCCGGGACTTCGTTCTTCTCATTCGCCAATTCAACGAGCTTGAGTAAAGCATCGGAATCATCTCCCTCTGGAACATTCCAATCAGGCCATCCCTTGAATAGAAGATGCCATACGATCTTTGTGTCTCCCGGTCCGAGTTCCTTGGCATACCCTGACGCATCGGGCGCAGCGGTATGTGTTCCCTGCAGGACCTTGATTTCAATTTTTCGAATTTCTGTCCTAGCTTCCTCGTCGTACTTATATTCCAAAAGGTTCAATTCAAAATTGAATGGGTCGACGGTGCCAGGTTCTGGGCGATCGAAACGGCGCCAACTGTCCTGCATATCCTGTGGGAAGTAGGAGTAACATTTTTCTCGGCCCATCTCAAAAGTTTTGGTAAGCATGACAATTACTCCTGGTCCAGCGGTTTGCTCAAGGGCCATGAGCCAGAGGTGTCGGGCTTGATCTTGTTTTGGTCCCTAGATATCTTGTGTTAGCCATCTTATCATGAACGGGCGTTAGACCAGGGTTATCAAGGCCATACCTGTGTTGCGATATATTGTTTCGGGCCAGTCTGCTCACTCTCAACGGCGATATGGGAGGCATTGATATAATCGTTATCGGCAGCGTCAATGCCTAGCTTGACTCTAGTCGAACTCCAAACGTGGATATTTGCATATCGATTTCTAGAGACAACCTGTGCATCTTCGCTGATGTAGAAATCCGAGTCCTCATTTTGGCTATCACCGAATCGTTCCCGCTGTCTTACGTCTAAAGCTTTGAATTTCTGGGTTAAGCCTAGATTGCATATCGGTCAGTTATCCAAAAATTCGTAAATTTTATGAATGAGGTTGTGATAGGTGGTATTCGGTGTGACGTACTAATTGGATCTTGCAGCAAGAAATCCGGCAGCTCTGAAGCTGCTGTTGCTGCTGCCCCACTAGTACTACCGCCACCATCCTCATTTGACGCCGGCGACGACGATCCAGCTGGCGGACTAGGTATCTGAACTATTGGTGGCGACGAAGCTCGCAGCTTCTTGGGATCCGAGTCCTCGGAGAGAAGATTGGGCGAATCGCCGTTGGCGGCGACGGTGCTGTGGTCTCGTTTGAACACCATATGAGCTACTCGTTTGACGGATGAGGTCAGGCCGAGGACCTTGACCCTTGTTCGTGGAGGAGGCAGTTTGGGAGAAATTTGGAGGGCGAACAGGGTTTGAGGTTGGTTGTGGGATGGGACGTGTTGCTGCGGCAGCGGAGCGGAGGGTTTTATGGGGATCCAAGTCCACGCAGCTTTGAGCTTCGGCGTCGACGGCGAACGTTTCTTCATGCAGAAAACTTTTGGGAAAAAAGAAAAAAGAAAGAAAAAGAGGAAAATGTGGGGAGTTAGTAGTCGAGGACGGAGATGTAGGATCAATTGGCCCTTAGTTTTTTTTCTTCCCTAGAACAAAGTTCGCAGTTTTCAAAGACTTGAGTTTGAGGATTTGAGGTTCTGAAACGGCCAAAGGCAGTGTCGCGCGATTAATACAGCAGGATCAGTCGGTATAGCAGGGTATTTCTGTGTGCACAGCGCAAGACTAAGCGGATTCCAACAAAGAGATTCTCAAGAAACCGATAATTGGGAGTAATAGCGCCGACGGTGCACAGAATTAGGATAAAGGTAAGGCAAGGCAGCTTGAAGGCAACCTGAGGATCTAAACAGTCGAATCCACAGTTAATCAATATTATATCAATGCCACAACCATTTGTTGCCGATATCGATATATACCGAAGCAGGCGCACGAGTGATGTAATTGTATATTCGATAGGAGTAGATGCGTAATAACAGAAGAATATAAAGAATAATATGGGAAAGAAATAGGAAAAAAAAGTTGAATAGCGATGTCTGTAAGTATATCCAAATTCGTATTTTATTTTGAGCACATGGCCAGGTTAAGCACGATTGCGGAAATGAGGAATGAGTAGTTGATATAGAAATAGAAACCCACGTGGAAACAATCCGGATCTTGCGTTCGGCCGTTGCAGTGGCGATCGATATAAAACAGGAGCGCACTCTATAGGTAATACACACAGGGAATCGAGCGCAATATAGGCCACCCATGGACTCCACTTCATCTAACGGAATTTTCATTACTCGAGTGCTTTCAGCAGTACAAGTATCTTCCTTGGAATGTAGCTTGCCATGTGGTCTCAGGGTGCTCTTGGACCCAGCGAATCCCGGTGCCTTGGATTGGATTTGAATGGATCAGGTTAAAGCTGTCCCTTGAAACTAGCCCAGCTTTTTTTTTTCTTTCCGTCTTTCGTTCGACACTCGGGTGGCGGCGAGCTATCGAGTCTATTAAGCAGCCCTTTTTTCGATTCGAGGAACCCAAAATTTAGGGTTTGGAGGCAACAATTAGGAGAAACAATCTTAAGTCTCTCCCCTCCGGCTTCCTCGCCAAGATCAAGAATGCATAAACATGGCGGACTCCACTTTGGGTGGCCTGTGTTCATTTTAATGATCATGAACGAATGGGTTGATATGAATTGAGATATATCAGCAAGCCGGCTTACCCGGTGCTTCGGTCCGGGTTTGCTTGGCTCTCGATTGTGCAGGTACAGACATGTCTTGGAACAGCCAAGTTTCTGCAAGATGAATTCTTCGAACGGGTAAAGATTCTAATCTGGCAGAAATATGTCAATTAAAGTGTCAGTGGGCACGTGCAGAAAGTTAGATTAGCTCTGTAGACGTCGATGCCTGCTGGAATCGAATTGAATGAGCCGGGTGGGTCCGCCAGGAACGCCCTCGACAGTGCCCTGATTCAGACCAATCTCTGACAATGGAAATGGTATTATTAGAACAAAGCAAATTGCTCGCTTAATGCACTGGTAGCCTCGTCTGTGTCCGAGCCATTGACGTATGCCCATGGTACCTGGGAGCTAGGCTATAGGTAAGTACTAAGTATGTTAAAGAGGTTGTTAGTGAAGCTATAGTAGTAAGATATCAAGGAGTGGCATTCGACGTTGATAGTGATGGCCGGTGATGTTGCATGTCGAGACCATACATGCTGAACTGGACCGAACAAATGAATGAAATCGGGTAGGCAGACTGTGTTGGGCGAACGTTGGGGGCAATGCTTCCAGCCAAGCAGCGTTTCCCCAAGCAGACTTAAGCAGGGGCTGTTTTGCATCACTGAGCCTGCCGACCTGCTGCCTCGCCACAGTATCACCACCGCTGCACTAAGCAAACAGGAAAGGAAAACCTCTCGACGACATCATATAATAGGCTCGGAATCCCCCATCGACACCTACGGCCTTTCTAGAAGACTTCTATCATCAATCTATACTTTCAAGGATACTCAAAATATTAATCCGGTCCAGCCCAGTCATAAATCATTATTCTGCCCAGATTTTCTGAAACAACGTCATCCAACCACCAATCACGACTGTCAGGATTAACTACCTTACCAACCGCTCTTACGACACGACAAAGTCTGCTCACGAAACTACCTCAAAACATCATCCCAACATCCAACTCTCACGCCATACTATCATGGCTTCCTCATTTCTCTCCCTGGGAGGGCGTACCTCTCCCATCTTGCCCACCAGCAGACCGGCTTCAAGCTTGTCAAATCTACCGTCCCAATCCCCTCTACCCTCGCCGGCATTCGTATCCACGGGTCATTTACATACAATGCCCGGGGTGGGAGGCGCTTCGCGAACATTCGGTCCTATTGGGGGAAGGTCCGATGGCTTCAAACTTCCCGTATTCATCAAAAGGCAAGATTTTTTCTCGGAGGATAACATCAGACGAATGTAATTGTTCATTAGCTGACTACGGCTCCTCTTCAGGTTATGGAAGATTCCTCAGATGGACTTCGAAATGGCGATATGGGAAATGACCTGCCTTCTGATATCACCGAAAAAGGTGTTCAGGTCAATGTATCATAACAAACGTACGGCTCACCAGCATTCCCAACAATTAGCGATTGATGGTCCGGGAAAAACTAACGAACTTCCAAATACAGAAACAAAAGGCCATTGGGGCCGGGACGACCCTTCCTTCGTAGCCTTACTTTCCTTCTTTCTTCTACTCACATCAATTGCTTGGGGACTAGCCTATACTCCCTCCTTCCTCTCAATAGCGAGGCTGGCCCTCGTCCTGACGTTTGTACATTTCCTCAGCGGAGCTCTTCTCGTCGCGACAGCCGGATGGTATCTAGCAGGAAGATTTTTACGAAAGGGAAGGACCGGAAGGTTCGGTACGACACCATCGGCAGACGGCGAATTAGAGTGGGCATATTGTTTCGATGTTGCGGTGCGGGCGTTTTTCGTGGCTTTCTTCTTTCTGTATATTGTACAGTTCTTTTTAATGCCATTGTTATCGAAGAATTGGTGGTAAGTAACAAAAATTGAAGAAAATTTCGAATTTCGCTAACTTAATCACCCAGGATATCGCTGTTTATTGGAAATACCCTGTATCTTGTAGCGTTTTCGTTCTACTGTGTGGTCACTTTTCTCGGATACAATGGTGAGTTCAATTTCTCTTGGTCATAGAATTATTTTCTAACGAGTTTTAGCTCTCCCATTCCTCAGCCATACCGAAGTCATTCTTTTCCCGATAGTCGCATTCGTGATTGTTTGGGTTGTCAGCTTATTCGGCATCAACATCGCAAGGAACATCGCCCCACTACTCATCAAGGGAGCTTGATTGTCCCGTAATTTTTTTTTTTTACAGCTCTATTAACCGAGCCTTTCGCTTGTTTCTTTACTTGTTTCGACATCTCACGTTTCATGAAAGTTTTCTAGCGGAATGACATATGTAACCTATGCGACCTTGCACTTTACTTGGGGTTTGACGGGCACTGTACTAATGAGTCTTTGATTTTTCGTCTGTTTTCTTTATTTTACGACATTTTAATCAGATATAGGGTATTCTAATAGACTTGGGGGTAGCTGGCGAAGTAACAAATTCAGAACGGAGTTTCCATTTTTTTCCCTTCTAGCGTCGAGAATAGACTGCAGGATCTACTGCACCCAGTATTCGCTCCGTGCACCCGGACATTAAATTGGGCTTCTTTTGGCAATTTCTTTCAACGTCATTTGGCTCTCATTCCGTCCGAATATGAAAAATCATGGGTTTCCCTTATGATGGGTTTCAATCGTCATAAGGCGCCCTGTGAGTCTCGATATTATACGCTTTGACCTGGTATCCGTTTGCTTTTGGTGGGGACACAGAGGGCTGGGTGGTTTGAGAGACATGCTACTCATATCGATATCGCCATGCATCTATCCTGTGCTTTTTCGATCAACTTGAAATACATATATTTCTATTTGCTTCTTATGAATTAATTGAATAATTAAGTACCTAGGTGTATACCGAAGTTGTAGGCGTCCCCATTGTCTCGAAGATTTGTGTCCGGATAAATATAAGGTTCTCTCGAGGGTATCTGTCAGAAATTATTATATATACAATATGGAATTTGTGGCTCATATGGCATATGGCCATGTGTCTGGGTCAGCCGAGTGTCTCAGGATCTCTGGGGCTCATGCCCAACATCTTGAAAATGATGTATGGTGGAAGGATCCAATAGCGATTTTACTCTGCAGTGTGCTTTAACTCCTAAATTTAATAACGACTGTAACTCCTTTGACCACCTACTTAGGTAGCCGAATGCAAGATGCCATGCAATTCCCATACAGCCCAATATGCACGACGTTGGTGAAAAAAGCCTTATCTTCTTCTGAACAGTCTCCCCCACTCTGAATTCCGGAATTCCTCACGGAAAAGCTGCATATACAGCTTCAGCCCTGTAGCGTCCTTTTGATCTTGTTCTCTGGCTGCCCTTGCAGCAGCTCGGTATGCTGGGTTACGTAGTTCCTGTACTCTGCCGTGGATTCTACGGACGAAGCGGTGGAAGTAAGGGGATTGGAGGAGCTATAGATATAGATCATATCTTAGTGTTTATTCCACTATTGATGCAAATTATACCTAGACTTGGTAATACATACACGTGCTACGAGGTATGCCTGTAAGTTGACGCAGTTAGCAATACGTTAGCGGAAGAACCGGAGAAGATACGATAAAAGACAGATAATACCTCGAGCATACGAAACGGTATCCGTGACCAAGCCATCTCGAACGGACTCTCTCTTTAGTCTTCTTGCATTGTAGTCTTTACATTTGTGTGGCCAAAAATGCCTGTGAAGTTTTATGGAATCTAGAATGTCGTCGCAAGTCGCAGTCCGCGAAACTGTCCTGGGGGTTACTAAGCGAATCTTGGCAAGATCCCATCCATAAGCCGCCTGCCTTGTCCGAACCTCTCTTACATATCCGATTCATGACCCGACCTCATCTTCCCGCTATTCCGTCCATGGCAGCAACTGCTTCCGCCGCACATGGATTATCACCGGACAAACGACTAAAGTCTACTGAAAATGTAGAGTCGGATGGTATATCTGTATCTTCGGATATCAAGCGAAACCTTGAAAGTTGCTGTATATGCCTAGCAACTGTTAGCTCTACGACTCGCGCAGTCGCCACACCCTGCCTGCACGCCTGCTTCGACTTTTCGTGCCTTGTAACATGGTTAGAAGGGGCACAAAGTACCTGTCCGGTGTGTAAGCAGGAAGTTGAAAGTGTCAAATACAATTTCGATGCAAAAGGGACTGGATTTCAGAAGGTATGTAAATTCGATCTTGGACATTTCTGCGCCAGAGACGGGAGCAACCATTAATATTCTTTGGCAGTATAAAATAAAGTCCTCGGAAACTTCAAACCCCTCGAAACCCTCAATATCCCGAAACTCACATCGCCGTGTTGAAATCCGGCGACTTAATTATGCTTCATCTAACTCCTCTTCACTTGGAGGTTTAGCGGACGACATACCTCGCCGTCGCTTTGTCTATAAACATCGCCTTAGAAGCTTACACATTGGTTCCAACCCTTCATCTCGCTTCAAAACATTTACACCTGCCATGGTCCGTTCGTCACCAACACTAGTCTCGAAAGCCAAATCCTTCATTCGTCGCGAATTAGAAGTATTTGATTGGACGGAAGGGAATAGAGAGTGGCTGGTGGAATATATTGTGGGGATATTAAAGACTGTGCGACTTAAGGATGCGAGTGGAAAGGCAGAAGATCTCATAGAGGAATTTCTGGGGAGGGAGTTCGCCGGGGTGTTTTTGCATGAGTTGGATGCGTTTTTGAGGAGTCCGTTTGGTAGGGTTAGAGAGTGGGATCGTTGGGCGAAGTACGAAGTTGAGATTCCGAAGGATTTGGGGGAGGTTCGGCTTGATGAAGGGTGAAAATGACAAACACACGAAATACCGATACACCTTGAAATGGAGATATGAAGCCTTCTAAGTCCTAGACGGATTGAAAGGGGGCCGTACTCGAGAGGAGATATGACGGTTGACCTAGGTTCCAACTACGACACCAGAGTGCACGAAAGGTTAGTTTATTTTGAAACAACCATTGGATACCTCAGAGCTACACGCGACACCTTTAGTGAAAGTCTAAGAAATAAGCCGCATGAGAAGAGACGGACTCAAGGATGGCGTCCCTTGAAACTGGAAATCTGGAGAGAATATAATACCTGTCATAGAATAGACGTGTTACACCCTGTTAGAGTATTTGGCTGGTTCTCAACAATTATGACGATTCGGGTCGAATGTAAATTCATTTAGTTTGCAAACGGTTCAAATTCAAGTTCACTGTAGTATAAGTGTAAAGAATTTCGTGATTACCCTCTTACGCAATTGAGCCTCAATACATGCTCATGGCGGGATCTCCAGGCCGAGTCATGCGGCGGACCCTGTGTTACCACCTGCGCCACAAATATACCTAACTGTGGCTGTGCCAATCAGTTTGTTTATTTACTACACGCAACACATTGGTCGCTGCCGCACGCTCCAAGGAAGCTGTGGTATCAGATTTGCTAGCTTAGCTCCGAGAGCCCCACGTCCCAATCCAACATCTTATCGCGAATCACCAAAACCGCGTCATCCCGCGATATCAGCTGGTCTGTGCAGCTTCAACTATTCTACCCCCTTTTACCTCCTCTATAACTCGAAAAAACGATACAAAAATCTAGCCCTTAACGCGATGTCTGGCCGAAGCAGAAGAGCAGCTTCGCGACGAGTTGTCGTCGAGGAAAGCGACAATGAAGAAGAACAAGTCCAGCAGGAGGAAGAGGAAGAAGAAGAAGAAGAAGACCAGGAAGAAGAAGAGACTCCTCCGCCTCCACCTCCCAAGAAACGTGGTAGACCATCAAGGACTTCAACTTCAGCGCCGTCACCAGCTAAGCCGCCTCCAAAACCACGTGGGAGACGAAAAGTCGCTCCGGACCCGGAACCAAAGATTGAAGAAGTAGAGGAGCAAATAGCTCTAGCGACTACGGAAGATGCTATGGAATTCGAATCTACACCTGCTCCAGAGACCATTCCTACTCCCGTCCAAGTTTCTACACCGAGGCAGTCAGTGCCTCGGAGTAGTGTGCCTCCAGCGGATACGATAGTACTTGCTTCTCCAGCCCGGACTCAGCAGATATTGCGAACTCCAATTAAACGGGCCCCATCTCATGATGTACGAGCCGGATCCCAAACCCCACAGAGCCCGAGCGTTGTCAAGTCGCCTTCTGTGAATGGGAACAGCAGTGTCAATGGCGACACCGGTGCTGCTACTCCAACAAAAGCCGAACCTCAATCTCAAGTTCCTCCACAGGCTACTCCGAAACCGCGTATTCCGACCCCTCCTCCACCCGAACCCGTAGGACCTAAGGCCCGTATAGTTATTACTCACCTTGTCATGATAAACTTCAAATCATATGCCGGCAGACAAGAAGTTGGACCCTTCCACTCATCGTTCACTTCAGTTGTCGGCCCCAACGGCTCCGGCAAATCCAATGTCATCGACTCCCTTCTATTTGTATTTGGCTTTCGAGCTAGTAAAATGCGTCAAGGCAAGCTTTCGGCGTTAATTCACAACTCAGCCGGTCATCCAAATCTGGAATTCTGCGAGGTCGAAGTCCATTTCCAGGAAGTTATCGATTTACCGACGGGAACAGAAATTATTCCGGATTCCACTTTGATTATCTCGCGAAAGGCTTTCAGGAACAACTCGAGCAATTACTACATTAACGGCAAAACCAGTAATTACAAGATAGTAACCAGCCTGCTCAAGGACCGGGGCGTGGACCTTGATCATAAACGTTTCTTGATCTTACAGGGTGAAGTCGAAAGTATAGCCCAGATGAAACCGAAGGCTCAGGGTGAGCATGACGACGGATTACTCGAATACCTCGAAGATATTATTGGTACTTCCAATTATAAGCAACCTATTGAAGAATCTGCCGCTGAAGTTGAAAAGCTCAACGAAGTGTGCCAGGAGAAACAATCGAGGGTACAGCTTGTACAAAAAGAAAAGGATGGTTTGGAAGCTCCGAAGAACGCCGCGGTGGCATATATCAACAACGAGAACGAGCTGGCAATGAAGCAAGGTGCATTGTATCAGGTTTACATGTCCGATTGTGAGAACGTCATTGCAGTTACTGAGGATTCGATGAATCAGATGCAGATTAGCTTGCAGGAGGAGCAGGACAAACACCAGGGGAAGGAAGAGGAGGTTAAAGGGTTAGAGAAAGATTACAAGAGGGGTGTCAAGGAGTTCGAGGACGTTGAGAAAAAAACAGCAGCAATGGTTAAGGAAGCCGCGAAGTTCGAGAAAGATACTGTCAAGTTCGAGGAACAAAAGAAATTTCTGGTTAATAAGCAGAAAAAAACGGAGAAGACTTTGAACTCGAGTCGATTGGCAGGGTCGGAACAAGTGGGGCTTGTGCAGCGGTATACTGACGATGTCAACAGGAATACGGCAGAGATCGTAGAGTTGGAAAATAGAAAGAAGCAAGAGGAATTAGTTCTTCAACAAATTCGTGATGAGCTAGCCCACAAAACCCAAGGTCTCTCAGAACAAATTTCAGTCAAGGAAGCCGCGATTCAACCTTGGAAGGAAAAAGTTGTGAGCAAGGAGAATGAGATTGCAGTTATCCAGAGCAAGCTGGATATCTTGCACGAGCGTGCTAATGCTGGTCAGAAAGCCGTCGAAGAGGCCGAAGCAAAGATTATTTCTATTCAACAAGCCTACGAAGTCATTGATGCCGGTTTTAAGACTGGTCAGAAACAGGGAAGAGCCATCATGAGGGATATTAAGAGGCTGGAAGAGGAATACGCTGAGTTTCAAAAACAGGAACCCGATATCAAGGCTGCATTGTCAAACTCTCGTCAGAAGGCAGATGAGGCAAAGGCATCCTTGGCGGCTACCCAGAATCAAGGAAACGTCTTGAGCGGTTTAATGAGATTAAAGGAAACGGGTAGAATTGAAGGGTTTCACGGCCGATTAGGCAACCTTGGGGCAATTGATGCCAAATACGATGTCGCTATTACTACGGCATGCCCAGCCCTGGAGAACATGGTTGTGGATACTGTCGATGTTGGTGAACAATGTATCGCGCATCTAAGAAAAAACAATCTCGGTCGAGCCAAGTTCATTCTTCTAGACCGATTAGCCAAGCGAGATCTCGGCCCAATTCAGACCCCAGAGAACGTCCCCCGATTGTTCGATCTCGTCACGCCGAAGCTCGACGCTTACAAACCCGCTTTCTACAGCGTGCTTCAGGACACCCTAGTCGCTAATGATTTGACCCAAGCAAATCGTATTGCATATGGAGCGAGAAGATGGCGAGTTGTTACATTAGACGGTCAACTAATTGATAAATCTGGTACTATGTCCGGCGGTGGAAACAGAGTTTCGAAGGGTGGTATGTCCAGCAAGCTTGTAGCCTCAACCACGCAGGCGACCGTTACAAAACTTGAAGCCGAACGGGAGACTCAAGAACAGACATGGTCTGAATTCCAGAAGCAACTACGGGCCATCGAGGATGCCCTGCGTGAGAATAGAGATCAAGTGCCCAAGATGGAAACTCAACTCAAGAAGCAGCAAATGGAGCTCGAGGCGAAGAAACAACTCGGGATGGATGCACAGCGACGACTAGAAGAACTCAAGTTGGAGAACAAACCATCATCGTCGCATCACGGGGAAATTAGAGCCTTTGAGAAGGAGATCGCTGTCTTGCAAAATCATATCACTAAACTTAATAGTGAAACCGCTGGCGCTGAGGCAGAGATCAAAACTTTGCAGGATAAGATCATGGAAATCGGAGGTATTAGACTCAGGAGTCAGAAGACCTTGGTAGATGGTATCAAAGAAAAGATCGATACATTGAACGAGGAGATGACGGTCGCAGAGGCTTCAAGAGTTAAAGCTGAGAAGGCAAGGCAAAAAAATGAGAAAGCGGAGATGAATGCGACGAAGGAGTTAGAAAGTGTGGAGAGAGATTTAGGCAAGTTGACGGAGGAGATGAATAGCCATGCCTGGAAAGCACGGGAGGCGATGAAGGCCGCAGAAGCTCAGAAAGATGTGAGTCCAGGTAACCTACACATTCGATACGGATTAAACTAACCAAGGGCGCAATAGTTCACCGATGATTGCAAGGAGAAATTAGCAGAGCTCAAGGCGCAACTTGACGAAAAGGCGTCAGATATCAGCGAGGCCCGAAGCAAGGAGATCAGCATGAAAAATACGCTCGAGCAGCATGAAAAGGCCCTAGCCGACAATCGAAAAAGATATGCTCATTGGAGGGAGAAATTTTCTAAATTATCCCTTCAAAGTCTTGCTGAGATCGAGGGCGAAGAAATGCCGGATGCTCCAAACCAGATACCAGTTTACTCCACTGACGAACTCGCTGACATGGACAAGGAGAAACTGAAGGCAGAGATTGTTATTCTGGAAGAAAAGCTCCAGAACGTCAATGTTGAACTTGGTGTGCTGCAGGAGTATAAGAGGCGGGTGGCAGAGTATAACGAACGAAGCGGGGATTTGAACGCTGCGGTTGCTGAACGTGATGCAGTGAAGAAGCGGTGTGACGATCTTCGGAAACGAAGGTTGGACGAGTTTATGGAGGGATTCAGTACGATATCTCTAAGGCTAAAGGAGATGTATCAAATGATCACAATGGGGGGTAACGCAGAACTAGAGCTGGTGGACAGTTTGGATCCTTTCTCTGAAGGTATTCTTTTCAGTGTTATGCCGCCAAAGAAGAGTTGGAAGAATATTTCCAATTTGTCGGGTGGTGAGAAGGTAGGCTACAATCCCTTATTACCTTACTGCAAAAGTGGGCCAGGCTGACAACTTATAGACACTGAGCTCGCTTGCACTTGTTTTTGCTCTGCATCATTACAAGCCTACACCACTCTACGTCATGGACGAAATTGATGCCGCCTTGGACTTCAGGAACGTTTCTATTGTTGCTTCTTACATCAAGGAGAGAACAAAGAACGCCCAATTTATTGTCATTTCCCTTCGGAATAATATGGTAAGTCTTTGTCTCAATTTTAGACAAAAATTTTTGATATACATTCTAATATTGCGTCTAGTTCGAACTTGCCTCACGGTTGGTGGGTGTCTACAAGGTGAGCCAGATGACGAAGAGTGTAACGATCGAGAACCAGGACTTCATGGTCCGTAACTAGGCCAATGTGCTCCATGGCTTCCCGTTCGTTCCCGCCCCTTGGCCTCCTCAACCCGAAAGTGCTTAGCTATAATGCCCCTTATTGCTGTTACGATTACGATATTTCTTTTTGGCGTTTCTGCTTTGGGTTGCGGCGGTGTCGTTGAGCATGGCCTGGCGTCATATGCATTTTGGAGGTCTCGAGAAAAAGAGAATTGCATGTAGCATAGAATCTAAGTAGTTATACGAGAGAGACGCATGCACCTATTACGCTGTGTCGTTGTGGCTATTCTCTTCCCGCAGCTAGCTTTTATCCGAGTCATAAGCTCGTACATCGTATAGAAGGTACTTGTGGTCGTTCACTTCGAAGGCCGTATTTGGGTTTGTTGCGTTCGAGCGACGTTTGTAACTATCCCATCGAAGACCACCCGGCCCTGTTTAACCGATAGGTTCGCAAAAAAAAAACCTAGCTTCCCCAACTGCAACCCCAAATTAAATCCATTGATCCATCACATTTTTTCTTTTCCTTCCGACACGACTTGATCCGAACATTCTTCGTTCAGCCGCAATCTATTCTCCGGAAGGGAGACGAGTAATTATCTACCTGCAGGAAACCCTATTTTCACGACCGTTTGCCATTTTGGGAGGTTCAAGGGTAGCTAAAGTGTGGGATATAAAAAGGTCTTGAAGAATGGAAGACGACGATTTGCAGTGAGTTCCAAATTGCTCAAGTACCCAAAACCAAAAGAAAAAGAAAAAGAAAAAGAAAAAGACAGAAAGAGAGAAAGGAGTACGCTTATATGCAAGGACATATAATTCTATTTCGTCAGACAATGCTACATTTCATTATCAGTTATAACTGGGAAAGATGAAAATAATAATAAAAATATCTGTTGGGGAGGTAAAGGCTATCGGCATCGACACTGTCTGCCCTCCAAGAGTTTATGCAAGAAAAAGATGCACGACAAAAGCGATTCGAGGAATTAAAATCACAAGCCGAAGCCGACGATGAAGAACGAAAGTCCGCGGCCACTGGCAACGCTGCAGCGGTGACTATGGAAGACTTCGAGGCGGATTGGAATGCGAGTCAGTTTTGGTATGATGAAGGAACGAGCAGGGCTTTAGCTGAGGAATTGGTGGAGGGGGTTGGAGAAGAGGATCATGTCGCACTGGTTAGTGCACCAAGGTAGGTTCCAAAAAAAAAAGGCTATCTGGTCGGGAAGAAAGGAAAATCGATGGGAATACCGAGATTTTTCGAGAGATGCTCTTTTCAAGCAAAAATACTAATAGGCTAAAATAGTGTTTTTGTGAAGCTGAAGAATTTGATGGTGAGCCCCTCCAGCGTACCAGATGATTTTTCTTGATCTACGACGGACATTTCGTGTGCTGCATGACGGTGCCCAATGGTGGGGTAGGCAGGGTCCAGGGCCTGGCTTTTGCTGCCCAAGCATATGCAGATAGCTATAGCTCTCGGATTCGGATCGTTGAGGGTTCCGACTCTATAACAGCTATGAAGCAAACACCGTCGGACAATAGCGATAGATTCCATGGATATCCATGGGCAGCTAGATATGTCGACGAAAGACCCATAACGATATTTCTGCGCGCATGCATTTCTAGGTCCTCTCGCCAAGGATGGATCACACGAGGTTATTCACTAACCAGGTCTCGACCGTTATGATTCATGGAAATAGAAAGACGGACTAGTGCCGAAATGCAATATCCACCTCTTCGAGTATGACAATCGGTTTGCGTTATTCGGGCCCGAATTTACTTTTTATGATTTCAACGAACCTTTGAAGCTGCCCTTGAAGTTTAAAGGGTTCTTTGATAGGGTCTTGGTGGACCCACCCTTTCTGTCTGAGGAATGTAAGTGCATGATCCTGAATGCTTTCGTCTTTTTACCTTATCGTCGTTTAGTCGAGATGACGTACTTGATATAAATCCCCAAATGATTACGTCTATCACTCGTATTCCAACACGTATGCTAGTTGAGGCTTGTGCTGCTTTATATTGTGGAGTAAAGATAAAGATTTGCTAACGATAGCTATGACTACCGTCTAGGCCAAACCAAAGGTGAGCTCAAAATACAACGAAGAAGACCCACCCTTAGCTTCGGGCTTGAGAAGTGGAGAGAAAGAGCTTTTGAATCTTCCCTGCATATATTCCGGAAGGACATTATTCAGCAATTGGTCCCTCATGATCAGAAAAGTCTACGAGCGATCTTGATTTCCGTTTGGTTTTTATTATTAAATTTTGCTTTTCATCAGAAGTCGCGGGCTAACATATTACCGGGGTGGTTTTTGTGCCCTTTTCTTTTATATCTTGCAGCTGCTATTACAGTTCGATGGTTAGCGAAATCCTGGGCGGGAATAGTCGGTGATAATACGGGCCGACCGGATGCCATCGGATCGCAACAGCAACAGCAGCGAATTATCGTATGTACTGGGGAGAGGATGAAGGACGTGGTCAATAAGATGTACAGTAAGGCCGGGGTCAGGTGTACTGAGTTTGAGGTCCGACATGCGCAGGGTTTGAGTAATGAGTTTAGATGTTATGCGAACTTCGAGAGCGAGCGGCTTAAGTGGGAGAAGGAGAACTAGCTAATAACACTATGCTAGCAGATATAAAATATCATTTTCATAGAGCTCTTATTTGGGGCGTTAAATGGAGAAATTTAGTCTTCGAAAGAATCTTTTCATCCTTCAATATCAAAGTCTAGTTTATGTAGATTATGCACGACACTAGATTCGCTACCTTTAGAAGACTTTTATATCAGATCTCTCTTTAGCAGCTCCAAGAGACGGTACACCTATACAAATTTGCTTTTTGAGGTTCTTATTTTTCCAAACATACACTGGTAGCGGAAAGTCAGAAAACGAATTGGTCTTGGTGCCAAGTTCCCGTGTGGGACGAAGATAACCTAAAAGGTTCCGAATCTGCAAAACTGTAGACAATCGAGGCTAAATATACGGAAACGACTATAACATCCGCGCATTCCGAATATGATGAGATAATGCGAAATATCGCAAGTCTAATAGCTGCATCGTACATATGACCCGAATACTCGAACACCCCCCCGTCACCAAGCTCCGACAAGACCGAAATGTGCCGGATCGACGAGCTTTTCAATCTAACGAGCCGACATAGAGGAAGAAACATCAGATGATAGTCAGCTCATGGAGTGGGCATGAAGTTTCCCATTTTTTGTTAATCATTCTTGTCTGTTGGATTCGAAGAGGATGGCAAGTCAAAACGAAGGACACGGTAGGCGGTAATCAATCTGAAAAACAAAACCCGGAAACTGGCGAATCATGATGTAGAGTTTTGGCCTGTGGTCTGTCTAATTGTCAATATTCATATGCGAGACTATATTCGAAATGTTTGGTGGTATGTGTTCTAGCTAGCTGTGCTGGCTCATGCTTTCACAAGCTCGCTCTTTCTCACAAGAATAATTAATCGTAGCTTGTAGCTGGAATGCCCCGCTTTTGCTTTCGCGCTGATCTCCAGCTGCAGGGTGACAAGAGTAAGAAACAGATCAGGGAGAGGAAAAGTTGGTAAGCAGCCCGCCATAGCATCATTTGATGCATGGGACAAGGATAAAGCTTAGGCGGACCCACCGGTTTGCATGGCTCGTCAACCGAGGAAAATATATTTTCGAAAAGCAAAAAAGGCACCATTAGGCCTTGAGATTTGAGATCGAGCTCTCACGAGAAAAAAAAAAAAAAAAAAAAGCGAAAGCCCTTAGCCAACCGTAACGCTGCGTGGGTCCATTGGTGTCTGAGTCGTACGTGCCACTTGTGGTTTGTGGTTGCCGGCACAGTCGTAGATATGCGATGCATGTATTGTGCGCTCCTGTCGTGCATATTTTTTTCGTGCAGGTGAAATTGATTAAATGTTCACGAGGCAGTGTCGAACAACTTCAACAGTAAGATCGAAACTTGGAAGTGCGATTGACCCGAAAACGAAATCCACTAGGAAGCTTCAGGGAAGCTAGACAAAATCCCTGACGTCTTCGACGGGGCACCCGTTATTTCCGAAACCCGAGAGCGAGCGAAAGATAGAGGGAAAAAAAAAAAAAAAAAGCTGATTACGATATCAATCAGTCAATTGTCCCCGCGGGTCCCGAAACTTTTGACGAAAGTTGCAACTTTACCATGTTCGTGTAAACGATTCATGAATCATCCATCCATTGTATCCGCTGGCTAGCTGGGTTTGATGCATCTACTGAATTCGAGGTAGAAGAGCGCCTTCGAATTCAAGATTCCCGGCGACTACCGGGCTCTAGCTTTAGGGCTTCTCACGTCTCCATTTTAGGGATTATCGTCGATAACCTTGCATGTGCGTATTAGGGAAACATAACTCCGCATCGGATACGTACGCTGCTGATGACAGGCCTTAAGCTTGGGACTTCACACGTTGAGAGATGGTGATCCAAGGAATGTTAGGTAGTTTGATTGCGAAAGCCATAGTTGGGTAGCTAAGAGGCTTCGGCTGGTTTCGCCCAGACGGTTGTTTTAATATTAGGAAGCACTCCTTCGAAACCAAGAAGGCCGTGACCATGACATGATGTCGCCTTGTCCTGCCCTTTTTTCCCACGAACAGTATAAAACCCGAAGGGGTCCGCGAAAACGGTGAAATAAACTCGAGGTGTTTTTACTCGATTTGAATTTTATTTATTTTATAAAAAGTCGCTACTGCACTGCGGCACATGTCAGTTGTTTTAGTGTAAGGAAACAGTTTTGAGGTTGTCTGAAGTTATTCTTAAAGGCTTTGACTGTCCCTTGAAACCGGCCTATACACTTCTGCCACCCCCTCCGACTAGTTGGCTCTCGCTCCTCCCACCAAACACGGGCCTCTTCGAAAGATTCCTTTTCAGCTAGCGGCTTGGGAAAACTACTTATACCGTCGCCGTTGAGACATTTGGATCAAGTCGACCAACCGACGACCGATTATATCATAGAATGGTGGGATGTTTAAGCGCCTGCGGAATATAAAAGACTGTTGTAACTTCTTGGGATTCGCCTGCACGGTACAATTGAGCTGAAGTATACTGCCACCAAGATCACCGACGAATTATTTTTATTTTTTTTTATTTTATTTTTTTTATTATTTCATTGTCCTCAAAAGTTTTTCAAATCACGGGACAGTTCAAATTTGTTGGAAACGGAAGGGAAATTTATTGAAGAAGGGAATTAATTAATTTAAGGGACCCGACAGGCATTATTATTAATTAACCGATTTCTTCGCGGAAACTCGCTCGCTCTCTCACGAACCAGAAAAGATATTCACTTCGACAAACTATATATTTCTTTGGTTTCAATAGTCGGTTGAAACCACAGGAGCGATGCTATCAGTCTCGAGGCGGTGGCTACTAGCATGGGCTCTATTTGCAGTATGCGATGTCGCCTTGGCCGCTGCACATGGTGAAGAAGCCGGAGAAAAAGGCGACATGCATAAGGGCCATACGGGTGGGATGGACCATAATGCTTCCCTCAATGTACCGGCGCATTCGGACGACGCGGACACTTATTGGAGGCTAACGACAGCAAGATGGCTGATATACGGCCATATCATTCTTATGGTCATCGACTGGGTCCTCGTTCTGCCAGTGTGTAAGTGTCGCCGATTTTAATTCCTCAAACCCGACTGAATTCTCTCAATTCTGTGCATGCAATACGATGCAGGTGGCTAACATGTGGTTGTCCGAATTAGCAATAATGTTCGCGGTTGCCAAATCAAACCTTCACATCCCAGCCCAATTTGTTTTCCTTGCAATTAACGGCTTCGCGATCTTTCTCTCCATTCTATACAATGCCCAGACTCCGGATCTCTATCCAGCGAATGCTCATCACCGGATGGGATGGGTCGCCGTTGCAATTCTTACCGTGCAGACCGTCGTCGGGGTGATTTTCTCCGTCGCGAAGAGCAGTGACGCTCCGAAGAATGAGGAGGCGTCGTCGTTGATGGCCGCTGCCACAGCACGGTACCAACGCATGGAGAATCGCCAAGGGTCGTGGAATAGCGATAGTGCGCATGGTGGATCGGATCATAGCCCTTCGTCACGTTCTCCGTCTTTGGAAGAGGAGTCTCTGTACAACCAGCATGAAGAGCAGGAACTCAAAGCCATTGACGAAGAAACCAAGTTCGAGAAACTAGCGAAGAAATATGTACCTCGCTATGCTATCGCACAACAATGGATTACTATCGCCAGTGTTGGATATCAAATTTCGCAGCGGTTGTTGCTTATTTGGACATTTATGTTGATTGCTACCGGTGCCTCGACCTACACTGGTGTTTTCGTAAGTATACTTGAGCATGGGCTCAACGCTTAGCGGTCCGGTATCCTAGTTGCTAGTTGCTAATTCGTGATTCCATGGCTTATAGAAAGGCGGCAATATCTTCACTGGCCTCGCTCATGTTATTAAAGGAGGTATCTTCTTCTACTATGGTATTTTCACCCTTGGACGATATCTGGGCTGCTTTGCGGACCTTGGTTGGGCATGGAACGTCAAACCGGACGCATCGATGGTCGGGAAGTTCCGTGCGAACATCAAATCCGCTGAAATGGTCGAGTCTGCCCTCATCTTCACTTATGGTTTCACAAACGTTTGGTTGGAACACCTAGCTGGATGGGGTCAGGAATGGCATATGGGTGACCTTGAGCACGTCTCGATCGCTTTCTGGTTCCTGGGAGGCGGCTTACTCGGTATCTTGACGGAATCCGAATGGATTCGGGGTCTTTTGAACAATGTCTATTCCGAAGATGCTCAAATTGCCATCAACCAGTACGAAATGGCGGTTTCACAGACCGTATTCCCAGAGAAGCCGAAGTTCCGACAAAGCATGAACGTTTTCCCCTCGCTCGTCATTTTCATGCTCGGGATCCTTATGGGTAGCCACCACCAGGAGAAGGTGCTTGGCACAATGTTACACAAGCAGGTAAGCGAGTTCTGGCATGCGATGCCCTTTCGGCTCACGACGGGACACAGTTGACTGATCTACGGTTTTAGTGGGGTTTGCTTTTGTCTGGTGCTGCAGTGTTCCGCTTGGGATCCTTCTTGCTTGTCTTCTTGAAGCCACCGACGTCGTACCTTCCTTCTCGACCATTTACTGAGCCACTGGCTGCCTTTGCTCTGATGGCAGGTGGTTTAGTTTTCTGTTTGAGTGTAAGTTGACTTCTATCTTCTATGACAATTGGATTGATACTAATTTTGCCATAGAACTCGGAAACAATTAATGCTTTCGATGCCATGAACGTTGACGGCATGTTTGCCTTCACCCTTTCCTTGGGCATAACAGCCTTGTTAATGAGCTACCAGACATTGGTGGTTGCTTTGAAGGGTTGGGCGGTGAAGCGGGAAGCGTCTCACTCACACAAGAGCGTGTTCAGAATTACTTGAAAGAGCTCAGAGCTCGTATCTTGTATGGGACCGTTTTGATACCCTGTTTACTTTTTATTTTCCCCTCGTTTGCTTTACGACATCTATCGCTGTGTAGGCATCCTCCAGCAACTGATTCGTTCTTTTATCTTGCTCCCCTCGGCGTTTTTCATTTGGCAGAATCATCCTTGCTTGCACTTTTTATTTTACTTCCATCCTTTTTATTTTCAGCCTCAACAGTGCATATGGCGTACATATTGGGCTTCCCGACGCCGCGAACCATATTTCCTGCTCGTGGGTTCTTTGACGCACGGGCCTTTCTTGTGAATACTTTTATATATATCATATTTTATTTTATTTTGAGAGAATTAGGACAGCAAAGCAGAAGACAAATATATATCTCCCCTAAGAATTTGTATTTGGTGCAGGTTCCGAGTGCGACTCAGCTCATCAAGGGTCGACAGAAATGCACGCTGGAAGTCGTCCGTGATAAAGATGATTCGATATTGCTCAACGTATCACAATCGGTATAGAAGACGGGATTTTAAATTGCATGCAGGGTCTAGATATAGTTGAGGTGACTTCACATTCCGTGAAATTAACCATGACTGGCGGGGTACCAGGTCTGCAATGTGGTTACAGTCAGTATAGGTAGTATCATATGTATGTGAATAGATGACAAGAGGAAATCTCTTCAAACGATTATCAAATCATTGAATAACAGGGTTTAAAAATCCTCTGCGGGATACATGCAGACCGGAACTACCCAGACGAACCAATTCACCACAAAAGGGTGGTCCCAAGGGAGGGAAAAAACCACAGTTAGCTCTTATGCACCGCCGGTTTGAAGGTGGGGATCGGTGGGTATCGACAGGCATCTTTTCCAATCAAACTCAGCTCCGTTGGCAGCTCACATGGCCGCCACACAGGGGAGGGAGGATCATGTACCGGTACCACTGCGGTGCAAACATCGAGGTCCATGCAGCTAAACAAGGTCCCAGCGCAGCGAAGAGGGATTATCGACGCCGCAACTATTAGCTGGCTTTCTTGGGACCCAAACTACTGGAAATGAAGGTTCGGTAGGGGCTGGCGTTTTCTTTTAAACGAGGTGGGTTCCTTTTTTCTTTTCTTCTTACGAGAGAATGAGCATTCTCGGGGGAATGAGTTTATCGAACTAGGATTCTTACTTCGATCGTTCTACTCTTTTACGGTTCTTTGGGACGAAGCTAATGCGGGTTCTTTGACCAGCATGCTTAGGCTATGATCATGTATGGGTCCCCATTTACAACTAGAAAGGTTTCCGCTCGGTTGGAATAGTTTACGAGATATCATGTGCACTGCAGAAAATCTTTGGAGCGGCAATGTTGCAATAATATGGTTAACGGTTGGCATTGTTGAGCACGAGCAGTGGGTACATGCCTCCCTCGCTCGCTCTCTTGTCCTCGGAAACAGCTCTGAAATCGGTACAGTGGAATTAGAAAGTTAAAAACCCCCCACGTTTTCGCTACGGAAGCTCGTGTCGAAAGCAATATTAAGGTCTCAATTGAAGGACTGGACGGGTCGACGGGTCCTAAACGGTTCAAAACGTTGAAGTTTCAGATAAGAGGTATTACGGACGATGTTTCAACATCTTAACAAAATTGGTAAACGAGCCTGCAGAGAAAAAACATTGAAGGTCATGTGCAATATACGTAAGATATTAATATTCGGCTTCAGACAATTGCAAATGTGAAGTTAGGCATTATTATCTTTCGGTACCTTTTTTTATGGGAATCATCGGTTTTCTTTGGGGGGAATATTTATCCTCGGAAGGGGAAAGAAGAATTAACTGTTAACCCCGCCACCAAAAGTCCCATTTGTCCTCGTAATGTAATCCACATTCGGAGGGCGGTGTGACGAATCTGTCGATGGGATATCGACGCAGCCCCACCTTAAAGCCGGACAGATGCAGCAAGGGGTGGATTGAAAGCAAGGGCCTAGATTTCTCCTCCCTCTCTCGCCGACTCGTTGGATTTTACCAATTGAAATTAAATCGGGTCGAGAGAATCGGAGTAATATGTGTGCTGCAGGTAGAGATACGAAGGACCCATGTATTCGAAAGTTTTCCCAGGGACGTCCCTGAACAAAAGATGCTTAAGTTTTTTGTAACACTTTTTTTTTTTTGTTTAAAAAAAAAGGAGTATAGACGTCGTATTGTCAGAGAATAAAGTTAATGACGGATGGAGACAGCAATGGCACCGCACATTTGAACTCTAGATGCTGTCAGCAAAGGAAGGAACCCTTCCCCGAAAGAGACCCGAAAGAGGTCCGAGATTTGATACCAAAGAAACTGAGGCGCTAAGCTTCGCCATTGAGATCCTTTATTTTTGAAGAGGGTTCTTGCTTTTTCGATAGCTTCATCGATGATGTCCGGGGCGAACGGGACGAATTTATCCAAATGCAAGGTCATTTCACATAGCCGACGTGAATAATGTAAGTACATATACATACTGTGCATACCGTCTACAATTGCAATCAATGTATGCAAGCGGTTGGATTCAGCCGTTTGGGCCCGCAGTCTGTTTACTGGATAACGGGACCAACAAAAAAACCCACATATCGGTTGCAGAAATGGGAGTGGTCGCTGTGAAAATTGCTCGCCATTGGAGTCTTCGGCTTCGATGGTCGTGGTTCCAGCGCCCTAAAATCTCATTTAAGGTAAGGCTTGCGGATAACCACGACCCCGGACCCTGCAAGGGAGACAGTTGGGATTTGGCTGCCATGCTGGCATGGTGTGTGCAGACAAAATGGTAATAAAAGGCAGAGGCGTATGCAAAATCGACTAGGGACGAGATACTTCTTACTTGCTCTAGTGCTAATTGAAAGAAGATCGAATGCCCCATGCAGGACATGCCGGAGTTATATGGCAATCATCGGGCGGCAGGGAAGAAAGAGTCTGGAATTGGCGGGATAGCTAGATGTCGGCTGATTCCAGCGATATATTGAGTGTGGAGACATGCACAGAATATCGAGGAGTTAGCGAGAGCTGACGAGGGGAAACAAAGCCAAGTTTTTGGTGCCCCATTTTTCCGTTGAACAAATCATACGATAATCTCAAATTTCTCCCAAGTGTCAATGCGGCGATTAGCATGCGCATGGGCAAGTTCGAGAAAAAGTAAAAGAAAGAAAGGACGGAAAGGCTCCGTTAATTGTTTCTTCAAGTCCTCTTGTTCTGAATGTGTCGATGTTTATTGGAAGCACGGTGCATTAGCACGAAGGCTGGGATGTCCGGAATACGGAGAGCTCGAAGTACAGATACTTAAGACAGCGCATGTACATGTATACACAGTATCTGCGTATCTGGGCCTGGGAGCAATCACGGTCAGTCTTCCCCACAGGCGTCTTGGAAGCAAAACGTCTTGTCCATGTAGATTGCGTGTAGGGGCTCGAGGGGCGACGGGTCCGATAATATCATTGTATGATATACATACCTAGGTAATAAGCATGTGGGTTATATCATTGTCGTCTGGACCCAGCTGCCAATAACCCTCCTCGGCTTCCAACCCCCAAGCGAGGGGAGCCAGACTTCAAAAGGCGAATTTTGAAATGAGCAGTGCGGAATACAAACAACGATCCTGGTATATTCGATGGTCTGTGGTTGAAGGTGGTCTGGCGTCCCGCTACACCACTCAACCTGCTGCTAGCATGCTCCCGCTAAGCTCTGGGCTCGTACCATGCGCTCGAACCAAACCAGATGGATATGGTGCGTGCTATATCAGCGGAGATGCCGTGAAAAGGGTCCTAGGAATTGGGCCCAATTCGATCTTGCTTTTGTCCTGTCCCTTGCTCATCGGATACCGAGTTTCTTACAGTTTAAAATTTCCTCCTCGTGGGCCATTGCGACCGCAATTGCATCCATAAGAGTAGTAGACTTTCCCGAGTCCCGATGCATTTAAGCTTTGCTTCCCTCGACCGACTCGACTCCTCGACTAACTTTTCTTTTCTTCTCGTTCCTTTCCCCCACATGTAAGGACGCATTCGAAAGCTAAAGTGCAGAATAGTTCATTCGGTTGCGTGTCTAGTTTATAAGCAGCCGCTACCCGTCGTCGATTCATTAGTTGCGTTAATCGTCACCTTCGAATCATTTTGGCTGCGGCTGCGGCTACGAC